GCTGCAACCATTCTTAACAAGCGCAGAAACAATTGCCTAATAGAACAGCATTTGCGTTTACTTCCAAACGATTAACTCATAGTTTTGCTTTTGTCGTTTTTGTACAAAAGTGTTGAAGAGAGGCAGCGCATCATCTCGCACAAATTTTAATCCATGGACACTATCCAACAGACAGCCTTAACTTAGTGACTACAACGGGAAAGCTACCACTGGTTGCAGAGCGCTTTTAACCATGGAGTTTCCATTCTTCCTCATCAATCGAAAGTAGAGCTTATAAGCGCTTTCTTCACCCCATGGGTGAACAAGAGCCTTGACAAGGAAACGATTTCTCTCTTTTATGAGAAAAGACTAACAAGGAATACCGTTTATGATGCAAAAATTTTACATATATAAAGTAGGTGAAAATTTCGTGAATTAATTCAACATTTATTTAGCCTGTTATGCTTATGCCTTGAAGAAGATTGAACTCCGAACAAATAAAAGTCATTCGAAAGGATCAAACATAATTAAAATGCCGTGTGCTACTCTTTCACGTACATGCTCGGTTTAGCATCACAAAAACTGTATTTCCTCTGGATTTTGGAGAGGTTTTACCCTTTATCACAATTTGTTTCTGTACGTGAATTACCTCCATCCGTTTATTACAAATAACCTTCTTGAAAAGGTTTCCTTATTTATCAACGTAGAAAAAAATTTATTTCGCATTTAATCATTAATTGAGAAGACATGTAATACCCTTTAAACTTAAGACAAATATACAAAGCGTAAGGATGGAAAACAAACTGCAATGAAGTTTTCAAAGACTCAGATTTCGAGATATCGCGTGCAATAAGAAAAAAAATGTAATCTACTGTGTACAAATACAAGAAACGGTTTGACATGAACTTGTTTCTATGAAGGGAAAAATTCAATCATATCTTTATATTTCTGTTTGAATTAAAACGTAATGAGTATTTACCTTAGTCTGGAGCTAAATGCGTGGGAACAAACACATTTTTAATAAGAAACTGAGGGTGGAACAAATAAAAACATCATAAGCAAACAAAATGCGTGCGATAACCGTTTTATCTACAACCAAATTATTAACTTTAACTGATGAAATTAGCAAATATGCGATTGTTGTGCCGTTTACAACAATTGGTAACTCTTGATCGTGTGTTAAACCAGATTCATTATTTAAGGTTGTCCCGGTCATCTCGTGTTCAATTTTGTTTCTTCCATTTATTCTTTGAATTATAATTAATATCCTGGCAGTTTTACGAGGTGAATCATTGCACGCACTAGTCACTTACACTTGAAAGTACGTTTGATCTATGGGCAAGATGTACAGTTATTCAAACTAGTGAATTAAAATTATGCAAATCGAACAGTAGCGTGGTCAGACCGCCAAAAGTAAAAAAAAAAACAACAACCCGACTGGAAACTAAGAAGGTGCTTTAATTTCAAAGAAAACCATTAATCTTTAGAATCTTAATTCACAATTTTTTCTGTTATTCTTTCTTTTTAGTTTAGCTATGTTAGCAACACTGACGTCCCAGTTCACGGTGTGATCGAATTTGACCACCAGAGCGTGTTTTTCTCTTAAATATACTCTCCTCACAACGGGTGTCTCAAAAGAAAGGAAAAGAAAAAAGCGAACTTGACTATTACGAAAACAATTGGAACTGGACCCATTTAACTAAACTTTACACGGCGATTTCCAAATGGATCATGATATGAAAGTCGAAAAAACACAATATGTACCTGTCTCTGAATTCAATCATCCTACTTTATTACTTCTGCATCGAACTGGATGTGAATGAATTCGAAGTTTTGATCGTAGCGAACGTTTTATCGTCAATGCATGCTTTCGAACTGAGCCCAAAGACGCAGAGTTTATGCATGAACATCAGCTTTTCGTCTCTGTTTAACTATAGTAACATAAAATACACATGGTAATCGGCTGACGATAAACGCTGAAACAAGCGTGTAAAGCCTTAGGGAGCCATTAGAAAAGCAAGAAACAACAACAAGAACAGACAATAATTGAATTAGATTGGTGTTCTCAGAATTCATTAATGTTCGACTGAAAGATTAACTTCCCTTCTGCTACAAGTAAAGTAAGTTGATGTTAACAACTATTGTGAGGCTTGTTTTCGATTCCTTTCGTTCATTCTTTTCACGAATGGAAAAAAAAAGGAAAGACTCAAATTCATCAAGCTCCCTTAGTCTCAAGCTGCTCGACTCTTGCCTTTCAGAACAGTTTAAAACAGGCTTACCCCTGACTTCATGATCAAAATGTAGATAAAGGTTCATTAACTCCTTTATAAGTTTTAAACCGTTATAGAGCCATTCAAATTGTTGTTTATAATTATGTGCACAATGAAAACGAGCGTGGTTTGGGGCGTAAAGCAAACAGAGTACTTAGAAAACAAACTTGAGAGGTAAACCATATGGAAGTGTACGGTACACATCCTTGCCATCAAAAATGGCGAAATTTTCTTCTAAACACTTTTTTTATGTTGACGAAAATGAAGAATACGGCCAATTTTGTGACAAACTTAGATGCAATCCTTCAGCAAAGTGCGTGTTTCTTTCCTGAGGGTTTTATCATCTCAAAAGGTTCTCCCCGGGTGGTGTAACACGGGGAAAAAAAAGTGAAATTGACCATTACGAGCTGAACAATAGATAAAGGATGTATTCGCTGATGGTTTACACAATAATGACCGAATGGATCACGATCACTTGCTCTCGAAACAAACAAGTCTTGGAAGAAAAGCTTCCTCAGCTATACAGAAGTTCTTTCATCATCCCAAAGATTAGGATCAGTGCGGTAATTTTGCGATCACTTAGATGTTATCAGCCTCAACTCTGTTTTGAAAATCGTGATGAGTTTGTGATAACATTGTTGTTATCACGAGTTGGCTGCCAATTTCTTAATGTACGAGTACTAAGTATGATTGATTTCTCGCAAGCTTAAAGATATAACATCTATTGACAGACAACAAAAGGCTTTACCTTATCCTGAGTGTCGACAATTTGGTGTATCACGATTGAGTTTCAGTGATGTTAAAGTTAGGTAGTTTACACTTACCAACCAGGGTTCTTTTTACCGATTTAGTGCTGGAAACACTGCAGGAGGATATCGTGTAACCTACTATGGTGCAGTTCCATCTAATTTATTGGCGCTTTCAACTCGAGTGGCACAGAATCACTGCAGGTTGCCTATTGAGGAAGCCATAACAAAGCGATCTTATACCAGATGGAATTCAGCCAAAGAAAATGTAAACAACAAACCCGAGAACAGGCATCGAGAGAATGCATTTCTGAAGCTTACGAGGAAGATTTTCAAGGAACATACACAAGAGACACAACTAGAAAAAGCAGAAGGTACTTGAAGTTGTGTAGCGATGTGGACACGCACGTGAATATAGAACATACACTATGTTATTGTATTTTCCTGGCTAATTCAATTACTATTTATAAATCTATCTAGAAATAGGTTAAGATTGACTGATATGATGTGCTTTCATGCTTCATTTGTTTTCCTTTTCAATTAAAACTTCTTTGTTTCGATGGTTCCATGAACCTGTCAAGTACGTTCCTTCCTAATTTTCTCGGTCCTTTTTTTCTCGTTTTGAAATAAAATTTTTAAAAAGTTTCTTACTTCCAGCAGTGGAAGAAAATTTTTAGTTGGTTTTGAAGCCGAACGTAACAAACCATTATAACATAAATGAATGAAGGGAGTAGGTTTCTAAAGAAACTGTGGTGCTGCGTCGGTGAGAGAGTATAACTGGGTACTTAAGTATTATCAACTGCGTTGATAACGTAAATTGGCCACCGTAAAGAGTTTAAAAGCTGACGTTTCGAGCGTTAACCCTTCATCAATCGCTCTGACAAAGGGCTAACGTTCAGAACTTCAGCTTTTAAACTCTTTACGGTGGCCAATTTACGTTATCAACGCATTTGATAATACTAAATTAAACTGTTATAACGGTTGCGCACGATGATATCAAGCAAGTTGCGCGACATGAATCTCGTGCATTTAAACCGTCTAATAAGGAAAAAGGTGCATGGAGCTAACACCGTACAGAAAGCAAGTATATTACTCAAACGTTTACTGGTAGAATTTATTTTTATTGCCTTTAAATGGATCAAAGCGGGTGACAATAGACAGAGTTTGAACACTGTCGGCAGAATCGATATGACTTTGTCAAATCCAATTAAACTTCAATAATGAAAATAATCATAATTAGAAAATAGGGCGTTAGTCTGCTATAGTCATAACTTTTCAAGTTATGTTAGATTTTCCTTACACATCCTGTTGACCTTAAACACTTAATCCAGTGAAATCCAAACCTCAGTTGCAAGTGAACGAGGATCATGCTTGAATTGTAAGAGTTTAAGTAAAGAGAGAGTACTTGTTTACAGCCACTTGAATATTGCATTAGCAAAATTGTCCAAAGGGCACAATTCATAATATAACTCAGTTTCTCTATATTACGAAAACCACATCCAAATTGACACAGATACCTTACTCATATAAGGAGAATATTGTGTTTAAATGTTACTACTCGCATGGAGAGATTCCACAAGCTTTACAATCTCTACACAGTGATTCATGGTATAATAGACCTATTTCAAAATGGTAGCTAAAAATTGAAACTACCCAAGAAAACCATACTAGCATCCAAATTAGCCTCAGTCCTCTATTTGGTAATCCAACAAAGTTACATTTTACTTGGTGTTGTTTGAGTCCGCAAAGATTTCATCTGTTATTCTAAAATTCGATTAAAATGAAGAAACCCTACAGTTGGCAGGGTTTAGCCTCCTTCGCAGGCATTCTTTGTGATGTCACGCGACTCTGTCTCAGAAAACGTTGTGTGACATCCAAAAGAGAGGCTACTTTACACAGGAGAGCCTGCAATATAAGCGTTAGGGATAGGCATTCAGAAAGAGATACAATAAAGTTCAAGAGTCATTCTTTAATAGCTAAAAACATGTTACTTTTGAGGCAATGATAACGGAAACGTCCCTTTTTTTTTACATTTCTTGTGATAGGAGCTGCCTAACATTGTCGACTATTTCTTCCCGGATTTCAGGCTTCAGCAGCTCTTTTACCTGAAAACATTACAAGAAAAGATGTTTGAAACTTTTAAACGTCGCAAACTTCACGACAATGGTAGAAGGAAATAGAAAAGTTACTACACTACTGCAGCTTAACGGCTAATGATGTCTGTCCACATTCTATCTCTTTGCTCTCAAAAACTTGACAAAAACGAAACTAATAAAGGGGGTAAGTTTCTAAAGAAACTGTGGTGCTGAGTCGGTGGAGGGTATAACAAAATAAATTGGTTTTATCATCTGAGCTGATAATGCACATTGGCCACTGTAAAGAGTTTCTAAGCGAAAAAACAAAAATAGGCGAGCTTAAAAGGTAAATGCAATCGCGGTTCCTTGCAACGACGTGGAGGTATGTCAAATGAAAAAACAGCTGCACTCTTTTGACCGGTATTTCTACGACTCTCAAGGAACGTTTTTTAGAGCTTTTTATACTTCCCGGCTATGTCCTTTTCAAAGTTTAGAATGGTGATTTACTTGATTGTTGCCCACGTAAAAAAAAAAAACCCAAAAGAACAAAACAAAGACAAAAACAAACAAAAGGTACCTAGCGTTAAAACTAAAACTAAACGAGACAAACAAACCAAAACGGACAAACAAACCAAAAGACAACAAAATCGACACATTGACGAGCAACCCAAGTGCTTACCAAGTACTTCAATGATGCGTCATAAGCATACTGTAGAGAGGTGTTAAAGAGCATCACGCCATGGTCTGTCAATGTCAACACACAGTTTCGAAGACGCGCAATCGTCTCGCGATCAGAGTGCTGGATCTAGAAATAAGGTATTAGGAAGACCTTATGAGACGGATTTTGAAAAAGTGTAACAATACCTTCGAAAAAGGACAAAGCCAGAAAGTTTGCCCACACAATTCTGAATTGTGATGTCTGGTTCAAAAATCGAGCCATTCAACTCGGCTGAGAAGTTGAACAAACAATAAAACGGGTTTAAAGAACACCTCATCGCCTGAAGAAGACTGTCATTATGCAGTAGAAGAGTCGCACTCTACATCGAAAGTGACTCCATAGTGAGACAAACGATTACACACAATCACCACTACTGACCTGTCTTGGTGCATTGGTGTCATTTTCCAGACTGTTGGCCAGGCCGTCAGCGGGTGTGGCATCTTCGTTTTCCAAAGGAGATATCCAAACATAACCATTGTTACCCACAATTACCGTGGCACCACAAGGAAGGTTGAGAAAGTGAGTTTTGCACCTTTTAACCAGCGAAGGTGGAACTTGAACGAGGGTGCCCTCTTTAAGCTGCCGAGAAACAATAAACAACTTAATACACATAAAAACCGGAGTACTACTATCGTTTAGGGCTAAAGAACTTAAGATTACCACAATAAAATTATGCAAACAAAGCTTTGCTATTTGAAAATGTTCAGCCAAACCAACCTTTCCATACTTGAGACTGCGCGTGTGTAAAGAAAGAGAACCATCGCTGTATACCGATTGCACCTCTGCCTGGTTTAGTCAAGGGGGAACACTTAAATTTATTATCTAGCATTAGGTGACTTAAATAGCCCAGAACAAAGGCAATAATGTAAGAATGGTAAACGGTAGAGCGCTTTTCGATTGAGTGTCGTAAAGCTAAATTAATCACGAAGACCAATCAGTAAAAAGGAAACAACCTTTAAGAAACAATGGGAATTAAAAGAAATAACAAAACTGCCTAAAGCGCGGGAAACCGCGGGAAACCACGGGTGACCAAGTCGTAATTGGTGTTATGAATAAAGGGGCAAGTTTCTAAAGAAACTGTGGTGCTGCGTCGGTCGTCGGTCGGTGGGAGAGTATAGCTGGTAATTTATTGTTAAACAACTGGGTTGAAAACGTAAATTAGCCACCGTAAAGGGTAAAAAAGCTGACGTTTCGAGCGTTAGCCCTTCGTCAGAGCGATTAGATTTCGAATCGCCAGCTTTTTTACCCTTTACGGTGGCTAATTTACGTTTTCAACCCAGTTGTTTAACAATAAATTACCTGCGTAATTGGTGTTAGTTTTGTAGCTGATTGGTTGCAAGAGTTTGCTGAACCAATCACAGAGCCAAGTATTACATGCAAAACCAAATTAATCTCGTTGCTCTAAACAGCGATAAATGTCCAGAGTGCAAGGAAATTGGAAAGGATACACTTATCAGGTCACCCTCGGCAAGAAAGTGGCGCATCATCAATTCATCCTCCGCAGAACGTCGTCTCTGTTTACAAACACGGAAAACATAGCATCTTTAAATACCGACGTATCATTAGTAAGACTTCCCTCTATGTTCTTTACAAGTCTTAAGTAAATTAGTGTAGAGAACTAGATGTTTCATCAAGAAAGAACACTATCACCGATAAGTAGATCTATGTACCTCACGTGTTTGCTGGGATTTTAAATTTCCGAAGTTTGAGTAGTTCCATCCAACACAATAAGTTCATGTTTTTTTTTCCAATATTACGAAGCAAAACCCTATGCCACCCTTCCCTGCCCAAAATGTGTTTTGTTAGCGATAAAAACAAGAAACATAGAACTAACTGAAGCCTTATGACAAGTATTTCTCATTCTGTTAACCCTTTAAATCCTAAGAGTGATCACAATCTAGTTTCTCCTTACAGTAACACTGCTGAATCATTTATGTAAGATCACAAGAATAAAGGAAATGATCATCAACTCAAATAGCTCTTGATTGTTAAACAAATTCTCCTTGTCAGCACCTTAGGAAATTTAGAGATAACAGTATGGAGATTATGCATACTGGTGTTAAGGTGTAAAGGGTTAAACTTTTGTGGAATTTTATATTGGTATATGTTGCACTGTTACTCCCTCTCTCTCTCTCTCTCTTTGTCTCTCTTCTTCTATCTGTCTATCTCTCAGGGGTGAGAAAAGCTTTTCTGAATAATTTGTGAGATTAGTAGTTTTAGTATGGTTATGCAAAACATGGCTAAAAAAATAGGATCAAAATGATATGCAACAACAAAGCAACTACAAAACAGCAAGCTTTTTTTTACCAGTTCACCACCAGGTAAATTTACTGAAGAGAGCAGCAAAACAGAGTCCAGTCTGGAAAAAGTTTCCACTTTCCATCTCTTCTGTCCAACCTTGAAACAAAGTAAATACTAATTTATTCACAGCTGTTGATATATTCCAAACAGTCAGTACTATGGAAAACAACATAGTGCTGCCATGCAAACTTTCTCCCTCTTTTTTATACAAGGCATGATTACAACTTGAAGCACAGTGATGCAAACAATCAACATTCATATACACAGACTGAAGCAATTCTTTGCTTAGGTAGAAGACACAAGTTAAAATATACCTCAAAGAGGTTGAAATAACAAGCTAATGGTAACAATAACTTACAAATTATATCCAAAGTTATTTATTCATTTTTAGGTCATTTAGAATACGTAGTTTGCTCTTCACCTCTGTAATTCTTCCAACCACAACATCTCCAACTTCTCCATTGTATCTGAAATAACACAACAATAATTATATAATTTTGATGTGTTTTTATTACATACTCTTAATTCCTCCTTATTTGCACTGACTATGGGAAGGTCTATGGGAGGTAAAGGTAATTTTCAATGACTACGATGGCTTCTGGAGCACAAAACAGCCAAAGGACTTGCAGATATCCTTTGACAGAGAATTAGTCCAGTAAAGGTCCTCCATCATTAGAAGAAAAGCTTTTCCATGTTCCACTTCTTTCTGTGTGGATACAAATACTGTGAAATTCCAGTGTCTTAGCCAAGCAGGGTTTTCATTGAGAAATGCTGTTGCAGGAGAATGGTGTGACAAGTTTCCAAATCTGAATAAAACTGATTCAGCCCATCAAAACTCTGCTACGGAACTTTGTGTAATAGTTGAAGAATTCTCTAATATCTGATGAACACTTAATGAAGAATACAAAACAATGACAAAGTCCTGAGTTTGAAGATGCATCTAGGTCTGAGTTCAGGGCACTGACCATTTGGCCTCCATATCCATCACAAAGACTAGAGGAGACCTGGATTGCTAGTTCTGCTTCAGGGTAAAATCTGCACATGAGAGTGGATCAGAGAGCTGCCACTGAACTTATCCCACTTCCTGTGAGATGACTTGAAAGAGGGCATTCTTGGTCCCCTTAGATGGGATTCTGGTGCATTACTGATTAACATTTCAGTGAACAGATTTATAAAAAAAAAGCACACATTTTACATACCTTGTCTTAAATGGTCTTACACATATCAATTTGTTGACTCTTTCAACTATTCCAGCAACTGATGCTATCAATTTTTCCCCATCAACATATGTACCATGACCCCTACAGCAGAGAGAAATTACATCCCAGTTTCAAATGCAAAAAAAAAAAAGACTCAAGGGAGGTGAGTTGTACACAGGGTAAGTAAGCGAACCAAAAACCAAAGTAATCACATTGATAAATTAGAACAAATGGAAAAGAGCAATTTACAATTGAGTGTTGATTGCATTGGGTTTGTTCTACTTCACTCTCTGTTTGGTCCAGAATACTTGTGCCATTTGCTCAAATAATATAATGCAAAACTAACATCAGCTCTGTCTGAATCATAACTCATGTTTTACCAGCCATCAAGCTGTTTATTTCATTTTAATAGTTTGAGTTCTCATTGACTCCTCGTCATGTTTTCTTTTGTGTGACTGTCTGTTGTCATTCCTGTGATTTGGTTGCACAAAACTCAATTGTGAATTGCTCTTTCACACACACACACAAAAAGAATGTTAAACAAAGCAAACTGCCAGAAGTATGTGAAAACTTATGTGGCTAGGATGTGATAGGGTTTTCTTTTATACCAGATTGGTTAAGATGGTAGCATGTGATTTCTAGATTTGGTATTCATAGTTTGTGTTGGAAAGGTGTGATATTAGAGACAGATTTTTTAAGGTACATATGTTAGAATTGAATGAAGACATAGTATATTGTCCATAATAAAGGGAGGTTAATATTACATACTGAGGTATCCATTAGGAGAGGTTTGACTGTATTCTAAATGTGCCAATAAGCACTGAGCTCTGTTGTTCCCTGGAGTGGATCATGCTCCATCATGAGCATAGACATTGAGGTGACAGTCACACTTTTCTCTTCCTCACTCTTTACTGTTCTATCCTTATTCAAAATACTGCTGTGACACCTCACCATAAACAACCCAAAAAGTGTTGAGGAGCAACTTAAGAATATGGAACTACCGATGACCATCTTTTCCGCAGTCTTTGAAGAATACGATGTAAATTAGTGGACCAGTGTTATAGAGTTTTAACTATTGTTTACCCATCTACATTTTCACCCACATGATGAGTCGCTCTCACGCCTTTCCACTTTGCTACCTTAATCGGTACAGCCCACCCACCCCCTCCCCATAGTTATTCCCTGTTACTTGTGATCCACAGCAATGGAAAGTAACATTGAAAGAGGAGGAAACTATCGTAACAATAGTTGTGTTCTGCAACGCACTAAGTGCGCTATCCAAACACACTTTGTCGACTATTTTTGAGAATAATTTTTTGACATCTTTTCTTCATACGCCCTTATACTCCATCTATCGTTTTGACAGCCTGTGCTCATTGTGCATTCTTTACATCACAGACCAAAAAGATAATTTTTCAAACTAACCTCATGTATCCTGTGTCTTCAGTTATGACATCTCCCGGTGATACAATGTGCCTTGGTTCAAGTCCAGCTAAAGCTGAGATTCTTTTCCTTTTCTTGGGCAATCTTGCATCCACGGACATTTCCGCTATTCCTTTTGAGACCTCCGATGCTTTCAAACCTCAAACACGTGAAATCTGTTCGCCATTTTGAAACGGGAGGAGACTGGAAAAGAAAAATTAGGTAGCTGGTTAAGCGGTGTGTGGTATAACAATCATAATTTCTACCACGCAAATTAAAGCAGAGAATTCGCAAAATGCTTTAAATAAAATCAACTCACTGAACGCTAGTATGAAGTTGAACATTAGCTAGTTAAAAGAGAAAAGTTTTTTTTTTTAACCAAAATGAGAATCGAGTTACATTTGTGACACAAGGCCCAAAAGGCAAAAAAAACCTCCCGGTTACTAAGTTAAGTATCAACCAGATTAGGCAGTTCTTGTACATTATGAATTCAAATCAAAGGAAGGAGCAGTGTTTGAAGCAAATTCAAACGTTTGCTGTCTACATTATACCTTCATGATCACCTTAAGTGGGAATATCTCTTGAACCTTGTAGAATAAAAGTAAAAAATAGCAGGGTCAAGGAGTTTGTGCTTTTCTTCTTCCATGTTGCCAGTTACTTAGTAAATGAAAGGCCCACCATGTTGCCACTTGTTCATTCCAGCTTAAGCTCAAAATCAAAATACTGCAATGTAGCAGCCCTCTTTGCTCTCCTAGAGGAAAGTTGCTTTCCTTGAGTTCAGTAAATTTTGTCTGTTAAACCAATCAATGTTGATCAACAAGACCATACAATCACTTAAAACTATGCTGAATAATCAATTACAAGTTTTGTAGCAATTATACCAATGTTGCAGACTTGTCAGGTGAACATTGGCATTCATTTATTTCAGGTGGGCTTTATTATTTATAAGTGTTGCCATCTTTATGACTAGTTATAATGTTTTCTCTTCACAATGGAACAGGTGACTGTAAGTTTAATACCCACATATTGGGAATCTGTGTTCATTTACCATGCAAACAGGGTCCTAACTAGGTAAAACAAAATACATTTGCAACAGCAAAGAAAAGCAGTTGCACCCACTGGTCCCTTGCAATACAGAAAATCTAAGCACAAAAGTCTTTTCCTGAAAACATAAGGCAAACCACCCCTTCCCTAGAAAAATACTGTTTCTGTTTTAAAAAAAATGATTTAATTTCCACAAGTTCAGTATTTTGATTTTATCTCTAACAGCAGGAATATAATCATGGCTATTTAAACATAGTATGGCTAAAGAGTTTCATATGGCAGAGCAAGTAGAAAAGAAGAAATTCCCCTACCATTTTGGGTTCTAATACATGAAAATTAGCTTACAGTAATAAATTGAAATAAGAACTTGAGTTTGGTGAAACTGAAACCATGGAAACTATTTACAGTAACAACATATGAAAATCAGGTGAAGCACACCAAATAAACCTAATTACCTAATTATTGCAAAGACACAAGACCTTAGTGGACCTAGTTATCATTCAATTTTCAGGTCTGAGCAAGTTGATAAAATGATTGCTTTGAGGAAACAAGAACAATGACTCATTTCTGGCAACTATATGTTATAAAAAGATTCCAATCAAACAACAATTTGTGCCCACTGTCTTTGGTTTCTTTGCAAATAGATTTTAAGTTGAATTAAGATTTCATCTTGTTGGGACTGGGACAATCTTGAATAGTAAGAAAAAAGATTCTTTTTTTCCTCAGAATCTTACCCACATTTTCTATACTGACTAGCTTCTTCCACTCACTATTTTACTGAAAAAAGACTTAACTTAATAAAACTGTCACAAGTTAATAATATCATTTCTTGCTTGACCCAAAGCCTGCAAAACCCATGGTGGCTGCCAGATTAGGATCAATTTCTCCATCATCCACTGTTCCTGTCCTTTGTTTCTTCTCTCTGCGGGCAACCTTTCTCTGTTGTTTCCTAAGTTCTTCCTGAAAAAAAAATTCTTCAAATTTGATACCATAGAAAGCAGTGGTAACTATATTAGGGACAAAGAAAAATCTGCAACCTTGACCAGGATTCATCTTCACACCTCCTCATTTCACAAATGGGGGCATCATTTAAGGCTGTTTTTAACTATTGATGGAGTTGGAGCCATAGGTGGAATCATAAGAGGACCTCCAACCAAGTGAAAATAAGTTGTGAGAAGAAAATGAGTCGTAAGAAGAATCATAAGCTAAGCTCAATGGAATCAGAGCCAAAGGAACCAGTACTGTTTCATTTTTCTTCAAATTCCACCCATGACTCACATGCCTAGGTTCCAGTGAAGACTAGATTGTTGGAGTCGTAAGCAGAGGTGGAAGAAACAATCAATCACAACACCATTTCTTTGGCCATTCGATGGTTTAAGACTTCAACAATCCAGTTTTCACTGAATGGTAGGTGACTACACTATAAGTAGCATCACAATTTATCTTCTGACGCTGTCAGCTTGACTTTCATTAAATCATTTCCCTCTGCACTTCTGAAAAAAACTCCAACTCTGACTTCATTATAGGAGAAAACCAGCCTTAATTGAGCCACAGAGAACACTATTTTGAGTTAAGCCAGATACAAGGTACATACACATGTACACATGTGTGAGGCAACCTGCATTTAGAGGAAATAAGCACTGTCACAAGTATCTTGTCTTGTAGATTGTACAATGTTAAGTAACTTTGAAAAAAAGAGATAGATGAGACAATAAACAAAAGACACAATATGGGACCATCCTAACAGTAGATTCAGAATTTTTTCTATCACCCACCTTAATATCAATGCAAATGATAATTCTTTGCCATAGAGATTGAAAGATCTTTTACTTTATCTCTACACAAGATCCTTTCAAAATTACTTACCTAACACCTAAACTGGGACAGGCTGGGTTTTAATTATAAAATTTTCACGTGTGATGACTCATATTTTTTTTAATCTTCCCTTTCTCCTGTTCCTTGTTTAATTATTATATTCCTTGAGATCTTAGCGACAATTTCAGGAGAACTAGGATTGATTTTACTTTAATTTACCTCTTCACGCAAAACAGCCATCCTCTCTTCCAAATCATATTCTTTATCTTTCTTCTGCTTTTCTTCTTCTCTTTTCCTTTTGTTCACCTCGAACCGTCGCTTCACTTGGTCCAGAGAAGACCTCTCCACTTTCATAGACATACCCAAATTTCGCTGATGTTTTTTTCCATTAATATGATCCAAAAAGTTCACTGAATCTTTTACTACACAGTCACACACGTTACAGTAATACCCTCCAGTATGGGAGAGTGGTGTCGTTTTGGTTATAACCACTGATTTCCCGAGGTTTGCTTCGAGGTCGACATCATATTCTCTTCTCTTCAATAGCTCTCTTTTCACTGGAACGGATGGTCTCTCCTTTGAACTCAATTCATCTTCGTCGTCCTCTAATTCTTGTTCTCGCTCTTTAGCTTTCTTTTCGTACTCATCTCTGTCCCATGTTCTTCTGAAATTATCATTTTTCCCAGCCGCATTTGCCATCGTGGAAACAAATATGGCTGATACAACTTCAAACAACGTTTTGACAAGGCGTTCTACGAAAAGTACCTCAGTAAGAAAAAGCCCATAACTTGAAGGGACCCAGGTATGGTTCCCTCTCGATACCTAGGTAACATTGTTCTCCATATTTGGAAGTGTAGCGCAGTCCACGCAGGGTGTGACGTTGTGAGACCAAGATCCTCGTGCGACTTACGTGAAACGCGCCATCTTTGTTCTTGGTAAGCAACGGTCTGAATCGTCTCGTCTACTTCTAGCCTTCTGGGAAGGAGAGAAGCAGTCTTCCACCGACATAACATGTCTTACGATTTATAGCTTTTAAAATCGTTTGATGGTTTTTACAGGACGAAGGGCTATTTTAAAGGTGAGTATGTCGTTTTGTACCCTTTCGTATTCCTCTTCGGTGTTTAGGTTCGTGCGTGATTGATCGGTCGACTAAGTGCACGGGATTTCCCTCTCATTTTGCCATGCAGTTTATATGAAAAACTCTTCGTTCAGCGAATTTTCTCCAAGGAAGATTTCGGCTAAAGTCTGAGAAGATCGCCGCAAAGCTTTCTAATCTACCACGACAGGTATTGAAAGCACGAAACGTGTTATCAAACGTGTCAAGAAGCTTCTCTATGGCGATGTTTTTGTTGACTTAGGCGGAATATGCCGATGTTTTTGGATTATATCTCGAGCGTGCATCGTAGAATATTGAGAATTGTTCCCTAAATGACAGCAAAAAATATTTTCCCATCTTCGAAACGATGAAAAGCGTACGTTTCGCAAACTCAACAGGTACCATGGAGTGCGGCTTGCCTTCTGTATGGTTCACTCTCCAGTCGTGGCATCCCAAGTTTTCTTCAGTTGCGGTCACGCTTATAATAAATCATTGTTTGATGGCAGTCTTTTTACGTTTCTTTGTTTTGACTGAAGTCTTAGAGGTTTTTATGGGTTCTTTTTTTTTTTTTTTTTTTTTTTTTTTTAGCTTTTACTTAGTAAAACCAGTGGAAATACATCGTGAGGATAAGGTTTCGTGAGAAGTGGCTGTTGTGTATTGGGCAATATGCGCCTTACTCAAGAAACATAATTTGTATCTGACCAAAGCGTAGCAAATATCTGAAACCCTTTTTCCTCTTCTACAGGAACGTCAATGGCTGGCCCAAGGCGTATCTTGGATATAAATCGCGCGACGACGGAGGAATTGGAGGGTTTAAATGGAGTCGGAAGAACAATAGCAAAAAGCATCGTGGATGTCCGAACTGCTCTAGGCGGGTTTTCAAGCATCGAAAACTTGCTTGTCATTCCGGGTATAGGACATTGTTTTATAGATCTACACAAAGATGCCCTTTGTTGTTCTCCCCTGCCCAATCTTAACAGGAGAGAGACAAGAGGCTCTGCCAAAGCTAAGACTGGTAGGCAGTCATTAAACAGGAGATCTTCTCCAACTGCAGCTAACAAAGGACATGGAACACCCAAGGGAAAAAGTGAATCAATAAAACGAAAACTCTCAAGCAGTAGTCATGATCTAGAAAATGAGGAGAGTGAGAAATCATCACCAGAGAAAAAGTTCTGTTCTCCTGCCCAAAAGAGGCTGTTAAAGCTTCTGCCTCATAGAAACTATGGTACCATCAAGACAGCCACACCTGTGATGAGTCCAGTTGACAGCCGTAGTCGGCACATGTCATTTTGCAGCCATCCTCCAGCAGGTCTAGAAGAATGGTTGCAAACATTTCTGCAGTGGACAGCTGAGGAAAGGAAATATGCTCTTGATGAGATCATTGAAAATTGTGAGCCAACAGTTGTTAGACACATTATGGGTACCATTGAACCAAGATTTCAACGGGACTTCATCTCTCTTTTGCCAAGAGAACTTGCATTATATGTTCTGTCATTTTTAGAACCCAGTGACTTGTTACAAGCTGCTCAGACCTGCAAGTGCTGGCAAACACTTTGCGATGACAACCTGTAAGTACAGTGCAAAAGAGAACTTCTTTTGTGATGTGATGTATTTTCAATTACTAGTATAATTAGTTGAAATATCAAAAAGTATTATGGGTGTTAAGAGGAATTATTACAGATATTTTTGAAAAACTTGCATTGAATAAGTGGCTAAGATGTTGGAGAGTGCCACATGAAAGGGTATGCTCTTCAAAAACTTTCTCTGGGAAACTTGCAAGGAATATCTATAATGAAGTCACACATCAAGTCAAAGTTAATGTTTAAGTTGACAAAAAATTCAAGCTGACTGTGATTAAACAGCAGTGATCATCCTCTTCAACTGATAAGGCACGTCTGTGCCTTGCCCTTGTTTTTTCTTTCATGACCAAGTGTGACATATTTTCATTTTATTGATAAATTTGTGTCATCAATGTTTCCTAAGACTTTACATTGAGACTTGACCCAGAAAAATTTAAGAATGGATGATGTTATTCATTTGATTAAGGTCACTTGGACACACACTGTACCTCCAACTGAAAGTTGTCAGATTTGAAACAAAATTTTCTGTTGCACAAAACTTCAGGGCATATCTACAGTACACCAACATTAATATTCACCAGGCAAAAGAATGGTCCAAAATAGGAAAAGCACCACTTTTGTCAGCAAATTAATTTCTCATTTTCCATCAATAATTTGGATTGCATTTGGGAATGGTAGTATTGTTCCCTCAGAGGATCTTTTCATTGCATTGAAGGCTTAAAAGACCATCACCTTCAATAAACTTGCTTTCCATTTGGAGCTCCTAAAAGTGTATCTCAGTCAGAATGGAAGAGAAAAAACTTAAAATCTCCAAACGCCCTGCCAAACTGGTCATTAAGTTTGCAGTAAAATGTGGAGGAAAATTTTCCATCTCAAAGTATTGGTTAGCTGACCTCACAAGCTTGCATAATTGGATTATGAAGCACACTTGCACTTTTTAAATTTGGGTACCTGAATTTCTGTGACAACATGCATTAGAATTTACAGCCTGATGTGATACCCTGTCTTTTTTTATAGGCTATGGAAGCAGAAATGTAAGCAAGCTAATATTGAAGAAGAACCAGTAACTCCTGTGAAAAATGGTAGGCGTAGATCCAATAATGCACAACAGATAAACCAAAATACTAAAGCTGCAAACAGCCCTTTCAAGAAACTTTACATGACAAAGCAGCGCGTGTATTGGAACTGGAGAATGGGCCCATTGCGTCCATCCAAAGTCCTTAAAGGACATGATGACCATGTCATCACCTGTCTTCAGTTTTGCGGCAGCAAAATTGTTAGTGGTTCTGATGACGGAACTCTTAAAGTGTGGTCTGCAATATCTGGAAAGTGTCTACGCACTCTTGTAGGTCACACTGGGGGTGTTTGGTCATCTCAGCTGAGTGGCAACATCATTGTCAGCGGCTCTACTGATCGCACACTGAAAGTCTGGAATGCAGACACTGGTTACTGCATGCACACACTGTATGGACACTCATCTACCGTTCGTTGTATGGACATGCATGACAGCACTGTTGTTAGTGGTTCAAGGGATGGTACTTTAAGAGTGTGGGACACTTCTTCTGGAAACTGCCTTCATGTGTTGGTTGGGCACCTTGCTGCAGTGAGATGGTGAGTGAAACTATCTGTATACAGACATGTGGAACAACATGTGTCTACTGATAATGTTTTTCTAGTGAAGTGTCAACAATGAGAGTTGGATAGAAGAAGGATTCTTGCCGTTTCTTGCTTGAAATGTTTTTCTATGCACAGCTGGTGCAGAGTATGCAGTGATTCCTCTAACTCCCACATCAGAATTTAATCAGTAAACTTAACAGAAATATACATGTACAATTCAAACAATCCACCCGCAGGACCTTGACTTGTTGGGCACACCAGATTTTATACAGAACCCAAGTCCAATGAAAATTAACTGACTATGTTAGTTAAAATGCTCACAATTTACCCAAAATAGTTTACAATTTGGGATGCCATAGTTCTACCAAATTTAAGATATACTGGTTGCAAATTGAGATTCTCTGGGATTCTTTTTTTCATACTGTAGTTCAAAACCTAAACTTAAATATACATGTACATGTACCTTTCAAACTGTACCTTTTGAACTTCATTTGGATTGAATTAATTTTCTGCCTGTTTCAGACCCTTGCTTTTGTTTTGAAACATTTCCGTTGCAGAGGTCAATGTTCTGAGTAGTTGTCATCTTCAAATTCTAATTTTAATCCGTATTGAATGAGCAAGATATTTGGTGGTTATGAAGGCATACAAGTAAATTTAAACTTAACATTTACCTATTATAATTCATATACTATTCTTTTTAATAGTGTGAAGTATGATGGCAGACGTGTGGTCAGTGGAGCATATGATTTTTTGGTAAAAGTTTGGGACCCTGAAACAGAGCAGTGTATACACACTTTGCAAGGACACACCAACAGGGTGTATTCTCTACAGTTTGATGGTGTTTACATTGTGAGCGGCTCATTAGATACTTCAATACGAGTATGGCATGTAGAGACTGGACAATGCCTGCATACCTTGATCGGTCACCAGTCTTTAACAAGTGGCATGGAGTTAAAAAACAACACATTAGTCTCAGGAAATGCTGATTCTACAGTTAAAATCTGGGATATTGCCTCTGGACAGTGCCTGCAGACCCTGGCAGGCCCAAATAAACACCAGAGTGCTGTTACTTGCCTTCAGTTTAACAGCCGTTTCGTTATCACCAGTTCTGATGACGGCACAGTTAAAATTTGGGACTTGCGGACAGGGGAGTATATCAGAGATCTAGTAAAGTTGGACAGTGGTGGCAGTGGTGGTGTTGTGTGGAGAGTGAAATGTGATGAAAAGAAGTTGGTTTGTGCTGTTGGAAGCAGAAATGGAACTGAAGAAACAAAACTTCTGGTCTTGGACTTTGATGTTCATGAGTAATTGCTTGATTTTTGCACTGCTTACTGCTTAATTGCTCTAGCAGACAGTGCAATAGTCATTTTTTTTGTAAATTTTTTGTTTTCATTTTGAAAGGACTCTCTTTAGTTTCTGGAACGTGTAGGCATCATTGTTCTCATCTCATTCATTAATCTCACAGTGTTACATAATTGTGTTATTTTGTCATTGGTGTTGTGGCTGCAAGCAACATATTTTGCCTTTTGTACAAAATTTGTGAGTTGAGTTAAGTTGGACAGCACTTTGTAAAAAGTAATTCATTAAAGCTGTATTTGCCTTTTGGATAATGCAAGGCCAAAAAATATATTAGTCCTATTGCAAAACTAATTTTACAAACAATATTTCCAGGTTTGGTTCATTTAGGCCAAATGCCTCTTATTGTGCTGACACATGGCTTGTTGCATTGAATTAAAAGGGTGAGAGCTTATGAACAGGATTTCATGACCACTAATGCCTGCGGGTCAGGCATTGTAAAAATTCAGTAGAACAGAATTTGACCTTTTAGTCATCAATGGCTATACAAAGAAAATTATGCACCTCAAGGAGTTGTCAAAGTAAATATATATATTTTTCCACTACCATTGTAATTAGATAATGGGTCAGGATCACTTGTGTCCAAAAAATTTTGATGACACTTCTTTCTTATAACATGATATTATTCCATTGACATACTTGAAAGTTGTTTAAGTTTATCTTTGTATCAGGGGCCAGTGATATCTTTGGATGGTTGCCTCTGTCCTTTGACGCTTTCAAGGATCATTACTTTAAGTAAAAGGTAATACCAATGATTGTATAAAGTGAACTAAGTTAAAGGTTGGGTGAAATGATGAAGACTGAAAAGCAATAAAGCTTATTTTTGTAACACTGTTCCATGCGCTAAAGTTGTAACTGGGATGGTCAAAAGATCCAGAGTTGTAGTTAAATGATGAAAAGAGGCCACTGCTCAGAGAGTTTCCCTTAGCTATTCTTCTTCCTGTTTAAAAGATAAGCATTTCCAAGGTGCATAAGCAAAGAGGCTAGTAATTATGTCTCAAAGGTGGTGAATAATAGGACCTAGCACTTGCCAAAAGAGCCCCTCATCAAACCCAGAGACTGCTAGCATAGTTCAAAGCACAGAAAGGCAATGGTAGACTTGCCACAACAACTGTTCCATTTCAGGCTAAAAAAAAATTTGTGGTCCCAAAGGCGCAGCACCACTTATCCTTGTTGACCACCACCCATGGCCTAAAAGAACTAAATATGAAAGCTCACAATTACATTATTTCAAATTGGAAGTTGGAAAGAAATCCACCAATGTTATGCATGGTGACATGGTTAATCAAATCCACAATTGGAAATATTCCAAGTTGAAAAGATAAATTGGCAGATAAAGTGATGCAAATTTTAGTGAATCTTACTGACTAAATTTACAAAGACCTAAACTTCATTGAGCAACAATTCAAACACAATATATATATATATATATATATATATATATATATATATATATATATATATATATATAGATACATATATGGTATATATCTATATATACGGTATATATATAGATATCTCATATAAGTGTAGTTCAGAATATAAATTTGCTAATTTCAGTCTACTGTACATTTAACTCATTCCCTGAAACATTTTTTTCTTGTTCTGCCCACTATCATCAGATATTGTAAAGAAAATCATGCTGTGAGCTTTTCCAGACTAAATCACCCCTGTCACCAATGGTATTTAAACTTGCATTTAGTGCAACTTGATCAGTAATCATACGTATGACTTCAAAAATCAAACAACAGTGGCCATTTTATTACATCTATTTTGAAATAGCTCAATTTCCTTGTATAAATACAGGATTTGGTCCTAACCAGAAACTAACATTCTCACTTGCTGGGAAAAAGATGTGATTTGGAGCAAAAAATATATGACTAAGTTATTCATAAATCACATTGAGAATTAATCAGATAACAAGGATCACCAGTGATTTCAGAGCTAATCATAACCATTACAAATTCCTCAAATATTATTGGTGCATCTGTAGCTTCATTTTTCACCAATCATTCTGTACAGTTGTAAAAGGAAAGTGTTATTGGACAGTTGGCTGTAATCTGACATTTGAAGTAGCCAATCTTACTAAGTCCACTCAGCTAATCCACAAATCACAAAAATGATCATAATGACCATAGTAACAACCACTTGTCCAAAGAAAACCTAAGGAATTTCCAAAATGGAGGAATTTTAAACAAAAGACATTGTCTCCACTGGAGATATTTGTTCTAGGTGTGTTTGTTTTTTTCTGAAATTGAAATGGAGAACTTCTTCTTGTCCAATTCTGTCTGTAATCATACTTGTGATTAACAAATCAGACTTCTGCTTCACGCTCGTTCGATTTTGTTAATTGACTTCACTTGGTCCTATTACCATTATAAATCCAATAGAGATGTTGATTATTATCCAATTGTGTGATACAGAACTCAGTCACACAAAGATTGACCACTCTGCCTAGTTCCCTAGTAGAGAAATGGAAATATCTTGTAACGATTTTGGGGATACTCCTTGAATTTGTTTTTATACCAATTATGAGTCACTGTAGCTCCAAGTGAAAGGTTCTGCACAGTAAATAGCAAAATCATTCCAACATAAACATTGTGACCTTTTTGTATCAGGAAGAAAGCAAAGTAGATTATGATTTCTGCCAGGTAGTGAGGACTGGAGACATGATCAAACCAGTCACCATGAGGAATTTTGTACACTTTGACTGTTTTCCCACATGCAGAGCGTCGTAACTTTGCCAGTATGACATGACAGTTCCACTGATGCCAGCTTGCCCAAAGAAATACAACTATTCCCAGCCACTGGATACCACTGAAATTTTGCAAACCTGACAGCAGTTCTCTGCACAAGCTACACCAATCTTGAAAAATAAACCACAGAATTAAACAGAATCAGAAAGTGTTCTCCTTAATGCATACTTAAAGAAATTTCCATTTTTTGCCTGGGAAAACATGAAATTGAGGCAGTTATTTGGAGAGAGACAATTACTATTTATTCTCATTTTTTGGCAAAGATGATTGTACCAGATGTCCTTCCTGACCTGGCTGCAGATTTGAAAAAAAAAGACAAAATATCTGCACACAAGCTGGATAGTGCATTGAATATTACTGCAAATGTCACTGAAATGGTCAAGTTTCGTATGGGTAGTATAACTTGTTTGGTTATCAAATTTGTTAAGGCCTTAAATAAATTACAGATTTTAAATGCTTTTAAATGTTCACTTTGCAAAAAATGTCTTAAAATTTGGTTTATCCAGGCCAGTTCCCTAACAAATATTTCATAGAAATAAAGTTGTACAAATTTACCTTTGTCCATTATCTTTTCCCCAAGAAGTGGTGAAGCAAGTGCAATTGCATCCAAAACATAATAAAATAATCCCACCAAATAGTGTGACAAGTGAATCTTGCCTGTAAATACACTGATAAATAAACATTCAAACAGTCTGCGACAACACTGCACCAAAAGAAGAAGAAGGGATACCAAAACAGTAAAGCAATTAACACATGGAGTGTAATGTAAGTCCAGTATTTGAGGAAAATACTCTGTGATTGGACTCTTGATGTGGAAACAATGAATAATCAACATCCATAAAAGTGCACATGATAGAGAACTTCCAACAATGTAAAAATGAGTGAACCAGCTGAAAAACAAAAAAATTCAGCCCAAATAAGATTTCTTTTGACTGTATTGAAACTGGAAAATTTGAAATAATTTCATGTCAAATTGAAAAAAAAATTGATTATGTGCTTTCGACTATCGTGGTCTTTAAAAAATTGGGTTTGGTTTTCAAGGAAACCACATCATCATAGAAACACATTAAATTTGTCTTTTCATTTCCATATCAATAACAGATGAAGATATGTAACCAAAACACACCAGTCACACCAATTTTCTGTGTAAAACTTACCAATTCTTGACTTAATAGGAACTGGTGTGAAGTTTTTTTAGACATATTATTACTACAGGATTAGTAGAAGCCATGTCTGAAAATGGATGTCACATATGGAAAGCCTTTATCTGAAATAAGGTCAGGATTTAAAGAGCAAGATGGCACACCCACCGAGAACTCCAAGGAAATCCCCCCTCCCCCCTTCACCTTGAGCTCTCTGTTCCTTAACCAGCCCTACCCCCCATCTTAGAGTCCCAATTATCACGGCCACTTCCATCTGTGAAAACCTTTGCACCAGTAACCAAACTTCCACGATTCCAGCAGTTGACACATCCTCAGGTAAGGATCATCATTGATGACGTTGCCACAGTTACTATTTTTTAGAGTATCACGTGACTATCACATACCGACAATACCGGTGACCATCACCTGTTTGGGACGTGAAGAAATCTGTTCCAGCGACTCTGATCCCAATTTGACTTCGTCTTTCCCCATTCAAACAGATCAGACAACCAGAAAGGTATGTATCTTCTCATTATGTACAACAACGTCACCAAAAAACAACCCACATTTATAAAACTCAGACTCACGAGAAGAAGGTCCATCTTTCAAAGTACGACTGCAGTGAACTCAGCGGTAACGCAAAGCAATGTAATACGCAAGCGCAATCCACGTGTACACAAGAAAAAAGTGTATAAATTGCAGAATCGTGCTCACCAACTGTTATATTTCCAGCGCAGCTCCATTAGACAGGGCGACTCAATTTTATCAGGATGGTTTTGATGACAATGATAGGCCGTGTTATTGACGGCCTACCTCTCGCAGCCTCGATGCAAAGTGATCAAGACGTATGTAAACCAGAATTGTTCTTTAGTTATAAGCAGGCCTATAAACAGTTACTTTCACTATCTCCACCATCAGTCAATTAAGAGTAATTCCAAAATTCCGTCGAAAATCTTGGTTTGGACTTAAAGCTGGAGCCTGATCTCAGCCTGGTAGAGTAATTTAAACCTAACTATAAGCACCAATGCAAACCCACATACTAGTATGGCTTTACGTATTAGCATTTAAAAATATTCCTTTTTGGTTTTTACTTTTGTTTCATGAAATTTGAATGCTTCGTTTTGTTACATACTGAGCTACTAGGAGATTTTAGATTGATACCTTAACTGTACCAGTGTTTAGGTAGGCAGTGGACAAAGGAGAATCAAAGATTGGGATCTTTGGGACTATTGTTGGGGGGGGGAGGGGTGAAAGTATCATAATAAAGAGTTCTCAACTGACCAAAAATGGGTATCTAGGGTTGATAGTAATTGTATGTAGGACTGACTGTGGTAACTCTTGTGTTTATAGAACATGTAGATAGTGGTGCCGAGATTGAGCTTATCATTCTTAGAGGTGTTTCCAAATATAATACCAACCATTGTTTTGACATGATTGAAATTCTATATTCTATCAGAATACCACCAAGGATTACCAAGCGCAGGCTAAATTGTTGTTTAGAAAGCTCACAGATCACTCACCAGCAAGAAGTAGTATTGAAACTGGACCAATGATGTTTCAGTGAGTATTAAAAATGAAACATTTTCCTCCAATGTCAGTGGATACCATGTATCATTGATCAATCATCATCCATATCCACATCCACATCCACATCCACATCCACATCCCCATCATACCTGGACAATGGTGAAATTACATAGATGCATTTTCTCACATCTTAGAGCAGAAGATGACATGCCATTGTTCCAAAAAGTTAGAAGGACTTTGGTATTGATTAGGGCCAGTAGATTATGGAAGATTTAATATTAAGCAAAGCCAGGTATGCAATAATATTAAGTCCTTAGTACTCAAGGTAAAACAATTAAAGATTGGTTGTGTTTCTTTCATTTACAGTTACATTATAGAAAATGGGGTGTGTTTCTTGACACTAACCGAAAAGACTTTCTCAAAGAGGGCAGCTTTTAGTTTTCTTGAAGAACTATCTTCTGAGTTTCACAGGGAATTTGGTTCCAAAGTAGCCACAGCAACTAGACCCTACCTCTTCATTGAGTTTGGTAAGCTTCTTTATCCACAGTTTTTATCTTTGTGTTCAGAAATATTTTTTCCAAGCCTTCATTGTGGTGAAACCTTTTTTATGGTGTTGCCCACACCTCTCCCTCACTTTAACAGTGATGTATTTACCTATTGCTCACCAAAAAACCAACCAAAAGCCAACAAAAATAGAGTGGTGAAGTACACATGCTTCTCTGATTTCCAGGTATATCATGTTAATATGAGGAAAGTCATGTTCACTGAACCTAATTATGTTGATGTCATTTCAGATACATTTATTCAAAAGGCAAGGAAAAACTATCAAGATTCAAGAACAAGGAGAAATCTAAACAGATTAAATGATGAACTCCAAGATGTACAGCGAATCATGGTTCAAAATATTGATGACGTTCTTCAAAGAGGGGAACAACTTTCAGGTGAATGATCACCTTTCACATTTGTAGGCATTAAATATGTTAACCCTTTACACCCTAATATTAGTATGCATATTCTCCATACTGTTCTCCGTACATTTCCAAAAAGGCTGTGAAGAAAAATTTGTGTAACAATCAAGAGTTGCTCTAGTTGGTGATCATCTCCTCCACTCTCAGGACTTTTATGTTTGATTCAGGGGTGATATGGTAAGGAGAAATTAGATGTCAGTCACTCTTAGGGGCTAAAGGGTTAAATAATTTCATGATTTATCAAAAATTACCTTCTTTTTAGTATGTTGTCATTAAAATTATGTAGCACTGTACATATTAACCTGTGTTGCAGGAAGCATTCAACAGTTGATGGAGATCCATCATTACACTTTAGACAGTGACTGGCATTCAGTTTCTCCTTAAAATATCACCCCTGAATCAAACATTAAGGTCACAGGGATAGAGGAAACTATCACCATCTAAAGAAGCTCTTGATTGATAAGTATATTCTCTTGGTCAGCAACTTAGGAAATGTAAAGAGAACAGTATGGAGAATATGCATACTAATGTTAGGGTGAAAAGGGTTAAGCAGATCCCATATTTCATGGACATCCTGCTTCAAGTGGAGACTAGCTCAAGTCCCAAACTTTTTCCCTCTATCTGTTGTAATGTGGATTTGTATTCAGGTTCAGAAAACTTCACAGACAGCTTAAATATAAATACAAGTTTCATTGCTCCAAGACATTTTGATACTTTTGAAATTTTTACTGTGGTAGGAGTAGTTATCCTTTAGGTTAGTAATTATTCACTGTTTCATTTTGAGTTTGACGGGTAACTACTGAGGTGCAATGTAATAAACCCTTTAACTCCCATGAGTGACCAAGACAATACAATAGACCTTACAATGTAAATACAATATCAACAAGATAAGTGATGAGAATAAAGAAAAATATCAATTTGGGGATAATTAGTAGATCCAATGCTAAATTCTCTGAATTAACATGATTATAAGAATTGTATGGTTGACAGTTAGGAGAATTACAAATTTGATCTGGAAGTTAAAGGGTAAAACCTGTATTGAGCTGACTATAATGATAGTCACACAACTGTTGTCTTTCTACAGTTTCACTTGTGTTGAAATTTCTCCTCTCTAATTTGGTGAATTTCAGTTTTGGTTTACTTTGTTATTGATTGGCACCATATTCAAATGAAGTGTCCTCTTCTCTTTTCAGTGCTGGATGACAAGGCAGGAAATTTAAGGTTCCAGTCAGAAAAATACAAGAAAGATGCAACATACTTAAATCTTCGCTCTGCTTATGCCAAATATGCTGCTGTAGGAACAATTTTTGTTGTTCTGTTAATCTATGTTCGATTCTGGTGGTTTTGAGGAATCATAGACTTATTTCATGACAAATAGAATGTAAAAATAACTAATATAAAGTTCTATATTATAATTATTACCTGTGGAATTGTACCTGCTAACTGTTTCTATGAAATAGTAGTTAGCTTGGGTTAACATACAAAATTTAACAAATTGTTCTACCCCGTGAATTGTGACTCTCTTGTTTTTCATTTAACTATTTAAAACAAGCACTGGTAAATCATGTAGATTTTACTAATGATGATGTGATGCCCAGTTAATCTCAGTGTTATACTGTTCTCTTTCATTGTAATACCAAACTCTCTACATGGTAACCTTTTGTCCCTTCTAATGCAGATATCTTAGTGATTCTCCTTTCTGGCAATGTTACATTCTTCTTGCAAAGTAGTTAATAAAATTTTGTGTGATTAAGATAACACCCTCTAATTTGTGGGTCTTTTATCCTCATTACCTCAGTGCTAGATGATGCTTTGATTTGTAACCAAAAGTTATATGCAAATAATTTGATGGATTTATTAGGTGGAACCTTGGACTAACAGCACCCTTTGTCATTCTCTTTTAAGATAAGAAATTATACTACTCTCTCCTAGCATAATGTGCAGTTGTACATCACTGTGACCTGTGTGAACACTGTTAAATAATTTTTAGTTGAAATTGATTTCACTGATCAACCAGCTTTTCTTCACCAGTTATAATCTCTATTATTCTTTTATGTTCTATTACAAAGTTTTTATTATTTATAATGGTAAGAGAACTGAGTGGGGTCCAATCCAGTCTGTAATCATACAAGTGATTAGCAAAATCAGAGTCTGATCATGAGAATGATAACAGACAGAATTGTACAACATAAACAAGTCCTGTTACCATTAATCAAAATTATGACAACATCTGAGAAAGAAACTAGATGTTGGTTATTTGTTTTCATACAATAAAACTCGGCAAAACGCATGATGCGCATATTGTCTACCAACACAGGTATGACATGTCAACTGCTCTATTATAATGCCCAATTACAAGCATGACCCATACAATGTCCTATCAGTGCCCAAATAGGGCGTAATTACCAATCACATTTGAGAATTTTATTATAGTTTTGATTAGTCATGTAGTTGTCTTGTAATTGTCTTACCAATATGAATTAAGCCATACAGGAAGAACAAACCAAATGTGGAAGAAAGTAGCCCACAGAAAAATTCCTTCTCAGTCTGAGGTGTCTTTCTCAATCTACAGACCTCCAGGCATCATTCCTTGTATGTATCCTCAGTTGTCCCTGTTTGTGCAAGTGGCTCTGATTGCTACACTGGCACTTTTTACATTCTAAGTCCAGACCATGTGGTAAACTAATAATTGATATTCATATCATTATAAAAATGAAAGGAAGGCCTAGAAAACTGCATTTGTGCAAACATTCCCAAATTATTTTGAGCTACATCATAGATAAAACCTGTAGCATTTGTTGAAATGTCACTCTAATAAACTGATGTTTGCTGCTCACTCAGCTCCACTTTAGAGGCAGAGCATGGGCTTGGAAGCTGTGTGAAAAATTGCAATGAACTCTTCTATGTGGTTCACGGTTTAGGAAAATTTACTTTAATATACACTTAAAATTGTGACAGTCTGGCAATACAATTTGGGGGAATGCTGACTCATCCTCAGTTGTCTTAACTGACATACAACAGAGAAACAATGTTTGACTTACTACCTTTTGCCATTGCTACATGTCATACAAGATGTCTAGAAATGATTTTGGGCCAACAGATTATCTCTGTTATAAAGGAGAGAGAAAACTTCAGATAGAGGAAGTTATAAAAATACTATTCAGGTTTTTGTTTCATAAAAATGACTCTTTCTAGTGCTGTATCATCATTGGAACTGTTTTGCAAATCTACACTATTAAGAGAAAACTACATTGTTATGTTTTTATTAATTAGAATGTACATAGGAATTGATTTATTAAATTGTTGACTGTTGCAGTAAATTCAACCACAGTAATCTTGATTAATGCTTTATTTTTGTTAAAACTCAATTTCTTGTCACCCTGAAGCTTAAACAAGTTAACAAAAGAAAAAGAGAAATTCCCTTGATGCTTGAAGTTGTCTATTGTAATATTTCATCAAAGAGAGAGAAATTAACTTAATATCACAATTTAAATTTAATTACTATCCAAAGAAACTCAACTTCAAAGAGCTTAAATTATATTAAGATGTTACACTGACACAAGAATCAACCTAGTATCCACTAAGGTCATGTTCTATCGGGATCAACCATACAAAGCTGATTGGGTTCATTTTGTTCAGATTGCAACAGGGAAAATCACCCTCATTTGAATATTTCAAACCCATATCACACCAGGTTGAAATGGTTGAAGAAGCACAAGGGGCCACTATTACTGTTCTTGACAACAATAATTTATTAACAGGCAGGTGTAGTCTCCTGCTGCTAGTGATGCTCTCTGTAAACAAAAAGAAATGCTCAGGGGTGCCCACTGCTTATCTCCCAAGTCTCTCAATAGATAAACTAACTATGGTATCTTCTCAATGCTTGTCTAGCAGCTCAATTCTTCCATTTGGAAATTTGAACTGCTTCAACCTATGCCAGTAGAAGTTGAAATAGTTGATCCCAATAGCACATTAACCAAGTTGCAAAGTCAATTTCTTGTAGGAATGCTCTTTTAAATTACAAGGAGTAAAACACCAAACACGTAAATAGTAATTTGAATGTGAGTAAAGTATAACAATTCTTCTTAGTTCAACTTTTTTCCCTTTCCTGATTTCAGTCTTGCTTGCCTCTTTTTCCTTTGGCTCTCTAAATCTCTCCATGCTCCAATGATAAATTTGCTAAAATGAAAAGCAAACTGCTAGTAAACTTTCAAGTTAGATTTTTAGTGAGGAGGCATATAGTAACATCAAATCACATTGTTTTCATACAAGAATTTTTTTCTTACAGAGTGCCCTTAAGATTCTCCTTGCAGGCTAACTTTAACTTGGTTTCAACACTTGTTGACCAGCTACTGTGGTAAAATTTGATTTTTGGTAAAACTTACTAATAACAGAGATATAAGCAAAAAAGTGTTTTAGCCTACACCACAGTGTCAATAAGACAACACGAAGAGCTTTCATTTGGACAATAAGAACATGACCCTTTTTAACAGCAGAGTGGCCCTTACTGAAATCTGGTTAGTACACAAAAGTGTCCAGATTGCAATTAGCTACTTAACAATATCATAAAGCTTATTAACTTTTCAAAGGGAAAACAACACTGTTGTATACTTCTCATGCATCTGACTCAGAAATACTGCTTCAAGTTGGGCATGAATCTGGAACAATTTACAGGTAAATTCAAACAAATTAAGTTAACCCAAGCATAGAAAGGTGTTGGCATGTATATATGGTGCATACTTCAATGTTGACAGCTCACTGATCAATCCCTTGATCATTCCTCTGTCAGATGGAAGCTCCACATCACCTTCAGCTCTGTCACCTCCTACATCACTATATACATTACTGACCAAAATAATGAAAACAAATATGTTAACAAGTACACAATACATCAAATGCAAGGAAAATCATTTCACAAAAAGGGAGTTCATTATGGTCAAGGACTTTAAATTGCTTTGTATCTGAATTCTCTCGTCTTTTTGTTGTGTTTAGTTTCTGATCAAGTCTGATAATTTAGTATCCTTAATCTCACCCATTCCTGCCCTAAATCTTGATCGGAATTATGCCCTAGGTGGAAAGGTGGGTAAATCTCCCAAGTAAGAAACTAAGAAATAACTGCAAATAGCATCTTAAGTGACTACACTTTGACCAATTACCTGGGATCATGTTTCAAAGGCCTTAAGGGTGGCTGCTCCTCATCAAAGTATTCATCAACATGAACCAGCTGAGAGTCTGTACATTCCATTACACTACCAAATTCCAAAAGGTTAGCATCAGAACTAGAAAAGGCGAACCCTCCTTCCAGCTTCCTTGTTGGGCTCTCTATACTTTTGCTCTGCACCATGTCACAAGATTCTTCTCTTTCAGTTTCTAGTATCAACTCTTCATGCTCAACTTCAGCAGTCGACTGGGCACTAGTCACAGTCAGGTCTTCTATTAAATTTTCCTCCATAGCAAGTTCTGATGCCTGAGCAGTGCAACGGGACTGAGAGGACTCCAGATTGAAACCATTTCCAGGCTTGGTGGGCTCTTTTTGGACTACTGTTACATGTTCAATGTTTTTGTCAACAACCACAGTTATCTTCTTCATCTTAGAAATTCTTGTAGATTCTGTTACTTCAGGAATTTCATTCTAAATGGGAGACAGTGAATGCTATACATAATAAATTACAAGTTAAAAAGGAGCTTTGCCTACTGAGAGTAGTTGTGGCTTTTCAAAGCCACACAACCTCTAAAATGAGGAAATTGGAGTACCCTGTTCAACAAGTTTGCATATTCCAATGACAACTGCTGAGTTGTGATTTTGACTTTGTGATGAAGGGCAGAAAAATGGTGGGTGTTATATTCTACTTGAAAGGAACAATGAAGAACAAGAGGTAAAAAACTTACTGATATCACAGTGCTGTTTTTGTAATAATTTGGAACCATCTGGTCAAGACCTTGCTCATTAATGGGCTGCAACGAATCATTAGCTCCACTCACATCAGAACAATTTTCACAGGATACCTTGTCCACAACCATCTGTTTTTCCACATTTACCTTTTGCTCTCTTGCTGAGTTTATATTTGCATTGGATGTTGGGGATTGTCCTACTCCCAAATTAAATTGAACACAGTCTTTTAAAGACTGTGCAGAGATGAGCTGGGTATCCATTGATGGTACCAATGTATTTACAGCTTGGATACCTTCACTTCCTGATGAGCTTTCTTGTCCAAACAAAACTTCTTTCTGAACTTCTGGCCTGCTGACTGTTGAGCCATTTACTCCTTGATATTTTAGTTTATCTGCAACTTCTTGGGCATATACACTTTTACTGCTGACTACACCATAATAATGACATTTTTTACGATCAGATTCCTCCCACTGTTCCATCCTGAGTTCATTTTCCAACATAAGACGAAAATTTTGTAAGGCTGGTACACCAACATCTACCACATTCTCATGGCACTTTTCAATAGCATGTTTTGAAGCAACTGGCTTGACTGGAACTGCACCAACCTTGTCCTTATGCATACAAATTGTTGCTGGTGTTTCTCCCTCTCCTATCATTGTAGTTTTTATAGCTGAACAACAATGCTCTTGCCCTTCCATTACTGTTGTTGCTGCTGCCACAGCTTCATTAACATCTGCAAGTAGTGTCTGAGAACCAGCCTTAACCATCTGCTCCTCCAAGGCTTCATCATTACACTGGTTTCCATGTCTAATAACGGTTTCTAGGAGGTTATCTATGACCTGCATAACAATGGCTGAAACATCTTCCTGGATGGTACTTGAAGGACAAGATAAAAGGGTTCCATTTGACATTAGTGAATTTTTGCCTTTTACATCAGCAGCTACTGTCCAACTCGTACTAGCAAGAGGTAAGTCTTTCTTTTCATGACCCAACATCACCACTCTTTCCATTCCTTCAACATGTACCTGCATTTCTTCCTCCGACTCTTTTTCTTTTTTTCTCTGCTGGGAAAATAATCCCAGTCAGTGTAACATCCAGTTTAAAGTATAGGCCTCTTAGTCTTAAGATCGAGGTTGATTAAGTGAGGAAAGTGTTCCAAAAACCATACAATTTTATTCCAATATTCAAAACGTATAAATGAACATTTTACACATAACCGATAGAGAGGCCGTAGAATGCGTCAAAATCATTTCAAAAACTTTTCATGTTATTGAATGACAATTTAAGAAAAAAATTCGGTCACCAGGTATTCGAGGATTTCACTGAAAAAAAACTCAGATCAACAGCTGAAATATAATTGGGTTTCCTGTGTTTTTTAAACGTAATCAGATAATAAATAAAATATTGGACTTTGAAAGATCATACCCACGTGGCCAAGAGCGGGAAAAAAATGATAATAGAACTGGTAACTGACGCTTTACTATTGGAAACACACCTTAGGCGAGTCGTTAGTTAAAGACTCCTCTACGCGAGTCTTCTGACTCCGTGGGCTTCGTTGAGTATCAATAAAATTCCGTTCTCTATCCTTCCAAGGCTGTTTAGTTCGCTCTGAACCCACACCAGGAAAAATAGAGCTTCCATCTGTTTTCAAGATTATTTTAGACTTTCGGGTAAAGGGCGGGATATATTTACACTCCTCGGCTTCCATTTTCCGTGGACTTGAGCTTGGGTCTTCTGAAACGCTGTTGCTTTCGCCCTCATCTTTCCTTCCTGATATCCACTGTTGTAAATCTTCATCAAACTGTTTATTCAGCTCATCATCAAATTTAGGTTTCTTATCTTCAAATGAAGCACAGTCCGTGTTTTTTTTCTGTTTGGAATCTTTCTTTCTTGGTTCAATCTGACGCTTACGTTTCTTTTTCCCGGCCATTTTGGGTAGCTAACCCAAATATCACTTTTTGTCCTTTTTTGGCGCGAAAACTTACGGCTGAGATAAACTGGTAAAGAAAGTTCTTCCGAAGCTGCTAGACCTCGCGCTCTGCTCGCGCTCACATATCAACAGGATCTGGGAACGATTCCCAATTCATTTACAATTTTGATTTTGGATGCCCCGTCCGATTTATTTTAGACGATTTTAAACGGTTATGGTCGATTTCGTGGGATTTTAGAATGGCTCCGTCCATTTACAGACAGTTTCGTCTGACTTTGAACAGTTTAGGGTGGTTCAATCTGATATCAGACTGCTTCGCGTTCAGTCAAATCGCAACTGTTATTGGTCTCGTCACGCAACGCACTCTCTGCCCCACCAAAGGGGAAGAGAGTGCGTTGCGTGACGAGACCAAACAACGTTTGGGGAGGAGACTACTCCGTGCTCGGTTTCACTTTATTGAAGAAAGTTGTCCCATTTAAGAGACTACTAACTGTAGAATTCGGACTGTGCTTTAGATGTAGACTCTCATCTTACAATCGAATGTTGGTTGGGCTGTGGTTGTCCTTCTTTCATATTATTCTAAACGGTCAAGTCGGCTTACGAACTTTTCCGTCTGCTTTCGAGCAGTTCCTTCTGATTTTAGAATACATTGGATTGCATTTCTCGTGCGCTTTTCTGGGGATCCGTCATCTTCGACCAGTTCCGTCTTAAGGGTCAAGAAATGTGCACTCGATGGACTCCGTCTTACATCGCGTATTGCCTGATTTCTGGCAGTTCCCTCTCACCATGTAGGGCTCTCTTTGTTTTCAAACGCTTCAATCCAGCCCGGACAGTTTTTCTCTATCATTTACGACTTGGGCTCATTTTGAAAGGTTCCATATGCCTTGGACAGTTCCGTTAGCTCTCAATGGTTGTGTCGGACGTTTAATAACATAAATCCTGTGCACGGAGGCAAATTGCAGGAAGCAAAGTGCGGGCGACAGAAGGTCTCTGGTATGCGGTTTGCAGCATCTTTTCTAATCGCATTTTGGTTTCTAGTGACATTCAAGTCTCACAACTACGGTCACGTTCAGTATATTTGAAGGGTTTTATGTTTCATGTGTGTTCGAGACAAAGTTTTGTTGTTATTATTATTTTTTAATTTTTTATGCGGACGCAACTGAAATATACCATCTAAAGTTCTTTTTTCTGGTGTTGCACTTCGATCACATGTAAAATTACCCGCGTCTTAACTGGCCAATCAGTGGCCAAGCCTTATTCCAACAATGGATCCTACATAACCACAGCACTAAAGATCCCTGTGTTGAACTCGCCTTCTACCGCGGATAAAATTGCAGCATTGGCGGTCTCCACACAGGGCCGAAACAGACGCCAGCCATGTTTCCCTGGTTAGTTAAGCGTTTTTATTGTTTTAAATGCAAACTGACTCGCTCTGTCATTAAATTATGTTGTATGTGTTTCAGTTTGCAGGGCCTTAGCACGGCTATTTTATTATGCGTGCTCATGAATCATGGAGTTTCGTCCCGAGACGTTGCCATTCACCCCGGTATGTTGATGCTAATTTTTATTCTTACCCAGGTTATCCTCACCTAAGTAAATAGTCTAATGACCTCTATAAACGAACTGTAGGTAGGAACTGAACAAAAGCATGATACAGAAATGTAAGATCAACAGTTTTCCAGCAGTCTGCGTGCGGGTAATGCAATCACAGTGGTTAATTTCAAAATGAATCCTTTATGTTGCCCATTACAAAGCAGGACTGTCTGCACATTGTGCGAATCTCTTACTGTCTTCTCCAATTTTCTCTCTGAATAGACTAAGCATACTTAAGAGCATTTATCTCCTTCAGAATACTAATAAATTTTGTCAGAAAATATCGAACAGTATTTTCACATTTCCTGTCTGATCAGTTCCAAGATCGCGTGAGCGGGAATAGGTTATAATAACAACTCTTTCTTTCTGTACTCCTCAAGGTCAACAGAAGGAAAGAACATTAATGTCTCTTTCTAGCTTTATAATCAATTTTTTTAGCAAAATCTTCATTCTAAGCTTCTCAGTGTGAGCGATGAGTCATTATAAGAATTGGTGAATGTTCTAAGGTCCTGCTCATCAAATTATGTGTTGAAAATTCGTTGTTGTAAACAAACGTTCATATCAAAACGAGACCTGCAAAATATTTTAGATTACGTTCACAAATTTTCATAAAAATAGAAGTTCGTTTCATTCGAGTGCGCACTATCACTTTGATCCGGACAGAGGTGAACAATTACTGCTTCTTTGATGGAGGTTCTAAATGAGCAATTTAACCCCAACAATGGTGCATTGTCTTTGAAAACTCTCAAGCCTGATATCTATGTAACCATTAGAAATATGTTCGTGAGGTGAACTGCTTCATAAGCCTTTCCAAGTAGAGTTTTAATGTTCTAAATAGCCAAGATCTCAATTCATTTAAGGATTGAGCTTTCATTATACTCTGCACGAGAAACGAAACTCGATCGCTTACGCTAAGGGACAGTCAATCATTGTTAAAATTGAAGGCCCGACGTGCTGTTAGACGATACGCAAAGAGGATGCCGAACCACATAACTAAGATGTCCCAGAATGTTTTAGTTATCTACGACTCTTAGCATTAGTTAATGTAAATTGGTTTGTGATAACGATACAGTATTAGTGGTTCTAAAAAGAATCCTCGCTTTTTAAGAAATGTGTACGCTACGAAAGGACTGAAACATTTACGTTGATACAGACTTTATTTTTCTCCAAATTATTGTTGTTTCTATTTGTTTTGGTTTTGTGATGTTTTTAATTGCTCTTATTTGTTATGTGTGTATACAGACGTTCATGATGACATTTTCATTAGCTTGGTGACCAAATTTTCGTAGACGATTCGCGGATTATATTTGTACCGCGTATTGAGAGAAGGATGTCTGTTCTTTGAGAGATCAGAATGATAATTTGGTTTGGAAGATCAGAGAGGAAATACTTCTGACTCAAAGTGGCGCGAAAAAAAAAATTATATTCATTGTAACAAAACATTTCCACGTACTTCGTCAGAATTAGCCTTTCGAGTCTCTTCGGAAAATATTCAGAAAAAAATCTCAGCGTCCGGATTTGTCACACCAGTCTGCGCGACCTTCACACCACTGTGCAACCTTTATTTCCGTCACGCGCAACACGAAGCGTCACTGCACCGTGGGGGCGAATCTGAAGATACTGGAAGCAGAGATTAGAAATTTGGACAAAAAACCAAACGAGCAAATATGAAGGAATTAGATCAATTTCATTCAACTGCATGTGCTTCAATATAAGCGATAAGCCAACTCAGGGTAAGAAGGCCAAAAGGAGCGAAAACATTTACTGATTTCCAAATATTGAGGTTTCCTTTATCCTTTCATTGTTACAACGTGTAAGACTTTTTAAAGAGGGGGGTGGGGTGGGGTGGGGGAGAGCCGGGGGAGGGTCATTGTTTCACTGCAAGAGAATGGGAGGACACCATTATTCATACAAAGTGTATCGTAGGGACACCTTTTGCGTCAAAGGTGGTATGTCAAAGTTACAGAGCTTTATTGCGTGCCTCTTCCTGCTTCCATAAAATTTCAGATACTGCTGACTTAGCGGATTTTGTGCAAGAGTTTCAATGGAGTTTGAGCGAGCTCGAGATCGAAACGGTTGGTCTTTGTCCAAGCCGACCACTCCCTTCTTCAAGCGACCAAGAAGTTGAGGATGTTGCGTACGACCTATCGTCCACGAGTGCTACGATAAACACCACTGTGGAATCGCTTTTTCCTAATGGTTTTCCTGAAGATTTTGTTTTATTCGCCACTGTGAAAGTGGATCCTGACAACACAGCAGACTTGTTCACGATAATGGACACCGAGCAAAGTCTATCTTTTAGTTTGAGCCCTTTGGAGTTTGAATACAGGCGACGAGGGAAGGCCCCATTTCGAGTGAGATTGAACCAAAGCCTAGCTGATGGGGCGTGGCACAGAGTGGCCATAGCAGTTAGAAAGAAACACGTGACGCTGTCTTTAGATTGTGCCGAGCCCAGAGGACATGTAAGAAGGCCCAGGGGATTTAGACCTAGTTTTGGTCGAGACAGTGTTGTTCGACTGGAGGAGCAATTCCAGGTGAGGATACAACCAGACCTGACATGGAAGTCGGTTCGGCATGGGGTTCATGATCTGTACAAGTGAGGTTTTGAAAGTTTACCTAACTGCAGAGAAGCAGTTATGTATAGTACAGTTTGAAAACTTCTAGAACATCTCAAATAATCACAAATAATGAAACACACAGGCAAGTTTTTTAATTCGGTTTTTTACCAGTTTGGGGAGATATACTTTGTTGAGTATGTAGTTGGTAAAAGCTAAAATGTTTTTTCGACTTGTATTCAGTATTTGCAAAGTGGAGGTGGTTCGTGGCACGGTAAATATCCAATACTTCTACAGACAATGAGCGGAATATTTGTTTTATCATATACCATACAGAAACAAATAATAAGTTCATTTCTGTTAATATATAAAAAAAAATTGGTCGGAAGTTTCACTTTTGGTGCTCGCTTATGTCTCTTCAGGTGCTGAGAGTTGAATTGTACTTGCCAATCGCTTTCGAACAAGCCAATCATCTAACGCGAAAAGCATATTTACTCTCGTGGTTTAATCTAATTTGTGGTTTCTTTTTTCTTTTTCAGGGATCTTTACAACAGCTCATAGTAGCCCCAGATGTGTTCAGAGTTCTTTCTTACTGCAAAATGTTTACTACCGATTGTGACAAACCTCTGCCATACGCGCCTTTCCTCAGTGGTGCTGCCCAAGAGCGCCGTGACAGTAACGTGCAGATCATCAACAACGTCAGATATGTAAGTAATCGGCTTAGTAGTCTGTGTCGCGAAAAAACACTTAATAAGGGCAACAAAATTTTGCGTCGTTGAGTAATTACTGATAAACTATATGACGCAATGTCTCGGCCAGAAATCCATGCGACGAGTGATACACTGAGCTAATCATGGGGTAAGATTGAAACATCAGCTTCTCTGTAAATGTAAGTAGGCTCTTTGCAGTCTGATCGAAGCGTTTGGTGAGTAAAACGAAGTGCGATATTAAATAGCGCGATGATGGAGGCCAAACGAAAAAACCAGGCATATAAAAGAAAAGAACGCGACCCAACTCAAACCTGCTTCCTTTTTCCACTCCGCTTCTACTATCGCGCCTTTCGTCTGATTCGCTCCAGTTTCCTCACTGTACGCATTTTTCTTGATTTCTCTTCATCTTTCTTTCTTGTCTTTATATACACCTTTTTCTGTTTGTTAACAGACTAACGATATTAAATGCTCTTTTGTACGTAGTATAATGGTTTGTCTCACGATGTAGTCACTTTCGAAGTGGATCGCATCCACGTAGCATCCATATCCACTTTCGGTGTGGATCGATCCAAAAACGTTTGTATTATTCATTCAAGATGTTTTTATTTTCAGATCAAAGGCGAGAGAGGAATTCCCGGACCTCCGGGTCCTACGGTATGTTCCGTCATGTCTTAACCCTTTAACTCCCAAGATCTGATTGTCAATTCTCCCCTCTAACTGCTATCCATTTCCTTGGAAATAAGTTACAAGAATTTGGTGTTAGATCAAGATAACAACTTCCACCTTATAAGTTTGAATATTCTCATGACCTGTTTGCTGGATAATGTTTAGATATTACAGGGAGAAGTTACATATAAATCACTTTTGGGAGTTAAAGGGTTAACTTCTTAAATGACCCAACCTTCTCTGCTGTTTGTCTTTTGTTTGTTTGTTTTATAAGAAAGCGTTTTCTTTTTTTCTTTGTCAGGGACCGCAAGGGGCGTTTGGTCAAAAAGGTTACAGTGGGCCTAGAGGTGATCAGGGAGCAAAGGTATGTTCTGGCATCATTTTCACAGACGTTACAAACAGCCCAAGAGTTAAGGCCGTTAAGGCCGTTAAGGAAATAAGTACAAATCGTAGGTTTTCTAAACCTGACTGAGCCTGCAGCATTTCCTGTATCGCTAAACAGCGCAATTTTTGCAAGACTGAGGGCGCGACCTTTCCATGAGTTAGGTAACAAAACAAGTTATATGTTGTAGATAATTGCACTTACGAATGGTGATGTCACTGCACATATTTGCTTTTGTCGGTTATCAAAATATTGCTTGTTATGCTGCTGATTATCAGCGCCGCGCTTTCATCGGGAAACTATTGAATATGGCTGCGAACTGTTGTCAAAGTAAAACTTGATCGACAATTGCCTAACAGGTAACAAGAAAATCAAACACACTCATTTGACCCTTGACTGTTATATGAGATGAAAACCAGTCTGTTAAAGTATCGAAGAGAAAAAAGTTGTTGGTGAATATTCTGGACTAGGTAATAGGGTATTTTTTATTTTACAGGGACCTCCGGGATCTCCCGGTACAGCTGGACCCCCCGGCCCTCCAGGGCCCCCTGGTGACGGAATCTATGTCGTAAGTGAAATCGCCATCCCTCGTTTCTGGAGCATTTTATTGAGTGTTGAAAGTAGTCCGAGATCGCGTTAGCTTGCAATCATATGGTACCGGATTAGTTTAGAAATCTAGTGCCAATCTCTCAACCAATCACACGGTAAACTAAAACCGATGGTGACACTCGCATTGTCCTGCACCTAAGGACGGCTATTACACGTGCTAGCTCTGGCTTCTAATTGGCTCCTCTTTGGTCAGTTCTGATAGATAACTAAGGTTTTGGTCATAGTTTGCTCAATTGAAAAGCGCTCTTACAACCACTGAAATTGTGTAATCAAAGATCAAAAAGGAATAATGAATGAAATCGGCACCTAAAGACAAAGAAGCTTTCATTTTCTCGTACAACCACAAAGTGCACAACGCAAACTAGATTTTACACGATTAAGGGACAAATAAACAAAATTGTCCAAATTTACCTATTCGTTGAGACTCGCTGTTTGTCAGACCTGATTTTGGGTATGTTCACCTCTTCAATTATACATTTTGAACTTTTGTTATTTCAGAGATGGAATAGACTTCAAGGATCGAATGAAAAGGGCCCAGGCCCCGTAGCGGGCGGTCTTGTAGTCGAGCCCCCCGCAGTGGTGAGTTTTTTAACCAATCGTAACCTCTGAAGGGGTCTCCGCTTTGGGTTAACACAAAGCCATGGCGAATTCGAACAAAATGCTGTGTTTTGCGTGTTTTTTAAGTAACGAACCACAAAGAGATAAATTTTCTTATTCTAGCTACAGGGAGATACTGTTGAGATATCTGCCGATTAGTTCTCGGTTCATTGCATTTTTTCTAGTTTTTCTTTTTTATTTATTTGTTTTTATTTGTTAACATTTTTTAGCCGGGAGAGCCAGGCCCACGGGGACAGCGAGGAGCACGTGGACAACCGGTGAGTATAGAAAAGCCTCTGGTTCAGTAATGGAGCTGATGTAGATGAACTGTGTCATTTTCACCCCATGGTATGACATAGTCATACTATAGGATTTATGTAAGGACCTGAAATTCACTCATTCACCCACTCCATTCTGATCTGTTAGACAAATAATTTATGCATTGAATGCGGATTAAACGTGTTATTCCCAAACTCTTTTCCTTAGCCGTTCTTTTTTCTTCAGTTCATTTACCTGGGGGGAGAAAAAAGGCGAAAATTTTTTGCAATTTCCTGCCACTACCAAATCGTCAGACAACGTTTTATTTTACCAAGTGCTTTACACACTCATCATACTTAACAAGACACGTTATAATGTCTTGGCACTTTCCAACAGTCTAATATTGATATTAATATTGTGAGCAATAATGTTTATCTGGTTCTGTTTGTTGCACGACTGTCTACATTTCACGAACTCTCGCAATGTGCTTCAGTTTAAAGAAAATAATATTTTAGAAAGGAACGAAAATCTTTCTTATCGAGAAATGTCGTGAATAGTCCTAGTTGAAGGTGATGTAATCTTGTTTGAACCTGCTGTAATCTTCTCTCTGCAGGGACGTCCAGGGAACCCCGGTGAGAAGGGATCCCAGGGAGATCCAGGAGCCCCGGTAAGGAACACATCGTTTTCTTTACTTAATACGCTTCCGGCAGTACTGAATAGGGAAAAGATGAATGACAACAATAATTTTAAAAAAAACATAGAAATTGCTTAATTCCGTAATCACTCCGATATTTTTTTATAGTCATTGCCTAGAGCCCTAGTCGAGTTATTTCTACCTCACAATGACTCGTAAGTTTAGTGTTATCCTCTGCATTTAAGTTTGGTTTCTCCAAGTAAAGAGGCGCAATGACAGCGAGTTATTTGGCAAGCGATATATCAAGTAGCTGCACATGGTGAATAAAGACGCTATCCGCGCTTTCCTGAAAGAGAAGAATTATCATAAAGAACGAATTTCCATAAATAATGGAGAAAGTAAAGCACTGATTAAGTAACTGTGCGAACATCTCCCATGAAGACGTTTGGGTAATTTCGTACCCAGACCTTCCACGACCAAAAAAGCGGTTGTACATTTCAGTTACACGGTAGGATCTGGGTAAGAGATTAGCCGTCGGGTCTCATCGTTCATGGATCATGCTTTTCTGGGTCAACGTTTTTACAATCTAGTGTATGTAATTTAAGCATTACACCGCAGTTTCTATTGGTTTTCCAATAACCCCTACGTAGGATGTTGGAAAAACACAAGGAAAGTCCCGAGCTTCTCCTAACATCCCAAGTGGGTTATTTCGCCGGTAAACCGCTGGAAAGTGCGGTCTATAGCATTTTATGATATAACCAAGGTTTTACCAGTGCAATAAGCGATATATTTTGACCAATCAGGGCAATCGTAGTATCTCAGTGGTGATAGTTGCGGTGCGATCATGAGCCCTCTTTAGTGTTTGGAATACTACTATCCTGCATTTGACAACACAAACATAATTTGCGTTTTTTGATGTTTTAATCCGATAGTATCCACTGACAACTTTAACAATAGAAAATTGTATTAATCCATGTCACATTTTCTTAGTGCTGATTGAGCCAAAAACTAACCGTTTAGCTGCTTGTGTCTTGATTTTGTTTCACAGGGCTTACCTGGTAACCAAGGCAACCGAGGTCCACCTGGTAGACCGGGAAAACCGGTAAGCTGTAAATTATACGTGAATATTTTTCTCTCTGTCGAAAGTAATCAGGGAATGCAATGGTTTTCCTAAACTTCTTTTTTTATTGGTCGGTGAATCTTGTGTAATCAGATGAAAATCTAAAACCGATAGCGCCTTGTTCATGTGAGTATTACCACGCCTCGGGCACGCTTTGAGTTCTGATTGGTTCTTTGTAATATCTATGGTTACTCTGATTGGCTATCGTCACCAGTTTGCACGTTTTGAGCTCTGATTGGTTCTTTGTAATATCTATCGTTACTCTGATTGGCTGTCGTCGCTAGTTTGCTTTAGTTTTTCAACATTTGTCTAATAACGTAGATCGTGACTTATCGACTTCGCCGTTGACTCTACTGATGGATAATTAGATTCTGTTGTTGAACGCCACGCGACATTTAGGGATGGCTCCAATTGCCTATCCTTATTCTAACCCAGGCTCTCCGTGTAAATGACACCAGAGACCTTTAGCAAACCACGACGGCGACGGCAACGAGGACGTGGCAAAGTAAAAGATCTAATTAGCAGAACAATAGCTCAATACGTGCTTTTCAAAATTGTGTACATCTCTTAGCCGTCCTCTGTAAAATGACAACATGATATCATCAAAATTTGCGTGGTCCAAGAAAGGAAACCCCAACGGCAAATTATTTAAGTTTCCATTTGGAACTCAACGCCGCTCTCATACGTTTTGCTGAGGTTAACTTGCGGCGCTGTAAGAGATGGTAAACACATCGAGTCATTCGCGAAATTCCAACGAAAAATATATATTTATTTTTAAGTCGACGTCTTCCTTGGCGTTGCCGTCCTAACTGCAAAAAGTCCCTATTCTTTCGACAGCGCAGGAATGGGAAACTATTTCCGCAAGATCACTGAGAGTAATCGAAATGATTCGACCAAAGCATCAATATCCAATAAAGGAGTTAACTTCTCAGTCGCATTTATTGTATTGTGGCTCAACACCGACCTTAACCTCGCCTTTTTTAAACAAAAATATTTGTTTCTTTTCAGGGTCCCCAAGGACCGGACGGACCAAGAGGTACCCCCGGAGTTATGGGAGAAAAGGTAGGAGGGGAGGGTTAGCGAACTTGAAAATTCAGGGTTACTGAATGGACGTAACACATGAAATGATTAACCATGGCGCTCTGACAAGCATGTAACTTTTATAAAACTAAGACTATAGCGTGCTGTAACTATACTTCTGTGTGCTTCACTATTTCAGGGAGACAGAGGAATTGAAGGAATGGCGGGAATGACGGGCCACAAAGGACCACGGGTAACGTGAACATTTCGATTACCAGCTGAAGTTTTGTGTTCAATAAAACTTGGATGAGTTTTGACAAATGTCCCCAAGTTTTGAGATGTTTCGACATAAAACCATGAGAAAGGTTACGCTTAGGTCTCCATTATTAGCGATGTTGGACGCGCATTTTTACGCCCGCGAGAAGATTAGAGACGGGTTGGGGAGAGGTTTGCCAGGAGCCTGGCACTAGTAATTTTCAGTGCTTGACTCTCGCCGGTGCGTGATGCTTAATGCTTCATTAGTTCTCTCGGGCTAAGAAACGCCTTGGCTGAAGCGTTATAATGTGGTTCTGTTCGCTGGCCAGGTTACGCATGACGCTATCGGCAAACGGCAAAACTTGTTGCCGTTAGCCTTTTTTCAGCCGTTTTTATACCACAGTGAAAATACCGTTGCTGTTAACACCATTCTTAAAAACTTGCTATCACATCGTGTCTATTTCTTGATATCTCAAAGCAACGATTAACACTTTACCCTGGAAGAACTTGAATAAATTTCAGTGGTTATGGTTACTTTTTTACGCTATGAAAAAATACTTTGAATATAGTCAGAGCTATGTACTAAACAAGATAGTTGTAAGGAATGCATAGCTCAAAATTCGCTGAAACCGAATACGCAGTGATACAAGAAACTTCGAAGTAATTTGCGTTTTGAATAAAGTTTCATACTCTTCGACAAGGACTCTTGTACATGAAACGATCTTGTAAAGGTGAAAAAAAGAGATGTATAGATCTGAATATTTTAACGAGCCGTAGATCAGAATTTTAAAAGGAACTAAATCGCGAACATGCAGAGATTAAAAGATGATGAAAAGATTCGAAACAGAAATGGAACAGCGGTGGATAACGATGGGAAGACGTCCTGAAACATTAGTCTTAATTTTTCATACTTAAGATATACGCAAACTGTAAAGCACTCCATAAGACTTTTAAGGTTATTGATCGTCAGCACTAGTATGTGTAGAAAATGGTCTCTCAAGCGGCTGAAACTCGAGCAGTGTAATAGCAAACTACAAAATTTCATAAAAGCATATTTGATAAGAATATGAACCACATTCATGTAAAGTTTATATTTTTCCTAGGGTCTACCAGGCATGCGAGGAGAAAAAGGCGACAAAGGTGAAGCTGGTGAAAGAGTAAGTGCCTTTCATACCTAGATATGGCTGCGTCTCCTTTTGTTGTTTTTCTCTTCTTTTCTTCTTATGAATTGTTCATCTATCCATCAGTCTGTCTTCCCGTCCTTTCGTTACTCAGTCTGCCAGTCACGTGGTCGATCGGTCGGACAGTCAGTCGGTCGGTTGGTCGGGCTATTGATCGGTCAGTCAGTCGGTCAGACAGTCAGCCAATCGGTTGGTTGGTCAGTCGGTCGGTCGGCCAATCGATAGGTCAATCAGTCTGTCGGTCGGTTAGTCGGTCGATCGATCTGTGAGTTAGTCGGTCGATCGATCTGTGAGTCAGTCGGTCAGACAGTCAGTCGGTTGGTTGGTCAATCAATCGGTTGGTTGGTCAGTCAGTCGGTTGGTTGGTCAATCGGTCCGTTGGTTGGTCAATCAGTCGGTCGGTGGGTCGGGCGATCGATCGGTCAACCAATCTGTCAGACAGTCAGTCGGTTGATTGGTTAGTAGTTGGTCGGTTGTTCGGTCAATCTATCGGTCAGTCAGTTGGGTCAATAGGTCACTCAGCCGGTAGTAAGTCGATCAGTACGTCAGCCAAGCGGTCGATCGGTAAGTTTGTCGATCAGTCCATCCGCGATTCGATCTAACCCCTCCTTAGTCCTATTCAGTGAAAAATGAGATTCTGAAATAACACAGTTTACGATGCTCTGCATTCACTTATTAAGCTTTACTATTTTACAGGGCGATGGTGGCACACCAGGGCAAGCTGGAATGCAAGGTGAACGGGTAAGTATTATCACTAATAGTATCCCACCAAGTATCCCACTATTTCGTCTTTGTTCTTGACAGATCTGTTTCTGTTGTGTGTAATAACAAATGGTGGGACCAACGGTAAGAATATAAGTCAAAATAAATTAGTATCAAAAAATGGAAAATTTAGACTTCACTAGTAACGAGGACTTGTCGCCGTTAACAGACCAAGAGTTGTAAACTATTGAAAAGAAAAAGAAATCGTTGTTCTGGACTCATAAGTCCATTTTAGTACCTTATCACGTTACACATAGCAAGTTGTTTGCTGGTTCGTGAGACTCATCATCACTTGCGGCTAAAATAAGCAATATAATGTCTATTTTTCGAAGATTATAGTCAATTGACCAAAATGTTGCCTCTTGTGTACACACTGATTACTACTGTGATTGGTCAAAATTGTCAATAAAGCCACTCGTTCCAATCCACATCAATTCCACTACTATATCCCAGATTCTCTCACCAAAAGGCAAAATGGCGACTCAGTCAGCCCTAACTTTGAACGTTCTCAATGTAACGGTAACGCTGGTAGGGGTAGATGATCAAGAAAGAAGGTAATCACCGATCCTAGGGTCTCTAAAGTAATTTTCTGGAGAAGATTAGTAGTTTTTGCAAGCGTAAAATCTATGTTTTTATCACGCATCGTAGGTAAAAGTTTCTCAAGGCGTGTACATACACTTAGTTGGCGATCGAGGAACAAACACAATTTGAACGATATTTCTTGGTTTTATTCAAACTTTAATTTTTGTATCACGTGATTACTCTATCTTGTTTGACAACTCTTTGTGGATTTATAAAAATTTAACCATAGAGTTTAACAAAATTAAAGTTGATTAAATTTTTTTCATTCCAGGGACCCCAAGGAGAACCAGGAGAACGGGGACCGCCAGGGCCGAGAGGATTGCAGGTAAGTATCGGCAAAAAACACTTTCACGGGTTTTTCAACTAATTAACTTTGCATAAACAAGTTAGTGGAAGTCCTTCAACACTACTCCAGTTCAGTGAAATAAGTAAAGCTGTGAATTGTGAGAGTGATCTGTTGAACATATAACTCTACAAAGTTGCAAAATGGAGAAAGTTGCAAAAGTTTAGACCTTTTTTATAGTAAGGAGGGGGTGCGGGTGAGGGGAAAAAACCTTGTTCCCACCATACAAAGTTCTTTGTCAGTTTGCAACACGTTATCGTCATACTTGGCAGTTTTACTTATTTCGCTGAGCTCTTTCCAGCTGCATCTATAGATTTCCTTTCAATGGTGCATGTAAAAATTTTAAAAATTGCAAATGGGTCTATTTGGGGTGATTGGTTGTCATGAGACAGAGCCTTCGAGGCTAACTCTGTTACATTTTTACTTTATCCCTTAATTCTTAATATCAACAGGGAGGTACAGGAGAGCGAGGTCCACCAGGACCCTCTGGATCACCGGTAAGGAAATAAGTAAACAATGGTCTTCATTTGGTATGAAAATAGGCTGGGATATTTGTCTACAAACATAACCTGTTCTAATAAGCAGACAGTTCTGTAAGAACAGTGCCAGTATTATCCATCAAAAAATTTTATACAATATGCAGGATAAAGCATTAAACTAGTTTTCCCTCAAAAACATCCACATGCAAGGGATGGCAACTCTTCCAGACTTGATCCTTCTTCTTTGGCTTTTTTGTCAAATGATTCTTCTTCTGATGCCAAAGATTCAGTAGTGAAAGTAATATATCCTGTCTTGAACATTTTTCTTGTAACTAGATTAATCAATACCTTGTAGTGGAAAGGAAAAAAGATTTTGCACATATTCATTAGGGTGACCTCGAATATCACCCTAAGAAATTATCATGAATCTGATTCACAAGCAATACACACAACATATGGTTAAAAGAAAAGAAATTACCAGTTGTGGTCTTGTCAATATTGAGTGTACAGATTTTTTTAGTTTTGACATGAAAAAGTTAGTAAAAATTCGTAAGATGTATGGTGAAATAAAGATTAGTTGAGTATCAGTGAAGGGTGTGCATGGAATTTTGGTGTGTATAATCTAACTTTCCTTCTTACCAAAGAAGTCTTGGTCTGATGTTTATTAGTTGGACTCAAACATGAGGGGTCCATAATCAGTCTGTAGCCAGGTCATTGTATTGCATCACATTGTGGGCAAAATACTGAACCCTTGAAGTGTCTCTCTCAACTCAGGTTTAATCTGGAATGGATTAGCATCCTTTTCAGAGGGAGCAGCGATATTCCCAGTAGCTTTGCATTGAAGAAAATAGATTATGCTCCAATGCTGTGGACCTATTGGCTTGAAACCAGACTTACTTTCTTTGTTTTTCCACCTTACTACTTAGGGTCCCCCAGGTGCTATAGGAATTCAAGGTGTGCAAGGCATGAGAGGACCCTCGGTAATAATAGAATAAAGCTACATAATATTCTGACATTTTAGATATGTTCATTTAAACTAAAAGCTTAATAGAATGTGCACAATGGATGAGAATCAATGGTATTGTTGTTAGAATGGACACTTCTCACTGCTGAAGCCCAGGTTTGCATTCTTGGATATGTGATCAAATGTGGGTCAAGTTGGCTCTAATCTCAGTGGTTAATGCTTTTTCTCTGAGTTCATGGATTCACAATTCTCCACAAAAACCATACAGCCAATTCAAATTTGACAAGGAAACAGTGGAGGATTTCAGAGCTACCCTGTTCATATGCCATTTCTAAAATCCAATTTTATTTTGATTATTTTGAAGCTTGTTTTCATTTAATAAGACATATATTCAGAATGAAGGGTCTTTTTTTTTGGAGGAGCTGGGAGAAAATCAGAGTGAAATACCATAAAAACTGGATGTGGATCAAACTGAAGGAGACTCTAGATATTGATGTCCATATTCATGTTTAACCTTCTTCTGTTTTGGTACAATTATATTTTTGTCAAAAGTAATATTCAATGAACCAGTATTCAATTTTCTCTTTTTTCTTTTCAAGGGACCTCCTGGTATTCCAGGTCCCCCAGGGCCTATGGGACCTAAGGTATGTCGCATAGCACCTCCAGCCTTTTTCTTTCTAATACTTATGTGGGAATTACTTTTATTGGAGATAATTTGTCATTCATGTACCACAGTCTATAATCCTTATTTACTATCTTTAGGGTGAGGCTGGAAAAGTTGGTATGCCTGGTTTCCCAGGTACTGATGGTGTGCCAGTAAGTAGAGAGAGAGAGTTATTTTGACTTATAACTAGTACATGTAACCTCCTATTAAAATACATATAATGTATTTTTATTGTGGTTATGGAAAACAGCAATTGATGGCCTACTTAAAACGCAGTTATTCACTGAAGAAATAAATAAAACCCATTTGCTGCAATTAAATATAAAATTTTCACATATGACCTTATGGTTGCATGAATTCTTTGTTATTGTCAACTTTAGCCAATGTGGTAATTAAACAAACTATTTTATTTCAGCTTTATGATTTTAAATGTTCAGTTAATAAACTTTCAGGAGTATGTACTGACTTCTTGTGGGGTAAATCTAATCCTCTGACTATATTATAGGGATACCCTGGCATTGAAGGACCGCCTGGACCCAAAGGCGACAGAGTAAGTCAGATTTAATGTAACATGCTATAGTTTTCAGCAAAAGCTCTAAAGTTTTTGATCAGGGGGGAGAGAGGTTCATTAACCTCTTCTCTATTAGTATTTATAAAGAAGATAGCTTTTTACAGCATTTTAAGTATCTGAAATTATCAAACAACCCATTAACACCTTAGTCTAAGCTTGTGGATTGTAAAGTTCTTCAAGTTAACACGTTTTTAGTTGGCTGAGTGCATATGTTTGTAATTTTATCACAAAGCACCATAAATTATTTTTATTAAATTTTTCACCCTTGTCATGCACCCTTTTTAAGTTTTCAACATTACAGAATTTGTTGTGTTTCTATTTAAGTTTAATTTTATCAATGTTTTGATTGATATACTCAATGGATGTACTTCCCAGGGTGCACCAGGAGTTAGAGGACCACAAGGCTACCCAGGCCTCCCTGGGCCAAAGGTGTGATACAGTGATACAGCTCAAGGATATTTTCTATTTACAATAGGCATTTTCATCTTTCTACTCTAACACATTTTAAACAATTCATTCCCTTCAATATGACATACTTCAAATTCACATTCTAGGTTAATTTTCTAAATTAATTTTGAACCAAAAGCTTAATTTTGAGAAATCTTGTATTGTAATCTATAACTTATCTTTGCATTTGTCATTGACCAATCAGAAATTAAATTCTTTGTTGGACTTGAGATTTTAACCAATATATTTCATTGTATTTTTTTTGGCCTTTGGCACTCAATCTTTAAGTCCAATGTGCTTTAAATGACAAAATTAGCCATTTAATAATAAAAGAATGCTTATTTTTTGCACAGGGGAGCAGAGGAAAACGAGGTCCAGAAGGAGAGAAGGGTGAAGAGGTTTGTATTTCCTATTTTACATTTATATTATAAACCTGTAGACCAGGGGTGTTGGCTTTCATCAATTTTATTTTGATTCAGCTCTCTAGATTGATTTTACATCATAGACCAGCAAGATTATATTTCACGAAACCAATCTAGCCTCATGATAAATCTTCTGTTTTGCTTAGCTGTGCATTTAATGAAGAAAAACTGTCAGCACAAGTATTTTTTCAAAGGGATTTTAACCTGTTATTCCTGATTAACTGCTTCTGCTGTAGAGTTTTAATTAGTGCAAAGAAAATTTAATGATAACATAGCTTGGGAGAAATAGAGATTGATTCTTAGGTGTGAATATAACTGTCTCAAAAGGAAGCTGAAATCTCACTTAAACACACTAATGTCTACAAATAGGGCTTTTCTTGGGTATGGAAATCCTTGTAAAACACCAAAGTTTATTCAGTAAAAGTGATAGCTTCAGAGTATGTGAATCACAGGTACTAATGAAATGCATAGGAGCAACACTCATCCATCAAACTGAATACCTTAGACTTATTGCACCTATTAATAATCTTTCACAGGGACTAGCTGGATTTCCTGGTGCAAAAGGTGATGAGGGGCCAAAAGGAGAAGATGTAAGTGAAACAAAAAACTAACTGTTTTTGAATATAACCTACCCTGCATGAATTCCTAGCTAGTTTTATGCACATGCAGCTAGCATTAAAATGGTTACTTTGACTTTTGAAATCCCTTCTCCCTCAGAGTTCCAGTCACCTTACCAAAGGCATTTTGATATACCCTAAGTACCATAATATGAACTCATATGAATTTGAGTTGAAAAGAACCATTCAGTTATTCCTTGAGAAGTAAGGTTTATCCCAGGACTTTGCTTAAACTGCTGTAAGTTGTGATTACTGTAATCATCGTCTTCCTTGTAGGGTGCCTCAGGAGGAGTTGGTGTGCCAGGAGGTGAAGGACCTGAAGGGCCAAAGGTTTGTTTACCAGCTACCTCAGTGATCTGAATCATATTTCTTAGTCTTAATTTATTGACAATCGCTATAGACAGAAAATTTTTGAAGAGGACTGATTTCAAATTTTGAGAGGTTTCTCAAAAACAATGAGTTTACCCATGGCTTGAAACGTTAAAAAGCAAAATATACAGCTCTAATGACTGTTAGGTAAATCATTCAGTCCAAATACCTAGAAAGGCTGGTAGTCATCAACAAGCATGACCAGCACTGCACCCTTAAATGCCATAGGTAAAAAAAAGTGTTTACCTCTGATAATTGTAGGGTCGCAGTGGTATCCCAGGACCTTCAGGCCCCCCTGGACCTACAGGAGTAAAGGTATTGTTTATTATTGTTAGTTATTATTATTATTGATATAAGTTATTGTTTTCAAAACATTATGATTACATGTTATCACATTATGATCAGATCAGACTACTCTCCATATATAACTTAGTTTGAAACAAAAAGTTAATGGCAAGAACAGCCAATTTTATTACATTACCCCTTAACATTTATTGGCATTATTTGTTTTCAGGGAGAGAAAGGACCACAGGGAATGCCTGGGTACCCTGGTGAACCAGGAGAAAAGGTAGAGCAGACAAATCTTTAAGAGCTGTTCATCAGTAAATGGAACTGCTTTAAGCTCAATTAATAGGCAGTGATGTAGGGAATTGCTGGGAGCTGAAGAATGTACTTGACTATTAACAAAATTTTCTTAGGTTAAAAAAATTTAACACTGCACAAAGTTTCGGTCAACACCACCTTGAAATGACACTCAATTAGCTGCATTTCAGTGTGGTATTTTGATTATCAACATGTGTTTTGCCTAAATCTGTTGAATATTGTATTTCAGTATATTTGATATTGCATAATGGGCAATATTAGCAAATTATAAAGGCTGTGTGTGTTGATATATCCTCGTATATATGTATTTTTTAATGACAGGGTAATACGGGTGCAACAGGGGCAAGAGGACGAGATGGATCAAAGGGAGTCAGGGTGAGTCTGTATGGGCTATGATGCTCTGCAAATAAATTAGGATGATTTTTCAAGACAAGAGACATGAGATGCATGGGACAAAACTCAAAAGTTTTTGGAAATTTTCCGTTATCGCCCCAACCCTGACAAATATTTTAAATTCCAGATCCATGGTCAAAAGACTTGTCACACTCCTCTTACATTCATATTTCATGAGTTTGTGTTATTGTTGTTGTTTCTTTTGTAGGGGGATCCTGGACAACCGGGGCCGCAAGGAGGAAGAGGATCAAGGGTACAGCCAGGCTACAAAGCCTACTCCTCTTTGTTCTCTTTAAAACACATCCATCACATTGTCTCATTAACCCACTGTTAAGTGTCATGGCAATAATGGTCACAGCCTGCCATGTTTTAGTGGAAGTGTTGAACATAAAGAAAAGATAACCTGAAATAAAACAAGAAGTCGGTGTCTGTAAAATAACAAAGAGTTAAAGGAAGCAATGTAAAGGGTCATTATAGTGCCACACCCTTTTTCCCTTTGGGCCCCCCTCTTCACCCCACACACCCTCATACTCTTTAATTTACTGCATTTTCTATCCCTTTTTTTTCTGTTGAATTATTGGGAACTTACAACCACGATGCCATAGGCAAAAGTATTGCGAGTGATAGATAAATCCGTAAATTGTTGCACTAAGCCCCCATGATTTCAGTTGTTATAACTCACTTTGTTTACGTGTCCATAGGGTCCACGTGGTGCGCGGGGATCCCCCGGAACTCCTGGAACCAACGGGGCAAAGGTGAGTCATACTGGTTGAGTTTCATGATACTGGTACAACAATAATGATGACGATATCAACAGTTAAAATGCTAACAGTAAAAGGAATGATAAAAATCTTCTGAAACCACAGAGGTAACAAACCTGATTAAGTAAAAATGATAAAGGGTAACTATTTTAAAGAATCTTGCCTACCAGAAAAAAGCGTCTTCAAAAATACGCTCACAACGCTAAGTTATAAGTTCTTTATAAATGGGAAATCTCGTGTTCGCGTCCATTTTATCACTGGTTGATGTTCCTTAATTAAACTCTTCCACGTTTTGTTTACACTGCGAACCTTCATTAAGGTATTCATCATGTATCTGTTGAAGGTACAATCTTAGCATCCGTAATTAGCACATTTTTTTTTAAATTCTAGACATATTCTTGCAACTTCTTTCCATCATTGTTTCACCTTAAGCTCTTGAAGGGCGACACACTTAGAATATGAACTAATGCAAGGAGACGTGTTTATTTTATCATCTTCATCTTTTAATTTTGTTGTTAGGGTGCTGCTGGTGAGCCTGGAGTACCTGGTGACCGCGGAAACCCGGTAAATAGAGATTATTCCATGGAAAATGTGCACGAACGATTTTAATTCACGAGTTGCGAAGCATAAAAAACGAACGAGTGAGCGCAGCAAACGAGTGAGTTTTTGATGCATTGCAACCAGTGAATAAAAATTGTTCAAGCACTTTCCATGGTATGGTACTTTTATTTCATACATACTGAGATTTTTTCACATTTCAAAGATTGGAAGCGAACGACTGTGAAAATACACCGTTCGTCCAACCAGAGACACGAGCGATAGTACTTCATAGTGTAAATCTCAGTATCTGTGAAATAAGTAGTATTACAGGATTATGAAGTTACTTAAAAACAGCCTCGAGTGAATAAAATCACACAGGGGCAACAAGTTATGTTAATAAACGTATATGATTCGAGGATTTACGGTGCTGTAAAAAGTGACTGGGAAAATCTTAAGGAAGCTCTGTCACATTAATTTGAGTCAGTTTCTTTAACTTGCAAATTCAAGCGTAATTTCACTTGACCTGAAAGCTTCAAGAAATGCCGGAAACTTTTGCAAAGCATGTGTCTTGTCTATAGCTTGACATCTTTGTCTTAATGAAACAGGGACCTCCGGGACCTCAAGGGGACCGAGGACAGGCAGGACCTCGTGGATCGATGGTAAGCCGTGTTTTGTTCACGTGATTCATCATAGGGCACTTAGAGTATAGAGTAATTTGAAAATATGTTTTTCATATCAGGGTATTCCAGGAAAAGCGGGCCTTCCAGGATTTCCTGGACCTCGTGGAGAAACGGTGAGATCCAAGTTTTGATAGAGACTTTTAGTTTATCTTGATCTTTCGTTCAAACTTTTAGTTCTCGCGATGTTTTTGATAATCTTTGGATTGAGTGCGTTTCTGTCGTGGGTTATAGGGACCTCAAGGAAAAATAGGGCCGCCAGGATCCCCCGGAATACCAGGTGGACGGGTGAGTTATTTTTAACATGTTCCGATGACAAAGAGGATCGAAAGAAAATTATCGGTTTAATTTAATCATGGCGAGGATTCCTTTCCTGTTATCACTTGACGATTTTTTTAGAGTAGATTATTGTCAATTTTGAAGTATATTAATGTTATAATTAATCCAGTATATAGGCATCACTTTAGATAACAATTAAAATAGAAAAAGTCTTCAGTTTCCCAGGAGCCGCTGAATGTCAAACCGAGAATTAGTCAAGAATTATTTGTATACTTCAGCGAGAAGAGAAAGACCTGGAAAATTGGAGTCAAGTGGTTAAAAAGAGAATCCTTAGGAATCTGTTTCTGTAAACTGTTTGATATGAAGTAGGCTCATCGAAGTTGTCTAGCTTTTAAACTCTTGTCAAATACATAACCATGCAGCAATAGTAATCCGACCATGCCAGGTAAGAATCCGTTGGACATTCGTTAAAAAACCGCTGTGAGTCATCAACTCACCGCTGTCTGCTTAGACTCATTTTTAACATCCTCTTATTGATTTAGGGTCCTGCAGGTGAAAGGGGAAGCTCAGGATCTAAAGGAGAACGTGGCCGACCGGTGAGAACACAATAACGCACTATCCCTCTGCCCGTGTTTGTTATGATCCAAGAAGAGACATGATGAAAGTTGTGTGGATTCACGCACTACTCTCGATAATATCGTTATTTTTGTCGTATCTAGGGACCCCAAGGATCCACAGGAGACCCAGGGGAGCCTGGCAAGGATGGTTCAAAGGTGCATAACAGTTCTTTTTTTAACCTTCTAATCTTTGAGGGTTGACGGATTTATTTATTTTTTTCAGAAACGCCTGCAAAGCACTACGTAGTTATTTGCAAAAGTGGTATTAAGTAACCCTTTGGCTTTGTTCTGCCGTTTGAGATCTGCGTTTTCCTTTTTTTCGGATAAAACGAGTTATGTTGCATAAAACGTAAATCACGCTTTCTTTTCTATTTATCTCGTTCTGTATTTTTCCTTATCAGGGAGAGCCTGGTAAATCAGGCGCGGACGGTAAGGACGGTGCACAGGTGAGAGCTGAAATTTTCAAGTTCTCAGTTCTGGAGTAGAAGAGAAACATGATGGTCTTTTCCTTTCCATTAAGATCCCGCTACTCTGGGAGGTGAAATGCTAACACTCAAACAATTGATTTTGCAATTTTTCTTTGGATCTGAGCATTTTTCTTGATTCTTTATATTTAGGGTCAGCCAGGAACACCAGGGCCGAAAGGTGCCATGGGACCGCCAGTAAGAAACAAGTTTTTAAAGAGATTGTCTATTTGTTAATTATCATAAGTGTTTTAGTTTTTGAAAGTTGATTGGGAATGATTCTTGAAATTAAGCCTGAAACCCATAAGAGTGACTAGTGTCACCACTGATTATGAGACTGAAAGGAAATGATCTCCAACTGAAGAAATTCTTTCAGTATTTTTCCTTGTTAGTACCTAAGGAAATGTAAGAGAACAGTATGGAAAATATGCATACTGATGTAAGGGAACAAGCCACCTTAAGATTATTATTTCTAAGGGTCATTTGGTTGTTTCCTCAGGGACCCGCTGGACTCAAAGGAGTAGAAGGACCGATCGGTCCACCAGGAGCACAGGTAAAGCGATGAGTATTGGTCAGAGTTTCATTTTTTTTTCTTATTACATCCACCAGCAGTGCAATTAAATCGTCCATATTTTTTCAGGGGCCTCAAGGAATGCGCGGACCACCCGGACAACCTGGACCCCAGGGTCCTATAGTGAGTTCCCCAAACATATTTTTAAGCATTTTCAATGCGTTCTCCATTATTATTCGAGCTACAGATTATTTTCATTTTTGATCTTGTAAGAGAACATCCTCTACATCCACTTTTATAATTTGGGATAGATGTACTTCGTATGTGTAATTACATGATTTCGAGTGCAATTTGCGATAAATAAGCGCGATTAAGTTTTTCAAATGCGAACAAAATTGCATGACACCGTGGGTCTAGTCCAATTTGTAGTCTTTGAAAAAATTTACGAGTTTACGAGTTTGTTTTCCTCTTTAGTTGATTTTACCTTGTGACATAGTTCACTGGTTCGCCCGCTTGCCTTTGCCTTGTTGCCCGAGTAGTCGGACTTCCTCCACTCTCTTTCTCTGTTAAGTATCGGTCTACGGCAGTAAACTGTGCACGAAAGCACGTATCACGCTCGTATTCTTGCCGGTTTTTCTTCCGAACTGTCACCTAAAACTCCTCGTGAAGTTTGTTCAGAGCCTCCGATTCATACTTTACAATTCCCAAGACTTCCAGACTTTAAGCCATATGTTTGCGCTTTTTGATGATTTTGTTTTTAAAATTCACCCTCAAACTCGGAATTAAAACGTTTTACTTTCCATTTATCTGTTCGCCATTTTGGTTTGTTGGTCTTTCGCGACTCTCCTGTCAATATATTTAATTTCAACTTTCTGCACTGTTTGAGATTAAATAAAAATTTATGCATGCATTTCATTATGAAGTCAATGGAACTCTAACAATGATTATCAATCACGTGTCTTCTCGCAGGGGAGGCCAGGTCGCCAAGGACCTCAAGGACCAGCTGGAGAGAAAGGCAGTAGGGTGAGTGCACGTGCGTAGCACTCAACTTCAATTCTCTCTTCTAAATATCAAGTTAATTGCGCATGTCCTGAGTAACTGGTGTTTGACGAGTTCGCGAGTCATACTCGCGCGTGACTTCTGGCATGGCAAACTATTAGTTATTTAAAATTTGAAGCTTTCGCATGTTATCCTGTTAGGGAGAAGAAGGAGCTCGTGGAGAGCCTGGACCCGAGGGGAAAGCTGGACTTCCGGTATGTAACGTTGACATATTTCTGATCAATAATGATATGCTGATGGATGTTTCATAAAAAAATAGTTTTAGTTGTTAGGTAGAAAGAAATATTGTTCAGTAGTTCTTTCATCATTTGTACACAGTCCCTATGAGTTACTAAAACTTGCATCTCGTTACAGTAAGGCTACTGGTGAACGTTTTTGCTACAAACTGGACGCGTACCTGATTGTATTGAGCTGCATGAATTGATGCCGTTAGGGACTTTGCTTTAACCGTCTGCCAGCAAACACTTGACTGCGAGTAACTAATTATTTTCTTGTTTAGGGTAAACCTGGTGAGGAAGGACCAGCAGGCCCCCCTGGAGAGGAGGGTGAGAAGGTACGGGAAATGTTTACCTTTCTATTTCAAGAACTGCATTTAAGGTGATTCCTCAGTTTTGCACCGCGCATTCTGTATTGCGCATTAAAATCACATAATTAGGGGAATGAGCGTGCGTGTATTCCAAGAACGCAGTATTGTTTTTCAATCCATGGACCAAGTAAAGAGGTACGATGATCTTTCGCTCTTTAACGAGCACGGTGACCTATATTTTTTTCATTGTATGATTTTGGTGAACAAATTATCCCTTTTAAATTGGGGAAATTAAGGAAAAATTCTTCGAAGGGAAAAAAAGATAAAGCTAAAAGCGTGCACGAAACCCATTACTCGAGGATGCAAATTATGACCTTTAAAGGAACCACTCGATGAACGTTTTGAGTCGATTTCGTTTAAATTTGCGTGATTTTCCCACAAATTATATATCAAATTGTTCCATACGCTCCAGACTTTCTACCTATTTAGTTTTTTTCAAGTGTTACTTTAAAAACCCTTGCTTCTAGCTGCAGCAAAATGTAACGTGAACCGATGAAATGACGCGCGTGATTAGTGCCAGAACAGGCATAAATGGTGTAAGTTTGGCCCCATCATATGTCTTAAACAAGCACGATGACTCATTTTTTTTATTGTATTTTCCTGGTATGCGTGTAAGGCTTTTTCGAAATAAAGGTTGTAATGAAAATGCGGTTCCTCTTTTTCATTTTTTAAGCTGGTCTTCTAGTAGGACAGACCTGTTACAAATTATTCGTTTGTTCAAGGACACGAGTTTTGAATTTTTTTCCCTTCAGGGTGACCAAGGAACGTCAGGCATACCAGGGAAGAAAGGAGGACAAGGACCAAAGGTCATTTATGACGTGTTTAATAAAATCGAACGTAAACCGCTTTTCGTTTAAGTGAGGTGAAATCAAAACCAAACTGACTGATCACAACGCCCATTAGCCTTTTAACTCCTGTGGGTGACCAAGACAGAGTTTCTCCTTACAATATCAATGCAATATCATGCAGACAAGTGATGAGAATAATGAAATTATCTGGGGATTAATAGTTGATTCAGTGCCAAATTCTCCGAACGGATTTCATTAGAATTGTAGGCAGACATTAAGAAGAATTACAAAAGAGATCTCGGGAATGAAACGGTTGATGTTCATGGCTTCGAGAGGTCAACTCAACAGCACCGTTTTTCACTATCAACAATAAAAGTTAATCAGAATGAACGGCAAAGTTTTTATTTCATCTAAAGAATGTAGACATTATTTGGAACTCAGTACGATTCATATACTCTCGAATTTGCGCCCGAAGCGTTTTTCAAAATTAGGTTTGGACAGGAATATTCCGAATCGCGGGTGAGAATTTACAACATTCGCTGTGTACTGATTAATGCGGAAGCTAATCTTTAAGCTTCAAGTGCGCCTTAAGTGGTTATTTGCCAAACCCATCAACTGATATTACCTTACCTTTTCAGGGACCTCCAGGCCCCGCCGGACAAACTGGCCTACCGGGAAAAACTGGACCGCCTGTAAGTACCACAAACTGAGCAGAGAGCTTAAAGGCACTGTGCTACGAGTTTTGAAGTATGGAACGCATTTCGATTGAGCGTCGTTACACAAAAACCAATGAATTCAAAAGAGCCAATCAGAGCAAAGGAAAGTATCACAAGAAGCCAATGATAACTCAAAGTTAAAACAAGCAAACAGCCTAAAGCGCGGGAAAACGCGAGTGACCAAGTCAAGTAAAACCAAAGCAATCCCCGATTACTTTCGGGATTGAAAATTTCTCTGTGTTGTAAGATATTGGTTCTGTGAGATGGGAGAACTTTACAATAGTAAGAATGAGGATAGCAGTAACAAAAATAACGACAGATAAAGAAGATTACAACAGGTTGGAAAGTACGACTTTTGAGGTATTTGAGGTCACCTTTTGAAATATGCACAACAGATTTCAAGCGGTTTGTTTGTTATCTGTTGAAAATTTTCTCCATTTTCGTGCGTTCTCCATTCTATTTTCATTTTGGTTCAGTGGTACCTTTTTAAAAAATTTGTATATAATATGTTGCGCGACTTGTCTACCATGTCTCTCACCTTTGCAATTTAAACCGGTGCGGTTCGTTAATCAAGGATCGCTGTAAATTATAATATCACTGCGATGTTGTTAATCACTTATGCTTCAATTTTTAAGTCACTTTTTTTTGTCCATAGGGCCCACCCGGTGAGATTGGACCCCAAGGGGCCACTGGTCCAAGGGGTGAGAAAGGGAGCGACGGAGGACGCGGACCACCCGGGCCTAGTGGATCTCCGGGAGTTCCGGTAGGAAACAAATCTTTGACTTCTCTTAGCGCCAGAGCTAAGGGTGAAATAGCAGTTAAAATTAAACGCAGTGAAAACGTTGTGGGTGTTTTTTCATGCATCATGATGTAAGGTATTGAATGATTTTTATTCTTACTTCGAAGGGCGTTCCTGGACCCAGAGGACTGAAAGGTGAAAGAGGACCCGGTGGTCCACAGGTATGTTCAAAAATTGTTGTCTCAGTCGTACGCGGAAGGGATTGTTGTGGATCACGTGTTTTTAATTTCTATAGTTTCGGTTGCGCATGCGTTTAAAGAACTTTCTAATTGAGTGTTGTAAACTCAGACTGTCGCAAACGGTACAGCCAATCCAAACAAAACCGGAAATGAGAAGCAACGAGAATGAGAACTCGAAGTAAGTACATGTAACCGACTTCAAGCGCGAGGAAACGTGGCTAATCAGCTCGCGATTGTGTTAAGTAACACATCTGATTGGTTGATAACATGACGCGAATTTTCTATGCCAATCACATGGTAAAGTGAAGCTCAAAGCAACACAATCTTGGGTTAATTTTTTACAACTTTCAATTAAATATGTGTGAGAAATCAGTTAGCTTTTCTTAAATCTGTTGTCTGTCAAAGGAGCGCCTTAATCGATAATTACAACGATAATGCAACCTATAATTCAGTTAACACATAAGATTTGAGTTGTGTTGACGTTAGAGTAAGAGATTCTGTGGCGCAAATTTCATTTTTTTGTGTCAAGTTATGACCAAGTACTTTGATTAGGATGTGCTCTCCTCTTTCCTAATGTTGTCTCAGTTGTCAGCAAAGCAAAAAAGGCTTACTTTGCGCTACATACCTTAACAATCAATATTTTGTTTAGAAAAACTGGCTTCTCAATCACTTAAATATTTTCCACCATAAAGGGACCTGATGGATTATTACTTTATTTACATCATGGTGCCGCGATAGTTTCATCATTGCGATGTAACTCATTCTAAATTTAGATTTTGAAAAGTTTGTTACATTGTTTGATGTCATTATTTCGTTGTTCTCATAGGGATCTACAGGATTACCAGGTCCTCGCGGCCCACCAGGACCGGCGGGAGCTAAGGTTAGTGACATCATTAAAGATATCATCCATACGTCAGGTTTATGTGGCCAAAAACTGTTACTTGTCCTAGTGTTTCAATGGTAACTCATTGAATAAGAGTGTGTTTGAGACAATGAAAACGTAACGAATTTGAACTCCACAGGGAGACCAAGGTGAACCTGGTGAAACCGGTACTGATGGGCGACCTGGAGAGAAGGTGAGTGGCTTCATTATCATCCCTTAAAATGAATACTCTTTTCTGTTGGATCTCTTTTTGCATTACATTTTTGGTATTTGAGATAACTTGGATAGAATGTTATATGCTGTTCTAGAAGTGAATTTGGTTTCATAGGGAGATCAAGGGCCGAAAGGTGACGCAGGCGCCCCAGGGCAGCAAGGCCCACCGGTAAGCTTTTAATTTTATCTGTTTTCGTTTTGATATGTTTAAGAAACAATAAACCTCGTTTAGCCTGTTGCAGCTTACGTTCTCACGTGAATGCAATACTATCGAATGTCTTAGAGTCCGGTAGGTAAATAAAAATGCTCATATACGTATCAAGGACGGGGACTAGGAAGGCTGTAAAGGAAATTGTTTGAGGTTTTTAAAACCCTTTACACCCTGACAATACAACGTCGTCGCTTTTCACCACTAGCTAGGTATGTTAATTCCTGGTTATTACACCACGTGAATTTCTTTTACAGGGCCGAGCTGGTCAAGCGGGATCAAAAGGCGACCGAGGGGACCCCGGTCCGCAGGTATGTTCAGATTGTGCAAATTTCTTTTTTTCTCCTTTTCATAAGTTTCTCAAAACAGTGTAGTCGATCAGGGCTGCATTATAAAATTATTGAACGAGACGTTTTCCGTAAAATAGAAGAGGAAGCCAAGCAACTGAGCAACTTTTTCTTTGGTTGAGCTGCATTCCTTTTCGTGTACTCGAGAATTAAACTCATGAAGCAGTATGGTTAGAGCAGTTTCAACATATTTTTTTTGTGTAAGAGTTGATGTAATAATGCTGAAAACCAGAGAAACGCGCTCCAGCCGGAGGCGAAGCTTTGGAGATGTAAGAACATGACCTTTGGTTGGTGAACACCGGGAACCCTCTAGAGGACTTGAAATTTGTGTTATATACTTTAATTGCGTTGCTTTCTTTGCTAGGGTCCCCCAGGACCACGAGGTCCCGCCGGCGCACCAGGACTCAAAGGACCAGTGGTGAGCATTTTTGAAATGTTGTGTATAATCAAGGCTATATAATACTGAGCTCTAAATTCTGGGTCATGATTTTAGGGTGCATCTGGACCCCCAGGACCTCAGGGCCCACCAGGGCCACAAGGTACTAAGGTAAGACTTTGGAACTGGCGTGATGTGGAGTTCTTGATATTGTGTAAACCATTTTCAGACAATCAACACTCTGTGAGGTGCGTTTATATGCAACATGTTTATGTACCTGCACTTTAACCCTACTCACGGAGAGAACCGTTATGAAGAATTACAGAATGTATTTGTTCATGTAAATGAGAGAGTTCCAATTTTTTTTTGTTTTCGTTTTTTTTTCTTTTAAAAGGGAGGTCCTGGTGCAGAGGGAAAGGACGGACAGCCAGGTCCCCCAGGAGCAAGAGTAAGTTTTCGTTTGATGGAAGATATGATTGTTTCATTTTTCTGGAACTTGTTGGATTTTTAATGAGACGTCGTGGCATCAACTTTTAAACTTTTAAAGATATTTTGCTTGACATGAAACAATTTAGTCATTTTTTATGATGGGTTGTTATAAATTTCATGAACACCAGAATATATTCGAAATGTAATTTTTTTTATCACCAATCACTTTAGAGATCTGGAAATGTTAAAAAAAAACACACACAAATCCACAAGCTTATTGGCGTACCTGCGCATGCGTACAGTTATGATTTCTCACGCCTAATTAGCTTTATTTCCTTGACACGATTACATTTTTTTCTCGATTTTAAACCTTATTTTTGAGTCTTGCGGTAGAAAAAAAAATGAGCTTTTGGTATATTTTATTGTTTCACTTTCTACCCAGGGTCCTCCAGGCGCCAGGGGAGATGATGGAAACCCCGGCAGTCCGGGTGAGCCGGTAAGTAAAGCTGTGTTGATGACACAAGTAGTTACTTAGTCTCATTCTGTCGCACGTTGTCGTTGCAGGGAGAGCCTGGGCCTCGTGGATTCAGTGGATCTGATGGCGATCCTGGTGACAAGGTAAATACATCATCTGCTTTATGTAGGCCGCATTGAATTCAAGGGCTGGCAAAGTCTAATTTCTTTTGATTTTCGTATGAAGTCGTTCTTTGTCAGTGATGCATGCTCCCTTTGTTGTCATGTTTATCATAACGTTTTTTTTTCTTTCTTTAGGGTGACACTGGTCCACTGGGTCCCCCAGGGGTGGCAGGTCCTCCTGGCCCTCCGGTAAGAATTACTTCTACGCAGCCTAAATTCAAATTAGTGGGACTGCAGCTCGCAGTAAAGTTGTTTAAAAGAACAGCAATCGTATTGTTGCGAGAATGAAAGAGGATGGGGTGTCCACTCTGCTGGCGAGTGAAATGAATCTCAAAAGATTCCTTCTCCGCTCCCACTCCCCCCAATTACTCACGGGCTGCGTGCGCATCACCCCTGCTTCTTCATCTGCATTGGTGAAATAGAGAGGTGGTTCGCATTCTTTGTTTGGTAAAAAAAAAAGGAAAATAAAAAAGGTGCAACAGCAAAATATGATACTCTTGGTTTCTTCTCGTTTGAGATGATACTTGCGTGTGAAAATATCTGGACTTCATCTTGATCCATAAAAACGTCAACGACAGAACAAAGATCTCGGTCATTATACAGAGTTTTATTCTTCATCCTTGTTCAGTAATGGAAGTGTCCCAATGCAGAAGGTCCATTTTGGTTGTTTGGTACCAGAAGCAAAAAAGAGGCGAAGAATTAACAGAGTGTGGAATATTTCTGCTATTTTCACTTTTCACCTTTCAGAAGAAAATATCATTAGGTAGCCTCGAGGTGAAAAGAACTAAGAATAATCAGTGTGTATCTATACCATACTTAACGTTTGGTCAGCTTGTCTTACTTAATTACCCTGATGATCAAACACTAATCATTATGGATGTCGATTTCAGGGACCAAGAGGGGACAGGGGACCGGTCGGCGAAAGAGGAACCCCCGGTTCTCCGGTAAGTGGAGTAATCCCGTCATCGGTCTTAATCAGTACAATTGCAAACTTAAGAAGGGTTGAATCCTGCAACTCGCATTTGCCTTCTTCAAATATTCAGTTTTTCCTGAGAACCATACTTGATGTATAATTGCCACGCCTCTGGAGGGGATCTAAAGTGTAAGCTTTCGTTCTGAAAGCACGTTTGATATTGCCCTGGGTAATACGGTTATGATTTTTATTATTATTATAATTATGTTAGGGTGATCCAGGACCGCAAGGATTGCCGGGACTTCAAGGACCGCGCGGAAACACTGTAAGTATCTACCATAATAAGCTGCGAAATGAGGGAAATAGAGGAAAAGAAGAATGAACTTAAATTTGCCTCGCTCTCAACATGTGGCTTCATAGTTCAGTTGGTAGTGGCGCTCAACTAGTATTTAAAAGCCACCAGTTCGAAACCAGTGGAAGCCTAAATTTTTCCAGGTTCCTCTTTTTGCAGTTGTTTAGTTGAGGCTTAGATCATTTATTTACTTCGTGTAGTGTACAGCATAAGACAGCTCTGGTGACAATTCTTGTAAAGTGAGCTAACGAGAAATTCACTGACGCCAGCAAAAGCAAATATCACAATATCACAATGGACCAATAACAGCTTGAGGTAGAAACGTGCTTCGAGTTGATTGAAGCGCGAGCTAACGCGCAACAGCATGCTTGTGATGGGCTCATTCACTTTTACTAATGTTCGCTTTAGCCAATAGGGTGTCTTATCGCATTGTTTATGGCCCGTGGAAGATATCATCCTTGCAAATACATGGAAACCCAATGCAGACAGGCAACTGCTTTTTAAAATACTTGGGCTGGATTATTCGAAAGAGACTTTCACAAAGTCAGGATTAAACATTCAACTAGGTTTTAATTCCTCTGCTACAAAAGTGTGTACAATGCCGACTTTCTAGGTGGTTTAATTCATTGTGAGACAAAACTTACGTGCTCATGAGCATGAAGCCTCTCTGCCAAGTCATAAAACTAAACGAATAATTTACCACGTGCCTGTGTTAGATTAATCATGATTGAAACAACCCAGCCGTGTCGCTTCGGTGCTGGGAGGCTTGTTTTCCGATGTCTTCAACGATATATTTTACTATTAGGGTCCAAAAGGAGAGAAAGGGTTGCAAGGATCCCAGGGAGAAAAAGGAGACAAGGTAAGGAAAGAAAAATTGAAAATAAAGCAAAACGCAATAGTTCCTTTTGAAAGAAAAACCTGCAGATAGAGTTAAACTCTCAGTGACTTACGCTGGTATATTATTACAATGGAGACAAGACAAAAATAGCATCGTTTTTTTACATCAAATTTATTAACTTAACTCAGGTCAAGTAACTATTGGTTGCACAGATTTCAGCCTAGATAAATCACCACATTGAAATTAAGTAATGAAAATGATAACACCTTAATTATGATAATAATGATACTTAATATATGTAGCGCTATTTCTATTGCTATCCAAGTGATTTTAAAATATCTCACGTAGAAATGTCTAAAACATGAATAAGAAAAACTAACTAATAAAATGACTAAGCTGTCAAAATCAGAATCAAAACTAAGAATAATAAAACCATGCAAATAAAAACTTACTAGCTACCTAAATAACTTATTAACTGACTAACCAGTGATAAGTTATCTAGTAAAAAGCTTTCTTAAAAAAACTTTCCCTAAAGCTTTTCCCAAAAAAGCTTTCCTAATGGTGGGTAAGAAAGTGTAAGCCAAATAGCTAAGTTAATCTGGTGTATGATCCTGATGAATTCTCTTACCAGGCAAGTGTGTGAGACAAGGTCACATCTGATAGAGTATAATAGGAAAGATAATTACAAGTGATGAATAGTATCTTTGTATAAGATCCGATACGTGTAATACCCCATTTACACCAAAGCTTGAACATGTCTTAAAGTTGTTTTGTCAAACACAGTGTAAGTTTTTTTTGCTTCATAGAAGCTGCTTAACCTAATATTTATTGAATTAAAATGTAGCGCACCGGAAAAACAAGTTAGCAAGTATTTGAATCCTAAACGGTTAAGAATATATGAAAGTCATATATTTGAACTGCGGATAAAGATGTGAATGAAAGTGATCCTCGCAGTAATGTGCACTACTTAGGCAGTAGTGAAAATAAGGCCTGAAAAAAAAATTCAGGCCTGTACGGGATTTGAACCCATGACCTCTGCGATACCGAATCCTATGGAAAATTCAGTGTTTGAGTTTTCTATTTATGATTTTCACTCAGTAAAAACTTGTTTAACAAAACTGGTTTTGGTGGTATAAGCGATACAGTTAACCTTTATTTGTCGTTTTCTTTAGGGATGGCCTGGTTTCTTCGGTCCTACGGGAGTTGCTGGCCCATCTGGTGATAAGGTGTGTAAAACTAATGAAGGGGGTTACTTTCTGAAGAAACTGTGGTGCTTCATCAGTGGGAGGTGTTACATGATAATTTGGTTTTCATAACCAAAATTGGCCAACGTAAAGAGTATCTAAAGCTGACGTTTCGACCGCGAACCCCTCGTCAGAGTGAATGAAACTAAGTTCATCAACTTATGACAGGCCCCCACGGTGGAAACGCTAATGGTCTTACTTATTACCGATTAAATCCTTTCGCTGCCTCAGATTTAAAAATCAACCCTTCGCACTGTGTGCCATACATTTCTTACAGTTTCCCTCAAATAACATCCCCTACTTAACATTTTTTTTTCCTCTTATTACTCATCTGCTTGAAAATTTACTGATGTGGTAAGGAGAAATTTCTTTCTGGTCATTCCTGACAGTGAATGGTCGTAAAAGGATTTTTTGGTACAGTAATATGTCGTTCTGTTGAACAACTCCGTGCCATTATGAAACGATGGTAAAAGTAGAGTAGACAGAGTTATTTTAATTATATCTATTAGATTGTCACTCAACATATACACAAATGCTGGGGAATACAATTGAATCACACACACGTTTTTGAGATTCTTTCGTTTCTATAGCAACATTTAACATGCTAACTGTTTCTCTCCTAGGGTGACGTTGGTCCTCCCGGACCCCAGGGTTTCCCAGGACCCAAAGGTGACAGAGTGAGTATCAAAACAAAGTGAACTTCACTTGACCAGTACAATTAAGCTGTAAACAGGCTTTGCCACTTAGTACTTTTGCTTTTTACTTTTTTTTTTTTTTTTTTTTTTACGTAATTTGGGTTTTTTTGTTTATTTTTGTGTTGTGTTTTATTTGTCTGTACCTTTCCTAGGGTGACATTTTGGTTTTGTACTTTATCTATCTAACGCTGCAGTTTTGTTGGATAATCATAAAATTGAATCAGCCATATACAACATAATAGGCAGTGCCTATCGCAGGGAGCAATTTGCCTGCACCATCCGCTTCTTCTTGATATCAGCATCCTGCAGACATTGTTGAGCCAACCCCGTAACTCTCGGGACAAAGTGTTTTGGACATTATACCCCCTCCTACCCAAACATTTTTATTTCTCGTAAATGTAGCTCCACGCACGTTTTCCAATATGTCGACTCACAGAAACTATTTCATGTGAAACTGCTGCCAAAACTGTTATATATATATATATATATATATATATATATATATATATATTATTATACTTAAGTGCATTACATTGTCAGGAGCTCCTGACATTGTAAATCGATTATTAGTACTAGATGGCTTAATGCTCGGAGATTTTTCTGATTTACGCGGCTTTAAACTGGGTTGAGTTTCATCAACTAAATGTTGTGACTTACTGGGTAGTCTCTATTTTAATGGCGTCTTTATTCTGTCCCAGGGTGAGGACGGGGACGACGGACCTGCCGGACCACCAGGGCCGTCAGGGCCTAGGGTGAGTAATGGTTATTTTTAGAGTAGATTCTAATTACTGTATGGTTTGATGAAACTCGTGTATAGGTCCGCAATAGTATTTTTGATGTTTTGCGATTATAAAGTACAGTGTGGACTTACCGGGTAACTAAGACAACTACTGTCATTCAGACCAATAAACGACACGATCAACAGTTCCTCTAGGTTCCAACTATTTGTGGCTCCCGCTTACAGTGTTGCGTTACTTTGTGCGGTAATTCGCGCCACATACATTGCGTTACATAAGTCTATTCGTTGCTAGGTTTTGACTGACATTCATATACGTTGCTATGGGCCACGTGCACCCAGATCAGATGAGTTTGGAGGGGTTGTTTTTGCGAGTTTGTGTCGAGTAAGAAAATTCTGTCTTTCGGTAAAGACAAGTACAATTTACGAACCAGAAAGTGTGTTATGGTCGCCACAGCGACACTATTTATTATTTAAAGAGAGAATTACTCAGAATTGTTTTTACTTTATTTGTAGGGAAGCACTGGTCTACAGGTTTGAAAATTGTTTACTTCTGTTGTCTTGTTGTGAAACTTATTTTTCGCTGTTTTTGTCCCGTCCTTTTTCGTCTCAACTTTGCTTAGTGCTGACGTTTGTTTCATTTCTGTTTCAACAGGGTACCAAGGGAGATAGAGTAAGTACAAAAAATGAATCCTTAACCCTTTGGCCCTCAAGAATGACCAGCATCTAATTTCTTCCTACAGTATCAGCCATGAATCACACATTAAGGTCATGAGAATAAAGGAAATGATCAACAATGAAAGAGGCTATTGATTGTTAGAGAAATTCTCCTCGTCAGCACCTTTGGAAAGTATAGAGAACAGTAAAGAGAATATCCATGTTGATGTCAGGATATAAAGAGAGGTCCGAGTTCCAGCTCAGGGTGGGCTTATTGTGTTGTGGGGAGGGGTGCGAGGCTTGGCAAGCATCTCATGCAGAGGGAGTAGCAATAATCCCTATCTTAAGCGTTGTGGTTCACATGTCCCTCGATAAAGACTTTAGTGTTCTACGGCAAGCGACTGGCTTTGAGAAGAACTGTTTCATTTTCCAACTTTCTTCTTCAACTAGCCCTGTTCGATAAGCCATGTAAAAAAAAGTTATATTGGTAATGCCCCTTTGAAAAGCCTATTACCACTGATTAAAAAGACATCTTGGTAAAACGTTGCAAAAGTACTTTTGTTTTTCTTTGAATATATTTTATATTCATACTGTTAAGACGTCGGTAGGCTTACTTGTCTCAAACGCGTTTTAATGTTTGTTCTCCTCCTCTTCCCTTCAGGGACCACAAGGAGAAAGGGTAGGTTTTGAAAAGAGTTGTTGTGTGTGCCCGGCTAGATCATCATGTGATTACAACAACTGTAATATTTTTTCTCCTGGATTGTCACGTTTATTTGTTTGTATTTTTATTTTCATGTCTCTGACCGGGGTTTGTCTTACTTTTATTTCAGGGTGACCAAGGCACTCAAGTAAGTGATTTTATAAGTTGAGCTCTGACAGATTGTGCGATCAATTTACAGTTGAGTTTTGAAAATAATCTGTGTAAGGGTTAGGTGGTTTTACTTCACGCTGTGATCAGTTTAACCCTTTAAACCCCAATCTAATTTCTCCATACAGTAATGCTGCTGAATCATTCATTAGCACTGTGAGAATAAAAGAAATGATCACCAACCTAAGAAGCTTTGATTGTTAAACAAATTCTCCTTGTCAGTACCAAAGGAAATGTGTGGAGAATGTAGATATTGATGGAAAGGTGTAAGGGGTTAAGAAAACTGGCACCATGTTAATTTTAAGTATGAAGGCTTTTGGTTGAGGCAGTCTCTCTCTTTTTTATCATCCGATTGTTTTAGCGTAATCTCTGCTATCTCTCGCTTCCCTGCTCCATTGCCTTCGTGGTCCTTCTCTTCTTCTTTTCTCTTTTCTATTTCCTTTTCTCATAATTTTGTTTTCCATTTATTTTTCTTTAGGGACCTCCAGGCCCACCGGTAAGAAGTAAACTATTTGTTAATCAAACATTTATAATTAACGTGCAATTTCTCCCCGCTGATTTAATGAGAGCTTTTTCCTTGAAGGAAAACGCCCCATCCCCCATCAATTAAATGAAGAAGTGCACGCAATAAGATTGCGTATTGCACGTTGCGCAACACCAAGGATTGACCTTTAAATAAAGACCTTTTGCAGCCATTCGGTGCACAGTACATCCAATGTTCTCTTCAGCTTACAGAAAAAGTGCCTATTTGATTACTTGTGTCGAATAATTGACGACAACTTTCTGAATTCCTTTCTGTGAAATTGTTTTTCAGGGACCTCCAGGAGACATCGTAAGTAGTGAAATGTTGTCACCTTCTTAATTAAAGGTTTTCGACTCACCATTGTGCGAAATTATATGTGTACAGACGTTCACATGGCCTTAAGGGAAGCATTCTCCACCCACTCTCCCCAACCCCCTTCCCCCCTCTCCTTCCCATGTCTTGGAATTATGCGGTGTTGGCAAATTAAAATTAAATTTCCTTGGCTCATACCGCACGTGGCTACAGAGAACGTTTTATGATAACTAAATGAGGGATACTTATCTTGGTGCTGGTGATAAATTGACTGAACATGTCAATATGCGATGATATTACGGTGCAGAAAACAATTATTTTCTGGTTCCCTTTATTTCGGCTGAGAAAATAATTTTTCTCCTTGCATTTAACAGTTTAAATGTGCTGGAGCTCTTTCTCACTTAAACACGAATATTAGCCTCTTAGCCAACTTATACATGTTAGAATCAATCAATTAAAGATAATGTTCTTTTCTGGGGTCGTGAAGCTATACTTCGACTAAATCATTGTTCAGATAATGTTCACTCTTCTCTTTTTGCTTTTGCTAGAGTTCATTCCTAAGCAGTGGCTACTTTGTGCCCGGCCGCGTAGAAGTTGGTGCGGACAAAGGAAACACCAGAAAGAGAAGATCTGTGGATTCAACACACGACACAGACTCTCAGGGACTGATCCAGTCGCTCAAGGATGAAATCGAGAGTATTAAACGACCAAGTGGAACAAAAGCTAACCCTGCACGAAGTTGTAAAGATCTGCACTTATGTCATGGCGACTTGAAAGACGGTAAGTGTTGTTGAAACCTCCAGTCGGGCGCCATGGATATCCCATGTACCTAGTAAGGGTCGAGGAGAAGAAGCTAATGAATCGAAAGGTTCGAGAACTGTCTGGGCCAAGAAGACATTCAACTCTCTTTATCCACTTGAGATTGACCCTTTACACCCTAACATCAGTGTGCAGATTCTCTATACTGTTATCTATACATTTCCCAAGGTGCTGACAAGGAGAATTTGTTTTACGATCAAGAGCTTCTTTAGTTGGTGATCATTTCCTTTATTCTCGTTGTTTAATTCAGGGGTGACATTTTATGGGGAATTTAGATGCCAGTCACTCTTAAGGGTTAAGAGGTTAATAGTCGGTATTGGCGAACTGTCAAGGAAACTCAACTGTTGTTTGCGTGCGTGCTACTTGGTTTAGTCCAAGAGCACGCCTAGTTTTTCTCTCTAGAAACCGAGATGAGCTTCTACTGTAATTGGACTTTAGTCTCGTCAGAGTTTGCCTTACCTGAACTAAACCGACTTCTGCTTCCTTCTTTTCTTCAATAAAAACATGTAGGTTTGTACTGGATTGATCCAAACCATGGCTGTATCGAAGATGCTATTCAAGTGCACTGCAACTTTACTGCTGGCGGACAAACCTGTATTTCTCCTGATGTCAACACTAAGCGCGTATGTACAACACCTTAATTTATCGTGCAAAAATCCTTTACAGAGCCCATGTCTTTCCTCCGTCAGTATCTTGTTTGTAGTAGTCTCCCTTGTTGCCTCTTTTTGCAAGATGTCTGAGAACAATTCTCAAGAAACGTCACGTAAAATTCGACTTAGGAAGAGAAGATTTTTGTTAGGTTTCATGTAGCCCGATTTTCCTGTCTTTCTGTGACACCACTACTTTTATTACTAATTTTATGACCTCACTTTAAGGCGATAAAATTGGATGTGTTTTTTTCATATGTCAAAAATGAGCAGGCTGCTAACAAAAAGTGGAAGAAACTCACCGGATCTGAGTGGTTTAGCGAATATGAAGATGGTTATGAGGTGACATTTTTTCCTTCGTATATTTTCATTTACTTAGCATTCATAAGTTTCTGATTGTTAGTTGGTTTGGTTGTTTTCCATTGCATAAAAGTGATTCTTTATATCTTTTTTCCAGATCTCGTATACGGGTGTTGGTAAGACGCAATTGAATTTCTTGCGGTTACTTAGCGAGAAAGCGACGCAAACATTCGACCTGACTTGCAAAGGATCTCAAGGGTGCTTCGACAGTAAGAGTAACGCGCTGGAGAAGGCCATCAGACTACAAGGAGCTAATGATGGCATCCTTTCTTACATGAAAAACGATCCAACCGTCAAGATTACAAAGGTATGAGCGGATAGCTATGACAAGTATGAAGATGACACAGTTTTAGCCAAGTCTTAGAATGCATCTCGAGTGAATAAATTTTTTCTTCGGTTCATACCGATCAAGCGAAGTATAGTTTGCGCCCCGACGGACATACGCACTGTCGTCGCTCGAGAACCAGGGTTTCTCGGTGTGATGGATTGCCATGGATTCTTATGTATGGGACTCCTCCGGTGCACATAGTTATTGCGCAGTAACTTCGCCATGACAAGACGTGCCCGGGTGGTTAGTCCATCGGATGGTTAGACGATTGATCAAGCTCCGATCGAGAAATCGACACCCTGAAGTTTATTTTGTATTTCAAGATTTCACGATTATCTGCTAAAGGATATGTCATGTTAAAACACCCTTTCAACTGTGTTCTTTGGTGAGTAAACTTACAGTGAAGACGAGGCCTTCAAACTCTGGAGTTATTGCGCACGAAGTAAGCGCGCTAGAAAAGCCCCATACCTAAGAACCTCTAGCAACCCCATACCTTTCTTGAACGTTCTTTTACAAGATAATTAACCACGAGTGAACGAGGATGGTCAATGATTGGGGAGTATTGACACGCATTACATTCGACAACTTTGTTTTTTATTCTTTCCTTAGGTCCGAACAGACTGGAAAGCAGTTGTTCACGTAGAAACCGAAGACCTCAATCAAATGCCCATAGTGGACTTCGCCCCTGGAGAATTTCTTACTTCCAATGAATTTGGTTTTGAAGTTGGACCTATTTGTTTTAGTTAGTTCTTGTTGTAACTCAGTGTCTTTCCTCTTTAAATTAACTCTCGAGTGAAACTATTAAATAAGATGTTCCTCTGAAAGGTATATGGTTCTGCGTAGTGTTGTAGTTTTTATCCTGTTCAAATAAAAGTCGTCATAGAATTTCCTTAGTTTACCAATGAAACACCAGAGACAAATAATCATAATAAAGTGTCATCCGTGTACAATATCTGTTATTAGCGTTTCGTTAAGGCTAAACACAGGAAAATATGAATAAAAAATGGAGAGAAAGACTCTGGTTGAAACGCGCGGAATTATATTCAGTAGTAAATGCCTCATTGGCGCTTGGGTGTTTGTTTTAAATTCTCGCGTATTGTTTGAAGTTGCGAGACGAAGAGGAACCTTTGAGGAAAAGATTTCTAAAAATGACTAAGTCAGATTTCATTAAACTTTGTAATATTTTGTTGACTTCAAGGTATGGTTTGTGTTTGCAAGAATTATATTTATCCGAAAATAAAGTTACCCAGTACGAGAGGTTTCATCCCTTTTATCCACCCAGCACTGGTTCATTTACAATTTCAACTAGTTTAAAAAACAAGGAAACAAAACAAACAAGAAAAGAAGAGTTAAAACAAACCAGCCTGATTCAAATTCTGTCAAAAGGGCCAAGAAATCACATGGTATGAAAACGGCAATGTTCACAAAACATTTGGTAATAAGAAAATGTATCCTCTACACACGAACTACCGACGAGAGCCTCGGCACTCGAGTAAACACCGAATGTTTTGCTGTTCATAAAATAAGTAGCGTGAAAATTATTGCATTGAAGCCAGCTTTCAGATAAACAGTAGAAAGCTATAACGACTTGGTTGGTCCAATTCTCAAATCATTTGGCATTTTAACCCTTTCACTTCAAGATCCAAGTGTTAATTCTCTGCACTGGTTCAATCATTACCGCAACCAAAATTGACATTCTACTTGAAAATGTATCGAAAATGATGTTGTCTTGAGAAATTACTTTTTGATTAATCCCGGAGTGAGATGCCCTCGTTCAGTCTACAATATGACCTGTGCTCCTGTTTACATGTGGGAAACTGAATTGATTTTATATGAATTAGAAGTGAACTTATGGATATGCAACTGGATTTTGAGGACATACCAATAAGCAAGAAAGTCGACTGTGTATAGAAAACAACTTATCCTCTGGGTCGCAATTAATGATTGTATAATGTTCCACGCATTTAATTCTAATTCTGTCAGACGAAGTCTATGAAAAGGACCTGAATAATCGGACGACACTCGGTCAGGTGATGGAATACTCCCTCCAACTCACGTGAACCTTCAGCCGTGCAGCTAAATTGCTGCAGAGATTTTCTACATTTTGGTCCTTATTTAAAAGGATTTATCTCGAATCGCAAAAATGTTACAAATCTCTTTTTCGAGATACCGATTCAACTTCCGGCCACTATGTGACCCTGGTAACCGTACCATTTTAAGCAGATACTAACCTGCATGTTTGGTGAGACTTGCATTTCCTGTTCATATTTTGCAATATACAGTATCGTCTGTACCGCACCCAAACAGGCATATGATACAAGAAAACATGAACTGGTCCCTTGTACGATGCAAATGATTTTTATGATAAAAGACATTGAAATGTAATAACTGCCAGTTGATAAAAACTGTTCGTTTTCCCGTTATCACAGCTGTCAGGTGACGTGAATAGTCCAATATTCATGTTATTAACTGTTGTGACATTCAGTGGTAAGGAACCCTATTCCATAGGTTTATCTATACCTTTTGTAAAAATACTTATCACAAGTGCGACAGTTTGGTAAAAACTAGATGGGTCGGTACGAATTTCTTGAGATATGAATACAAGACCTGTCTTGGAATAAAATAACTCAGGTATTCACCTGCAGAGGAGTAAACAGTAGTTTTTGAAAAATAATCAGAAACACGAAGCTTTACAAAGACAGTCTCTCGCATTGTTTGCTTAGTTCTAATTTGTGTTTACTTACGCCTGCTATCAAAAAAAAAAACTTTCGGGATGTTTATTACATCCACACGAGGCTCTCAGATTTCTTGAAGGGATCGAGTTACTATAAGACGCGCTGGCCGCGAGAAAAAAAATCGAACCACGTATCAAACTCGGGAACGAATTTCAAGAAAATGTTCTTCAAGGTGCTGTTTGTCATTGGAATTATGCTCCCAGAAATCTCTTCAGACATTGTCGACTTAAACAGTAAGCTTATCATTTGATATTTTTGGATCTGTGACAGTTAAGAATTTACCATTTTCTTTATCTCGTTTATTTCTTTACTCAACGCCCCTCACGTTCTCTCGAAAAAAAAATGAAAATCCTCCTATCTATACCGCTTTCGAATTCTGAAAAAAAAGAGAGCAGAAGACAGCTTTGACTATGAACATCTCCCGCTAACCGAGTTCGAAATCATATTGTAAGTTACAGACCGAGTATTTTCCCCTTCGATTTAAGGACTAAGAGCAAAAGAGGGCCAGAATTCATAGGAACAGAAAGGAGATACATTACTGACAGTACGGACTTGGACGAAATAGTCGCTAGTATGGCCTACTTTACAGAACTCAAATGAAAACCAAGTAGAGTGGCTTGATTCAGTATAGCTCGACAGTGGTTTTTAAATGTCTAATCTAATTCTATCACGCCCAATCAAAACGACTATCAAAACGAAAGTCCAATCCCCGCACTTGAAATTAGTTTGCCATGCAAAGAGCGTGCCGTTTGAAATCAAGTCGTGCTATACTGCAGTGCGGCACGGTAGGGCCTAGCTTTCCGAAAGTACTTGTAAGCGTCGTGTTGCTATTGTGCTTGGCACGCTAATAGCGCGACGTTTGAAACGACGTTTTAGATAATTCTTATGTCTATGCCGATGATTGTGGTAGTTTTGGAAAACGATTTCTTCGGCTTCAAGTGGCTGACGGAAGAGTTTAAAATTACAATTAAAATGAAAAGTAAGAAAAAATATCTGCTTCCATTTTCCCACGCCGAAATGAATCAAATGAATAGTATATCCTTTAATTTTCTTCACTGTCAGTAACGGGCTAAATGCTTCATTTCTGAGTGTTTGTTTTTAAGATTTCTTCCTGAGCAGATCTAGAGTAATTGTTCGGAAGTTCAATGTAAACTCCTCCTTAACAGGTTTGAAATGTAAAGGACAGAACTCACCAGCCCATGGTAGTCTGACCTGCCATGAAGACACTGCCACTAAGGAAGTGTCGTGCACTCTGAAATGTGACCACGGTTATGACGTAGAATTCCTCGCTGCTGAGCGTTATGTGTGTAATACTGATGGGACTTGGAGAGCTCAGCCATTATCCACTGGCTCACAATGGCCGAACTGTAAAAAGTACAGGTGAATATGCACAGAGAAATAGTTCAGATTGTCTCGATGTCTTTCTTTCTTTCTTTTAAGCGATTTGACAGCCACACACGGGAGACACAGTAATCTTCGAACTGAGAGCCAGCCTCACATAAGATTTAGCGTGTTCGTTGACTCGCCTCCTTTCTTTTTCTCTATCAATCGATTGATCAGTCGGGATATAAATCAATTAATGAGTCAATCACCAATCAATAAATTTCTGATCAATCCATAAATCAAACCACCCTCCAACCGTTCGTCTGTCTGTTCGTTTCCTCATCCATCTATACAATTATCCATCCAGTCATTTACTTGTTTGTTAACTTCTGCAACCTTCCTTCTTGATAAACATTGTTTGGGTCTGAGGCTATTTAAACACCTCAATCTGTTGTAACTTGAAAATTACCCGTGCAAGACAATACATGTACAAAAAAAAAATCCAAGCGCCAGAAAATGAAATTATTTCTATTTCTTAAGTCGGCACTTACGTTTGCATTTGCGTTACGGAAGTTCACGCATTTATTTCTGTGCGTTCGCATTTGTGACCTATTTGCAAAACAGGTTTTCTAGATCCTTTGATGATTTAATATCAAAGCGTCACTGTATCAATGACATGTTTTGTTATGTTTCAGCCGTGGAGAACCGATTCCATGATCGATGATTCAGTGAAAGTATACGACAGGGCTGAGAGCTTCAAATATAACATAACTTTATGAAACTGACCTCAATGACATTAGTTCCAAAAGATATAATTGCTTCAGGAGAGGCTGTTACTTCTAATAAATAAATGGACGAATAAACAAATCTCTGGGCGACCTAAATTGTAAAATTATATGTTTGCTTGCTTGTTTGTTTCTGTGTGGAGTATTCAGGCCATATCCCTTAAAACAGGTTTTCAACCATTGGATGTTTTTTTTTTTTTTTAAAAAAAGGCAAATATTCCCTGCCTTATATCCGATTCCTTACAGTTCCATCGTAAGTTGAGGTTCGTTCCCGAAAGAAAACGTATGCGAGGCTGAAAAACGTAAATGGCAAACCTACGTAAGTTTCGGTATTTAAGTTTAAGCTCTTTTTTCCCTACAGAACTTCAGATTAAATATCTCGACTATGCTTGGAAACAAATGAAATTCTCTTAAATTTGATTACGCAGCTTTAGTTCAATTACTGCCCGCAGAGGAAAGGTGCTCTCGTCCTCTTTATTTCCCGTCATTCTGTTACAGGCTATAGTCGACAAAGACTTAATCGAGTCACCCTGCTACAAAATTATCAATTTGGTGCACTTGTCACATAACGTCTCTCAGCAGAGGTTTTATTTTCCCATAATCTCAGCCAGGGAGGATTATTCTCTCATGTCCTTCTCAGTCATTTCTCACAGGTTTTAGAAGGCATAAATTAAGTTCCTTATCTTGCGAGGAACATAGACACCCACCAAGTAATGAAAAATCGTTTCAGCAGGCTCCACCATATTGGAGAGAGAATCCTGGAGATAACCGACAGCCCACCAACAGGCAAGTAAACATGCAGTCGAGGCTGCCGCGCAACACAAGGGCACAGAGAGGACTAAGACTAAGGCAAAGAGTCCCGCGCCAACCAAAGAGGACTCCGCTATTACGAACACAACAAACGAAACGATAAAAGTGACGAAAACGAATCCAAGAAATAGCATACAAGGGACAGAGCCTGCCAGAATAGCAGTGCTCACAAATAGAGCAGTCAGTGGTCTTCGCCTGAAGAATCTGAGCAGCCAAGATAGACGAGTAGATCGTTTGTTGACTGGCTGCTGTTTCTGCCAATTGTTATTTAACATAGTCTTTGGTTTGTCGTCTGGCAAATGGAATCTGATTCTTGTGTGAATTTTGTTTTCACTAACAGTCCCTTGATCACGACTTGCCATAACCTTTGAGGAGTAAAATTTTTTTAGAAATTAGTAATCAATAGCTAAGCGAGCTGCATTCAATTCTATTCAGGTAAAAAACTTTGTAAGCGATCGGCAGTGGTTTCGATTTTGTCATTGCTAAAGCTCCTATGAAAAGAAATAAAAATACAACCATAATAACTGAAAAGGTTGACTAATTTATTTTCAATTGGAGGGTTCCTACGCAAAAGAGCAGCGTTACAATTTGTAAAAGTAGGTAGTGAAAGCGAATTGATGAATTCTCATCTGGCTATTCAATGAATGCTATCAAACTCTCAACCTTGTAATCCAAGGGAAAATGACGTTCATGCATGAGGATTGATTGCGTGGTCACGTAAAGGAATGATGGGAAAAAAGACTGGAAATATTTTGACCGAGAATGTAAGATGGCTGATTGCGCTCAAGGAGCAAGCCTTTCGGAGCGCTAAATTAATAGATATTAAATTTTGAGCGGTACGATCCGACTATTTGAATATGAAATGTCGTGTCTAGAAGTCAATCATTTGTCAGGGTAATATCAATGACTAATTTAGACTTCCAAACGTAGAAAAGCGGGAGAGCAAACAGTAATTTTTGAAAGTAGTCAGAAACACGAGGCTTTAGGAAAAACAGTCCCTCGCATTCTTTAGTTGGTTCCAATTTATGTTTACCTATTACGCTTTATAAAAAAGATATCCTTCGGGATTTTTTTAACCTTCCACACGAGGTTCTCAGATTTCCTGAAGGGATCGAGTTACTGTAAGACGTCTTAGCGGCGAGACCAGACAAAATAGAATTTGTTATAAGATAAACTCTAATGAATACTTAATTTTTAAAAAAGACTACATTTTGAACTCTGCAATCTGATTATTTGAATGTGGAATCTTGCGCATCTAGAAATTGATTCTTTACCAGTGTAATTAGACTTTGAAACCTTGCAAAGGGGCTGGAAGAACACAACACAAATACGGTATCTGGTCGAGGGTCTGTTTCGTATCACTGACTTGCTGCACTACCCAAATAAACTTCATAACTGACCTTCTATTCTACTTCTCTCTATGAGTATTGATAAACAGATAAACAACAACGAATCAAAGTATCTCTTTTACCTGAGAACTAAATCTTTGTCATACAGACATCATAGTCCTTTCTTAGCATTTTGAATTTATCCTGTCTTGATGACGTCAAAATTGAATTGAATTTAATCGAACGTCAGCGCAGATGTAACGCGCGTGGGATATAAACTTGTCCCCAGGACTCTTCATCCCTACCTCGGTAGCTTTGGAGGCTTATTTCTTAACTATAAAATACAAGTACAGTCGAACCTACGATCGCCCACGATCGCCCACGATCGCCCACGTTGAATGACCGCTAATACAGGTTCCACAGAATAGGAGTATTATAAAAAAGAAAACCACCAAAAACGCCATATTTGCCTAAATTAATGACTCAGTGTACAAAAATACCTATAACTGATTATGGATTTTTATTTAAGTAGTTGCTCTTCAAGAGACCGTTCGATACAGGTGGAGAACAATACAAACAGGCCATTAGGACTCAGCAAAGGGTGACCACGACCGCTTAATAGAGGTGACTGCTTGATAGAGCTAAAAATAACAATAATTAAGGGGAAAAAATTTCGGGACTTCGAAAATCGACCGCTTAATACGGCGTGACCGCTTAAAGCGGTGTTGCTTAATACAACTGCCTGAAAATAAATTAATGTCGTAACAGTAACCTTGCAAGTGTTTTCTGGTGGCTAAACCGTTAGATCTACCAGTCGCAATTCACTTTCTGTTGAGGCACAAGAGACTTTTCAAGAGAATTTTTCAGCATCTTGGAACGATGCCCCTCTAGATGAGAACTAAAGGAAAGGAGCTGAGCTAAAGGATGTTTATATACGAAGCATCATTTTTGTTTTTGTCAGCCTTTTGTCTTCTTTTGTATTTACTTACGTCTTTCGCGAAACAACAGCCGGTGCAAAGTAACGATGGGCGACCATTTCGAAGATTCCAGCGCATGTACCTGATTGTTTACCTGATGGCACAAGGTGAAAAAATGTATTTTTGCGCTAATCATGCTTTGAAATATTATTCTGATAGATGACAACTGTTTATTTTTGTGAGGAGAAAGGGGCTTCATGAGGGGAACTAATTTTCCCTTTACCTTTGCCACGGTTGGGTAGGGTTGACTTCAAGTCATGGTCACCCGTTGTCCAGCTTCTGTAGCGATTGAACCAAAACACGAAATTATTACAAAGTACTACGTCTACACCAATGAATATGACAATAAATTTGCTTACTATTGATTTTTAGCAATTGTTTTGAAAGATACAACCGAAATTGAACCAGTATCGGCTATTTACTGCAATAGGGTGATCTATTACCAACAGTTTAGCAACAGGTACCCTGAAGGATGCCATAGGCAAGTAATTCGCCATTAAATTTTTTTCAAAAATCTTTCAAACACATCTCTGATGCAAGTCTGATGTAATCTAATAATCTTGGGAGAAAGATCAACAAAGAAGTTTCCATATTCTATTTTTGTTGGTTTTTTTTTTATTTTGTTTGTTTGTTTGTTCAGTTTTACATTGAAAGGCTTTGTCACTATTCAGGAAATTAAAAGAAAAAAAAAGACAAAAAAAAGAAGAGGTCACCCCAAAACCTTTTTGTTTTTTGACTCATTATGTTCGTTGATCCAAAAGACTAGTAACACAGATTCTGCTGGTGTCATCGTTCCCGAAAATTTCTGATTATATTCGTCTACATTTACTTCAAATTCGGGAAAGTCGTTTAAACAAAATCCATTCTGGAAAGCGTTTACGACGGACTTTAAATGACGAAAAGCCTCTACTGTCAATTCATCTTAGACGCTATGGGAGACGCGATAATAGATGACCCCAAGGGCGCTAGTGCTGGGAAAGGGCTGGGAGACTGGTAACTTCAAAACAAGCATGGAGACAAATAACGACATGGCGGCTAATGGCGTGTTGCTCATCCTTACAAAGTTTCCAGAATATGAGGCAAAATTTCTGAAAAATTTGCAGACTGAGGGCCAACAAACATCTGGCCGCCACTGAAAGTGTATACTTGTATGTATGTAAACCTGTGCGTTTTACCCAGTTGTTTAGGTAGGAAATAATGTCTAGGGCGCGAACCGTGTGCATACGGACTTCCGGTCACATAGAAGTAAGCAAGAGGGTTAAAGATCAGCTGGAGGTCGTTGAGTGCGAGTAGAAAGACAAAATGGCGTGTGAGACAAAGGAATTCGATTTTAAATTCGTCGTAAATTGTACAACGAGCATAAAATGGAATTTTGCAGTTCCTTGTGGATTAAGTTAAAATGTTTGCATGTACACAGTCTGTAGCTTATGGTTTACCAGAAAATTAGACAATTTTGAATTTTAAGTATCCTATCCTACTAACCGAATCAAAAAAAATCTGATGATCGGAAAGAAACTGATCAATTATTATCAATATATGACTGTAAGCTAACTATGGGTCAAAAGCGATGCTCATTTTTAATTATTTTTTAGTCCGGTAGTCAACAATTTGAATTCTGATTTTAGGAGCTGACTGGCTGCAGGGTCCACATGTCTACGCATTATTTTCCAGTTATGGAATGACATCCAAGCAAATCAACCAGCTTTTTGTGGTAGGATTTGGTTCGTCCATGGTTTTTGGTACAGTTGTGGGCTCGTTTGCTGATAGACTGTGAGTCTGCAATTCTGGTTTACCCACATTATTCATATTTTGTCGTCTTGACACGTATAAAGAATAGTTTGTTATTATCCCTGAACTTTTCCATATCAAAACACACAGGGAAGCAAACATTATTAGCTAGTGCAGCTGTCAGTTTTTCCTGCTCTTTGAAGAGTAGGGTAAATATTGCTTGTGGAGACTTAGTGAAATTCTATATTTTCGTTTACAGAGGAAGAAAATTTAATTGTATTCTTTATGGAGTGTTGTATGGAGTGGATTGCCTGTCAAAGGTAAGGCGACATTGGCTTGGTGAAACCAATTTTATTAAGGATACTTTATTTACTTATTTGCCATAATTAGACATGATGGCGCAGTTCAGCCCAAAAGCTGGCTGAATGGAGGCCTGCATAAACAATAACAAGGCCTGAGACTACAACACTGGGAGCCATGTTCCCCATTCCTGGAGAAGTAAATGGGTTCTTATATGTCCCCTGCTAACCAGTACAGAGAAGGGGTCAGAGATGGGGTCAACGGTTTATTGTCCTAATCTGAGAAAACTAGAATAACTAGCTATTGGTAGATGTCACAGCAAAGGCAGTGCATTCCCCACAATTATTTTAAGACCCTGAGTGTTGGTTTGTCGGTTTGAAGCTTGAACTGTCAACCTCTCACACAGCAGGATAGAGAGTGGTAGAATGGCTTGGGCATTTGATGCAAATGGAAATGCTGTGGAGTTAATTTGTCAAAAAGTCTTGGTAACTTAACAGGCCAATAACCTTAATCTTAAATCTAAATCTCACAAACAGTAGTGGACCATTGGATAATTGACACAAAAACGCCAGGAAACCATCAATCGTATAATCAACAAGTTTATTTGAAGGAATTATTTGATCTGAAACATACAATTAAGCAATATAATATGAAACATTTGAGTATTTACAAGACCGATTATAAAAGTGGATAATAAACCGACAGTACAAGCTAAACTAATTGAAACTTACTTCTGTCACCAGTTTCCCATTAAATTGATCATTTGGTGTAACTTTTATAAAACTGGTTAGCAAACACGTGTAAGAACTGAACTGAACTGAAACCTAATGAACTTGACATATGAAACAATTCAAAGTGTCAATTACATTGTTTGTAATCATTGTCAATCATTGATAATACTTTGTCACCGTAACAAGTAGCAATTACTGGTTTCAATCCAATCCATTTGTTGGGCTGGTATGGAGACCTTAAAATTTATTTCATTAAAGTTTATTGCACCTCACAATTATACTTATTATTAAGGGGGATTGTTATAATCTAATTTTTTCAGCATGTACCCAGTTACTGGGTGTTGTTGGTTGGTCGTGTAGCCGGTGGAATGGCAACATCCATTTTGTTTAGTGCTTTTGAATCATGGGTAGTCTGTGAACATGACAAGGTATTGTTGGGAATTTTTGTCTGAATGTAATTCTAAATAGAATCATATTTGAAATCTTTTCAGCTGTGATTATTAAACTGTGGGTCTGTGTCCTGGTCTCTCTTTGCAAATTTAAGGAACTAATGTGAATGCACCCTATCTAATAATGAAACCAGGCCATCCTTTAATGAAAAACTTGAAACTTTCTAATAAAGGTTGAATTTACTTGATACTGATGTCCAGAGTCACTGAAGTGGGAGATTTATAAAGCTACCCAGGAGACTGGAAGATTCATCCAAGCTATCTGAGAGACTCCCAGAAAATCTAAGTGATTTGGCATACGTGGGAAAATTATACTATGCTCAAGGAAATCCTTACCCCCTCACCCCCTCACCCCCTCACCCCCTCACCCCCTCACCCCCTCACCCCCTCACCCCCTCACCCCCTCACCCCCTCACCCCCTCACCCCTTTCAGAAAAGAAAATATTGATTGTGACTCAAAATGTAACTTTTTATTTCTTAACAAGACATATAGAGGATTAACCCAATTTAGTATCCATTTTGTTTCAGCGAGGATTTAGTAAAGATTTGCTTAGTGACTTGTTTTCAAATGCCTTTCTGGGGAACTCCTTGGTTGCCATTGTCTCAGGCCTGGTTGCTCAAGTCTTTGCGAGTCATTTTGGTTTTATGTAAGTTTATCTCAGAAGCTTAACAGTAAGTCTGTTGGACTCCAGGTCCAATGTCTGGGCTTGAGATCTGAGGGGGGGGGGGTGGGGTTGTTGGGGGGTTAGTACCTTTCTCTCCACTCAGGAGTATAAATGGGAACCAGGAAACTATCAAGGAAGCCTGACATAATGCCAGTGTGGGGGAGGGGAGGGTGAGGGGCAGGGTAACCTGGATGGACTTAAGCCTCTTAACTAAGAATCAGGGACAGTAGGAATACTCCTCATTACCTCATGCCACAGCTGTCTGGATAAGGTCTGGCACACTATGGCAAGTTGACTGCATACCTCACCTTTATCAAGCTGGGAGTAGCCAGAAGGGTTTCCTGTGGGGTGTGGTCAGAAAAATCAAAAAAATTTGTTTGGGCTGTACTTTTTTTGAGCTTGTCCTACCTGTACTTTTATGGTCTATGTGTTTTTCCAGATTCTGGATTTTGTATCCAAATAGTCAAATGACTTAAAGATTAAGTTCTTATTGTGTTGCTGGTATTTATAATTTTTGATCAGCCTCCCTTACAAAGTTTTTATTTTGCCAGTCTTTTTATTGGTTACCAGTATATTTTCAATCAGTCTGTAATTGAAATTGCTGTACAGTGGTGTAGAACTGTAGGATTATGTGCTCTGTATTAACCTTTTACACCCTAACATCAGTACACATAGTCTCCATACTGTTCTCTACACATTTCCTTAGGTGCTGACAAGGAGAATTAGCTTAACGATCCAGAGCTTCTGTAGTTGTTGATCATTTCTATTATTCTCATGACCTTAATGTGTGATTCAGGCATGATATTGTAGGGAGAAATTAGATGCTAGTCACTCTTAGGGTTAAAGGGTTAAGCTTAGTATTTTCATTCTGACTGATAATTGCTGATTGTAGTTAAGCCCACATAACATTGCTTTGCTCTCTGTCATTGCTCAGTGATAAAAGTAATGGTGATGTTTTATACTGCTGTCAAGCTTCAGCAGCCACATGTACATGTAGGTTATACAATTGTCCTAGATCACATTGAGCTCTGAACAGTTTAATGATAAAGATATCTGTTCACATTGTAGAGCTCCATTTAGTCTGTCATTTGTACTGCTGGTCCTTACAAGTGGAATTATCTGTTGCTGTTGGACAGAAAACTATGGAAATATAAGCAGTGATACAAGGCTCTCTGTAATTTGGCAAGGAATGCAAGTTATTAGACAGGGTCAGTAAAAGAAGATGAATTTAAGATTCACTCGTATGGTTCTCTCTGTAGTATGATTTATCATTCATTTGGTTGTGAGTTGTCATCAAATCTTCTTTGTTATCAGATCCAAAAGTTTTTTGCCTCGGACTGATACAGTCTTTGTTTGAGGGATCGATGTACTCTTTTGTGTTAGAATGGACTCCAGCTCTCACTCCTGGTAAGTTATCTCATAAATATGACTAATACTTATCTGTTGGGGAGGGGGTGGGGAAAAGATTACATTTCCTAGAAAGTCTGTACTCGAGCTAAGTGGCCCACCCAGCCAGAGCTTATCTCAGTTTCCTTAGCATGAAGAGACCAGGAGTATTGCTACTCCCCCTTGGATGGAATAATAGTCCATTGCAAGGTTACCCCCCCCCCCCAGAATTTTATCTGAATGGAGAGAGGCACTGCAAAAGTAAAGTGTTTTGCCAAAGAACACAACATGCTGATCCAACAAAGTCTTGAGACCGGTCTTCTCCAACCAGAGTCCAGTGCATTAATCATTAGGTTACCAGGTCTCCCTCTTTAGAGTTACTGTAATACAATAAAAATTAAATGATATAACACAATCACAAGATTTAAAACAGCTGTCATTTTTACTCTGTGCATTGTTTTGAGAATTTTTAGATTCAGGAGTAGGCATAAATAATGTTGACCAAGACAACATTCCACATGGATGGATATTTGCTTCTTTCATGGTAAAGTAAAGAATTAATGGATGTAACTGTTAGGAAAAATTTTATATTAGACCAATAAGAAATTTTTGTGTGATTATGAGTTGTGAAAGAGAGGAAAAAAGCACAGACTGCTCCAATACAAAAATTAAAAAATGCTCAAATTTGAAGAATTTCATCCTACCCCTAATTTTCAGTTTCTGTATCATGAATAACTTGTGTGGGATTTCATTTGGTGTGGTTAAATGAGGTGAGAATTCACACTCCAAAAATACTTTTTTTATGTAAAAAAACGTTTTTTGTTGTTCTAGGTGTCTGTAATGCTTGGTTCACATGTCTTTAAGTTACTCTCTAGAGTAACTTCTGTGGAGTCATTTTTGAGGTACAGTGCACAGTAGAATTGTTTCCAGTACTACTTTTGGTTTAGCCTCTGTGCTTGAGACCCACCTCACTAAACCTATTATATAGGGGTCTGTAACCCTTTATCTCCCAGAAGTGGTAAACAGATAACTTCTCCATATATTATCCATGAATTATCCACCAAAAAGGTCATGGGAAATCTCAAACTTATCAGGTTGAAGTTATCTTGATCCAGCACCAAATTCTTCTAAATGATTCACAAGGAAATGTGTAGCAGCTTGACAGGAGAATTAACAATTGGATCTTGGTTTAGCTTGTGAGAAACCTTTATTATTACTGCTTGGCATAATAATTTCTTGAAAGTATGAGGCCTTGAATAATGCAAGCTGGGGGGAGGCCTGCCAGGGGAAATAGGGCCAGACCCCTCTTAAACCTCTCCTCAACTCTTTCCAAATCTACCTGCAGGCAGAGAAATACTTTCCTGCAGTGTTGATAATGATGGGCTGCTTGCTAGCTACCTTTTGGTTAAGCATTACAATACTTAGGTTGAGATCCACCTCAGTAAAACTTCTATATAGGGGTCTGTAACCCTTTAACTCTCAGAAGTGGTAAAAAGGTAACTTTCCTTTTATTATTCATGAATTATCCATCAAACAGGTAACGAGAAATCTCAAACTTATCAGGTAGAAGTTATCTTGATCCAAAACCAAATTCTTCTAATTGATATACAAGGAAATGTGTAGTAGGTAGAGAGGAGAATTAATAATCAGATCTTTGGAGTTAAAAGTTTAAGATGCTAGTGACCCTTGAAGGCTGAATGTGTCAATATGATTGAAAGGTTTGAAAACTTCATAGTTTAAAGTTCAAGTAAAACAAAAAGGTGGTGAATAATTCAGCAGAGTGTGATGGAAATGAAAAAGCCTTAAGAGATGTTGTAATAAATTATTCAATAGTATGTAATACAGATGTATATGTATGCCAGTTGCATTATTTCTAAGAACCAGTTTGAGGTGGACACTAGCAAGAGTTGCATGGATTAAGGTGTAACACATTTCTCCACAGACCTGTATTTGGAATGGCAGCCCTGTCGTTGATCACTCCTATAGTTTTTTCAAAGGTTTGTTTACAGTTCAGAGTAGTGTAACCTGTAAGTGGAGAACCAACCTTGATTGAAGGCAAGCTGTTAAAGAACTGTTAAGAGGTGTTGACTTTTTTGTTATCTTAAATTCCCTCCTCACTACTTACATCTACATGTAAGAGGCTCGTGAATTTATGAGTTAAATTTTATTTTTTATACCCCAAATCTTCAATATATTCAGGAAATTTTTTTAAAAGCAGGAAAGTTTAGCCCAAAAGTAATTGAGTATCAAAGACACCAAAAAAAGGCTTAAGATAGCAAAATTGCCTCGTGTTTTGGGACAATTTTTGATAAATGTTTGTGTAGCTGACATGTACACTTGCTGCCAGAATAAATCTGGTTCTGTTGTCCAGCCTAACAAAATAATGTTACCTCAAATTATTCAAGTAAGTTGCAGTGATTTCTTTTATTGAAAAGTAATGTTTCTTCATGCCATGTTGAATGGTGTCCTGTTAAAATCAACACATTCTCTATGTGTTACTCTGTTACTAGAAATGAAAGGGTCCTCACTTGCCCTTCTCGTTGAGTACCTTCTTGCCTGGAGTTTATGGAAATTGTATTCTTACTTTTAATTGTATGATTTCTGTAAGATTTCAAGTTTCTTTTCATTTCCATCATGTAGAACCAATCTGTTGTTTTTGTTGGATTCTTGGTGTTTGAGTTTTGTGTTGGTAAGATATTGATGTAACTCAACTTAAAAATAAAAGAAAAATCAAGTTTTATCTCCACTCGGCTTCTGGTTTGTGGAGAAATGGTAAAATTTACTATGGATAAACTCTAACAGGCAAAAACTGAGAAGGGTACTGTACCCTACCATCAAAACCTGACCCAACTCAGTACCCCAAAAAAGTATTTCTCTCCCATAACAAGCATGCTTGTGGTGCTTTAAGCACAACAAGGATCTTGTGTTTTTCTTTTTGTTTTGTTTTGTCTTGTCTTTTCTTTCTAAGCTAATCAGGAATAGGTTTTTCTTCCCCATGCTCCATAAAATGAAGAAAAACTCGTGCCGCCCTCTCGACCAATCAGATGCAGAGCTAAGTACTTAGTCCTTCGCGTCTGCTCGCGGCTGATTGCTTGAATTCACTGCGAGTTTTCATTGGCCTTTGAAATTTTTCCTTATTTTGATTGGCCATTGTCATTAATTTGGTTGTGGTTTCCTTGACACTGCAAAGAAAAACAGCCCATTATTTTTTAATTAGAAGGATACCACTAAGCTTGCCACAATTCATTAAAATGGCAATTTATGTATGTTTCGCTGAGCTATGATGTCATAGCTTGTTGCCTTTTTTTTTCTTGAAGGAGTCTTCTGGCCAGCTATGGGAGTGCTGAGAAGTAAATACGTCCCTGAATCAGGTAATTGTTATTTATCTTAACTTTTGGAAGCTTTTTTTTTAAATTATTTCTGAGTTTGACTTTAGAGAATCATAATTAAATAGGTAAAGCATCTTGATGGAATGATGTATGTGTTGGGAACCCGGAAGGAAAGATATTCAATAAAAATTTCGTCGAAGGGAGATATTTGGTTCAAGTAACAAACTCGATGTTAATTCTTTTCTTGACTTGTGGTGTGGAGTTTAAGAATCTTTTCCCAAAATTTGACTGTCATGTTTTTTTTTCTTTATTTTCAGCTCGTGCTACTGTCATGAACATATTTCGTGTTCCTTTAAACCTTATTGTCATCACTCTTCTAGTTCAGGTTTGTTTGCGCGCTCTGCGATGAATCAGCTAGTTGTTTTTCAATCAACACAGATCTGCGGTTATCTACCGATTACATTCGCATCAAGCTGTGCGCAGGTATTTTTTTATTTAACAAAATCTAAAGACTGGATTGTTGTTTAAGGCAAATTTTCCGGCTCGCGTTGCTCAATCTACATAGATCCGAGATTATCTACCGTTTACACTAGCTGCACTAGCATCAAGCTATGTGCAGGTGGTTTTGTAGAAAGTATAGAGAGAGACTGAAATGCTGTTGACGGAAAATTTTCTAATTTGGTTCCTTAAATAGCGACTGCTTTCATCTGATCAGAGAATAGCGTAAACCGTAACCGTGACTCGTGAATCCTGTGACCTCAGAGGTACTCAAATATCTCATAATTTTAAAATACAACGGTTAAATGTGAGAGAGAGTTACGTGTGCACAGATTTAAAATTCATCATCAACTGGGTCGTTAGCGCTGCCTGACACGCTTTCTCCACCCGCGGAAAGATTTGAAACAAGTCGGGGAGAGATTCACCGGGGGTTTGGCACTCATTGTCAGTACCAGACCCCGTGTAGTCCTCTCGTCGGATCGCGTTGCTCATACTTTCCCGCGGGCGAAGAAGCACTCGTGCTGATGCGATGATAACAAGAGTCTGCTCGAACGATTAGAGTTAGAGTCCATGCCTTTCTCCACGTTGTCGTGGTTACCTAAATCTTTGTCTAAAGATGATCCCCTAGCAGAGAGGAAGGTTCCCTTAATAATATTGCCATTTGTGCCCCGATGTACTTGAAGCAAATACGTAATAAACGTTTTGCAAAGTGGTTTAAACGTGAAACTGAAGTCAAAGAGGCACGAATTTCACGGAAATAGCCGTAATGTTTGTCATATATTTAGACAGTGAGAAAAAAATATTTTTAAGGGAATTAACTTGTACTTTTTGATCATTAATCAGATGGACGGTTCTCTCTCAACAGGACTTGTACCTTCCATCGGTGTTTTTTTGTTGTGTGGTGTTCTTGTCCATCTGTTGTGCCGTGCAGCACTGGTTATATCACTTATCTTTCCGTTTTTCAACTTCTACAGATGACGTAAAAGGTGAGTCGTTGACATTAGACTGATAAAACCTCATCATTTTCACTCTTTACAGCATTGATCAAAGACGAATTGCAACCCCTCGAATATTTGAAATAAATTCCTTTACATCTAACTCGTTTCATCTCTTCCTATGTTAACATTACCGACGCTGTTTTTTTGGATAAACGACGAGAATATAAAAGAAAATGTTTGAAAAAAGAACAAAATAAAAAGAAGTGAGAAAAGATTAACGAAAATATATCGCGAGCACAATATCAGCTAAGAAGTCCTTCTCCCTCTTACTCGAATGATAGTCACTTTTTGGAACTTAAGTGAATATGCGCAACTGGTGTCACATGTGAATGTAGTAATGGCCTAGCTTATCGTAGTCTCTGTGGCTTACTTTTAGAGCATCGGAGCCTGGAATCTGAAGGTTTGACGTTAGATTCTTCATGGGGACTCCGAATTTTTTCTCATTGTTCCACGTTCATAACAAGACCGAGACAAATTTTTCTTTTTTAAGTAATCGCGTCTTGTTAATTCATGTACTTTTCTTTTCAGGAGAAGCGCATTCAGAAATTTGTGACGTCGTACGTACAGTATAGAGCTGTTACGTGACATAAGCCAAAGAGAGAGCCTATGGTTATTCTGGTAAGAAATTAAAATCTTAATTTAAATGTCGTACACATAGACTAAACAAGGTTCCTAAAGAACTTAGTGTTTAAATAACTCGACATAGATAAGAGAGGTACCGTTGTGGATGATCTTTTTGCAACAAGTTATTTTTTCTCTTAAATATAATCTAACCTCGAGATCGGAAGTTCTGAGGGTCGAATTGTCTTTGAGTCTCACATTGCGTCTTTTTGCCGTGGTCGTGACAGATGTCCACCAAATTTATTAAGAGTTTTAAATGAATACCACACGTCTTTCGCGGCTCTGCTTAAAATCAGGTGGGGATTTCAGAATGGCCATCCACCATATGGTGTACGAAATGTCTTGTAAAAATGCTGAATTCATCATATCTCTTCGATATGTAACCGTCTAGTCATCCTTCTGAAACATGTTTCCTTTAGTCAAAGTTTTTGGTTTTTTTTTCGGCTTTTATTGAAGCTTAGACGTAATGACTGGTACTTTGTTTTGATGAATAACAGGAACGAATGTCCATTTCCCTTTCAGGAATACCTGAAGTTGTCTTCCTAAGGGTCAAAAGAAGGATAATCAACTTTTTCTCATCCGGACTGATTAAATTTTTTCATGTAGTTGTCAAAATATTACGAATCAGTCCGTGACTCATTTGGAACCGATTCGGTTATTAAAATTAAAAAAAAGTTATGAATTGTCTTTGGGTATCGCATTGTTTTTTTGCCGTGGTCGTGACAGATGTCCACCAAATTTCTTAAGAGTTCTAAACAAATAGTACACATCTTTCGCGGCTGTGCTTAAAATCAGCTGGGCTTTCAGAATGGCCATCCACCATGTGGTGTACGAAATGTGTTGTAAAAATGCTGAATTCATCATATCTCTTCAATATGGAACCGTTTAGTCATCCTTCTGAAACATGTTTCCTTTACTCAACGTTTTCCGTTTTTTTTTTTTTTTTTTCGGCTTTTATTGAAGCTCGGACGTAATGACTGGTACTTTGTTTTTATGAATAACAGGAACAAATCTTCATTTTCCTTTCAGGAATACCTGAAGGTGTCCTCCTAAGGGTCAAAAGAAGGATAATGTACTTTCTCTCATCCGAAGTTTTTTATGTAGTTGTTAAAATATTACAAATCATTCCGTGACTCTGTTTCATTTGGAACCGATTTTCCAATTAAAATTTTTAAAAAAAGTTTTTCATTGAAGAACGTGAATCTGCATAAGTTGAAGGTTATATTGCACGTGAATAGATTCACGCAAGAAAGCTGAAGAGGAGGTCAATTATAGAAACCCACTGTAGTGGTTCGTGATGGTCTAGTAAACATGCCGGAGGAACAACTTGAAGCCATTGTTTCATAAGTGCATCGAACCAATCAGATGACAGAAATGAAGTAGTCTATTTGTATGCGAATATATGACGCACTTGAGAAAATTAAGGAGGTTCATAACATATAATCATAAGAGCTTTTTACTGCGAAGCATTTATTCATAAGCTGCTCAGTCTCCGATGAATATTGTCTACTTGTGATACATTAGCGCTCTTCTGACGATTTCGAAATTCAAAATGTCTCACGGCGGTCATTCGCACGGTGGGGACGGAATGCACGGCGGTGAACGTCCAATGCTGACAACACACGCGTCTACCGCAGCCATGGATCATCACGGAGGAAGCTCAAACCACGGTGATCATAGCGGGGAAATGGCCGGGCATGTGGTAAGGAGTTATCAACGGCTAGCTTTTACTTCATATTGTTAAACTACTTTCTTAAAAATTTTCTCAAACAATTTCAATTTGATAAGCCAGGCCCTCCGAGAAAGAGCCTTACTGAAAATAATGAGGCCACTGCTATGTTTGCGCTTTTCATATAATGTCTAAATTGCTATATAATACGGAGATTCTCGGTTTCGTGAGCACTGAAGAGAAAATAGACTTCACGCGGTTGAAGGAACTATTTCAAAGAAGGTTATCACAGTTTCATCACAAGATCTAAATAGCAGTTACTTTATTCCGGCTGCTCCTTTTGGACTTATTCCGGAACGCACAATCACAAGTTAGTTTCATGCGTAATTTCTTTACTTCATTTCTATTGGGAATATTTCCACACGCTAGCATGGACATAATAAAGTGATCGTTACCTCTGCGACCACTTCTTTCATTTCTAAGTTAGAGGTTTGTCTTTAACCGACCCTTGTTAAAGTCCTGCTGCTCTGAAATGGCGCATAAAAAAGCTTCCTACTTCTCTGAAAGTACAAATACCAGAAAAGCAGTTGGGACGCGAAAAGAGAGGTCGATATCAGGAAAGTTTAGTATGCGAGAAAGAGGAAGCGTATATCAAAATCAGGGTAAAAAATAAAGCTCTCGTATCAAGTATGGCTGTTTTATATTACTATTTTTGTGCACGCTTATATAGAACAAAGTTGTTTGGTTAGCTGCCATGCTTAAGCTTTTGTTTAAAGGGTTTTTTGTTCTTGTTTAATAGCCCATTCCTCCGTTTACAGTGTTTTAAGTATATTACTAATGACTTGATAACCTTGCAGTAGAAAACATACTTTTTTTTAAATAGATCAAGGAAAGGATCCTCAAATCAATCCACTTTGTTTAACAATGGTTAAGTTTTCTGACAAGAGAATTTCGAAAGTTAACAAGGCCACTCGTTTGCCAAAGTATTTTGTCGAAAACAATATGCGAATGAAGACCTCGTTGGTCTACAAAGGCAAAAAGATAATTAAGACGTAAAAGCCAATATGAATGCCTTTCGTGTAAATTGTAAATGAACAAATAACATTTAATCAGAACAAGATCAGGCTTGTTAAAAAAACAAAGACTTGAATGAGCTATTCGACGCAAAGTGTGAAGACACAAACCATTGTTTCTGAGGGTTTGTGAGAGAGGTACGTTGATAATTGCAGCGCGATTCTGACATAGCTAATCTACAAAGATTTTAATTCCAAATATTGGTGATTGTTTGTTTGTTAAAAATATATATCGCCCACGAAACCGGAACAACGCAATATATTTTTAAAAATAGGCACGTACTTGCGATAGAAACTTTACTTTGTTTTGTTTGTGGCGGTCATCTGGTCAGTCTGATACGTGCTTCAATGGATGACCTAGCTCGGTTAAACAATCCCCCCGGGGCATCGATATTTAAATTAGTTACGCATTCAATAACTGAGCAGTTATTATGCAGGAAGCAAGAATGAGCAGAAGCGCAAAAATCTTCCGTTATTACGAACATAATCAACCAGTTTAATTAGAATGGTTCTGTTCTCTTTAGTTGTTTTGTTTGAAATGCACCATGGAGCTGCACTGGAAATATGGAAAAGTTGTTAGAGGTGTATATCAAGGTGCTTTCCCAGCTCGATACTTGGCAAGTCGGTTCTTATTCAGAACTATGAAATTCCAAAAAACTTCCTAATTTCTCCCTGCTCTTTTTGTTTCCTTTTCTTGTTTGTTTGTTTTCCGAGGGTACTTTGGTGTGACGTACTATTTACAAAACTGATTTTGGCGACCGTAAAAAAAAAAAGCATTTTTTTCTTGTTGTTTTCCCACTTCTAGACAGGAATGCAATCTGTCGGACACTTTGTGGTGTATAAAGCTTCACTCTTTTCCTGTCTTGGTTTCCTCTCGAACCGATCACACTAAAGCGTTGAGTCAGATCCACTCAGTTTTGACACACAAAACGTTTTTTTCCGTCACTCTACAAACACTTGATCATTAAGGCATCACAGTGTTGAGAGGGCTTGAAATTGGGAGGCTGGACAAGACACTTTGAGCTATAGTTATTTATATATGCTCAGCTGAACTATACACCCATTTCGATTGGTTATTACTCATGATCTACTAAAGGACAGTCCCATAGATGACGTCAGCATTAAAAACCTTTTGCTTTTTCATCATATAAGACAAATAGTTTTCATTTTAATGCCGAGCGTCTGTTCAGTAATAGATAAAAGTAGTCAAATTGTGGTAGGAACACCAGTGACCCACTTGGCTGAACTTCACGTACCACTGTTTTGTTCTCACCACATTTTGACGCCATCTGTGATCTGGACCGATGTTTATTTTCTGTTCACCCCAATCTTGTTTCTTATATTCCCTCTCCCTATGACAAAGGTCAATCAAGCCACGAAAACAAGTCAAATATTTCAATTCCAACGTCCACTCTGGTAGACAGTTGGCATTTAATTGTCTTAGAATATTTCAAGTATAAGTTTTGCTTCCATTTTAAGATGATGTTCCATCTCAGGAGAGACCTCAGTGTCTTGTTTGAACATTGGGAAATCACTTCAACGAAAGGTAAGTATATTGATAAGCAATGAAACGATTGTGAAAGTGATAAATCTACGATAGAGTTTCTAGGTCGATATCACTCTTAATACACCAACAACATGATCTCGGTGCAAACGGGATGATATATACTTCAGATTATTCCAATGTTCCTAAGCTTCCGAGTTAAAATGAAAGCTTGAATAAAACTTAAGAAATACTTGAGGGAATTGCTGCGTAAAGTAGAAAAACGAATATGAAGACATCAAATTCTCTACTGGATCCTAAGATGAGCATGTTCAAGTTCTGTTAATGTTATATTTCCACTCGTCACTGATGGCATATGCGCTCAACTCATGAACAAAAAGCTTTATTTTGGTGGCCTTATAACTGAAATCCACAAAAGTAAAGAGGGTAGTTGTACATTACGCAGGCCTTCGTTCTAACAAGGCGATGGACCAGTGCTTACACTCCCCATTTCTTTCCCTTCCCAATTACAGTGTTGATTGGCTCATGTGTTGCAGTATTTTTCTTGGCTGTACTCTATGAAGGCCTAAAAATCTTCAGAACAAGGCTGATGAATACACATAGCAGAGATGCGAGGGAAAGCAGTCGTGGAAAAGACATCACATACTGTGGGAAAACTCGACGGGGTTGCAGGTGAGACGGTGATTTGCTGGTGTGGATTTGTATTTCGTGCCGATTGGATTTTCATCACAAGGTTGGGGGAGGGGGGAATAAAGAATGCACAATAATTGCCCCCGCAGGGTTTTTGGCCCCAGAGGGCCAAAAACCCGAGGAGGCACCTTAAGACTCCCCGTGTAATATAGAGGAAGACTGGAGAAGAGAGAATGTGGGTATTTTCGGTAGATCATAACCAGAAAAAATCTCGATTTGATCGCTTGCACGGCCGCAAGGTATCAACGTTTTTCCCGCAAATGGTCATGGGCTGCCAGTAAAAAGACACGCGCGCGAGGACTTTTAGGATCGGCGTCTTTGACACGAGATTTGTCCTAGTATAGAGGAAGACTGGAGAAGAGAGAATGTAGGCGCTCTTAAGGTATAATTTTGTGTCTAGTAACTATATAATAATCAATTGTTCTTCAATGCTGTCTATAAATTGTTCTCCAATGCCACCTATAACATTCCAATGTTAAAACTCACCCAAGTCCCTACATTCTGCTTCTTCTTGATCATGAAGAACAAACAAATCCTAAGTTAAACCACACAGCAAAAAAAAAAAAAAACCCAAGCACTTCCCAAAACTACATTTTGTACACTTGTAGTATTTTGAGATGCAAAATTACTAACACCAAAGTACTGAGCCGCAATTCCGTAACAGCATAACAGAAAAATTACACAACTGTAAACAACAAGCCCAACTAAAAAAAAAAAAAGAAAATGGTACTGTAGGGCGGGGGCAGCTCTAGTGAGAACTATAACTAGTACTAAATTTTCTGTCGTTATTAGACAGAACATGTGCACATGCCATAATTTGGTGCAAACCATAATGCACGTCGTGCAAGTAGTGCTGGGATACCTCCTCATGCTGGTAGTTATGACGTTTCAAGTGTACCTTGGGGTTGCTGTCATAGTCGGAGCAGGCCTGGGCTACTTTCTGTTCGCAGGATTCGCTCCTGAGAACAATCCCAAGGAAACAGAGTCTTCTGCAAATTCCGGACATGGGAGTCCCGCCATGGTGGTAAAAGTGACCAATTTAGACGAGATAAGGAGTCAACAGTCTATGGAAAACCTAAGTTTTAATAATTTGGCCATTAAAAATAGGGCGTTTGATGGCGGAAATATTGAAGGTGAAAAGTAATTTTTTGACAAAGTCTGAGAACAGTCAGAATTTGTGCTTTGGAAATTCATTAAACTGAGAAGACCTTGATAGTATATAAATTTTTAATTACTCAGACATACAGAATTAATATAATTATTTTTCAGAAACAAGAAAAACCGGAATAGACTCATGTTCTGTATGCGTAACATAATATCATTAAATTGGAAAAAAAGGTCGAAAACAGCTTGCTCAATAAATCAAAACAGAGCTTTATTTTGTATAATTTCAAAGTAAAATAACTTATTAATTGACATCCGTATATCATTTTCTTGATCTGCAAGTATTAACAGTTGCCGGGTTACAAACTTAAGTAGCCATAGCTAGATCATTAAGAGTATTTAGTTATAAATTGTTCCTCTCCCACTCCACATGCCTCACCGGACGGAGTTAGTTCGTCCTATGACTTTCCATAAAACTTCAGTCAGAGGGTGCTGTTCTGGTAGGTTGATTTAACACCAAATTCTTTTGAATAATTAACAAGATAATTGTGTAGTGGTTACAAGGGAGAATTATCTTTACCACGGAAGTGAAAGGATTCTTTTTTGTGTGTCCATCGCAGGGGAGTATGCATTAATAATTTTTTCAACTATGAATGAAATCCTGACGTCTGCAAATTCACATGGCTTTGAATTAGAATTTTCATTTTTCCCCTTTTGACTTGGTTCCTATTTTAGAGAAATGCTTAAAACAGTATTTGGGTAGTATTTGGAATTTCCACCCGCAGTCAAGCTATCGTGCAACTCAACTGTTCAACGACTCTGGCGGATGCCCTGATTTGGTTAAAACGGCGACTCCACATCCCCCATTTCTACGTAAACTGACTTAACTTGCGTGTAATATTCAATGGTGTCTTCACCCAGTTCGCGACCCACGCCAGACTTCTTGTATCCACCAAAAGGAACCTCGACCGGTGTTAAATTGTAATTATTGATCCAACAGGATCCTGCTTGAAGATTAGCAATAACACGATGAGCTCGATTGAGATCTCTGCAAAAAGATATGAAGGATTTCGTTTGAGAGCACATGCAAAGTTTCGTGTCCACGTAATTTTACATGCAAAGTTTTGAATGGTTGCTCTGGAACGGGATGAAATCTGGCATTTCGTTTCTCTCTCTCGGTAGTCCGTTTTGAGCTTAATCAGTAATTTAAGTTTATAGGCATAGAGTAAACATTGATAAATTAAGGCGATGTAGATGGCCCGTGCAGCTGGAAGATTTGTGGGAGTTTAACCCCTGTACTCCCAGAAAGGGTTAACATGAAACGTCTCCCTATAATGTCAAGACATTAACCAATAAACAGGTAATGAGAATATTCAAACTTATCCGGTAGAAGCTGCTATCTTGATTTAGCAACAAGTTCTCATAACTAATTTACAAGGGAATGTTGAACAACTGGAGGGGAGAATTGACAATCAGATCTTAGGAGTTAAAGGGTTGATGCGCCATCACTACAAAAGCGACCAGAAATTCTATTAGGGGAATGGAGAAAGGAAAATTTGTATCTCCCCTGGATGCTTCACAGTTGGTTTTCGCCGCTCCACCGCCTCCATTTTAATAGAACCATAAAACCATCTGCTACACAAGTTGATTTATAAGAAGTGAGGAAAGGGTGTGGGAGTAACTCTTTGCCAATTAGCCGTTGGCTGGCGCTACGACGATGGCATTTCCTCATCCACAAGGAAGTTTCGAGGAGGTCTCGAGCAAAGCGAGCTGGCGCGAGTGTTACAAGGGGTCTGGCACTAATAGTGAGGGGCCCTCAATGTAAGCTTTGCTTTGTTGCTAAGAGCTGGTACAGCTGGCAAAAAAAAATGAAGGTTATAGGCGTAGACTCTGACACAGGGGCCACACATACAACCACTGAGGTTATGAAATGAGAATGAGTGGGTCCTCAACCCCACTGATCAAATGACTAACTACTTCCCCATTGTATCGTCTCTCAGACACAACCCCTCAAATGCACTCTTACTTTGTAAAAACTCCTGCAGCCAAACCAAAGTCAGTGTTGTTTGCTCTCTTAACAGCTTCTTCTTCAGTGTCAAATGGCAGCACTGTCATAACAGGGCCAAATATCTCCTCCTTAATAACTGTCATATCGTCTGAACAGTCAGTCATCACACATGGTGACATGTAAAACCCATTGGCCAATCTGGGTTCCTCCAGTTTCAGGCGTTCACCACCACAGAGAATTTTGGCGCCCTAAAAATTGACTATGCTTTATTGTTAGTTTTTGTGTTTTAAAGACCTGTCATAGTTTACAGAGTAAATAGACTTCCACACTGAGAAGAATTTCTTCCTCACTTTGCCAATTAGCCATAGCTTTGACAAGCATTTCATTTGCTATTGGAAATATTACAGTATACCAGAGGAATTATTTAGGAGTTATTTAAAGTTTTTTTCTTTTCCAAAGTCTTTTAAAATCAATGTACCCTAAGCTATTCATAAGATGTTCTCACCTCTTTCTTTCCTAATTCCACATAATCAAGAACTTTGTGAAGATGTTCCTCAGAGATCAATGCTCCCATCTGAGTGTCAGGGTTCATGGGGTCACCTACTCTGATTTTTTTAGTGCGCTCCACAACTCGGCTCAGAAATTCATCCATGATGCTCCTTTCAACAAATACCCGAGTTCCATTGGAACAAACCTGTTGAAACAAACAAATACATTAGTAATACATACATAAGTAACTACACAAAAATTCTTAAATAATTCCTTACTAGACAGTGCTTTGAGAATCATGTGTGGTATATCAAAATATACCATTTACATTATATTGCAAACAGATGCACCTTGCAGACCCCTATTGCCTCATGAACTAATAACAGAACACTAGTTGTGTTCATGAAAAATAGTATTTTTGTAAAAAATAATGAAACGATTGAAAAAATTCAGTTTTATACCTCTCCTTGTGTAAGGAAGTTAGCCATCATTGCTCCCTTAACAGCATTTTCAAGGTCAGAGTCAGCAAAGACGAGAAGGGGAGACTTGCCTCCCAGCTCAAGAGTGACATGTTTGACACCAGCTGATGCATCTGCCATGATCTGCAGAAAAAGTACAAATACATGTAGAGTGTAGATACAATACAAACAAAAACCATATGAAATCAGACCTAGAAATGGGTTTACTCAAAGAGAATAATCAGGTGGGAAGTGCAAGGGGGGCTTTTTCAAGTACATATCATGTTCAAGACCTCTGGTGGATAAAATCCCAACAAACATTGTGTATTACACAGTATCACTCTCAGGAATCACATTTTACCACAATGTCCTTGACATAGACACATTTTTTGCCCCATTGTGCTTCATGAAACCTCACAAAAAGACCTAGTCAAACCTTAAATACTTTATTAGACCTACAAGAAGTTGAAAAACTCTTGACAAAAGCCTCTAAAGCTTATTTTCCTCACCTTAGAAATAATGTTCAAAGAAAAGGGATTGGTGAGTCTCCATCAAAACCTATCAACCTAGAAATTATGGCAAACATTTTCAACCAGCTAAGAAAAGAAAATCCCACTCAATTTCAACCCATACTATAAAAGGACATATAAATTGACTGTTTCCTATATTTGATTACTCATCTGTTAGCTATTTCTTTCACAAAGATTACCTTTTGTCCAGTGGGTACAGATCCAGTAAAGGAAATTTTTGCAACATCAGGATGTGATGTTAGCAAATGGCCTGTCACTCCTTCTCCCTGAATAACATTCAAACCACCATTAGGAAGCCCTGCTTCAGTGAAAATCTCAGCAATAAGAACAGCAGTCTGGGGTGTGAATGGGGATGGCTTGAACACAATTGTGTTTCCACAAGCTAGGGCAGGAGTAGATTTCCAAACACAGATTTGGAATGGGTAATTCCAAGCACCAATTCCTGAAAATGCAAGAGACAGTAGATGTTAGTTTATAAACACCTAACACGTAAAACTAAGGATTCTTTGTAATTTAACACATGTACAGTATTGTGAAAAAACAATAGTATAATGATTAGCTTTAAAGAGACTCTGGTCTATAAGGATCATGTTCAAGCCCTGCTGGAGTCATTTAACCTGTTGTGTTCTGAGGTAAGATAGATGTTGCACTGACACCCACCACTGTGGTGTATAAATAACTACACAGCCAAGTGAATCCACAACAAATCTTGGTGGCTGTGATGATGAATATCATTGTCGATAGGAGTGCAGATCATGCTAAACCACTGTCAATTGGCTTTTTACCACAAAATTGACAATGACTAAAATTTGTTGGGGACTCCCTTGGCTGCACCTCGTGAGTCCACAACATTTTGACCATTGTGATGATGATTATCGTTGTTGATTAGAGTACAGACCATACTAAACCACTGTCACTTTGTTTTTTTACCATAAAATCAACCTTCAATAAAAACATTTTTTCAGTGCATGAACATTGCATGACACATTGAAGTGAGCTGAGTTGTTTGTACTCTTCTTGACAACGGAAAATTGGCCAATCAGATCATGGCATTACTGTCAATTGTAATAAAATACATGGGGGATTACTGGGGGTTACTGATCACTAAGGGATTCTTGAGGAATTAATTATCATAGACTAGCATCTGATTTAGGTGCAGTTTATGTAGAAACTTATCAATTCATTATTTTCATGTTAAGGTAAACAGGGATAAGCTGACAGTAACTTGCTCATTAAGCTCTTATAATTCCTGTACTGGAAGTACTTTTGAAAGGTATCATATGGAGAAAAATTACATTTATCAAACAAATAAAGGTACCAAAAGCTTTAACATAAAATCTGGATATCTTTCTAAAACATCCATGGCTAGGCTTCCCAAATGGTTGCATTTTTGAGTAAATGAAAAGGCTATAATTCATATGCTACAATATTTGGTTACAACATATCATTGTTGCATTACAAATATCTTAGGCCAAAAGTCCACACCATGATCATACTAAATATTACTGAGCAAGACAACTACTTATCTTGTTTTCAACCAAATTATTCAGTTTTCTGTGCATCACTTACCTCCTACCACTCCTAGAGGTTCTCGCCTTGTGTAAGAAAAAGATCCATTAGGAAGCTGAATGTGCTTGCCACTAATGGTTGGAGCGAGACCAGCATAATAATCTGTGACATCTGCACAGCCTTCAATATCCCACACTGCTTCATGAAATGGCTTTCCTATTTAATCAAAATTAACAAGTAATCCACCAGGGTCCAGTTGTTCAGAGGGGGAATAGCACTATCCAATAGATAAATCATGATATAGTGGATAAGTGTTTGCAAAAACATACTGGAAATAAATATGAAAGCTATCTTTGCAGTAATGAACACTACCTAAGCAGAAGTGATTCAGGTCTGTGCAGGATTTGAACCCTGACCTCTGCAATACCAGTACTATGGTCTACCAACTGAGCTAACAAGTCAACTGAGAGCTGGTCATTATGTTGGTTCAAAATAAACCCCTGAAGTGATGACTAAATGACTGTGAGTATGGTGCTGGGTTATCCACCAGAAAGTGATTTACCCAGCTGATAGCATTATCCACCCTTTGAACCACCAGGGCCAGCATTACAAAACCCAGTTGAGCGACAAGAATAATGTGGGTGGTACCATGCTGGGAGACTATAGGTTACCATGCTGATCAGTCATTGACTGCTAATAAGTATGTGATCTTCAAGTTTGTGATCACAACCACTAATAACAGCCATTTTTGATTACATGTCAAGAGTAATTCAGAATTGCTTTGGTTTTGCTATACTTTGCTATCTGATTGGTGCAGCAAAGCTTTGCCACATATTCAACTAATCAGCTTCAAAATTAAAACAAAAAGCAAAAATCGTGATGAAATTCAACAGAGTATTATAACACAAGAGGGCTTACTTATCTGAGGTAATATTGATTCCAAGAGTAAAAATTTTTATGAGTAATGGTGGAACAAAAATGAGATGTTAGACAGGTGTGGCAAATAAGCTCACATGTAGGCCTACTAACCACTGAAGAAAAGAGAGGTTTTGTTGCGGGTGGAGGGAGTAATCATTGTGTCCACTAAAACTATCAAGACTGACCCATATTCCTGAGGGCGAATATTGTGAAATAAATAACCTCCAAAAAAACCCGAAAACAGGAGTTTGTAACTAAATATTAACCGATTCAATCATCCTACCGGTGTCCATGACCTCAACTGTGGCTAAGTCTTTGACTCTACTCCGGATAATCTTGGCCGCTTCACGTAAGATTTTCCCCCTCTCCATCCCTGACATTTTGGACCATGAACTGAAAGCCCCTTTCGCTGAGCTCACTGCACGATCTACTTCCTGTTTTCCTGAACCTTGTGTCTGACAGATAATTTTCCCAGTAGCTGGCTCAGTGACATAGATATCGCCTTCTTCTTCCTCGCTAACTGGATTGATCCGATGCCCATTGATGTAATTCAGCGGCTGGCAAGGTTGCCCAACATTGCTCGATAGATTACGGAGAGAGCATAGGAAAAGATAACGTCCATTTCGCAGAAGAGGAGTTCGAGAAACTTGTAATATCATGCCTTTTTCGCAAAATGTACGTTCTTCGATCCAAGTTATTCAGAAGTACAGCGATCTTTCGATGTAACGTTGTACGAACTGACTAGAAATTTGCTAAGCCACGAGAACTAGTGCAAGTCCCTCGCGAGGATGGTCTTATCTCCGTCACGAAAGCACGTCACGCTTAGTCACGCTCATATCAAAGATCATCAAACACTGGGGTTCTCAGGAGCCCACTAATGGGCTCCTGGGTCCTAAACTATAAAACCAGTTGAATGTTTAACGATGAAGTGGAAAAAATCTGTCAAAACTTGAGAAAAAAGGTAATGAGCCCAAAATTATCATGTAATGCAACCTACCGTGACCAGCACTTTCGCGAGAGGTCACTTTTAGCGACTGCCTTGCTTTTATGTTTTTTCGCTCCTGTAACTACACATCCAAAAAGAAAATAAAAAGACAGTTGACATCGTTAAGATTGAAGTTAAAAATTCTCTGGAACACGTACGGAAAGGAGGAAACAAAAGGAAATACCATTTTCCTTCTACAAATCTAGGTAAGACACCAACTGCTAATCTCTCTTGATGACTCCGAGTAAGAAGAAAAATTGACGGAAGTCCTACCAGCTTAAGTCAATTAGTACTATTACCTATTTTTTAGTTGCCAGTAGATTTCTGGGCTGCCATACTTTCATTTGTTAGATAAATAGAGGGTAACCGCTTTTACGTTGACTCATGATGCCTCATTGGGCTTATAGGACCTTATAGCCGTATAGCACTTTCCCCTTAAGACCCAACCTCGTTTCCAGGGCAAGGAAAGCCCTGGAACTGAGTTTGCTTAGATAAAACTAATAATTTTAATTCCTTCAGGTACGTTGTTTTTTTGGTCTCTTAAAAAGTGTGTAAAGGGTAAAAAGAAAGTTTTTTACAAGTTCTTTTGACGGACGTTCAAGAATTGTTTGATTAAGTTGACCTTTAATCAAAATTTATACGCTTTTTCTCGTTTTGGATCTGGTGGTGCTACGTAAATTGTAACCAATGAGGGAACTGTTAGCTGTTCATCAAGGGAAGGGTGACTAAACCTTCATGAAAGTTGGAAATCCGATTTAGGCAAAGACGTCAGTGTATATCAAAGAACAGGCTTCAGTTTTTCTCAAAACACTGGAGATATGAATTTTGTGAAATTAGATCCAGATAAACAGAAGTAATTTTCCCGCGTTACTCAATCATTTATGTTGATAGTTTGAAACAAACATTTCGCAGAGCTTATTCAACCTGTAAGAAAACACTAAGCTACTATAGTCTTTTTCGTGTCACTTTTTATCCAGTTTCTGTCAGAATATGAAGAAAACTGTTCTTCATCCGTACGAACTTGGCGAGGGAGAATGAAACAGATACAACACCGTCATTCTGGGAGAAGAAGACGTTCCATGAAATGTCATCAAACAGTTCACACTATTCGCCTCGTTTTAAAGTCAAATATAGGTTACTTCACACGAACAACAGCTTAGCCGTCGCTCGATAAGAATCGATGAATAATCTGACACATTTTTTGGAGAGCCGCTAACTCCTTTTCTAGCTTCTTAGCAGCAGTGGAAAGGTTCTTGCCTTTTACGTAAAATTTGGAGAAAAGGAGGTCTTGTTGTGGAATAATGAAGGATGGAAAGGCTTTATCTTCACAGATACACTTGTGTATTCTCCCGTAAATTCTTCGGATCCATTCGGTTAGACTGCTCCTGTCATCCAGGCCATGCTTCTCTAACTCATAAAACAAGGCCATCTTGAGCCAAAATGAGCAAATTAAAGATTGAGCTTTGAAATTTGCTTCATCATAAAAATATTCTTGGCTGTCTATTAATGCTGGACAAACATCCCGAATAGCCTTCGCTGTGATGTAAGCATCCTTGACGACTTCAGGAAGCTTGTCAAATAACTTGCTTTCCATAAGTGAAAAAGATATTCTTACTTCATTGCCATAAATGCCATGCTCAAAGCGCGGAATGGTCATCGCAAAAAGGCACCGTTTTGGAATGTCTTCTAGCACAGAACTTTGTGGAATTGCACCCCTGGGCCAAAACACCCCGGCATCTATTACTGGCACGAGGTCGACTGAATATAACATATTCTTGTACACTGGGCCATTCCAGCAGAGTTCAATGATGATTGATGGCTTTGGACGGACGATGCCTGTATCGGAGCTGGGAAGAACGAAGTTTGAGCAAATCCTGCAGCAACTCCACAGGCTGGAATCAAACATCACCAACCTTACAGTTTCCTCGAACTTTGATCTGACCAAATATGGCACGAGATTTCCGTCAGCGTCAAAAAATTCGTCGATATTCGCATTGTCGCTACTTCTTTTCAGACGTACAAAGCCAGGAGAGCATGAATCATCGTCGACCACCTCAAAAGAGGAGCTGAATTCTTCAAGACTGCACATAAAGTCGAACTCATCAGGTAGACCAGTTTTGGTTTGCTCTCGAACACTACCAGACATTATCACTGTTGAACGGAAACGCTGATCACGGTCTGCGACTCTCCGAAGAATCTCCACTATCAGGTTTTCTGTTTCTTTGCATATCTGGACCACCTCAGCATCGTGAAGCGCTACTTTACCGATCCTTGGTGTATGAAGAATATGGGACAAGTATTCTTCCATATTTCTCACAGGATTGATTTGCACTTCTGCTGCATCAATTGAAATAGATTCTTCTCTCTTCCTAAATGGTAGATTGGGGTTAGCCTCACCTTCCTCGAGGGCAAAGAAGGTGCATAGTCTACATGAACTATCTGGCACTCTTCTCTCGTGCTGAGATGTCGAACTTCTTTCGTAATTCCTAAGTGACTCCACCATTTCTTGATTGAGAGCCGAAAGTGCACAACTCATGGGACTTTCATCCAGACAGTTTCTTAAAGTGACATCGGTTGTCGCAAGTGAGACTTCCAAATACATGATCACGGCAGTGTTATTTGAGAATTCTGCATAATGCAGTGGCGTTGACATAAAATCGTCACGACCATTGACGTTCCAAGGCACTTCCAAACCTCCGAGCCGCAGTCCTCTGTTCGCGAAAACCATATGCGCCACTGTCACCCCTTGTTTTCGAGCGCTGTTCCAATCGATCTCCTGCACCACTTTCTCATTTTCGCAAACGCAGTCCCAGGGCAACTGAAATCCCGTCATTTGACTTTGTTGACATGTTGCAGTGACTTGAACAGCTGTAAACCCTTCCGCGTCTTTTGCATTCACGTCTCCTCCGAGCATTATTAACTGCTCCAGCATTTCTGTCCATCTATGAACATCAGCCTCATAACTTACATAATGTACAGGAGTGCGAAGCATTTTGTCAACAGAATTCAAAGATGCTCCATGCTTGAGTAGGACCTCCACGGATGATGCAACCTCAACTTTTGACGTTAAGGAGCTGCAGTTATGTAGCATCAGTACATGTAAAGGTGTCATTCCTTGATCGTCTGATATCGCAGGATCTGCACCATACTCCAACAGAAGTACCAAGGTAACCAAGAGCGCATTCTCGCTGCGGAGTTGAGACGTTTTCTTGGAACAAGCCATCATCAAAGGTGTCTGATGTTTTTTGTTCAGGGTATTAACAATGACACCAAGCTTCAACAGGACTTCAGCTATTTCGTAAGCGCGATATGAGCTGCAGATGTGCAATCCGTTTTCGCCCTTTGAATTGGTGTGATGAACATCTGCGCCATGTTCAATCAAAATGTTTATTTTTGGCAGATTTTCTGCATATTCTTCTTCATCTATACACCCGTAGGCCATGCCACAAGCATACAAGAAAGGCGTGTCACCAAAGTTGTCTTCAGCATTAACTCGTGCACCAGATTGCAAGAGTACTTTCACTGCCTCAGGGGAGGCATTTGATATGCAAGCATGTTGTAAAGGTGTCTTACCTAAAATGCTGCGGTGATTTACCTCAGCACCGGCGTTAAGAAGCATTTTTGCAGCCTCCTCAGATCGGCAATAATATAAAGGCGACTTACCCTCCTTGTCAAGAGCATTTACATCGTTTCCCATACTTATGAGATATTCAGTCACATCTGGTCTGTTCTGAGCCGATGCCACATGAAGTAGGGTCCACTTGTCGTACCTGACAATGGCGTTAACTTCGATATCTTGGCAGACCTTTGTTATATTTTCCAGTGGTTCACGAAACAATTTAGCTATTTCTCGATAGGAATATTTCTCCATATCTGTCTGTGTCTTTCACTTCTGAATATACCGTTGTAGTACCTCAATTATCATTTATCACCGACGACTATCCGTCAATCGATCGATATGCTTCCATGAAAGGTCGCAACGTAATGTCTGGTTGCTTACGAAAGTTAGGTCAGCATTAAGTTATGGATATACTAGGACGCTGTACAATTAAGTTTCACAAGAATAAATTCCAGGATGAAAGTGAAATAACATACGTAGACGCAAAATATCTTAACCTGGAAGGCAAAATATGGCTTCACTCTAACAACTTCCGGCTTCTTAAAGCGAAAGAGACTAACGTCATAAATGCCGATCTATAAGTTCCAAGCCCTTTTCGGCTTTCAGCATCCCAACGAGGCGAGACAAAGGACGTCTTCCGGTTCATAACAAACTCAAGGTCGAGTCGGTACCAGGCCTGAGTCGGTACAGTGGAACCTCGATTTAACGAAGTGCTAAGGGACTGGGGAAATTGGTTCCCTATATCGAGGGTTTGTTCTATCGAAATTTGCGGAGAAACAACCAAACTGTTCGTTAAATCGAGGGATGGTTAATTGTTTTTTTCGTTTTTTGTGGTGTGACGTCGCACTACCCAGCGTTTTGGGATCGGAACGATTACTGTAAATAGCGTTTGTGCTTTAATGTCTACATGACGCCGTACAGGTCTGTACATAGCTACAGCACCCTGTTTTTAAAGCAAGGAGCACAAATTTCGGAGCAACTGCAGAATACCCTGCCACTTTGGTCCACCTCATTTACATGTGTCGGGAGACTTTGAAGATCGAGGCATGACACAATAAACGTTATTCTTATTCAGCGACATGTAAATGAGTGGCAGGGTATTCTGTGGCGTAGTCGTGGGTTTCATGATAATCACAAATCTCGTTGTTTTGTCATTGCGTTACTGGCTATCTTAGAATTTCCTACTATACTAACGCAAATGTAGTAGCCATTAAGTCATTACGTTACTGGCTTTAATTTTTTATGGTCGGTAATAATATATACCATCCGACAAACTTAGTGGCTTCAAGAAATGCTCGTATGTATAGACGAACAAAATTACGAATGTCGCCGTTATCTCAATACCGTCGGTATTTATAATGAGCTGTTACCTGTGAAGTTCTTCAGATTGAAGGCTTTTGATTCTTGTTGGTCGGTTTCGCGTTTGTCTTTTGTCACGTGTTGACATTTGTTCGTTATATTGGGGTATAATATGCGTTTGGGCTTCTGGATTGTTTGTTTTAGCGAGGATTTCGTTAAATCGAGGTTCGTTTTATCGACGTTTTCCCATACATTTTATTGTAACTTTGGTCGGGCTGATCAGCATCGTTCGTTATACCGAGGACTCCGTTATCAAGAGGTTCGTTAAATCGAGGTTCCACTGTTGTTTGATCTGTTTTCTGATCTGGGTTTTTTTTTTACGATTTTGTTTTAGTTTTCTTCCAGCACAAACTTTTTACAAAAAGCCAGACAACGGGAAAAAATGCTACGTTGAAAAGAGAGAGAAAAAAAAAACACAAATCCAACGAAAAAAGGGATGTGGCCCTCTTGCCTCCTACTTGTCAATCCATCCATGCTTTGGATTGTCCAAGGCAGCATACACTTAAGAAAATGTCAAACAAACCATACATACAAAAATCTAATTTATAAAAAAAATGTTTATTATAGTTATAACTCAAGCTTATTTCTTTTCCACCCCGGAATAGGGTTACTTGAATTCTATGCTTTGGATTGTCCAAACCAACGTACACTAAAGCATTTGTCAAACAAATCATACATACAAAAATCTAATTTAATTTTTAATTTAATTCTAATTCATATATTCTTAACCGTCTAAAAATCTAATTTATAAAAAATTTTTATTATAGTTATAACTCAAGCTTATCTTTTCTACCCTGGAATAGGGTTACTTGAATTTACTTCGTGTTCTCACTGGTATCTCTTCAAAACCTTCAAAATCTTTCCTTTCTTATTTTCAATAAACTTAATTATAAACTGACTTAATATCGATAAAGGAATGCATCTTGTTTTCTATGTTACTAGTATGTTTAGCCCAACAAAAAAAAGTCTGACTCCTACAAATGAATAATGTTGGCCAGGCGTTGATATACAAACCCTATATTGGTCATACAACAAGAAATAATCCATCAATAAACAAGTGCTTATCAAGTGTATCCACTTATAAAAATTCTTAATATTTCTTAAATAGCCAGAGTTGAAATATTTCAGCTTGCTTCTTGCTTTTCAGCAATTGCAGCTATAGGCTTACAATTCTTGATGTTACTCTTAAACAAAAGAGACGAGGGAAGCCATTGTGAAGGCAATACCTCTTTCATTGTGCTTCTGATTACCTTAGAAATCCATTACTGATGTCTCTAAACTGAAAAGCTATCATCATTCTAATCAAAACTATAACAAAATTCTTGAAATGTGGTTGGTCATCACCAGCCCAATTTGAGCACTAATAAGACAGGGTACATGTCATGCTTGTAATTGGACAGTGTAATAGGATAGTTACAGGGACAGTTAACAAGTCATGCTGTGTTAGTGGACAAAACACATTATGCGTGTGCGCTGTTGTCTCACAATTTCCAAGTTAATTGTTTATGTTTTTTTTTTTTTAAGAAAATGTATAAATGATGTTTACTTTCTTTCTCAAATTTTGTTATAGTTTTGATTAATTGACAGGACCAATTCTGTCTGTAATCATACTTGTGATTAAAAAAAACAGACTCCCATTTCCAGTTGTCTGATTTTGTTAATCACTTGTATGATTACAGACTGAGTTGGACTCCACTCAGCGGTCCTATTACCATTATCAATAATCAGAGAATTCCAAGCAGACACTTCCTGTACTAGTCAGTACACTGTTGACTGACCCTTTCAATTAATCATTTTTCTTCATAAGGAACCAGGATCCCCAAAAGAGGAGACCCTTCCATAGCTGTCTAATGTTTGACTGGCAGCTTTCCTCTTTCCATCAAAATAACACTCCATGAAAGGGGTTGCCAAAAAATAACCAATGCCACAACCAATGACAACAGCTAGAAACAACCAAACATTGTATGTCATAGCCACCAGCATAAGGAAATATCCAACAAGAAATTGTACTAAATACAGAAAAGTCCTCCTGAGGTGATCCATCAAATTGAACCTAACAATAAAACTGAGAGTCAAAAGGAAATTGTAACAATGTTCATACACCTTGCATCCAAAGCAGAAATGTTTAACCCAAGAGTTAAGTGAAACAAAGAGTGAATACAAGTGCAGTCTGAGCTACAGGATTCCATTCTATCTTGGCTCAAACCTTTACACCCTTATATCAGTATTCATATTCTCCTCACTGTTCTCTCTATATTTCCTATGGTTCTGATAAAAAAATTTGTTTGAAAGTCATGTGCTTCTTTAGTTGGTGATCATATCCTTTATTCTCATGACATTCTACTTGATTCAGGGGTGATATTGTAAGGAGAAATTAGATGCCAGTCACTTATAGGGGTAAAAGGGTTTAAGTTCATTGAAATTTGCCTTTTACTATGGAACTGGTGTGGTGTAAATGAAACTAGGCAGACCATTAATTTTGAGATAAGGGGATGATAAATTTGTATCAAGCTTGGGACCAAAAGATATCTTATTCCTTACAAGGAATTTAACCTCTGATGCTCTAGTTCAGCACTCCAATTTTCTACTACAAAACAGTAGAGAACTCAATGGGTGAGTTTAGCAGTAACTAGTTTCATAAGTAACAAGTTTACACAGATCATGTAATGACACACTCTCTCTCTCTCTCTGGCAGATCTACAAAGGGAGTGAAAGGTTTGAGGTGCATTGAGGGGTACAGGGGTTTAAAGTGGAAGTTACACATTACCATTTCTAAAACATAAAATACTACATAAATTTAACCAGAACAAAGAATGAACATCAAGCAAACAAAAAAAATTTTGCTTGCAGTTCTAAAAGCTCTTAGGGAAAGTGTTTGTTAAGAAAAGGCAGTTAATTTAGTTACAAAAAAAACTTGCCGAAGAGACTACAATAGTTTCATAAAATTGCATTTAAATATTAGAAAAATGTAATAAGCAACTCATTCTGCAGTAGTCTCCCAGGTTGAGAACCTTGTCAAGATCTTTTATGATCATGAAAGATCTTGGATGATCTTGTCAAGATCTTTATCTTGGAAGGATCTTGCCAAGATCTTGGCAAGTTGAGACCACTGAAAGATCTTGCTAAGATCTTACCATGTAAGATAGTAAAAAATCTTGCCAAGATCATTCCCTTGCGAACTGAATTCCCAGTTTTCTGGGAATTCCTAGGAATTCCTAGGAATTCTCAAAAATTCCCAATTATACAAATGACCCTTGCAAACTGAATTTCCAGTTTTCTGGGAATTTCTGGGAATTCCTAGGAATTCCTAGGAATTCCTAGGAATTCTCAAAAATTCCCAACTATGCAAATTAACTCTGATTTAAAAAGCTTGGAATTACTGGGAATTTCTGGGAAAGGAAGACTCCAGTTTTGTGAGGACTTGGAATCCCTAGGAATTCCTAGGAATTCTCAGCTTTACAAACTACCTATAATTTAAGAAGTGTGGAACTCTTGGGAATTTCTGGGAATTTAATTTGAAGCAATTTTAATACCCTGAGGTCCACATAAATTCTAAGAAATTCTCAATACCTTGAATGTGAAGGTTTTAAGAAAAAGAGTAATTTCAGAGGCTTAAAACTTTGGCTCAATAAAAGGTATGCTATACAAAACTTACCAAGAGATATACATACATGTAAATGTTTATAACTTAAAGATCATGAAATTTATTACTCAAACTAAGTTTTAGTAAATCTTTACATTAATATGGATTTTCTCATGAACCAGCTGTCAGTTATGTTAAATGGAAATTGCCAACTTCCACAATAATTAACAATAATTACATTGTTATATTACTTCCCTAACCTACATTACTGGTTGCCTTTGTTAGAAAACCATGGAACAGTCAAGCTCAGTTGCCTCAAACGCTGTCAGAGACTTTTTGTTGACAATACTTTTAGTAGAAATTTCATACCTTAGACAAACAAATTCAACAGCTAATTAATCTTTCTTTTTTCATGATTGTTGTTGCTGCTTTTTTTTTCAGTTTTTTTGCTCTATTTTCATGACTAATTGCTGTAATTTGTTTTGCTGTTTTTATTCTTACAAAACATTTTTGTAAGAGTTCCAATACTTGTGGATCATCCACACACTTTGCAAACATTTGGCATGCAGACAAGACAGAGGTAGTCAATGTTCCCTTTGAGGAAAAACACCTTTTATATCATTACGGAATCGCGCCCATTGAAAAGCGTCGCCCGAGAAAAGTGGGGTACCCATGATGCTTTGCGGGCGCAATGACCTAGGAATGAGGTTGCAAACGCTCACCGCCAACTTCGGTCGCTTTAGATCTGAATTGACAAATTCCCAAACGGGAGTTGTAAAATTTCGCTTTGCGTCCGTTAAGAGACAATGGAGATACAATTGGAGCAATTAGCATTGTTTCAAAGTGACGAAATGCTCTTTTCGTCGGTAAAGAGCGAGGGCCGCGTTTGCATATCAAAAGAGCGTGAAGTGTTCATCCGTAAGCTTATATTAACCACGCGATCGCGAGCAATCCTGTCCACGTTGGAGCTCTATCAAGGTGAGTGAATGTTTTTGATTTTAAATTTTTTCGACCATAAATGTTTACTACGAACATAAACGAAATTGCTTTCCTCGAAGAGAGATCGCTAAATGTGATCGCACCATCGGATTGTGTCATTTTAACCTAATGTAAATAAACATTCGGACTGCCGATGGTTTGTAGTTTTGCTTTTGGTTTTCCATACATTATTCTGTTAGTTTAGTTCTGATAATTTGAAGACCTCGCATTTTCGAAATTAGCTTTCCCTTAACTTATACTCCAAATACGACATTGCTTCTACGTTTACTGGACATAAATCTTAAGAAGTAAAGTTGCTGGAAAGCTGGTAAATTTCTTTATTCTCCCTAGTTGTGTTTCCGTCAAAGATATTTTGAAGCTTTTTGGTAATTTTTTTCCCACATTTATTTCCAGAAATACTTCTACGCAATGAACACCACAGATTTTGGTTGGCCCATGTCTTCTCCAGTTAAAACAGTTGGCTCAAAAATATTTCTGGATGCTCGTAAGGGACTTAGTCCTTTTGGCTATTTTAATGAGAAACAGTGCAAAAAAATCTTATGCTGTTGTTTTGGTCATACCGAAACTTGAGGGAGAGAATAAATGACTGCCCTGAACAGATTAGGACTGACTTTGAGCATTATGCACAACAACATGTTGCAGCATATACAATTCAGAAGTGGTAAGTGTCTATAATAAGATAAAAACACCATCCAATTTTCTATATTTAATTACTTTCATAGTTAAAACCAATTTTCCCTAACTCAAAGTCAAACCACAATCACAAAATTACAGTATATATATATATATATATATATATATATTTTTAATTACAGGTGGAAGATTGTCCATACCAGACCAAATCCTCCATTGGCTGTGTCTGGTGCAAGTGTGGTTAGGCAATTGCTGCCACTTAAGAGGATGGACTTTGTTTTAGTTGGAAGGATGCCTGGTAGGTGAACATTTCTAAAATGTCTAAACATTCAGAAATATTAAAATAGTTCTGATTAACAAGAAAAAAATATATACATAAAATAACAATTTTACAAATATCTCTAGACCCCCTACAATAATAATATTAATCACATGTCATATCTTTTTTTTTAAGTTTTTGCATAAACAAGAACAGCAAAATGTTCTATATATTTGATTTTATGTTAATTATGTATTTGTATGTGTGGTTTTAGGATCAACACAGAAGAAATTTAAAGAGAAAGTAGAAAAAAATGGTGGAAGAGTTATTTCAATGCCAAAAGAGAACCTACCGCATGAAAGATGTTATCTAGTGTGTTCAGAAGATGAGGTCAAAAATGATCGCTCAAAGCTAAATAGTGATTTGGTTATGGCCTACCAAAGGGGATGGACAGTGGTGAGACCGAGTTTCATTGAGTGGGCAGTAAACGAAAGAATTCCACCCAATGTCGAAGAGCATGCAGTAGACCTGACTCCTCTGGCAGCTTTGTCGACAAGCACATGTGGTGCAATGCAGCAGTCTGTAGAACGGTTACGATTTAGGTAATGCTTTATTTCATGATCAGACTCTAATTTCTTGTCGTAACATCATACATGGTTACAAACATTTGATAAATGATCAGAATAATGCTAAGATATAATCAAGCATACAGGTCATGATCACAGTCTAATGTCATATTATCACTTCCTGAGAACAGAGAAAAAATATCTGACATTTGATTGCACTGTTTCAGTAAAGAGATTTCTGGTTTTGCTGCCCTGAAGAGAACAATAAGAGAAGTGGAAAAGGGCCCAGTTGATGAGAGTGGTAGCAAATCTCAGATTAGAATTCACAAAAAGAAAAAAGACGCAATGGTTTCCCCCAAAAAGCCACCAAATGGTTGGACAGCATTTCTCAATGAGAAATTAAAAGAGGTTAGTTGAATTAACTTTTTATGTAAATTTCGACTGATAAGCTGAAATAATGTCTGATGCTTTTACTTTAATTGCTTCTAGAGAGTGCAAAATAATCAGAGTCCTGGACGAACAGAAAGGATGACGTTCCTCAAATCGATTCAAAGTATGGCACAGGACTGGAGACAACTTTCTGACCTGGAGAAGAGAGACTATAAACAGAAAGCCATTGACCTCCATTTGTCAAGGAAAGAAGCAAGACATCAAATTCGCGAAGAAACAAAAGAGAATCGCCAGAGAGAACAGCTCAGGGAAAAGGCATATAAAACTTTCGCTAATATGAGAATCAATGATAACCGAACTGTAAATAGGACAGCTTAAATCGTCTGAAAAAGCAAAACGATGGTTGGAGATGTAAGAAAAATAATAAACATTTTTTTTTTTGTTCAAAGGTTGTGTCAATAAGTTAAACAACATTGCGGACATTGATTGCAATTCCTCGTAATACGAACAAACTAATATGCTTCGTACAGTCAGTCACGGACTTTGGAGAAATGGAAATTATCAAGCGTGTTCTGTTTTGCTTTTTTGATTGGCGATGATGTTGGCATTTTAGGGAGAGGGTAAATGTTTTGTTCGGTTGGTCATGACTTTTATTGCATTTGGTGGCTTTTAAAAAAGCCGTTTGTGAGGCAAATCAGCAACAGTCAGCAGCAGTGTCTTGGCGGTAGCTGTGTTGGCGAAACGAACTGGTGGACTCTGCGAACTTAATCTTCACGAGGAGGGATCGCGACGGCAGGTCCAGGGCAAACTCTGCGAAGGTTGCGTAGAAGTAGCGGTCGTCTTGTTTAAGCTTAACGTCCCATTTTTCACCAAGCAGGGGATCGAGATCGTCGAGTCGATTCTTCGATTTCTCCACCTTGAAATTGTTTTCAACCGCTAACCCAAGTAATTCAAGATCGTGGCGGAGATCAGCTGGGCCCATTTTGATGACGAAGGTGCGAGCTGCCTTTGAAGACATTCCTCTGTAGATCTCGCAGCGAAGCTTGGCTGCCAAGTCGTACCGCCGAACTTGAAGCTGATAGGCGCGGTTGGCCATGTGTAGCTGCAGGGACTGGGACAGCCGCAGGATGGCTCCTTGTCGGACTTCTAAGACCACTTTCTTTAACGGAGACGAAAGTTTAGTGTCCTGAAGTGTGTGTACCGCGGATGCCGGGCAGGTCAACCTGAAGTTTGCTAGCGGGCGAACGGCGACACCATCTGACAGCTGGCACTTCTGAGCATTAATAAGAACCTCTAAGCCGGACTCGTCTTGGTAGAGCTCCAGGACAATGAAGACGACGTCTGCACTGTTCGGGGTGAGGCTCACGAGATCTCCGCAGCTGATTTTGATACCATCAAGGCGAACGATCGTCGCGAACTGCGGGGCTATGGCTGACTGGACACTGACAGGCGCCGATACGGGAGGTGGTGGTGGTGTTGCTGGTGCTGCTTGGGGCAAAGCTGCTGGTCTTCTCCTCTTGACAGTATCAGGAGTGGGTTCTGGCGGTGGTAGTACATCGCGGAAAGAAGCAATGATTTCTTCGTTCCCGCACTCCACTGTCACGAGTTCTAGAAAAGGATCCACCACTCTGACCGCGGCCGGTTTTCTGATGCCCTCGATGCTGATGAAAACTTCGTCGCCTGGCAGCAACTTGTTGAAATTCACGCTGGGTCTCCAACGCTTTCTGGAGCGAACGTCAATCAGTGTACAGGGGCGAAGACAGTCGGCGCTGAGAACTGTGTCAAACTGTCGGCTCCAACCATCGAAGGTAACCTTGTACCTGTCGCCTTTTTGACTTAAGATGGTGCATATATACCATCGACCGTCATGAAGACCTTCGTATTTTTTTCCGATTTCATAAGCCATAGTTTACGTCGTCGTGTACACGCGATTAATGAGCGAGATAAATAAACGAACCAAGATTTCTACTTGTTTATCTGTCGCTATGGCTACCAAACAACGATTGTAAAGGATCCCGGAACGAGGTTGCTCATTGGCTTGTTTTGGTCACGTGTGCAAACGAAGTGTTGCTATGGTAAAGCTGAGTTGGAAGTGAGCGTGCACCTACGTGGAGCGGGAATCTACAACGTATACTTAAGCTTTTCGAAAAGTAATTAGACTACCGACGTGTTATCTGAAACTGGCGGCAATAACGGGCCAAAAAGGAAGGTAAAATTCCGCACAGCCCCACACTACATTATACGTTCAGTTCTTGGATAGAGTGACAAAAACAATACTTTACCATTGGGAAAACAGATTTGTTTTACGATAGTATGGGGCAGTACGGAAATTTTACTAAAAGGAATATTTCTGTGATGTTTTGCTTTCTTGGCGAAATTGATGGTCGAACCTCGCAAATCTGCCGCATTTGAGTCTTAACGCAAATTGAAAACCCGGCATTTGAAAGGTAATTTAATTTTACATCTGACCGATTTTTAAACAATATAACCTAATCAAGATCACGCCACTAATTACGTCTATTCTTCTTCGATGAAAAGCGCTACGTTTCGGTTGTCTGCACAAGAAACAATACTTTCGAACACTGCGTACACGGGGGATTACATGATTGACAGTCGGATTGACAGGCCTGCGTGAAGTTACGCATGCTCTCTTTCTCTTTTCTAGCTTATTTGCATTTTCCCGTGCGACGTTTTTCAATGGGCGCGATTCTGTAATGTGACGTCTTCAATATACTTAATTTGAAACTCTGATCTGAAAATATTTGTCAACAAGACTTGTTAGTAGTGAGAAGTACCAAGTTTCCTTTCATAACTTAATTTCTTAAATGTCCCAATCACTGGATCTCCCAAAAAAATATTACATCTTTTTATTTTTGGTGCAAATTACAAGTCCTTCTTTATATAAAAATGAAAAGTGCTAGTCACACTTCAATAATAACAGCTCTTAAGTTTACTTGTTGTTCTTCTCTGTCTGTCAGCTATCAACAAAATTGTTTTATACTTCGGGCAGTGCTCTACTCTGTTGTCAATACTGCTTTAAGTTCAGTGGAAACGACTGACTGAGGAATCGAGATGGCGGTGTTGGAACGTGTTGCTGAACGCTTGCTACGGTCAAGCTGTGTAGATTTAGGTACTGGTACACTCAGGGATCATCTATGTGTCTCTTATACTTCCGAATGTGGTATCCTTCTTTTATAAATATGAGGGTAAAAGACGATTTGTTGCATTCAAAACTGTGATTGGCTTGTGTTATTTCTCACCTTTGCCATTAACACAACTCAAGTGAGTTTCGAGTCTTTGTTTCCTCGACAACTTTCGGCCACAAATCGTGCATTTGTAATACGATCGATTCTTGTCGATTATTTCTACATAGAGTGAGCTTACATCTTTATTTATATCACCAAGCTATCCATCTTCTAGAAACAGAGAACTGGTCGGAGAAGTCAGAATAAAGTTGGGCGCTTCTCTTAACACTGCAATCGGCAAGTCAGCGGATTCACTTTGCTAGCTAATGACAAGTCCTAAAAGATCCACGTGATCATGCCCGTGATCGGAAACAAAGAAGACTCCATTTGGCGCTCATCTTTGAATGTACTTTTTATCGGTTGATCGCTTTTCTCAACTGTTTTGCTTAATGTAACATTTCTAAAGATAGCTATTATTGTGGTTCAATGGGAAAACGAGAATAGCGTGAGTGTTGTAAAAGAGAAGAAAGTCGTTGGCGCCGTGGAGTTAAAAGAAGGGACAACAGTTGACATATGGACTGGTACAAACAAGGGTCGAGTGGCCATCTGTAAAGCTACGATTTTGAAAGTTTGTGGTGAGTAAAAATTGCGATATTCGTTACGTGATCAAAATCTTATGAAAGAATAGATGTAGCGGGTTGAATTAAGCTTACATAACGCTCGGCGCAACTGAAACTAGAAAAATTCTGAGAATCGAATCGGTCACTTGCATGCCGCAGTTTCTTAAGCTTATGCTTTACAATGAAATAAACCTATCAGTAAGGTTTCAAGATTCCTCTAGTCACGTTTGGGAACATTCAAGATTCATAACAAACCTTAGTACATAAAGAAGCCCTCCTTGGTAAAAACAAAATAATGTATTCAGCCCTTTTTTAGTAAAATCCATGAGAGAGATGTACTAACTCCAATATAAAAGTCACTCAATATAACAGAGATTTCTCAATTTGAGAATCCAATGAATGCCCTTTTCCTCATAGCCATCTTAAAAGCCTGGTCTGAGCTTTAAACATACATATTTTAATATATTATTTTTTTCAAATTCAGATGTCAAAGAATCCAGATACAAAATGGTCAAGGTTCTTGTTGACAACCTCATTCAAGGCCAACTCATTGTGAGCCCAGGAAAAAAATACAAACAGTACAAACAGCAGCTAAGTTTGAAGTTTAGGATAACTTCATTCTAATTTATTGTTACAGTTACAGTTACAACAAGATTTTAATCAAAAAATCAATTTTATTTGTCTGTGATTAGCCCCTTCACTCCCAAGAATATAACTATATAAATATAACTTAAAATAAATTGTATTTTATGGAAGAGAATCAACAGATTTTATTCACAATTTGTGTCAAACCAAATTTAATGATTGATTAGAACTATTTTATATGAATAGCTGTAATTGAGGATTAATCCGTATGAAGTTTTCAAGAAAAGAAAAATAAATCAAATTCCATCCTAATATTACCACACATTGATGTTAGTAATGAATCAAAAATATTTTACATGTAAGCCTTAATTAAGCTTCTAAATAAATTTCATTGAATACTTGAATTTTAGCTGGGTTTTTTTTAATTTAAAGTATTTATTTTATATCATTAGCCTCAAATTTTTGCTTAAAATTCCCAGTAATTCTTAAACATTCCTAAAAATTCCCAGAAATTCCCAGAAATTCCTAGGAATTTTTTAGATTTACAGCTTTTCAGGGAAAGTCATCGGTTCTCTGAGTTGGAATTCCTAGGAATTCCTAGGAATTCCAAGTCCTGTTGGCTATAAACTTGGAATTTCTGGGAATTTCTGGGAATTTTTGGGAATTTCTAGGAATTTCTAGGTTTTTAGAACCAGAGTTGTTATGGTTGGGAATTCCCAGTCCGAATTTACCGTGAAAATTCACACCTTTATTCCCAGGAATTCCTAGGAAAATCCTAGGAATTCCTAGGAATTCCAAAAGCCATTTCACAAGGGTTGTAAGATCTTGTCAAGATCTTACCATGATCCTGCATGATTTTACAAAAATTTTGATCAGATCATAACCAAGATCTTGACAAGATCATTAAAAGATCTTGTCAAGATCTTAGCAAGATCTTAGCAAGATCTTAAAAATATCTTTCCAAGATCATTGAAAGATCTTGTCAAGATCTTAGCAAGATCCTGCAGCTTCTTGCAGGATCTTGTCCAAGATCTTACATGATCTTACCAAAGGTCTTGCCAAGATTTTATCAAAGATCTTGCCATGATTTCACCAAGATCTTGTCCAGATCTTACCAAGGTTTTCAACCTAAAGTACCCTGACCAGTTTGTAACTAACTAATAAGAATAATCACCCTTTAAGTCTAATTTTACCTGCTTTCATTGGTATGTAGGTGTCCTAAGAGAGGCATAGATTCAGAAGTTTTCTTTTCTGGTTTCTTGTTTGATAGGCCTTTATAAGACTTAAGACTCTCAAAGAAAACAGCAATTACAATTATGATTATGCATGATCCAACCAAACCTGAAGAAAACGGAAATACAAAAATTCAGTGAATGCCGTCAATAACCCTTTATACCCAAACATCAGTGAGCATATTCTTCTTACAGCTCTCTATATATTTCCTAAGGTGCTGAAAAGGAGAATTCGTTTAACAATCAAGAACTTCTTTGGTTCATAATCATTTCCTTTATTCTTGTGACCCTAATGTGTGATTCAGGGTGATATTGTGAGGAGAAAAATTAGTTGCTAGTCACTCTGAGGGTCAAAGGGTTTGGGGAGCAGTAAAGTTCTCCTAATTAGAAGCATGTTTTTCACAAGGGGCAGTTTTTAAATATTAATGATTATATAATAAGCTCAGTTAAATGCACGCATTCTGATTGGTTCTCACTTATGATCTAATGGAGGACAGACATATAGATGACATCATCATTAAAATTTTTTTTTCCGTATTTTTTAATTCTTTATTATATAAAACAGATTCCAAGTTGCCATGCATCTGTTCAGTAATAGATCACAGAGGATGTCAAAATGTGGTAAGAACATCAGTGATACACTCGGCTGTGCCACATGTGCTACTTTTTTGTTCTTACCACATTTTGACGTCATCTGTGATCTATTACTGGACAGACGCACAGCAACTTGGAATCTATTTGTTAATTAGATATTAGGATTTTGTTATCAATATCAAGTAACACCATTCTGTAACAATAACACAGCCATTAACCCTTTAACTCCCAAGATCTCATTTGCAATTCTCCTTACTTTTTTCCCAATTATTCTCATTATGTTAGTTTGGAGAATTTGGTATTGGATCAATTAGTAATCCCATATTTAATATTTTTAATTCTCATCACTTGTCTACATGATATGGTACAGATATAGTAATGAGAAATTCTGTCTTAGTCACTCATGGAAGTTAAAAGGTTAAAGTGAAACCAACCTCCAACACTTGACACACTCCAATCTTTGAACAAAATATGTGAAATATCCCGTGAAGTAGTAAACCACATCTAGAAAACATTAAATTAAACAACTTAGTTATCCACGGTTTAATCATGATTTAACATTTTCTTACACTGAAGTAGAACCCAAATATTATAAGTGTTTTCAAATGTTGGGTTACTGGTTCGTCTTTCATGGCCTTGATTTTTTTCATAAAATAACATACCAATTAACGTCAACAAAATTATAGACTTAAATAATCTAGAGAAGTTTCTTGGGGAAAGAGATAAAGAAAGATGTCTTTCGTCTTGACACGAGCGTGGGACAAAGGAAATTTCTGAGTTCCCATGAGGGATCGAGTCTCAGTCCTTCGGATTCCGCGCTCCAATGCTATTGCGCCACAGAGACTACGGAAAGTGGGGTCTATTACGAAGTTCACATGACACGCGTTCTGCATAATGCTAGGATCAAAATGTCGATAACGTCATGTTTGTAAATGGAATAATGGTAAGTTTTAAGCTCAGCAAAGAAATATAAAAAGATGTTTTCCGTCTTGTCACGAACGTGGGACAAAAGAAAAATTCTGAGTCCCCATAAGGAATTGAATCTCCGACCATCGGATTCCTCGCTCCGATGCTCTAACACTGAGCCACAGAGACTCTACGGTGGGCGAGGTGCAGCGCACTCTTATGCAATCTTCTTTCTTACGTCGAAAACCTATCTTTCTTGCACGAGTTTACAATGAGGAAATGTGAAGGACATTAAAATCTATTAAATTTCCATCGAAATCGTAGATGAAATGACAAACATAAATTTGGAGTCAACATATAAATTTTGGAACAGACTCGAATAAGGCGAGCTACAGAGTATACTATTTCGGGAAAACATTGACGTTCAAATTCGAAGAAAAAATCACTTACTTGCATGGTGATGCTAGTCCCAGATTTTGATTGGGAGGTAATCGTTAATTTCTAGACTGAATATGAGTTGTTTAGATATTCAAGAAAACTGCTGCATCTCAGTCACAATTTAATTTGGGGGGTTTTATTAGGCAACTGTAGTGTATTGCGTTACCTAAGCGTTACTATAGTCACGCTATATCCTGTAAGACACGATCGGTACATGATTGTAAAAGTACATTCCTATGTAAAAGTAGTATTACTGATTCCTAGTACTGTATTGTGAATATAGCTTGTTGATTCTTTAATAAAATTCAGTTGAGCAATAGCAATGAAAGAAGTAACTTGACTGAGTCTAGACGACACAACAGCAACTATTCCGTCTCATACCGATCTTCAGTCACGAGATGAGCACAAGCTCAAAGTTGCTAGGCGTTCAAAGTATTCCTTTCCAGTCTCCTGTCGGAAAAGATTATTCGCTTCCCTTATCCCTGATGCGCCGACATCAAAAACATTTCGAAACGGTGTTCTGCAAAATTTCCAGAGAATCATGGGAGGTGGTCTGATAATCTGGTAATAAGTCGATCGTGGCCATCTATCTTCAAATAATGATTTCATCAAAGCGTGCGTTTTTTAATCTATCCACACGAAAATGAAAGAGTCAATGGAGCCTTCGTGTAGCCGTACCCTCCCCCCCAAGGTGAAACGGAAGCGTTATCTCGCCTCCGTTTCGCCTTGGGAGGGGGGGGAGGGTACATCTGCACGTAGGCTAGTGTCAATAGAAAAAAATTTATCCGGATGGGTTGATTAAAGTCCACAAGGAAAGGTTTGCGGACATGTTGGGCGGAAGGCGAAGTTGTAGAAATGGAGTCGACTTTTCAAATGTATTCAGTTACTCTAAGGCCTAATAGCTTTCTGATAAGACCGTTTAGTTTGGGAAGTTTAATGAACGTTTGATAGTTTCACATTCGTATCAATCGTGATTGAAGAAAGTGGCGTCTCAATCAGCTATGTTATAACACTTTGATGTTTATCGAAAGACTTTTAAAATTAAAATTCGAGTTATCAGGATAAATTTAGGCTAAGGGTAAGTGGAATTAGTTCGACTCAACAGGGAGTTCGAGTTATTAGAATTAGTTGATAGTAAATAAATGAAGACTTAAACGAGGTCAAATCCAAGGATAAATCGGATCATTTTCTAATTAGAGGACAAAATTAGGTGACGTGCAAACCGCAGTGTCCCGAAATTAGCTCCCAAAGTCATCTTTGGCGCCTTTCTGACGAACATGCAATGTCGTGTGTACGAGGAAACTGTCGTCAAAAAATAGCTATCTAGGAAATGATCATCGTGAACACGGCTGTGATAAAACCAGACACCAAACAAGACAATACCGTCAAATATGTGATTCCACCCTCAAATTCCTAAAAAAAGTGCGTAAAGGAAGACACTAGAGAATGCAATGGGGGGGGGGGGGGGGGCATTTCAAGGTTCAAAGAAACGCATCGGTTTAAGTTCTAATACACAAGCCAGAAAACAGGTGTAGTTTTTAAAAAATGTCAGTTAATCATCGAACAGCTTTGGAATTATTTCAAGCAGAAGTTATGAGATAAGAGTTAATTCTCGATAGCGCAGCTCAACCTTTAATAGGCAAATATATTAGAAGACGAAGAAAAGCACTGTGAACAACAAGTAGCCTTCACAATAAATATATATACACTTTTGGATTACTCACAAAAAGCGGCATATTTCTGAGGTTATTAAAAAAACACTGGCATGGCATCTTGAAAAACATCGTTGCGTTTCCACAATTTGTTCAGGAAAATTTGGGGTTTACATGTGATTTTTTAACCACATTTCTCAAGGCATTAGGCAGACTAAAGACCATGCTCAGGGCGAACGCAAACGAGAAAACCACTGAAAAGAATCAAGAAAAAATGTGAAAAAGTTCTCCTCTTCAAAACATATTAAAATAATTTTACATCACTTGTGTACGACCCGCTAAAAGGCAGACAGCAATAGATCATGATCGATGTGTTTTCCGTTCGAGTATAAGTGATTCTAACCTTGCTCTCGTTCAACTCCTTAACTCCCAAGATCTGATTGTTTATTCTTCCCTCTTGCTGCTACACATATCGTTGTAAATTAGTTGTGAGAATTTGGCGCAAGATCAAGGTAGCAACTTTACCTGATAAGTTTGAGTATTCTCATTACCTGTTTGCTGGATAATATAAGAATATTATAGGGAGAAGTTTCATGTTGATCACTTCTAGGAATTTAAGGGTTAAGGGATGATCGTACTCTTTTTTTCTGTTTTTCATATACATTTATAAGTTACAGTTGAGATAAATAGTCTGTTCGCTGCAGCCATGTATAGAAAAAAAATCTTACAAACAATTAAACCAGATTGTAATGTAGTAAAGGCCAAAATATACACAGCTTGAAAGGAGCAAACCAAGTGTCAAAATGTTATTCGCTTTAACACAGAGGTTAGAGCCAACTTACATTACTCATGGAACGTCTAACAAGCTCTTTCATTCCTTTGATAAGTTTATAACTTTGGGTTAATGATCAAACCAAGTCAGATAACTATCTGTAACCAAACTGCGTGTCTTCATAGCTTGATCTCATTCTTGACACAGGCCTCCCATACATATCAGTTTCAGGCTCCATTATCTCAGCCCCATAAGCTTCAGAATAACCTGGTGACACAGGCCGACCATACCGACTGCTAGGCCGGGAAATTTGACCTTGTGGAGGACCATAAGGTGCCTTGCCAGGCTCGTCGTCTATCAAATGTCCCCAGCTCCCCATGGCCCCTTCCCCTGCATTAAAATACCCTACTCCGTCATCGGGGTATCCCTCATATTGCCCCATGGCATACGGGCTCACGGGATGACCCGCGGGATTCAAGTACGATTCTCCGTTGAACATTCCGAACTCGCCCGGATCCTCCATCATGTACTCCGGAGTCATGGCTCCTTCACGCGACATTAGCGTGACAGGGTCGTCGTATCCCGGATGACCATAGAAGAGATCGGGTCTGTCGAGTGGATCACCGTCCATGAAGGAATCATCACCATACATCAGGCTGTCATTGTCTTCCATGACAACTTTGTTTTCTATCATTTCCAGCCACTGAGAGTTGTGCCAGCGAAATTTCTCTGCTTGGATCTTCTTTGCCCACTCCTCGTCGTATTCCTAAAACATTGACATGGACTTACTCAACAACTGTGTTCGATCAATGACACGTGTATGCTTCCGGGTTTCTGCATTTTCGACTTCAAACTAAAACTGTGTAGCAAGCACAGAAAAAAGCCACACGCACATTGGTTAGTTTTTGCATCAATGTCAGTATATGAACAAATGCGCACCTTCCCCTCCCCTGCCCCTTAGTCGACTGTTGTTGGGCTAAGGGAGGGGTAGGTGCGCAGCTCCTCGGATACTGACATTGATCCTAGTTTTTTTTTGAAAAATGGGTTTTTTATGATTATTTTCTAAGGCTGGAAGTTAGCATGAAACCTTTGCAATTTCCTCGGCGAGTGTCCTTCACTGATACCAGCCAATTTCGTCCTTAACAAAACTCCTTGTTCAAAACCTGGCCGGTCAGTTATTGGAGAAGGGGTCGTGCTACGTAAACACCCCACATTTATCCATCTGTACTGCACACCCTTCCTATTGGGAAGTTTATGAAAAAACAAACAAACAAAAAACGACTTAATAAAAAAAAGTCAACAACAGTACCATGATAATGTCGAGAGTCTGGTCACAGACTTTGCGGATTTCTGTGTTCTTGTCGTGCATCAGATCAATAAGATAAGCAGGGGCCTCTGAGATGCAATGTTAAGGTTTTTAAAACCCTTTCAGTTAAACTAAATGAAAATTGACGGGAAAGAAGGTACATCATAAAAAGACAGAATTGATTTAGTATCGAATTCTTACAAGAGTATTAAGTAAAATTACAGGAGAACTTAAAGTCTACTTCCCCGAATATTTCTGCAAGTGGGATTCAACTAATTCATTCTCATTCACGTAACAACATGGACAGCTAAACATCGAGCAGGATAGAACAGACACCCGCTTCATACTAGTATGAATCCATGTCCTTTGTAACAAAAAATTCTTATGAATACCCTCTAACTCTTTTTGTCCACATTAACTTTTTTTTCCCCCAAGCAAGTTTATTTAAAGGATACGCGTTTGCTTCACAATGACCTCCCTTGTCGCCTTGTGAAAAATCATTTGGTAGAAAACGTAAACTATTTGTAACACAACCTCATCGTCTTCTTGTTTAGCTGTTACAACAAAAAGACAACAAAATAATCAATTCGAAGCCTCTCTCGACCTTAGATAAAAAAGACAACTGTTACTTAATATCATAACTTTTCGCTTATTTACATCCTTACACTTCATCACTACTTATTTGCTCTTTGAATTTCCACTGATTTTGTATTTAAGTTTGCCAAGATCTCTGATGAGGCCCAGATGCAGAACAAATGAATACGTAAATTGCAATCTATGTCAATTTTCTCCATCTGTAGCCAACAGTGTTACTTCCTATTTTTATCATTTTACCTCTTTGATTTTCATTTTAAGTCTCCTTCAAGTTGAGGTTGTTTCTTCCCGGAACATAAAATGACTAAAAAATTTACAACTGACCCTGAAGTGAAGGGTCTTTTCTTACGACAGAGAAGACTTACCATTCAACAAGTCTATAAGCATTTGAATGATGCCCTCCCTAGCGAACACAGTGGCGCACTCATCGTCTAATGACACAGTGCCAATTAAGATCACTACTTCTAGAACAAGGTCATCCTCTGCTACACCTGTAACGAGGAGGTATCTCACATGATTGAATCAGTCACGAAAAAGTCGACAGTAAAAAGGAAATAACTACAGCGTGCAAACAGGACGTATTTCACGAAATAAAACTGATCAAGGTTAAACTGGTTTGTCATTTGGGTTCCCAAGGCTTTCAAAAGCAAAGAGAAGGACTTAAGAGAGCGGCAGAAATTCTTTGAGCCAAAAGAAGTGATATTATTTCTGTTCTAATCATAACCATTACAGTTTCCTAAAATAAGATTGGTGCATTGGTTTGTTACTAATTTTTCATTCCTTGTAATCGAACAATACAATCGAACAGATAAAGCAGCCAATCACAATAAGTCCATTCAGCTAAATCCATCAATCATACCTAGGTTTGAAAAACCCACCCCAATACACAGTGACTCTACTCGCCTGGATTCAGCTTTGTTTTAATGTAATTCAACATGTCATAATCTGTTAGCAACTGCTGAAAATTCACATCTGCCACTGTCAAGTTTCCTAAAATTCCCAAAGACTCCAAGACGAACTCTTCATCGGGGCATTTCTGTACAGCGTTGGCAAGGTCACCGATATATTCCTAAACAGACACAGTCGTGTTTATTATTACAAGAGTGGTCTTCACGAGTATCACCTGATTAACCAGTAGATTCTATGCTGCCGTGCGTCTGTTAAGTAATAGATTCCATACAGTGTATGGCGTCAAAATGTGGCAAGATCGAAAAAAAGCACACGAGGCGTAGAAAAATGTTGTAATAGGGTAATTAAGTATCAGCTGAGTTGATAACGTAAATTTGCCACCGTAAAGAATTTTAAAGCTGACGTTTCGAGCGTTAGCCCTTCGTGAGAGCGAACGGAGAAATTGTGGGTTGTGTGTGTTAGTGTGTGTAGAAAAATGTTGTTAACGGTGACGTCATCTATGTGTCTGTCCTCCAGTGGATCATAAGTAAGACCCAATCAAAATGCTTGGCCTTATCATAGTATATAAAAGATATGCATCACCAAGTTGGTCTTCACTGGTTAGTATCACTTACCACAAACTGGGCCTTGGTAGGTCCCTCATGCTGTGAGATATTCCTAATCATCTTTAGCAACAAAGGATCGTTAAACTTAAATGCTCTCCTCATGAGCAGCTTCAAGCCTGGCCCTTCACAAATCAACTGAGCATTCCTCTTGTTAGCTGCCAGGTTAATGGCCAGCGCGATAAGCTCCAGGTCAATACGATCTCCTGGACACTCGAGCATCATCTGCATCATCTAAGGCACAACCATAGTGTCAACAAAACAAGTGCGCCAAAGGAATAAAGGGGTTAAATTCCTAAAAAAAACTATAGAGCTGCATTAGTGGGGGGTATTACATGATAATTTGGATTTACTGTACTTCATATCGTTGTTCAAACTCAGGATTTTTCTTTGTTTCATACCTATGGAAAATGTATTTCATTTATTTTTATTTTCTTTTCTTTTTAATCTTCAGCATCATTCGTGTTTTTCTAATCAATGAATTAAAAAAGAGGGGAAACTACACTGTGCTTACACAGAGTAATAAACTAAAAATGTATTACAACAATATTTCAAAGTAAATTTGAAAATCATTTGCTCAAATTGACAGCAGTACCTCCCAAAAATGTGAAACAAATCTAAATGACTATAAGGTTGAATAACTATGCTCCACTTGTTAAAACATGATGAAGTCAAATACTTCACAAAAAAGTTACATTGGTTTTGCTTTTCAAAAAGTATCAAATCATGGTTTTAAATCAATAAGGAATGAACATGTAGTTCAAAAATTTTCCATGGTTGTCACCAGATCTGAGACAAAAGAAACAAATCAAAAGGGGTATGAAAAATCTTACACAACAGAAAACTTTGAGGCACATTCTAAATTATGTACAGAGTTCTCATGCAGTTAGGAAAAAAAAAACTTACAATAGGTATACAGTCTGTGTAGGTAAACATGGACTTGAATCTGTCATCCATGCTGATGTGGTACAGAATGCAAAGTACCACTACACTGTGAATCTCATTGGCTAGATCAACAAAAAACAACAACATCAAGATATGAAAATTTTTGTTTGATGCTCTTAGTGTGATGGATCCTTTGGATGTAGCCAAAAAAGTAATTTTTTTGTGCTGATGCTTCTGTTCATATAAAAGATCATTTTTCTGAATACAATTTTTTTCCAGAGTGATTTCATGATGCAAAAAGTAAATCAAGTATGATGAAGACACTTCATTTCATCAAAAATCACATCTTGGCCATACTAATCCTCACTTGTCGTGATATTTATTCCATGCTGCAAGTGTGCAGTGGGGAAAAAAACAGTGCTTACCCAACCCAAGATAACTAGGAGAAAGTCAGCATATCAACAAAACAATATATCTGAGCCTCTTATGTAACTTAACTTTCCATTTGTTTGATCAAATATTCCAAAGGTTATATAGATGACAACTTACAAACAAGTTGCACAAGTTTTGGAAGAATTCCTGCTTTCACTGCTTTTGCTCGCAGGTCGGTGTCAAATGAGAGATTAAGAAGCAGGCGAAGTGCGATGTTAAGAAGATCCTTAAAAGTAAGATGACATGAAACAAATTATCACATGGCTGATGTTTTTGGAAGAAATACTTTTGTTGCTTTTTTTTAGAAACAAGATCATATAGCGTTTTCTTTAACTATTCTCATTCTCTAGTTTAGAAAATGCATTTACCTTTGTTGCTCATCACAACAAATTTTGTGGACATTGTGAGGTTGTTGTTCAGTATTGCCACTTGTGTTACATGTGAAAAATATGCCACTTAGTTCCCAGATGAAGTGGTCATAATGAATCTACAAGTGTTTTAGTTTAATAAAATACTCACATTCATACAATAATATCTTTCCATACTTTATTTCAATATTAAATACCTCATTTGAATGTGGAATCAAGTTGGCCAGCTTCTCTAATATGCCACATTCTGCCTGAAAGAAAAAGAAAACATTTTAATGATGAAAATTTCTAATCCTCAACTCCAAAGACTTAGCACAGTACTTTTCAACCCACTAAATAGTGACTTACCATTTCAGCTTTGTTCTCCATGAAAATACTCAACTTTTTAAGAAATGAGACAACCAGAATCAGTAAATCTACATTGTCTCTTTCCAAAAGCTGCACTAACATGGAAACAATCCCTTTGTTTTTCATCTTCATCTCAACCTTTGCATCTTCAGCCAGATTTAGAAGCAAGTAAGATAACACTAGGAGAGTGAAATATACAGCAATTATACATGTTATAAAAACACCCTTGACTTAATTATGACTGACTATTGCTATATTAATTAAAGGTAACTATAAAAATCAAATCAATTAACCCCTTTGACCCCTAAGAGTGACTAGAATCTCATTTCTCCCTACAATATCGGCTCTGAATCACATGTTGAGGTCACAAGAATAAAGGGAATGATCACAAACTAAAGACACTCTTGATAGAAAAACAAATTCTCCTTGCCAGCACCTTAGGAAATGTATAGAGAACAGTATGGAGAATATGCATAATGACATTGGGATGTAGAGGGTTAAAATTTGGGGTAAAAGTGGACTTGAGCTATACTCCATGAGAATGACATTCTGCTCTCTTGCTGGATTTCCTTTCAGGATTCTCTTTCAGGATTCCCAATGATTGCCCAATCACTTTTGCAGTAGAGGATTATTTCTCACTGGTACTCCACAAAGTAGCCTTCTAAATAGACAAGACTGTGCCCTGCATGTTATTTAGTGTACCATTTTAGAAGCCGCCAGAATCACCCAAGATATCTAAGGTTTAAAATCACAAATGAAATACCCCTGGAAGTGATGTCTTCTAAGGTTTACCTCTGAGAAGCTGCTCTTGCTTTTTAACAAGACCAAGAAATTTCTTGAAGCTCCTTTCATAGTCCTTTCTATTATCACGTTATCATGTTAAGTGAAAAACCAGAGCTTTAGGCTCATATTCAATTAAGGATAAGAAAACTTGAAGTGACTACCAATCCATTGCAAAAAAAAAAGAAAAAAAAGGGTAATAATTTAATTATAGGTAGGGCAGGACTAGTGTGTTAGAATTTACTCCTAACATGTGAAGTCTTGAAGAGAATGAAAAATCCTGCACATCAACAGTTCCTCTTACTGCAGTAATTTAAATGCAATTTCTGAACAATGTGTTCCATGAAAGCATGACTGGAAATAAAAAACCAGCAAACCATCCAGGAGAAGAAGATTTTCATCAACTTCATTTTTGTCATATAAATTTTCCTTCCCACCTGCATAGTGAGAATATATGGTCTAAAGAAATTCCCTCTTGTAAAAACTGTGGTAAGAACAAGGCTGAGCACCATTTTGAAAAAAGTTACCATATGGAAGACATTTTAAGGATATTATTTTTCTTCTTTTCCAGTTCAGCAGACCACTGCTCATATCTCTTAATTTCACTATCCATGACTTGCATACACATGGCTCCAATCTTGTAATGGATAATAATGGAATGGAACTGGGAGAAGCTGGAGAAACAGAAGAACACATACACAATGTTGGTGGTAAGTTCTGTGCTTTTCTTCCAATCCTCCCGCAGCACTCTAGACAAGGCACCCAAAACAGGTTCTACAAATAAGACAAGTAAACTGATCACTTTTATGGCATTATTAAGAATTTTTCAGCTACTTTTAAGGTTTTGTAAAACTTGCAAGAACTATACATTCAAGTGAAAAAAACACTTTCCAAGAGGGACCTGACATAAGTAATTAATAAGTCCTGTTGTAAGCCATAAATACAAGAGAATACCAGAGAGAAGCATGACTCTCCAACAAACCATATGTTGGTTAAAAAATTCAAGAGGATTTTTTTAAAAAAAGTTTTTTTTTCAATTAAGTGACAAAAGTGGTCCCAGATTGTATGGTTTTTTACTACTTTTTTATACATACCATTTCCAGCGAGCTCCTCTAAGTTATCAGGATTTCTTGAAAGCTGTAGTATAAGTGCAGTTCCTCGTATTTTTTCAGGAAGTTCTTCATAAAGTAACTCTACATACTCCTCTATGTCATTTATGTTGGCTTGTTCATCTAGCTAGATTCAGTAAAGAAAAAGCTCTAATTATTCACTGAACCCTGGAAATCCCAATAATAACATGAACTTCAGGGCTTCTGCAGCATAAAATCTCTGGAAATTCAAGTAGAACTCATGACTAATAATTAAAAAATGAAAAAAAATGAAAAAAAAATTCAGGTCTCACTTGATAAAATGAAACCTTTACCATACATACACCCAAAATTAAACTAACACTTTATTTAATCCTTTAACTGCCATGGGTGACCAAGACAGAAATTCTCCTAACAATATCCATACAATATCAACCAGAAAAATGATGATAATAAAGAAAACTATCAATTTGCAGATAATTAGTTGATCCAGTAATAAGTTCTCTGAACCAACATTATAAGAATTGTATGGTTGACAGTAAGGAGAATTTCAAATTTGGTGTGGAAGTTAAAGCGTTAAGTGGACACTAGCCCAAGCCTACAGTTTTCCCTCTCATATGAGTGCAGAGCACAACAACTTTTATCATTTTCAAAGCATTTATTCCGACAATCAAGAGTTACTTTGGCTGCTTGAAATGATCAGATTTAAGACACTTGGTTGTAAACAATTAGTTCCAAGGTTTAAGTCTACAGTCACAGCTCAGATGTCTATGTGGCACTATTTGCCAAAGAAAGTCTTCCTACATCAGTTTCTTTCAAGAAATTCAGAAAGGCCTATGAATATTCAATACATGTGCTTGTGAATTTTTAGAAACAAATGATTTAATTTTAAATTACTCTATTTCCAATTGCATGTGCCAAAAAGAAAAAAATACCTCAGTCCCCTCAAAGTCAGCTGCTGCATTTCTTAGACTGTCTCCTTTCTCTTTACCTGGAAGAGATTGTAAGCATGAAAGAAAAACTCAAAACAACATAGTACAGTCGCCTCAGGTTACAAGTTACTCTCTAATCACTAATTCAAAAGTATATGGTACAATATCACTTCCATTATAGGCTTAAATGAATTCATAGGTATTAGAAAAAATTTCTTCCAACTGCTATTACACATCATTCCTCTCATCTACTTTATTCTGAGAAAAATCTGGTTGCTATAAGATCACCTTTTGTTTTTCCTGTATCTTTCCTGTTTTGTAGATAGTACAGTAACTGTTCCACTTCAGGAAGTTTGGAAGGATGGATAAGCTTGCACTTTTCAATAACTTCTGCAGCCAGCTTTGCTATATTGGTTGTGGAATTTAGACTCTGAAGACGAATTCTGTTGATAAGTAACACATGATGTTCTTTATTTCCTGATTAAACACACTTTTTATTTGGGCTACCATGTAGTTTTCTTGATTGCTTTTAATTCATACTAATCACAACAACAAAAGAAGTTATTTTATTTAAATTTAGAAAATGTGTACTCCATATCAAACTTCTATTTTAAAGATTCCTCAGAGGTAGTACACCAGATTGAAAATTGATTAACATCGTCAAAAATTCTTCTGCAACATAAGTTGTAGTAAAAGAGCTTTAATTGTTCACAGTAATCACAATAATAATGAATACCATTTATTTTAAATTTAGAAATTGTACATTGCATATAAAACGTCTACTTTACTGATTTCTCAGTGTTAGTAAACCGGATTGAAAAAATTATTGATATCATCCATAATTGTTCTGCAACATACGGAGATAGTACCGTGTTTTAATTCACACCAATCACAACAATAGATGTTATATTTTACTTTAAATTTATTTCATATTAAACTTATATTTCAGAGATTTCTCGCAGGTAGTATACTGGATTGAAAGAATCGAATGATTATATAAAAAATTCTTCAGAGACATATGAAGATAGTACATGTGATAAACAGCGTAAGCAGCGTAACTAGGAAACGAATGAAGCGCCTGAACCGCCCACTACAACAGGAAAACAATTTGAAGTTGTAAAGAAATCCCAAGACCAAAGTCTAAGACTAGGCTAGCTCATTACACGAGTCGTCATTTTCACCTGCCCATCGGCCTATGAAAACTGTTCCAAGCCAAGAACCTAACAGAACCATTACACATGGTGATAACTTACACTTTCTGACACTCTTTCCGCTCCCCCAACATAGGCTCTCCCAACGGGCCAAGTATAACAGCTTCCAGTTCATAATTAACCACAATAGCCTTCTCTGTGGGATGAGCATCGATGCTTCCTCCCTTCACTCTCCTAAAGGAAGTTAAAACTCGATCAGTGAACGAGAACGAAATTAAAGCTGACAAAAATTGAAGGAGGCGCCCGCCGACCGCGGACAACGATCTTGTCAAACGAAACTTTCGCTAATAGTTCACACGGTTCACAGCTTACCGTTTCAGATATCTTGCCTCCTCTTGCATTTCGTCCTTAAAACAAGACTAGAAAGCGTCCAAATCTCCAAAATAAGGCAATTTTAACGCTGCCAAAGGTAATTGTGTAATTTCTTCAGCTGCCATTTTACATAACCTTGCTCCCCGTTGAATGATGGGAAATATAATATTTGCTGGAACGGACTTATGGAAAATGGATAAGCAGGGCGGAGAAAGGTTCCGAGCAAAAAGGTGGTGTCGACTATAACTGCCTTCAACCAAACATTGGCTTTTTCTGAAAATGGCGGCAAGTTCGGCAATTTTGAATGCCGGGCTGGAATAATTATTTGGCCAGGATCTAGCGGATGACCATTTCATTTCCACCATTGTCAATATGTCGTCGCTGAAGTTTGTTGTGCCAGTTAGAGGGGTGAATGAACTGAATGATTGGAAATAGTTAAAAACCTTCCGGGCAAACTTTGAAACATTTGTTTTATAAGTTCCTGTCACAAGCTGACACCTGTCACTTGGCGAGCGCAAGAAAAAGGCCATGTACTCTTTTGAATGAGCAACAGCAAAATGGCTATACCGACGGTTTTCTTTTAACAGTAAGTGATCTTAAGGAAAGTATAATTCACTTCCATAAGTGATTGATGTACGAGGATTTACCTCTGCTCAGTCAGTTGTGAATGACAAGGAAGAGCGAGTGTTCGTTTTCCGTCGTGGCTTATTAAACACATTTATTAAACACCTCTGCTCAATCAGTTTTGAATGGCAAGGAAAGTCATTGTAAATAAATTAAGAACGTATGTTTTAAGGCGGCGAGAGTGTTCGTTTGTTTGCTGCAATGACGTGAGCAAATCTTATCTTTCTTCGTGGCTTATTAAACACACGTGTTAAACAAAATTACTTGGCTTATTAAACAAAGGAAGCTTTCTAAAATGTTGAGAATCTCTGCTGTTATTATGGAACATAATACTTAATTGCGCGTTTTTTGTATATCAACGTAGATGTGCGAGACATTTTTAGTTGAATCGTGAGGTTTATGGTCAATACATCACAGTTTTGATTATACTTTCTAGCACATTTGAGAACTCTCCAAATTTTAAGTAAACGTTTAAAAATTTGTTCGCCAATCTTTCAAATGTAGCTGTTAACTGCCGTAAAAGGAACCTGATTTGATTAATGACAGAGAGCCATACTAATTCTCTATTCTATTCGCAAAGAATGGTCCCATTTAACATTTGCTGGGGAAAAAATTGTTCCGAGCACCTGACTCCGGCTTTTTCTTTGTAAAGACCTCAAATTTTGCGTGTGCGTGGTAGAATTTTCCGTTCATCAAATGAAAAGAAAGACCAAAGGTCGAGATGAGCACAAATAAATCAGACTTCCGCGCTGAATGACCGGGAGAAAAGCAGGAGAAAAGAGCGCTTTCTCTGTTTCTCAAAACGAAATAACAACTTTATCAAGTGAGTAACTTCATCTGGCAAAATGAAAGTAAACGAATCAGAAACTGTCACTGGTAAGGCGTACACTCCTAGATCACTGTTTTTTTGTTTGCATCTTCCAAGTTTCACCTGGGAGTTGGAGGAGAACACCATTCCCTGGGCTGTGTTTGGCATCACAGTTTTTTCTTCTCCCTTCATCGTCCTGCTGAACGTTTTAGAGATCATAGCCGTGAGCAGGAAGAAACGACTGCAAAGAGTGTCGACAGTACTGCTGCGTAGTATGGCGGTGGCAGACGTACTGGTTGGTGCTTTATCCATGCCGTTAACCGCTACTGTTGATTTATTGACTGCTCATCAAACGCTTCTGGATCATGTCTGTATATTTCACCTCGTTGGCTTAGCTACGATGTATTGTGCTGGTGGGACAGTCGTGCTTCACTCGGCATTCATAGCCTGGGAACGATTCTTGGCTGTCAAGAAATGGAGGGTATACAAAGTGATTGTGACACAACGCCTTATGAAAAAACTTGTCGTGGTCGCTTGGATGCCTGCGGCAATCATAGCAACACCATACGTAATGATTGGGGCTGGTGTAGATCTTAAAGTATATGAAAACTTAGCTCTGATACGGGGTATTGGTTATGTTTTCTTCATCGTGTTAATCATATATTTTAACACTATGGTGTACCTTGAGTTACGTAAGCGAAAAAGAATCAAAACCCTGAAGGTTAACTCTCTAATCAAAGAAAAGTTGGACTCTAAAGTTGCTAAGATGACTGTTTTGATGACTTGTGCAATGCTTTTCTCGTTTCTTCTTCCAGAGGCGTGTCTCTGGTTGGGATATTTGTTCCCAGTCTTTCGGAAAAACTCGGCTTTTCGATGGTACGAGATATTGATGCAGTTACACTCATTGGTAAATCCATTGATTAACTGCTTTAAAGAACGCTGTTTAAGAAATACTGTCCTCAAGCTGTTGCGATTTAAAAAATCCGAGCTAATTCGGCCCACACTTCGTTTTGTTAAACAAATGAAACCTCTCAGCCCACAAGAGGATGTCTTGGAGAACCAGATAGACGAAAGAGGAATTACCTTCAGGAGAACTACACCTATACCTGATTCAGTATTTGTTATAGAATCTGTTTAAGATTCCTGCAATCGAATTAGGGAGCGAAGATCTATGTCAGTTCCATCGCTTGAGATAAACAGCACCAGATTTAGAGGTCTACACACTCACCAACGATTCACCTCATGCAATTTAACATCAACAATAACTGTCAATGCTCATGACGACGCACGACAAATTTCCAAGAACAGGGATCCCAGATTTCCACCTTGTGACGTCCAATTAAAACAAGTCCCGAGAGCGGAGTCTAAAGATGTTACTGCGTCAATAGACTTGGTCTGCTGCTGCCAAGACTCACAACATAATTTAGTGTCCACAAAAGCGTTATATCTGTTTTCATCAACCATGACAATCGGTAAGAAGGAATTAGCAGGACAAAAACACATTTTTCCTACACATTTGTAGGACACAAATATGTTAAACTGAATATTTATTCTCTTCTAACGCACTTTCGTATGCTCTCTTGACTTCAACATCCTTGTACCTAGGAGAAATAAATCAGTTGTAGGTTTGAATAAATTCAGTGTTCTTACTTTCTTGCAATTTTCTAAGAATCTAAAACATCTACGATATAGAACTTTGGTCATAATGTTGTCAAAATGATGATTACATCATCATTGTAGTTTCTGCTTCGACATTCGCAGAAATATCTTTTTGGTGATTTTTTTTATGACTTTCCTTGAACTATACTCCAATACTGTGATTCTCCAGACTTGACAGATAATGTTGGCTTCCCAGGTTTTGTGACTTGTAGGAATCCAGAAATCTACTTTAATAGAACGAAGCACTCTCTACAGAGATCAACAACGGAAGCAAAGCAGACACACAGACAGATGTTCTCTTTTATTTTTTTAATTTTTCACATACGGTTCCAAAACTTTCTACGTGGTTTTCAATAAATAAAATTTCCTCCCTATTCATTTGCTATCGAATTATTTAACATAGGCTGTTCAGTAAGTCGTGATTTTTGAGGACGATAAAAACATTCCTCTTTCATAATCTCTCCTCATTCCCCTCTCTGCCTTTATAATTACAAGTGTCTCTAAGGGTGATCCTGTTACAAATTGATCTTGGCATTTTAGCTCTGAGGCGTGATTTTCTCTTCTGGCTGCTACACATTTCCTTATAGAGTGTAAATAGATTATAATCTTTCATCGAGGTACAATCTCGCCGATTGCTGGGTATAAATGCCAGGATTGCAATCAGTGGATGCTTCTTATTCCAGCTATTGCCATGGTGATTCGATCCTCCACACCCAGTTCATGAGCAACCTCGTGAAACCTGAGAGGTAGAGAAATGAAATCATTAATAAACGGCGAAAAATTCGTTCATTAGCAGAGTAAATGTTAGCCATATAGGAACATTCTTCTCTTTTCAAATGTTGTCAGCTGTAAGTTCCCGCGCAAGCGACCCCTTAACAAGTGTGTGGGAGGCTAAACGCCACAAACCATCTCCTTTATCTAACAACTAGATTAGAAACAAAAGTTATTTTACAATAACAGAAGCAGCCTGCCACAAGCAACCAATACAGTAGGGGATTTAAGCCCAGTTGAATAGTTAGCTGGGTTATACACACAGACAACAGACAGATTGACAGACATGTAGACGGGAGGACTGAAGGGCAGTCGGACAGAGGATAGAGAGAGAGAGAGATAGACAAGGGGACGACAGAAAATTAACTAGAAATTACTTTGCTAAACAACCTGATCGACTTACTTGTCACTAGTTGCTTTGAGTAACTCATTAATGTGCGTCAGAGTTTGACTTGGTGTTACTTCTAAAGCTTCCAATACGTTGCAGAAGTAATCTGTGTCGAAAATATCATCTTAGTTAATACTGTGGCATAGATGTGTCATTTACAGGTCCTCTGAGGCGTGTGTTTGGTAATAATAATAATAATAATAATAATAACGAATTTTTATACAGGATTGAAAAACCCATCAGTGTGTAACACTGTTGTCCTTGGGGTCCTGTCAAAAATAATAAATAAATAAATAAAATAAAATTTAACAAGATATAATCATTGATCTTAAGGTCTAGAAAAGCATACAATAAAATGAAAAGAAAAAAAAAAAAATTAAAAATTAAATAAAAATACTCTGAAAAGGATACCTATAACCACGTTTAGATAGAATTTAACTAAAATAATCTCGCAATTTGCTCTTAAATTTCAGTCTCGAATCTAACGACCTTAGTTCAGCAGGCAGGTTGTTGAAAGTCTTTGCTCCTTGGTAATAGAAGCTCTTTTTACCAAATTCTAAACGAACTTTGGGTAATTTCACTGATATACCGTTATTCCTAGTGGCCTTAGAATGAACCAGCCTTTCGAAGTAGTTCTTAAAGGGTGTGCAAACATTATTCAGGAGACAGTCGAAAACAAACAGACAGCTTTTACGCTTGATCAAATTGTTCACGGATGGGGGATTAAAAGAACTATTGCCGATAATTTTAAAGCCTCGTCGTTCGATGTTCTTTATCATTTCCTTTCGGTAATCCGGAAAGCTAAGACCAAGTGTTCCGCAATAGGTAAAGATAGGTGCGATCATAGTGTTATAGATCGATTCTGCACACTTTTGGTCGATCAAAGGACGAATTGATCGCAAGAGATTGATTCTGGTTGCAGCTTTTTTATAGATTCGGTCAAAATGTGATGCGAGGTTTAGTGATGAGTCAAGGTGAACACCTAAGTACTTATAGGTAGAGGTATTATTGATGAGTGACCCATTAGCAGAAAGTTTAAGTTCCTTGTCTTGAAGGTTGATTCTTTTAGCTGTTCCAAATAACATAGACTCCGTCTTGTCCTTTTTTAGGTTAATGATCAGTTCGTTGTCTTTAAACCACTCGCACAGGTTATTCATATCCTCGCTAAGGCTTCTCTGTATAGTATCAATATCTTTAGAAGAGGTATAGATGACTGAATCGTCGGCATAAGTGATAATCTTCGAGTGTTGAAGCGGTTTATGTACATCGTTGAAAAAGATAATGAATAAGATAGGACCCAGGATACTTCCCTGAGGAACACCTGTGAGAATGGGTTGAGGTTCTGATAGCACGCCTTTATATTGGACAACTTGTGATCTGCAGAAAAGGTAATCAGTGAACCATGCGAGTTCTGTTCCACGAACTCCGTAAGTTGAAAGCTTGCTCAGGAGGCCAGAGTGACTGATGGTGTCAAACGCCTTGGATAGATCGATGAAAACACAGCCTGTCAGGTTACCATTCTCACCTTCTCTTCTGATAACATCGGTAAGATGAGTAACGGCCAGTTCAGTAGAGCGCATGCGACGGAAGCCGTACTGAAAATGAGAAAGTAGACCATTCTGTTCAAAATGAGCCATCAGCTGCTTAAATACCACTTTCTCCAGGATCTTTGACATTGAAGGAAGTATTGAAATAGGCCTATAATTGTCGATTTCGGCCATTGAACCAGATTTAAAAAGTGGTACAATTTTAGCCGCTTTCCAGTCAGTAGGTACAGACCCTGTTGCGAGAGACAGGTTAATTATATGCGTGAGAGGCTTGGCTATTATATCAGCAGAGTCCTTTAACATTCCAGAAGGAAAGTTGTCAAGGCCAGAGGACTTATTTCTCTTAAGGCTCTTTAATGCATTAAAGACAACCTTTTCCGAGACTGATCTAAACTCAAAGTTCTCTAGCGGCTGCTGGGTGTCTATTGTAAGGGGCCTTTTCCAGACAAAATTGCAAAGAGGGAAGATCTTTCTTTTTAGAGATCGCGCAACATCAGTGAAGAATTTGCAGAACAAATTTGCAATAACCTCTTTGTCGGTTTCTACTGCTTCATTAACGAGAAAAGCTGCTCCTGGTTCCTTTGTAGACTTTGTAGGGTATAGTTTTTTAATAGCTGACCAAAATTTGTTAGGTGAACCCACAGTCTCCTCTAAGAGTTCACGGTGATACCTGCTTTTGCAATTTTTTACCATACCGTTAACTTTGTTTCGTTGGCGCTTGTACGAAGACCAGTCAATTTCACGATTTGTCTTTCTCGCTTTTCTCAAAAGCTGATCTTTGGTATTCATTTCTTGCTTTACCTTCTGTGTAAGCCATGGGCTGAGTTTCCCTTTGATCCTCTTCTTTATAGCTGGCGCATGCTTATCAATACATTCTTTCAGAATGGCTTTCAAAAAGAGATTAACGAGGAGGATTTAAAGACAGGTGTGAAACTATTGGACCGTAAATCATTGCAAAAGGATATAGGATCATAATTAGCATAGTTTCGACAGGTGATGGTTCTTGGCTGGAATTTATGGTTATGCAGCTTCCGGACACAACCAATCATATCATGGTCACTTAAGCCGGCGGGAATGACTTTAACACTATAAACATTCTGAGGGCGATTTGTGTAAATCACATCTATCAGTGTTTTTGAATCTTGCGTTACCCTCGTGGGATCCTTGATTAGCTGTTTAAGGCCAAAAGACAATAGCATTGCCTTCAGTTCTTTGTTGTCTGAGCTTACCAAATAGTTGCAGTTGATATCGCCTGTCAAAATGCATGTTGTAACTATATGCATGTGTAACACAAAATTAATTTTTTTGTCATTTCCCGCCCTACTAGGGCTATCAGAAGTCAGTTTAAGCTCCTTAATCAGCTAATAAATGCAAAAAGAATCATGCAAGAGCAACTTCTTGCACCTTAACGCATGAAGAAGTAGAAGTTTATTAAGTACATTAAGTACCTATATCAGCCAATAGCTGTTGAGTGGAGTATGGTGTCAGCTCATGGATTTTCAGGATACTCTCTGTGTAAGCGTGCATGGTGCCACGAGCAATAGATCCCAACCAGAAGGTCCCAGGATGATGTTCATCTTCATATGCAGCTAAATAACACAGAAATTAACATTAATGCAATGCTTACTCGTTCAATTCTATCCCTATGTGAGGCAAGTGAATAGGTTTGTGGGTCGACAGATTTGGCCAACAAAAGCTCAAGAAGTTGGGATTTTTGTAAAAAGTGGATTCGAATATTAGACTGTGGATCGTGGACCAGCTGGAATTTTGTCCAGATTCGGGATTTTATTTGTTTAGAGTTTCAGATGGTGAATCATATTCATTTGTTAGTCTCGTGTCGGACTGGATCAGTATGTTTGTTTTTCATCTTTTAGAATTTAAAAGAGACTTGAGAAACTTTCCGGTGGTACAATCCCTTATGAATTCACAATTCCATCTTTTCTGTGATGTAACGCTTTCACGCAACCTCTCAAACACCAGCAAATAACGGAAAACGTCGAGGAAAATCTAAGTGCAGTAGAAAAAGAGCACAACATCCATAGATACACTCATATGCTATGCACCATGGGTACTATTGAGGGAATCATTTTACATAGATAGACGTGAATTGTGAATGCTACCATTAACCACTCTTGCACATTTTCTCTTTTCTGTTATCAGTTCCCTGCAACTCACCGTGCACATGAAGCGTACTTTCTCGCTCGTGTGCTTAAACTTTTATGTAATGTTACTCAGTAGCGATCCAAAGACCTCAAGGATTGAAATGAAATACTAAACTTTCACTTAAGGCCACTAATTTTTGCGGGAAACAAACGTTTTTCCAAGTTGACTTTCAAAATTTGGATTGCATTAACCAGTATCTGTTTCACTCCAAACAAAAATAATTAACGCTTTCGACACCTCTCGCTATTATTTCCTATGTAAGGTAAAACGGTACACAAGCCGATAACCGAGATTGCGTGATCCAATCATAACATTAAAAATTAAAAATCCGAGGCTAAGAATTAAGTAGTGTCTAGCAACGCACTTTTACATATGATGGCTCTATAGTCACACAACCAGTGCATCCAATCAGAACACGCACTATCGTTCGAGAGCGCGCGCGTTTCCATCGCCTTTGATGACGTGACGATAGACATAACTGAAACTTCAGTTGAAGTCTCTGATTCGGACGTTGCGCAGACAATCTACTCTTTCTGAGAACTTACTATGACAAACTTAAACGCTGATAGACCAGCTAAATTTGACATCATAAAACTGTTAGGAAAGTGGCCTTTATCTGGACAAGAACAAATCTGTACACTGGCGGGTAAGCGCTTACAAAAACTATCTCAACCTTGCCGATTCATCAGAATGCGTCGCCTGATCAGTTTTTAAGTTTTAATTTTATTTCAGGCATAATTTCAAATTCCTTGAAGTAGCGCTCAGAGAGAAATCATCCATTAGAGAACAGACAATTCACTGATTATGTCGGTTTGTGGAAATCCGAAACTTTTTTTTTACTTATTCTTATCCGCTTAGGGATACTTCATAGCTTTACCTTGAAGATCCGGGAATGGAAGATTTCCCGCCTTCATGGCAGTTTCCAGAGCGGGGTTTTCTTGTGTTATGAACGGCTCTAGTTGCTGAGGAAGAGTGAGGAGGTAATCTCCAATCTGTAAACGACAAAGAGAAATTATCAGGCGACAAACTACGGTCAGGCTATCAACACTAAGGTACGTGAGGCGTTTTCTCAAAACCTACTAGTAGAGTTCATGTATTAAACTCATAACTCAGTGAGGACATAGGTGGCTTACAAAAAGCGCCTTCCATATCAGCTAGTCTCTTTAGTTTCTATTGAACTTTCTAAAACTGTTCATTGTACTGATCAGAGTCATTCCTGTATGATCTATCTGACTGTAGATGAATATGGAACCACGCTTGCGAGAACGGCAAGACTATTTTTTCGCTTTGTCCCTATTTTATTACTGAATTTTTTTGAAGGATAAGACTAGACGTGAGCAAAATCGGGGGGGAAATTCAACCTTTCGCACTCGCAACTACCTTGAATTCATTCACATCCAGCAGAGTTGGAGAGAAAAGGCAATTTCTATAGGTTTCGTTGATGGCACTTTTAAAGGAAAATTAGCAAAAGTAACATAAAAGGACAGTTTCTAAAACATAAGGGAAGTAGTTACGGCAAATGAACCCTTCGCTGCGCTTGATAGCGGCTATGATCATCCCTATCACCAGAATGAAGGCCCTTCAAGTGGAAGGAGTTTAATTCACTTGGAGAATAGTTAGATTTTGGTAAAGCGGGCGACGGTTCAAAACAGCACTTTAAAAAGAAGTGAAGACCTCGGAAATCAAGACATATTAATGAATATGTCGCCGTTTGAGTTCAGACATCTCTATATCGTTTGTTTGTCTCCCGAGATCTGATTCTTAATTCTCCCCTCTAGCTGCTGCGCATTCCTTGCAAGTTAGATACGGAAATTTGGTGTTAGATCAAGAGCTTTGACGAGGGGCTAACGCTCGAAACGTCAGCTTTGAAACCTCTTACAGTGGCCAATTTACATTATCAACTCGGTTGATAGAACCAAATTATTTTGTTACACTCCCTCACAGACGCAGCACCACAGTTTCTTTAGAAACCTACCCCCTTTATATTTCATTACCTGTTTGCTGGATAATGTATGGATATTGTACGGAGAAATTACATGTTAATTACTCCGGGGAGTGAAATTTTTTAACTTCTTTCACACTAAATCCCAGTACTGGCTACAGCATGTAAAACTGACGATATGGACAGAAGGTGTGAACATCGTTCGTGGCTCCGTAATGTTTCTGGTCATGCTCTGTTAGTTGATACTCACGTGAGTAATGTATCCTAGCGGAGATAAACTGAACGCGGGAAGCTCATCACTCAGTGCAGCCCCAGATTCAGGGGACTTGGCAGACCAAACCTGGTTAACAGGGAATACTAGTTAGAGATACAGTAAATGGCTGGATCTGGTGGTAACATGCGAACGTGTAGTCTGATCGTCCGGTTGACGGTAGTATTAAGAAGGACTGTTGTCGGTAGAAGTGACTGTAGAAATCGATTTTCTTTCCAAATTTAGTTTTAAATTTTCCTCTTCCTCTCCCCCTGGGTATTCTTTATGTACACACGCGCACCGCGCGTGATTTTCACAAATAAGCCAATCATGTCAAAGAACCCTAACCTTAACACTGAAAACTGACGTGTACATTTTTCGCGTACTTTTGCTGTTTTGTTTTACGGAGTTAAATTTAGTTGTTGTTTTGAGCTTTCGTTCAAGCAAATTTGTTACCCCTTTGTTTGGAATTTAAGAAATGAAGGATTTTTTATTGAAGCTAAATGCTGTAGTCAATTTAACAAGATTGCTATATATATTTCTACGGAGTTTGGACTCTAGCCCCATTTTTCGTAAATGGATTTTTTACAGTGGCTGTAAATGATCGTGCTCACATGATCGGAAGTCATCATCAGAGTCAAGTGACGAGTTATTGTCAGTCGAGTGTATTGAGTCCGGTTCGTGTGAACTGATTGGTCAGTTTAGTCGTGATGATACTAGCTGTAAGATTCAAGTGGCCTATATCGGTCGTGATTGGTCAGTTTTAATCTGTCGGTAATGTTAGGTCGTTCTGTTTTGTTTGGTTGGTCTGTGGTGTCAATGTTGCGAATAAGTCGTTTGTACGGTGCTGCTAATAGTTGACACCTGTTTAGAGGAGTTTGTTCTAAGTTAGTGAGCCTGCTTTAATGAGTCATTTGATAAAAAGAACTAGTGTTGTTGGTTAGGCATTACGCAGAGTCCCACTCAATAACGTGGTTTGAGAGTCTATGATTGCCAGCAGTGTGATCGTTGATATCACTTTTCCTCGTCGCTCGCTTGTGTTTGGTAAGTCTTCTTGTGAGGTATCTGCCAGTTTCTCCGATGTAGGAGGCTTGGCAGTCGCAATACTGGATCTCGTAAACTGCCGCCTGTTTGTTTTTCGGTTCGTTCTTCTCTCTAGCGTTGGTAGTAACTAACGTAGTGTAGTGATGGGTTGTGAGCAACGCGGATATTGAAGGGTAGGATGCACGAGATAGTTTCAGACATGCCCTTTATGTACGGTAGAGTCGCTGTAGTCGTAAGAGTCGCGTTGTCGTTTGTTTCAGTTTGTTGCGCTCGACCTAATAGAGTCCTAATAGTCGTGGCTGTGTGATATCGGGTTGTAGGATGACTCGTTTGTTAATCAGTCGTTGTTTTTCGGTATTCTGTAAACTGTTATCCATAGCAAGCTGCCGTCACGGCTTTCTAGGAAGTCTGGAAAAGAAGTTTACCATGATCTTCGATTTCTTTGATAGACTGTATGTCAGTGCTTTGTGCGTTAAGGTGATGGCGGAATGCGTCGATTTCGTTCTGTCGCACAGCGGTTAATCGTATCGTCGATGTAGCGTAGCCAAAGTGGTATTGTTTGTCGTCAAGTCGAAAGAGAGCGTTACTCGATGCTCTACATCACAATTTCTACGACGACAACAGAAACTTACGATCCCACAGCTGTACCGCGTAACTGTTTTAGGGTTTACTGTTGTACTGAAAGTAAGTTGATGCAAGGCGCAGGTGCAGTTAGGTTATAATGTCTTCTCTCGATAGCGGTAGGTCGAGCGAACTCATGGTCGCATCGGGAAAACAGGTTTGTGTAGCTTCGGCAGACCGTAAAGTTTCGGTGGCTGTGGAACTGAACAGCTTAGTCGATAGTAGCGTTGGATGTCAATGGCGTTAGTCGTCTTAAGCGTCAGTAGTTTAGGGTTGAGTTTGCGTTGAGGCGTAAGAGTCGGGTCACGTTTGAGTTCTTCGTAGGGTTTGTTTGTCGTTGACTTGTACGTCCATTTTGTCGTGATAGTCAGTTTTGCCCTCAACAACGGTAATTTGTCCTTTTCGGCTGGTAGTAAAACTATATTCTCGTCGTTTTTCAATCGTGCTTGTTATTCGTCTTGAGTCAAGTCCACGACACTGACACTAGACTATACAATCAGCACCACTTCATGACGGTAATTTAACTAAAGACGAATAACAATAGCCAAGACGACTGAAAAACGGCAAGGACATAGTTATACTACCGGCCGAATTACTGTAAGTTGTAATGGACAGAACTAAGTCTCACTACAAAATTGGCGCATCATTCAACGACAAACAAACCTACGAAGAACTCAAACGTGACTCGACTCCTACGCCTCAATGCAAACTCAACGCTAAACTACTGACACTCAAGAAGACTAACGCCATTAGTATCCTACGCTACCATCGACTAAGTTGCTTAGTTGCACCGCCACGGAAACTTTACAGTCTGCCGAAAGTACACAAACCTGGTTTCCCAATGCGATAATGAGTTCGTTCTATGGATCTCATGCAAACCAACCAGCTAATTACCCGACGACTACACTACAACGGCTCACTGAGAAATCCAGACAAAACTACAGTCCACCGAGGACTTCCTTAACACTATCAAGACTGTACAAATACACAAACCTGGTTTCCCAATGCAACCCATAGTTTCGTTCTGTAGGCCTCATATACACCAACTATTTAAGTACAAGACGATAATACTATAACTGACAAATCCAGACGTAAGCTACGATCAACCGAGGACTTCATTAACGCCTTCAAGACTGTACAGATACCTGACGACTACAAACTTATGTATATTGATGTTCACCAGTATTCCACTTCAATTGGCAATACAATCTTACTGAGACTGCGGTTCGGCCTACTTCCGTCACCAAGAGAAGACATTATAGACTTACTGAACCTTTGCCTTTCGTCAACTTACTTTCAATACAACGATAAACTCTAAAAACAGTTACAAGGTACAGCTTTGGGGTCACCAGTTTCCGTTGTCTTCAGAAATTGTGATGTAGAACATCGAGGAACACTCCCTTTCGACTTGCCGACAAATAATACTGCTTTGGCTACGCCAAATTGACGATACAATCACAGCCATAAGACACAACGAATTCGACGCATTACACCATCGTCTTGGCCAACAAAACACCGACATACAGTCTACCAGAGGAGTCGAAGAAAATGGTAAACTACCTTTTCTGGACTTCCTGGTAAGCCGTGACGACAACTTTATATGGACAACAGTTAACAGAACACCAAGACATACCGACAGATTACTACACGAGTCATCCTATAACCTGACATCAAACAAAGCCACAACAATCAGGACGCTGACACGTCAAGCGCAACAAGCATGCAACGGAACAGACAGCTTGTCCGACGAGAACAAATACCTTCACCATGTTTTTTATTAAAAAAAAACAACAACAACAGCAACTATAACGGCGACCTCATTCGACCTACCCCACTGAGACAAACGGCAGCGCAACTCTTACGACTAAAACGACTATACCATACGTAAAGGGCACGTCTGAACCATCTCGTGCATCCCACAAGCCTTAAATGTCTACGTCACCCACAAACTCACAACACTATGTCAGTTACTAACCAACGTGAAAGACAAGGACGAACTGGAGAACAGACAGGGGGCGGTTTTGAAGATCAAGTGCTACGCCTTCTACTACGGAGAGAGTGGCAGAAACCTCCCAAAACATGAGCGAGCGACTGGAAAAGGTGATGTCAACAATCACATTGCAGAAGATCATGGACGTACAAACCACACTATTGACTGGGACTCTGCGCAACGCCTAACCTACAACACTAGCTACTTTTAACGATTGACTCTAGAAAGCTGGTTCACTTACGAAGACCAGACTCCCTTCAATAGGTGTCAACTACTTCTAGTACCACAAAAACGACTTATTTGCGACATTTACGCCACAAATGAAACGAACAGACCGACCCAACGTAACCGACAGATCAAAACTGACCAATCACGACAGACCTACGCCACTTGAGTCTTACAGCCAATAACATCAATAAACTGACCAATCAGTTCACACGAACTGGACTCAATACACTCGACTGACGACAACTTTTCGCTTGACTCTTATGGTGACTTCTACTAAGGTTATCGAAACGTCAGTCACTACAACAGACGACGGTCCTTACGACTACACTCACCCCTACGATCATACTACCCGATCACAATAATAAGAGGATTGCAAGGTATTTTAAAAGTAGTATTTTAAACAGGGCCCTTTTCGAACGGGTGACTGAAGACCGAGGACGAAATAGAGACTGAACTACTACACCCATACAATAGAACTAGGAGCAGTTTAGTGTATTGTGGTGTACTTCGGTGTAGTTTAATGTAATTCAGTGTAGTGGATGCATTGTGGTCTAGCGAGTTGTAGTTTCTTTCGTGGGTATAGTTTGGTGTAGTGTGGTGTAGTTTGTTGTAGTTTGGTGATGGACAATGGAGAACCAAGAACTGAAAAAAGAACAAGGTTAAATCTTAACGTTACCTCCAGTTTAGGTGTCCGCCCAAGCTGTTGTTTTATTTGGATGAAAACAATGTCAAAAGCAAAACTGTGCACTCGCTCATTCAAAGCTTGAAATTGATCAGAAACGGATGAAAGGACAGTGGCCGAGTCACCGGCTAAGATATAAACAAACAAAAACGAAAGGCGTCGCTACATCTAATATATGGGAATGTGGAGCAATAACAAAAGAAGGATGGAACATTAAGATACAAAGGTAAGTAAACTAATATATGGGAATGTGGAGCAATAACAAAAGGAGGATGGAACAATAACATACAGGGGTAAGTAATCTAATATATGTAAATGCGGAGCAATAACAAAAGGAGGATGGAACAATAACATACAGGGGTAAGTAAACTAATATATGTGAGTGTGGAGCAATAACAAAAGGAGGATGGAACAATAACATACATGGTTGAGTAAACTAATATATGCGAGTGTGGAGCAATAACAAAAGGAGGATGGAACAATAACATACAGGGGTAAGTAATCTAATATATGCAAATGCGGAGCAATAACAAAAGGAGGATGGAACAATAACATACAGGGGTAAGTAAACTAATATATGTGAGTGTGGAGCAATAACAAAAGGAGGATGGAACAATAACATACAGGGGTAAGTAAACTAATATGTGTGAGTGTGGAGCAATAACAAAAGGAGGATGGAACAATAACATACAGGGGTAAGTAAACTAATATATGTGAGTGTGGAGCAATAACAAAAGGAGGATGGAACAATAACATACAGGGGTAAGTAAACTAATATATGTAAACTAATAATGTGAGTATGGAGCAATAATAACATACAGGGGTAAGTAAACTAATATATGTGCAATAACAAAAGGAGGATGGAACAATAACATACAGGGGTAAGTAAACTAATATATGTGAGTGTGGAGCAATAACAAAAGGAGGATGGAACAATAACATACAGGGGTAAGTAAACTAATATATGTGAGTGTGGAGCAATAACAAAAGGAGGATGGAACAATAACATACAGGGGTAAGTAAACTAATATATGTGAAAGTGGAGCAATAAAAGGAAGATGGAACAATAACATACAGGGGTAAGTAAACTAATATATGTGAAAACTAGGCAATAAGAGGGGAAGATGGAACAATAACATACAGGGGTGAGTAAACTAATATATGTGAGTGTGGAGCAGTAAGAAAAGGAGGATGGAACAATAAGATACAGGGGTAAGCATACATATATATGTGAATATAAAGCAATAAAAGGAGTGAGGAGCAGTATATATCAAGAGGGAGTGGATACGGTATATATCAAGGATGAGTGGAGAGTAGTATATATCAAGAGAGAGTGGGGAGCAGCTATATATATTAAGGAGGAGTGGGATCAGTTTATATCAAGAGGGAGTGGGAGCAGAATATATCAAGAGGGCATGAGGGACAGTATATATCAAGGAGTGGGGAGCAGCATATATCAAGAGAGAGTGGGAGCAGTATATATCAAGGAGGAGAGGGGAGCAATACATATCAAGAGGGAGTGGGGAGCATTATATATCAAGGAGGAGTGGTGGGGCATTTAACATCAAGCAGTGGGGAGCAGTACATATCAAGGAGGAGTGGGGGACATTAAATATCAAGCAGTGGGGAGCAGTACATATCAAGGAGTGGGTAGCAATATATATTAAGAGGGAGTGAGAAGCAGTATATATCAAGGAGGAGTGGGGAACAGTATATATCAAGTAAGAGTGGGGAACAATGTATATCAAGGAGGAGTGGGAAACAATTTATATCAAGGAGGAGTGGTGAGCAGTATATATCAAGAGGGAGTGGGGAGCAGTATATAGCAAGGAGGAGTGGGGAGCAGTATATATCAAGAGGGAGTGGGGAGCAGTATATATCAAGGAGGAGTGGGGAGCAGTATATATCAAGGAGGAGTGGGGAGCAGTATATATCAAGGGGGAGTGGGGAGCAGTATATATCAAGGAGGAGTGGGGAGCAGTATATATCAAGAGGGAGTGGGGAGCAGTATATATCAAGGAGGAGTGGGGAGCAGTATATATCAAGGAGGAGTGGGGAGCAGTATATATCAAGAGGGAGTGGGGAGCAGTATATATCAAGGAGGAGTGGGGAGCAGTATATATCAAGAGGGAGTGGGGAGCAGTATATATCAAGAGGGAGTGGGGAGCAGTATATATCAAGGAGGAGTGGGGAGCAGTATATATCAAGAGGGAGTGGGGAGCAGTATATATCAAGAGGGAGTGGGGAGCAGTATATATCAAGGAGGAGTGGGGAGCAGTATATATCAAGGAGGAGTGGGGAGCAGTATATATCAAGGAGGAGTGGGGAGCAGTATATATCAAGGAGGAGTGGGGAGCAGTATATATCAAGGAGGAGTGGGGAGCAGTATATATCAAGAGGGAGTGGGGAGCAGTATATATCAAGAGGGAGTGGGGAGCAGTATATATCAAGGAGGAGTGGGGAGCAGTATATATCAAGGAGGAGTGGGGAGCAGTATATATCAAGGAGGAGTGGGGAGCAGTATATATCAAGAGGGAGTGGGGAGCAGTATATATCAAGAGGGAGTGGGGAGCAGTATATATCAAGGAGGAGTGGGGAGCAGTATATATCAAGAGGGAGTGGGGAGCAGTATATATCAAGAGGGAGTGGGGAGCAGTATATATCAAGGAGGAGTGGGGAGCAGTATATATCAAGGAGGAGTGGGGAGCAGTATATATCAAGGAGGAGTGGGGAGCAGTATATATCAAGAGGGAGTGGGGAGCAGTATATATCAAGAGGGAGTGGGGAGCAGTATATATCAAGGAGGAGTGGGGAGCAGTATATATCAAGGAGGAGTGGGGAGCAGTATATATCAAGAGGGAGTGGGGAGCAGTATATATCAAGGAGGAGTGGGGAGCAGTATATATCAAGGAGGAGTGGGGAGCAGTATATATCAAGAGGGAGTGGGAAGCATTAAATATGAAGGAGGAGTGGGGAGCAGTATATATCAAGGAGGAGTGGGTAGTAGTATATATCAAGAGGCAGTGGGGAACAGAATATATCAAAGAGGAGTGGAGAGCAGTATATATCTAGAGGGAGTGGGGAGCAATATATGTCAAGGAGAAGTGGTGATCAGTACATATCAAGAGGGAGTGGGGAGCAGTATATATCAAGGGGGAGTGGGCAGCAATTATTATGAAGGAGGAATGGGGAGTAGTGTATATCAAGGAGGAGTGGGGAGCAGTACATATCAAGCGGGAGTGAGGAGTAGTATATAGCAAGAAGGAGTGGAGAGCAGTTTATATTAAGGAGGAATGGGGAGCAGTATATATCAAGAGGGAGTGGGATTAATTGATATCAAGGAGGAGTGGGGAGCATTCAATATCAAGGAGGAGTGAGGTATCAGTATCAAGGAGGTAGCGGTTGTACCACATATCAAGGAGGAGTAGGGAGCAGTATCTATCAAGGAGGAGTAGGGAGCAGTATCTAACAAGGAGGAGTGGGGAGCAGTATCTATCAAGGAGGAGTGGGGAGCAGTATCTATCAAGGAGGAGTGGGGAGCAGTATCTATCAAGGAGGAGTGGGGAGCAGTATCTATCAAGGAGGAGTGGGGAGCAGTATCTATCAAGGAGGAGTGGGGAGCAGTATCTATCAAGGAGGAGTGGGGAGCAGTATCTATCAAGGAGGAGTGGGGAGCAGTATCTATCAAGGAGGAGTGGGGAGCAGTATCTATCAAGGAGCAGTAGGGAGTTGTATATCTTAAGAAGGATAGCAGCATAATAAATGTCTTGCCACCTGGTCACAGATGCTGGTACACAAAGTTAAAATAGCAGCAATAGCTGTGAAGAAGAGAATTTGTGCTGGTTTTCTACATAGTTGGTTCAAGATTATAAAAAATATGATAGAGTTAAGAGTTAACATTTTTCCTCTTAAATTTTCAAGTTTAAAATCACCAGTGTTGGGAAAATTGGGGGAAACAACTTGTATTTTGAAATTACCTGAATGAAGCTTTTGGATAAATTCATTGAAAGTACTATATTCAATGGGCCTCTCCTGTTGCAAATAATTGTACCACTGAAATGGTCTCTGTGGAGCAGCAGTCTTTTCACCAATAGCATCATCAACTTTGCTGTCAGAATCTTGCACAGTACTGAGAATTGATGCAAGTAATCTTTTGTCCAAGTTTTCAATTTTTATCAGCAAATCACCTGGAAAATAAATCAAGGGAAATAGGAATATCAAGACTAAATTTAAAAAAAAAAACTAGTAGAGGAAAGATCACAGAGATTGTCATTAGATTTGATCTGTATGTAGCTAAGTTGCTTAACAGGGCTTTGAAAAAAAATTGTTTTTCTATCTACCCTGGATAGAGAAGTTTGCATGCAATTAATGCTTATGGTTTCCTTTTAACAATTTCAGGCTTTCTGATAAGTGATGAAAAATGGACTGAGCTAAACATGATCTTTCCTTGAAGTAACAATTACATACTTTCCTGACCCCAATGGAATGCAACCAACATTGTGAAGGCACATTGAAGGTACAATAAATATTAAGTGGAGTGAATATAATAGTTATTTACCACAAATCTGAATTAGACGAAATGCATTTTGAAACATTGTCCAGTCCTCACTGATTCCCTCATTGGATGTGGCATCCACTTTAGGATCAACATCTAAGGAACATTCTTTTCTTAGAATTGAAACACATTCATCCATTCGTCCAGTATATGCCCCAAAGAACTCCTACAAAGAAACGTGTCTAATTATGTAAATTACTGCTTTGTTTACAAATAGCATTACAAAGAATATGGGGTATTAAGTTTAGGAAAAGAGGATAGCAACCACCATAGTTCATTTTATAATTATATAATCCTGTAGAGAAGACAAATGAACTGGAATGGTATACACAATCTTAGTATGTGCATGAATAAGACATTTTTAAAAGTCTAGGCTAGCTAGTAAATGGTACAGACTGGTATTTAATGTGCAAGTAGCAGTGTTTAGATGGGGGTAGTATTTTAAGGATTATGGTGGACAAGTTACTTAAGCTGTTAGTTTGAATTATCCTAGTTGCGAAGTTTGGCCAATCATTTTTTTAGGCTTTTTTAAAATTATTTGTCACCTCTAAAACACCAAACTTTTGGCCGTTCTTACCTCTAAAACATGGCATAGACCACGGACAGCATAACCATCAGTAAGATCAGTGCAATACTCAACAGCCTGTAAAAGAAAAAATCAAAATATTATTATAATAAAACTTACAAATAAAACAGAACTTAATTAAGAAATAACAGCCCTGCAGACTTGAAAAGCTAGTGACCAAGAACACTAATCATAACAAGGAAGGGATGTCAGTGTCTTTAGACTAACTCAAATATATCTTCTTAATGATAAACGCAAATGAGGACACAGCCTTCCTAAGCATATAGTCATTGCATCTACCTTTTTCTAATCATATCTTGATCTATGATAAAATTTACTTGATTTTTAAAATTTATTTCATCAAATTTAATTTTATTTCATTAAAAATCAAACAATACAAATTATAAATGATCTGTGTCTTTTCACACATGTAGCATCTTAGCTCAGTTGGTAATAGTGCCTATGACAACAAGTATCTGATGGACAGGGATTTGAATCCTGTCAAAGCCTTCACAGGCTTCTTTTCAGACATTAATTTTCTTAACTTGAAGTTTTAGGCATCACTATTTTTTTATCATATACAGATTGAAAAATAATTGGTTTTACTTCAGTTTGATAACACCTCTTTCATAGTGTATCATACAGGCCTAGTATCACAGTAAGTACCTGTTCAGCCAGGTGAAATATTTTCTCAACAGATTCAGCCATAAAACCAGCCGTTTCCATAAACCCATCACCCTGCTGTGTGGAGTGAAACAATAAACAAACTTTAAGACAACACAGTAATATAATATATAGATTTAGTCAAGCCTAAAAGCAAAGCTCACATTTTATTTTTCCTGCATGTCTAAGGGGCACAATGCCTTGCCCCAGCCAGGACTAGAACCCAGGTCATCCGACTCAGAGCCCAGTGCACTGACCACTGGACTACTGGAAAAAGCCGTGGCATTGGCGTGCCCGTGGTACAGTTGACCACACATGTTAAAAGTAGCACCTTGTACGGTCATACGGTCGTACAGTTGTACATCCAAATTTTTTGGCTTGATGGGTTACTACTATTTTGTATAATTATGGGGCTACGCAAGCTCCACTATAAAGTGTATCTTCTTCAATCTGGTATGTGTTGTTTTACTGTGCTGTTCAAAAATTTGAACTAAGAGTCTCAAAGTCAAAGTTGCTCTTCTTTTTTACGCAACCATTATTTATTATTACTGTAACAGTACCTACAACCATCTTTAGGTATAAATAATCAATATGGATTAAAATCTTCCAATCACAACCTAGGAACATGACCATTTCCACCCTTTCTTTTTGAAAAGTTTAAATTATCACTTGAAATATGATTCACCTGTTGTTATCAGGGCGCAAGTAATTATTGATAGTTGCTAAATTTTTTGTGGGTAAAATTTAAAAAATTAAAAATTACTGTAACTTGTGGTAAATCCTGGTAGTTAACTCCAAAAAGTGATTAACATGTAAATTCACCCTATGATACCCATACATTGACCAGCAAACAGCAAAAGAAAATACTCAAACTTATTAAGTAGAAGTTATTTTCTCAATTGGAGAAGTAATACCAAATTCTCATAAAAGCCAAACAGATGGAAACCATGATTCTTGAGTATCAAAGGAGATGAAAAGGGCTAGCAAGTGCATGATTTGATGTTTACCAGCCGTGTTGCTTGTAATTGCTCCACAAGGAAGGTCTGCTGTAATGTTGGATAATCCAACAGGTAAGGAATATAAGGAGAGTATACCACATCAACCAGTTGATTTGCTGCATGGGTGCTGCATTTGTCTGAAGTGAAAAAGAAGATAACAGGTTAACTTTCCCTTCTCATCTGAGAACCTTTTTTAAGTCTTAAAGGCTACAAAACAGAAAAGCAATATCACCATGGGCTTTAATTACTCTACTGCACCTTGCTGTAGTGAGACTGCCTTTTCTAAGCCATGACCAAATCGTAAAGTGACCTGTAAGAAACATTTGAAAAAAAAAGTGGAGTTTTAATGAAGCTGCCAGCTAATAGTTACCAAAATGTGTGCTGATATCAACAGAAAATCTTGCCATTTTTTGTATTCAGTTTCTATATTAAAGGCCTTAAGCTACATGTTATAAATATTCACACCCACCTGTCGCAACTCAATCAACTTTGCAATGATGTTTGACTCATTCTTTATAAACTCTGTGATGCATGATGACAACGATGGGTCTAAATGAGCTAGTGTTTGACTAATGAGTGTGCACAGTACAGTTCCAGGCTCAACAAAAACTTGACCACACCAAGTCACCTTAGAATAAGATACAAGAATTTTTTTAACTGCAATTTCTTGCTTTTTCAGGTTATTTCTAGTTCAGGTTAAAGGAAAAGTAGGCAATCCAGGTAAGCACCTATATGTAGCCAGGCTTCTTTATTCTCTGATTTCCTTGGCTTTATGTACTTTCACTCTCCCTGGATAGTACGTTAGCCCAACACAAGTCCCCCCACCCACACATTCAGCATTTTGTCAGGTTTCCTTGATAACAACTAGTACCCATTTACACTAGGAGGAAGGCACTTGGACAGAAAAAATGTCCATTTTGCTAACTGCTAGGTTACTGAGTCTCCCACCTGATATTAACCCTTAAATTAACACCCTAACATCAGTATTCATACTCCATACTGTTCTCTGTACATTTTCTAACTTAAAGGTGTTGACAAGGAGAATTTATCTAACATTCAAGAGTTTCTTTAGTTGGTGATCATTTCTTTTATTCTCATGACATTAATGTGTGATTCAGCAGTGATATTGTAAGGAGAAATTAGATGCTAGTCACTCTTAGGGGTTAAAGGGTTGAGCAGAACATGGTGAAAAACTCTTACAAGCTGAATGGCCCCTTACTACCTTGGGATTATCCCTGTTTTATCCGTATAAAGCTATAAGCAGCATTGCTTATCCTCCAAGATGGGAAGAAACCCTGTTACTTACAACACAAGTCTGCAAACAGTCAGTTAGGATAACTAAATAACCGTGCATTAGGGTAATGTTAATCTTCAAACAGTGCTAAACTTTAAGTATGATCTACTACTTATTATGTTAAACTATACATTTATCCTGTGGATAATTTTAGCAGAATCGCATTAACCTCTGTATGCCAGGTTGAAAGGATAACATCATAGAATGTTGAAAGCCACTCCAGCATTGACCTGTTTGGATCCTCAACACGCACTTCATTCCAAGTCTTTTGCAATTTTGTCTATGAATTTAAAGAGAAAAAGACATCTTTTATCACGATTATAATTTATAGTTATTGTATAGTTAAAGGTATATTGCTAGCTATCAATGTCACTGCCTTCATTATCATTGGTTCCTTGTTCCCCAAGCAGTTCATGAAAGGCCTCCATGTATTTCAATCACAGATACAGTATAAGCTAGATATTAGCCATTTAAAATTGTATCATTATCACTACATGAATTAAAAAGAACCAAGAGTGATCAGCTTTTCATTCCTCCTCACAATATCAACATGCTATCATGAGTGAGAGTCAAGAGAATCAGGAATCTGATCAGCAAAGGAATCTCGCAGATCTTTATCAAATTCTCACAGTCAGACCAGTGATAAGAATTTACATTTTGACTATGAGACTCAAATGGTTGACTGGTTTCCTATACCTTCACTGTAGCAATAAATTAGCACTCTTATTTCCTTAACCCATCAGTATGCATATTCTCCATACTGTTCTCAGTACATTTCCTAAGGCACTGGAGAATATGTTTAACAATCAAGAGCTTGATGATCATCTCCTTTATTCCTGTGACCTGAATATGTGATTCAGAGGTGATCATGTAAGGAGAAATTAGATTCTTGTCACTTTTAGGGGTTAAGGGGTTAATAACAATAACTTTGATACATACATATACATACATACAACCTTTATTTATGTGTCAAATCTAAAATAGCAGTTATACAACCACTAACTGGGGACACTAATGCCCAATGCCTCTTGATTTTGGGATGAAACATTACATGTGTACAACACAGATTGTACACAGATTGTAATTGGTACATGTATATTGTAAGAGATGGTTGATTTTCTGGGACTATTAATAACAATAACTTTCAATTGATGCCCAATGCCTCTTGATTTCCAGATAAAACACATACATGTGTCCTACACAGATTGTAATTAGTACATGTAGGAGACGGTTAATTTTAGGGATTATTGAAGCAGACCACCATACAAACCTTATGACACCTAATGTAATAACTTTGAAGCTGGTCCAGTCTTTCAATGTTTGTAAATATTTTGACATATTCTTTAGTGTCATCTGTAACAAAAACAACCATGTTATGAGCTGCATTCATGGAACCACTATGATATAAAGGTGCAAATTAAGAACAAAAAATATATACCTATCAATCAATTTAGATATACTGTACATATTTGAAAAGGAAAGTTGAAAACTATTTGTGCCTGTGAAATCTGACCAGGCTACTTTCAAGCCAGACTTTGCATGACAGTTGTATTTTCCTGATTTTACCTATTTATCTTCTAAACAGCATGCATTTATTTTATTGACTTTCAGTTTGTGAAGAGAACTGGGGCAAAATTATCAATAAACACATTTGAGGGGTAGGGGTGTAATTCAAAATCAAACATCTCTGAATTCAAGTTTTCCAGGGGATGGCATACCTGCCCAATAGCTTCCACTTAAAAACTTAATTAACATTTCTCTGTCACAAAGAAGCTCTTACCAAGAGAATGATTATTGAATGCAGCCACAATCTTAGGACTCAGGAGTGCCTCCAATCTGTTTTTAAGCCCTTCAAGTCGTCTACGTCTCTGTGCATAGTCTGGGACATCTTGTAGGACAGTCTTTAGAATGGAAACATAAACAGCAAAGTGAGTTGCTAAATTAAATGCACTGGTAAATTTCACTTAGCCATTTACATTTTTCGGTGAAAGGACGATAAAGTTTCATCTATTTTTTAAAGCTGCCCATCATTTTTGAGTCAGAGATATGACATTTTTATTCTGAATTTTTTTCAGTGGACCTTATTCACAACTGCTGGTGTTGTAAATGTAACAGACACATGCAATACATGTGCATGAATAATTATTATCATCATTAACAACTTATGGAAAAAGAAAAAAAAAATGAACTTACTAAACTTTTGTGCATTCCTTCCAGTTTTGCTGCTATCTGAAATTGAAACCAATTTTATCACTTCATATGTGTGTTCATGATTCCAAACAACATCTCACTTTTTATATTGCTGGTGAGTTTTAAGGGACAGCTTCTGTGCAAAAGCATCAAGAGCATTTTTTTTTAATATTTTGAGAAAATAATACTACCTGGTGAATGAATAAAGGTGTGTTAAAATTGATATACTTACAGCACTAACATCCCCAGATTCAAAAACTTTATCCACATCAGACGACAGTACTGTCCAGTTATCTGCTTCCTATAAAACCAGATACAACACTGCTTGGAAATATTACTACATAGAGGATGTGAGATCTTACAGGGTAGGTATCTACAAGATATAGTACATTTAAGTGCTATAATTGATGTTAACATTTACCTTAAGAGCTCTTGATGCATCCTGCATTCTTGATTTAACTGTATCAATCTCCATCAGCATCTTCATAGATTGAGCTGTATTTTCCTCCACCTCAACAAGAATGATATACTTTTATTTATATCATAATATACACTTTTTGGTGTGCATGCCTAATACAATAAAAGGTAAATGAAAGAGAGATGTTGATAAAAGATCTTCCATGATGAATTTGAAGTGATTTTGAGATAACATTCATTGAATCTCTAAAGAATCTTGTTCATTAGAATTTATTTATTGATTTCTCATAATTGAGCCATTATGTACAGGAGAATATTGGTACATTACAGTTTATTGACATAAGCTGTTCCTGCGACAGAAACATCAAGAAAATGGCAGAGGCCACAAAAAGAAGTACCTCAGCATTAACTGCTCAAGGTAATTATAACAGAAATTGACCAGTTGCAGTTAATGAATCTCTCTAAATTCAAGAATATCATGTTTACCACTCTAATGTCCTCCTTTACAAGATTCATTTGTTCCTTCAGAAGGGAAGCATCATGACGAATGTTCTCTATCTCCCTTAGAACTCTGAGGAAGGAATGGTGTTGACTATAACTTTCACAATATTATAAAAAGCAATACTATACAATTTTATTGCGACCATAGATACCAAGACTCTAGGATTTGTGAAACATTTGTCAATTACATTGTGAAATATTGTCCACAGCAAAGAAGCCATAATTATTGTGCAGAACTAAATGTTAGCCTAAACAAGACAGAAGGTTCAAAGCCTGAAATTTGTGCAGAAGTAAACAAAGATAACATGAAACACAAATGATCATGACCAAATGTCAAAATTAGATTGTACCGTGGAATATTATTCACTGATTGAGTGCTGGTTTCCTCTAAAGCATTATTAACCTCCTGGAAACAGAATAATATTTAAGTGTTAGTAGAGCATGTGAGAGATTTAATAAATACAACATTATCAATCCTGGGGGCAAATTTTCAGAGAAATAAATTAATACAACCAAGCACTTCCAAAAATTTGTTCATAACACAAATATAGTGTTTGAGTAAAGAAAAAGTAAAGCTGTAGAAGGTTTGTGTGTCAGTATCTCTACTGCATCACTCAGTCTGAACAACTGAATCAAAAACATACATTTTCAACAGCAGATTATATTTTTGATTTGCTCAAACTTTGCAGTTTTAATGGGAGGCTTCAACATTACTAGTAATAAAAATAAATGATTTTAATTGAGCAATTTTCAATTCAATATTAATAGATTACCTTACTTTTTCTTCACTACCCTGAGCATTAAGTAGCTTGCTATTATTTCTTTTATGTTCTCACAGACTATTATTGAAATTTCCTTTGTTTCAACTGGCCGTAATAATCACTATGGCTTGGGTTTTAAGACTCTTAATTGAAATGTGCTCTATTGAAATGATTATATAAACAAACCTGTATAAATAACTGCAACTTCATGACCAAGTTTGATGCATGAGCCTTCAAAGATAAGTTTGGATATAGTTAGGAAAGATGACATGAGAAAAATTTCTTCAATAATACTGTAGATGAACTGAATCAGAGTTGGTGCCTTAGGACACTGGAACAGGGCAGCAACAGACAGAAGACACCCAATTGCAACAATACATGGAGATGGACTAGATTTTCTCATTTTTTTCTCTTAAAGAGCCAGTAATTATCTATATATGTGAGTCATCAACTTCAAAGTCTTTTCTATGCTAAAACTTTCAACTAGGAGAATCTACAGGAAGTCAATTAAAAGATAAATTCACATAACACATCCATGTGCAGATAATACATGTTTATGTATGTTAACATAGTAAACTACATGCACCGGTATGTAACTGGCCTAATAGACACAAAGTTGAAATTTGTTCTTAAAAAAAACTGCACCGGTAATTACATATTGACATACTAAATATCAAGATTGTAAGCTAGACAATTAAATACATTATATGTCACGATTTTATAATGATCAGAACAGAATTTTAAAAAGGATCATGCAGGGGAAATTTTTCTTCGAGTCATATTCATCAAAATGAATCGAGCACTACAGGCTTCAATACATTTCACGACGATTATCTGGATGGCACAAACTTTGTACACAGACATGTCGCAAACTCAAACTATCTACACATCCTTCAAACTCACGTCAATAGGCGTTCGATCATCACGGATTCTTAGCGCCGAGTTCACCCACTCTTTAACATCAAAGTTATCATCAGAGAATTTGGAAAAGTCCATATTGTGAGAGAATATAAAACAGAATACAAACGAGGACAACAGTGCCACCTCACAGCTCATTTGCCGCCATTTTGAATTTGACTCATAAAGACGTGGTGTAATGCTCATATAGTGGCTCAACAGGCCACTGTATGATTGCGGACTCCATCCCCAGGTAGAGGGTGCAGCAGAGAAAAATTCCACCAAATTTAGCACCACAACATTTATTTTCTCATTTCATATAAAGTTAAAAAAAAACAAACAAACCAATGAACAAAGAGCAAATTTTCGATACATTGCAAAGTCTTTAATCACCACGCGAGGAGAACGCGTCCTTTTGTATGAAGGAGCGAGACGTGGGTGTCTTACTCTGACGTCATTAGTTTCCAGTCCCAAATTCCTCTTTGCCACGAAAGCAGAAAGTTAAAAAATGGCTGTGTCTGTTTCTTGTATAGGACGCGTCTAGTCATTAAACACCTGAAACCATGTAATTTGGTCAACGAACTCTTCGTTTACCCGTAGACTGGACTTTTGTCCACTCAGCTCGTCGTGATGAGTTGGTGTCGGTTGTTATCGTTGGTTGCATGTCTTAACCTTGTTTATGCCGGTGGCGAATCCAGTCATTCCTCGATGACACCCGAGGAGAAAGGCACGATGAGGTTTGTTTGCCTCTTAAAGCCGCCAGTTTTGTAAGCCAGCCTTTTTGAAGGAAATTAGAGTAATATTTCACTGTATTTTTACAGGGATAAAGTGTTGGAAATGTTTCACCATGCCTACAACTCTTACATGGTTAGTAGTTATTTCGAACACAACTACCTTTTGTTAGGCCTTAAAGATCTATGACGCAAACGGTCTCACACATGTTACGATTGCTATACAACTTTATTGCCTGACTATATTTCTTCGGGGGCTTCAATCAAACGAGAGACTTGTTGTACAATATACCTATTATGTATTGTTCGAGTTGTGCGTGTTATTTTATTCATAACGTTTACTCTGAAACTTGCCTTCGTGCCTCTTAGAGTCGTTTTTAAATGTTTGAGTAATCGGGCGGCATCAGCAGCGAAATTCAATATGCCTTCGGCTTTTGTTACGAAAACCATAGCGATATGGTAGATAAGAATCTAAGAGCGTCATCTTATATAGTTATATATTGGTAAACTGTTGTGACGGAAGTGAAATTAAGTCGGTAGGTATATTGTTTAAAATATTTTGTTTTTTGGTCGTTTATTAGTGAACATGATTTTAAACAGGTTAAGCATCTAGAGTTGAGCTTAATTCGAGAGTCAGCGCCTGAATTCTATTTTGAATAATTAATTAACAGCTGGGCACATATTTATTTTATATCCTAAGGTATTGTTGTTTTACGTTCATTAATGCTACAGTACAGTAACATTTATCTCACTTTGAATGTAGTAACATGCAGAGTAAGTTGAGAACTGCACAAGATCATTCTGTTAAAATTATGTGAATTTCGGATATATTATATCAGTATCTAATTTGATATTTGTTTCAGAAATGTTCCGATTTCCCACATCTCTGGTAGTTGAATACTATTTTTTGAATGTACCAATATCCTACCAAGATGTGGGCAAAATCTTGATGTGATATGAAAAATATCTTCAATTATGAAAGTTTCAATGGAGAAAATCCTTATTGACATTTTTTGGGAGGAGAAAACTCTAAGTTATGGCAAATTCACCGTGCTCATCAGAAAAAAAAAGTGCTGCTGGCTGTATTTATGTGGCAAGAACTTTCACCTGTTCTGCTTAGATGTCCCAGCTATGTTATATTACTCTTGATGGGCTCAGGGTTGTACTAATTATACCACTGACTACCATTAAGCTAAATTTAAGTTATATAAGAGATGGATACTGCTGGTGTGGTCACCAACATGCAACAATTGCAATCAAAAGATGAAATTAAATGAGATGGAATAAACAACTATGCAAATATAGATAAAAAACAAGAAATATTTTCTGTTTGATGCACATGCAGCACTATTTCCTTGAAAAAAGTATTGTACTATGGGACAATATGTCAAATTTAAAATGAATTCAGATTTAAATGAATTCACACAGGTTTCATTTACGTTTTACTTTGGTCAAAGATCATGGTGATGTATCTGGATCAGAAGGAAATGAAATTACTTTAAACCTACAACATATACTTGTAAACTTATAGTGTTTGAGGATTGAAAGTCCTCCAAAAGAGTTTTGTTGCCATGCTGTCTTGACAGCAAGGTGTTTGTTCAGTGGTAAATGTTTGTTACTTCACTAAAAAACTAACCTCAAGAGATCAGCTGTTAACAGGAAATTAATCCTAGCTTTGTTGTTTATACATTGGCAGTTGAAAAGTTTTTAAACCACTGTTTTATTGTGTATTATAATTTTCTGTAAAGTTTTTCCAAAAACTGATGGCTTTGTTTATAGGACACAGCTTTTTAAGTGAGGTTTGGCGATGTTCTCTATCATAAAGAAATTATGAGATTATAAGTCCATATAAATGTGTATTTGAAAGTAATCAACATGCAATCAATTCATATGCTTTGGCAGAATTTGCTAATTTTAATATGGGTTACTTGTTCATAATGGGAAATGATTACTGCCCTTTGGTTGTAAGTGTTACATGTGTTGTAATGTAGAATCCTGCTTTGTTATTGCTCTTAGAACCATGCATATCCTGCTGATGAGCTTATGCCACTTAGCTGCAAAGGTCGTATAAGAGGTGTAGATGCCAGTCGTGGGGATGTTGACGATGCTCTTGGAAAGTGAGTTCCTCTTTACAGTGTTTATGTACTTCTTTTTTATGTTGTGTTTTTTAAAATTTTCAAGAAGTAAATGCTAATTTAAATGTGTTGATAAGATAAATTTGTTAAGAAATCATCAGAAAAATTACCTTGAATGACAAACAAGGTGCTTTTCTAGCCTTGTCATTCATAAGATCCCTCTAGATCAGCCCAGTGGAAAACAAATCTGCCATTCATTTATGAATAAAGGCAGGCTAGCTTTGTCACCAAGACCTTGTTAAATTAATGAGATGCCTTTTCAGATGAACACTCTAGCCTTGAAAGTGGGATGAAAGTTGTCTCATTATACTATCCTGGCTGGAATTTCCTACATTACAGTAGTTGGGGGTATATCTTAGCTAAATAATCACATTGAAATTTTTAGATGAACAGGCAAAATTTGTATCACAAAGTGGGTGACAAATATGAAAAGGCAATGAGATGTTATTTTCTAATAAAACATTTTGCCCTGTGAATGTAGTTGATATTTTCCAGACAGCCGTTTATCGAGTAGATAGCATTGTGTGGTGGTACGAAAAACATTGTAGGTCAGCTAGAGCAAGGATTAATTACTGGTAGCTATAACTATGATCAATACATTCTGTTACCTAACAGCCAACCAAAAAAGTTATATTATGTTTTCATTATTGTTTTGTCTTCAAGGTTTTCCTTGACATTGATCGACACTTTGGACACGTTAGCAGTAAGTTTCTTGTTCCATTATTTGTCTCCTTTAATCTAATTATTTTTCTGAATTCTTTATTTTTAAATTTTTGTACAGTTGTTTTACCTGAAATTTCTCTCTTTTTCAAGGTTTTAGGAGAAGTAGAGGAGTTTGAAAAGGCTGTAAGGCTTGTGGTCCAAGATGTTTCATTTGATAATGATGTAGTAGTTTCAGTGTTTGAAACAAACATAAGAGTTCTAGGGTAAGAAAGATACTGTACATATATATATGTTGATCATATTCTTTCATGATTGGTAAATCATCATTTCCTGAATGAGTTGATCAAAACAGAAATGTGAGCTGTTAACCCTTTGATTAAGTATAAACATTTGTCTCCACCTACACCTGTAGTAGACGAAGTCTTCCCTTACTCAAGTTTTTTACAGCCAAACATCAGTGTTTATATTCCCTTCACTGTTCTCTGTACATCTGGTTTGGTATTGACAAGGAAAAAGGAAAAGAGAAATAAGATGCTTTGCACACTTACAGGCACTTTGAGTCAGTCCCTCAAATTTGACTTTCTTACTGCAAATAAGATAACTCTAGCAAACAGGGAGCTTGCCAATTAATTGTGTTTATTTTTGTGCAGGGGTCTCCTTGGAGGTCACTTTGCTGCAATGGCATTGCAGAATTCAGGAAAAGGCATGTTGTGGTATAACAATGAACTGGTGGATATGGCAAAGGAAATTGGCTATCGGCTACTTCCAGCTTTCAATACCTCAACTGGAATACCTTATCCACGAGTAAGTTACATTCCAATCATTATTCAAAGTAATTTGTGTCCATGAGATAGTGTTATTACAATCCAAAAAACTTAATGAGAATCTTTTAAAAATAAAATTGCTACAGCTGTAAATAACAACAGAAGGTATCACAATTGGTACTACAGAGGATTCCATTGATCTTGATGCTTTTTGGATGGGGTTTAGTGAAGGGCAAATATGCAATACATGTTGCTTACATTTATATGTAAACAATAGCCTCTTTTTGGCATGAAATCATGCATGGATGTTTGCCTGCAGACATTATCTGTTCCTAGATGTGAAAAATTTTCCAAGAGCAAAGCTCAAGGAAAACTGTGAGCTTTGAGGAGCAGATGATGTCTAAGGAAAGATATACAAGCATATTTTTGTGCAAAATAAGGGCTATTGAGTTTATTATCATTCAAATATTTTGCAACATGCATGTCTGTTGATTTCTTGTTACATATCTACAGGTAAACCTGAGGTATGGCATCCATCATCCATCATCAGGGACAGGCAGTGAGTCAGACACTTGCACAGCCTGTGCTGGAACAATGATCATGGAGTTTGGTGCTCTGTCTAGAGTCACAGGGGATCCAATATTTGAGGTGTGAATTTAATATACCCCTTTTAAGTTTGGCTTGATGAAATTGTGTTGAACAAAATAATCTGAAATTCATAAGGAAAGAAAATCAGTTCTCAAATAAATTTGATGAAGTTAATTTGTAGGAATTTAAATCGGTTTTACGAAACATCAACCTAAAAATGAAATGAAAAAATTGGTTCTTTCAAATTGAAGACACACACACACCTCTTCATCTAGATGAAGATGTAGCATGTGATTTTAGGAACAGCTGTTTTGTATTGATAAGTGACACTTGAGTCTCCATTTTCTGGTTCAACAGCAAAAGGCCCAGAAAGCTATGGAAGCAATCTGGATCCATCGCAGTCGAGCGAGTGATCTAGTGGGTACTGTTATCAACATTCATAATGGCGACTGGGTTCGAAGAGGTAACTTTCACTTCATGTGCTGTAAATAAAATTATGACTCAACAGTGCTGAAAAGATCTTTTGTAAGGTAATTTTTCAGGTATGTCTAGAAGCAACATAAATTATCCACACATCAACTACTTTAAAAATGTTTTAAAACTAATCTAGCAATCTCTTCCTGTTGCACCATTGCCCTTGGTTTTTTACCTGTGGTGATATAGTCCAGCCCTTTCAATTTGTTTAACTGTTGTTAAAATTTTGAAACCATCTTGTTTCTCATACTGCACATGGTGTTATTTTTTCTTTACAGCCAGTTACTTTGTTCTTATTTTCTATTTGATTTTTTTTTCTTCACAAACAGACAGTAGTGTTGGTGCTGGTATTGACTCATATTATGAGTACTGTTTGAAAGCTTACATACTCCTGGGAGATGACAGATACCTGGAGAGGTTTAACAGGGTTTGTGAGACACATTTGAATAGTTCTTTTTTTTCTTCTTTTTTTTTACCTACTGATAACAAAAGTTTAGGTCAATGGAAAGTATTGAAAGAGTGATGATTTTGGATTGTTAAATAAGTCAATATTAGGGTTAGGAAGAAATTGCAGTGCTACATTGGTGGGGGAAGGGGGGTGTTACAAACTGAATTGGTTTTATCAACTGATTTGATGTAAATTGGCCACAGTTAAGACTATCTCAAGCTTATGTTTTAAGCATTAGCCCTTTGTCAGATTGGTAAAGTCAATATTTAGTCCTGCTGTGATGAGGTAAACTGCATTATTGTTCCAAATTTTGAACTGGTATGTTTGGATTTGATTTGAAAGAGCATGCTGTTATATTTATTTTAATTACCTGTGTGTACTTATTGTCGTGTGTAAAATAGTTTAGATGATCAAAGCCTTTGACGATATCTTTCAATTAAACAAAATGACTTTAAAAAGTGAGAGATTCTTTTTGAGTGACTTATGTTTTTTAATTTTTTTTCCAACAGCATTACAAGTCAATAATGCAATACATCAATCAAGGGCCGCTGTTCTTAAGTGTTCAGATGCATCAACCTGACAGAACAGCACATGCTTACATGGATGCATTGCAAGCATTCTGGCCTGGACTTCAGGTAACCTTTCACCCAATAAGACTGATTGTTACTTTAGGTTAATTGTTTGCAATGATCATTTCAAGGAAATCTGCTTCCTGTGAAGTTGTTTTTCACTAGAAATATGATTATTGAATTGTGATTTCAAGGTTGAGTGGGGCTGTAACAATTTTTTTTGTCTAAAATCTTCTTTCAGGTACTAAAAGGTGACCTTAAGAAGGCCATTGAAACACATCAGATGTTGTATGAAGTCTCAAAGAAGCACACCTTTCTACCAGAGGTACATATGCATGCACAAACAAAGATATAAACACACTGAATCTTATTTCAGGTTTGTTGTAATTTTGTTCCCCCATCATACATTTTCTTTGCCAGGCATTTACGACAGATTTTGAGGTTCACTGGGGGCAGCATCCTCTCAGACCTGAGCTTGTAGAAAGCACCTACTTCTTGTATGAGGTAAGACACTGTTGGTATAAAGGAGAAACAAACGTTTGGTTTCTTTTCTTAAAATTCTTCTTTCACTAAGTTCAAGGGGAAATGGAAGTGAGGGAAGGTTGTATTGTGATGTTTCATATTAGTTGTGTTCTTCTGAGCCAGTGAGGCCATTGAAAAAAAATATTAAACAAAAAAAGCATGTACTATGATTAACGCAATAACAAGTTAACAAATATAAGATAGAAAAAATGTATTGTAACGTTTAAACTTTGCTATAGGCCACAGGAGACCCATATTACCTTGAGGTTGGAAAGAATATAGTGGGAAAGATTAATGAACATGCCAGGGTGCCCTGTGGTTTTGCTGCTCTTCGAGATGTCAGGACATTGAGCCATGAAGACAGGTGAATTGAATACGCTTGATAAATGGCTCTTAAATCATGTTATGTGTGTCCTTGGAGTGCTTTCGATAACTAATTAGAACTCTTAGGAACAGGGCCTGAGGCTTGAAGATAAAACTGCATGTTTCAGCATTAAAAATCCTATTGCCTTATTCAGGACCCACCATCCTCTTACTGGAGAATCCTGTTACACTCATATCTTACCAGTTTATTGTATTGAAGTAATTTAAACAACCAAACATTTCAAATAACAAAATGATTTTGCCATGTTTTTTTCTCTAGGATGGACTCGTTTGTTCTTGCAGAGACGTTCAAATACTTGTTCTTATTGTTCAGTGAAAAAGAAGATCTTGTTTTCAATATGAACCAGTTCATTTTTACAACCGAGGCACATATCTTGCCTCTTAGTTTGTCCACTATGGCTGTGAATACATCAGCATCGCAGGTAAACGCAACTTGTAGTTAGAAAGAAGGAAATACCAATGAGAGGCGATGAGAACTCAAAAGTGCCTAAAGGGAAAACGTGTGAAAATGCGAGAAAACGCGAGCGCCAAGTCGTGATTGATTTTAATTTTGCATCTGGTTGGGAGAGTGGTGCGATGGACCAATCACAGTACGAAGTAAAGCAAAAACACGCAATCTCGTATTATCTTCGACGCATAATTGAAAATTGTTCCGAGAGTGATGATCTTAGGTTGCTCAGAAGGCTGTTCTGAATCAAAGTGAAAGAGGGGCTTTTGATAGTGTAGGCTCCTTTGATGATTTAATGAAAAGCGACCTTTGCAATCCCTTTAAAAAGCACAAACACAAGTTAAAATCAAGTTATTAAAATTAAAATTTCTGTTGCTTCAAGTTGGTAGTCTACAGTCAAGCTTACATGTGTTGGTGTCACAATAAAAGCTAACAGAGCTAATGTTAGCTAACGTTTGCCTTGAAGCAGAGGTGACATCCTGTTAGGCTGTACCATTAGATAGCCTTCCTTACAGAGTAACTTACTCTGGAACTTACTCCTGGAGTAACTTACTCTTGAAAGGCTTTCAACTTGATGTCGAAAGTTATGTTGGATTGCGGTAGCTCTGCTTTGCTATACGATGTAATTGGTCTAGAAAAAGTGCACCACCCTTTCAATCAATCAGATGAAAAAACTAAAACAAGTCATGACGCTTGAGCTTGGTCCCTTTGAGTTCTCACTTGCTTCATTCTTTGATATGATTTTGCGACTTTCAAAGTAGAAAAATGTTTGTGAAAAAAGTGCAAGCCTTTCATGAGGCGAATCCTTCTCCTAATTTTTTTTTGCAGGCTCTGGAACGAAAATAATGAAACTGGTTTGTCGACCGGCTTTTTGTTTTGTGACCTGAAGATTTTTGTCTTCTTTCGCAGGAACTGAAGTACAATCTTACCATCAGCTCAGACAATGAGCATGAGTACACATGTCCTGCTACGCAACACAAGCAAGGTTCAAATGTTAAGTTTGCCGAGGAGGTGCGACGCAACAGCAGGGCTCAAGCGCAGGGAAGCTGCCCAAATAGGAAACCGCAGCAGGCTTTTGCTTTCAGCTCGAACAAGTAAGTGATTTGGTTTTTAAAACCGTTGCATTCATGGCTCTTTTTTACATCAGTTGGGAGTGGAAGACACAGCTCCACAGCAGTTGGCGCACCGGGCCCAGTTGTTTAACCCTTAAACCCCTGAGAGTGACTAGCATCTAATTTCTCCTTACAATATCACCCCCAAAATCACACATTAAGGTTACAAGAAAAAAGGAAATGATCAGCAATGATAGGAGCTCTAGATTGTTAAACAAATTCTCCTTGTCAGTGCTTTAGGAAATTTATTGAGAACAGTATGGAGAATATGTCTACTGATGTTAGGGAGTAAAGGGTTAAAGGACGGATAACGCTATGCAACGGTTAAATCGCTTTCTAGCAGATAGATGTTAACAAAACGTTCTTCGCCATCCATCGGATAAAAATTGAATCAGTTGATAGCGTTATCCACCCTTTGAACAACCGGGGCCTGGACTTCAGATTAAGAGGGCTGGGTTCGAGTCCTGGTTCTTGTTTTTCATCTTATTTGATATCATTACGGAATCTTTCTGTTTTGTTTTCAGGCCTCCAAGGTTGAGAGCCGAACAATTTGTTCCAGGAAATCAAGAGCACATTAACGTACTCAAGGCCATGGGTATCACTGTAATTCAAACCAAAGATGGCAGAATAAAACTTATGCAAACTGCTTCAACGGTAAGATTTGAAGACTAGTTGCGCCACTAACGTTGAAATCGAACTGCTCCAAAGGTCAGTGACCTAATGTATCACAACGTGGTCGCGAAGTCACAGAGTCAAATCCTTCGGAAATTCACCCAAATTTTTGTCAGACTTCTTTAACCCTTCCTGCCATCAGCTTACATATTCTCAATACTGTTCTCTATTTATTACCTAAGTTACTGACAGGGAGAATTTGTTTAATAATCAAGAGCCTCCTTAGTTGATAATCTTTCCCTTTATTCTCATGACCTTAATATGTGATTCAGGAGTTATATTGTAGGGAGAAATTAGATGCTAGTCACTCTTTCTTAGGGTTTAAAGGATGAACACTGGACAAGATTGCGTAATAATTCACTGCGACGATCAATCAATCTTTTTAACAAGTCGTGTTGACGCTAAGACCTAAGGCCTGCGACAGTCTTAAGCAAACAACGTAGCATACTAATCGGCCACGGGGAGCACTCAAATATGTTTCATATTGCCGCTTGTCGTAAAGTAATCGCGTGTTGTTTCTCTTTTCTCTGTGGCCAGGCTGAGTCAGATCGTGATGCAGAAGATGGCATCAAGTTCATGCAAGAGATGATTGAATTGGCAAAACAACGAAATGATGAGTCAGGTATTACCAATTATTTATTAATTTTTTTTGTGTGTATGTGTGTTTGCGTGAATCTATGAAAGGGGGTGTGTAGGAAAATGGAAACAGTATCCTAGGGTCATTAGGAAATTAGCGCTGTGCAAGTTGATATGAAATAGGCAATGAGTAAAAACTTACCTACTACCAATAAATCGCTGTACAAAGAGTTCCTGAAATGTACACGGTGTTACAACTCTTAGTCCTGAGTGTTTACTATTTGTGACTCAATTCAATTTAGGTATTTTTCAATAATTTCGGCTATCGTTCATCTTTAGCTGTTCAAGAAAAGCCTCGTGTGGTTCAGCTTATGTCTGCTCCTTACAAAGGAGATGTGGTTCTCAACGCTTGTCCAGCGCACTTTGGTCTGGATCTGAGCAAAGGAGATGTAGGGGTGAGTACCACGTCTGTGATGTTACTGTTCTTTTTTCCTCAGTCTTGAGGGCTTCGTAAATTCCAGTTACTTTGCTGAAAGAGTGGATAACTTTTGGCGGATTAAGAGAGGGGAGGGCACGGGGAAAAGGGACCAGAGATGGTGGGGGACCACTGGGGGACAGAGGGATTCCCCACTAATAATGGAATTTTTTTAAGTGAAGAAAAAAAGTGACTTAATGGAGCCCCGCTTCTGGGTTTGGCTATATCTTTTATGAGAGTTTTTTCTCTGGCAACCTTGGGTCTTTTGAGTTGTTGTTAGGGTTTCGTTTGCTAGAGGAAGGCTGTGCTTTATTTCGGCGCCTCTTTTCTTAATTCTTTGGACCCAATTGTGTAATGTTCACTTGCCAACATATCCCCTACAGAAAATAGTGTGTCCGTAGTTTAGTAAGAATGGAACGGTTCAAACTTCCTTTTCCATGGTTAAATCACCAGTAGGCGAAGATTGTTCTATAGGAACAAACCGCCGCCATGGTGTTTTTTGGAGTACGCCTCATGAATGAAATATATGTACATTGTTGAAACTTTTCCTTGTATTCCAGAAACTAATCCTACAACTCAGTCCATACACTAACAACAAAGCTGATAGATACGGTTTATAAACTATCCCTATGGAATTAAGGTAGCATTGTTTCTATTTTGTTTCAGATGGGTGCAGAGGTTTCTATAGCTGAGCCTATCAAGGCATGTTCTTCTGTTTCAAATGCAGAGGAACTGAAGCATAGAATTGCTATTATGGAAAGGGGCGAATGCATGTTCATCGATAAGGTATGAGGCAAATAAATGTGAAGGAGCAGTGGCTGTTTTGCTACTGATTTCCCCAGCTATGTAAGCAGATGTCTCCTTCTTTGTCGTCACGTAACATTTTTTTTTCTTTTCACAAACGAAATTCCGTTGCGTGATGCACATGTCTATAGCCACCGGGCCCAACGAACAGGGATGATGATTGTTTCTTGTGAGTAGTTCCTCGAGCTTCTTCTCCAGTCACGATAGTCAGGCATGCGTGTGAGAGGGCGTGAATAGAAACTACGGGGACAGAGAGGGAAAATCCAAGCTTTGCCTGGGACATATTGAGACCACCAATATTACTTTTAGCTTTAAAGAGGAACATAATTCCTTTTCCTTAGATGTCCTCACTGTGAATTGTTGATTTCCCAAGTCGTTTTCTGTTTTCATTTTCTTTTCTCCTGAAAAGGAGGAGCTACAAACCATGGCAAACGCCTTCTAAGGTTTCATGCTGTTAATTATTGTTACTTTTCTTGTTTTGTTGGCAGGCTCGGCATGCTGAGGCCGCCGGGGCAGTTGGTGTGATCATCATTGGTAAGATCTGTCCCCAAAAGACTTAAAAGATCACTGTAACTTTAATGAAATCGTCTCGAATTGGAAAAACAGATAAGATAAAAACCCGGAGCACTATGTTGTCTTGTTAATTGATATTTTTCTATGAAATGAAGGCAAGTCATTAGATTCTTTTGATCACATATATTTATTCCAGAGTACACCTTTAATAAAGCTTCTAGACTGGAATCAAGATGACATAGTTCCAGGACACAGTACCATGTAGTTTTGTTTCCATTGGTAGAACGATTCTTAACCCTTCAACTCCTAGATCAAATTTGTAACTTTCCTTACTGTCAGCCATACAATTCTTTTAATGTTAGTTCAGAGAATTAAGTATTGGATCAATTAATAACCCCCCAAATTGATCTTTTTTTCTTAATTCTCATCACTTATCTGGTTGATATTGTACAGTTATTATAAGGAGTCACTCATGGGAGTTAAAGGGTTAATGTAACCTTCGAAATCAGTTAGTTTAAGGGTGTTACATTTCGAGCTCGGCCAGACGTTTTGAGCTACACGAAGAACAAATATCAAGAGGGCTAAACGAGATTGACAGGGGAGAGTTTCTTTTCTGTATCGTGCTTTCGTGGCTCGAGAGCATGGACTCATTCGTATCTTTTCGTTAGACCCCTCAAACCTTGTGCGTCATTGGCAACGGCCCAATCCTTGTGATTGAACTAACCAGTAACTTTTTGCCTCTCCACAGATAATAACGAAGGTAGCTCGAGTGATACACAACCAATATTTGCCATGGCTGGTGATGGTTCCGACAATGACGTGAAAATACCAGCCGTGCTTCTGTTCAGCGAGGAAGGACGCATACTAAAGAACGCCATAGCTGCAATGGAGGACTTAAATCAACGGCTTACGGTCCGTTTGGCTTCTAAAGCCACTGGAAAACCAGGTATGACGCTGTTGATCTTTTTTTTCTTCGTTTCACTTGTTCAGGAGTTTTTATAAAAGCGACCACCGATGGTCTACAGCTGCCTATAAGTACCTCTTACCGTCGTCTGTTTAGCTTGCGAGCAGGATCTCGTGTTTGGGTAAAAGGGTTAAATTTCTAAAGAAACTGTGGTGCTGCGTCGATGGGGGGTGTTACAAGATAATTTGGTTGGATCAATATCAGTATCTGGGCAACTGCCCACCTACCCCTCCCCTAACCAAACATTAACCCTAACTTGTTATCAATAGGCTGTTGTTGGGTTAGGGGAGGGGTAGGTGGGCAGTTGCCCAGATACTGATATTGATCCATTTGGTTTTATCAACTGAGTTGAGGATCTAAATTGGCTAACGTAAAGAGTTTCTAAAGCTATTATTTCGTGCGTTAGCCCATCGTTAGAGCTAATAGAGGAATTGTAGGTTTTATGTGGTTTATATACAAAAAAAGATTGAGTCACGCTATTGGTAGGTAACGTGAAAAGCCTATATTAGAACTGGTTCCAAATTTCATTTTATTTTGTTCTTGATCACAGCTAAGGAAGAGGCTCTAACTGCCGGACAAGCTGACGTGCCGTCAACTACACAAGAAAAATCAGAGAGCACAGAGTCTGTCAGTGAGGAAGAAAGTCCACCTCCAAGTGACGATATTAAAATTCAATTATCTGAGGAAAGTAAAGAAGTTCACGATAGTAATACAGAACAAATCGAGGCCTCACAAGGTATGGAATCACATCAGAAAGCTGAAGACGGCAAGGCATCGACAACATCAGAAAATTCTGACCCGCGCAATAGCGAGACACCGCAAAATCCGGCTGTTGTGTCAGTGGGACAAGACGAAGTGTTTTGTGCCGCTACCGGCAAACCTTGTGCCATACCAAACCAAACTCACGAACCAAGCGTTGATTCAGCAATTCTGGCTGAAACTTCAAATAGCGACAGTTCAAATTCTGAAACAAGCACGCTTTCTGAGAATACCGACGTCGACAATGGAGGTGAAACAAATAGCGAGGCAATTCAATCGAGTAAAAACACAGACGCTGAACTAAAAAATGAGCCAAGCGCAGATGTAGCAGAAAATACGAGCGATGAAAACGTTCTTGACGCTGCTTCGAAAAGGACTTGAATCTCAAAATTACTTTTATTAATCAATAATAATATACTCAGGTGCTTCAGTCTGACGTCATATAAGAACCCTTGGGTTGTCCAGGGGTGAGAAGAAACAGCTGACTCTGGTGCAGACTTGCATCCAAATTAATCAGGAATTTTTTGTGGTTTTGCCGCAACTTTTTATTCCTCTTATTCAAGTACCAAACTCTTCTGGGTTTGAGCCAGCATTCAGTCTTAGAAAGTAAGCAAAGTGGAAATGACGTCATAGTGCAAGCCCTGCTATAGCCGAACAAATGATGGGTCGATGTGAAACTAGACTAGAACTATCGGGGAAATATTCGTATCTGAGAAGTTTCCGTTATTTATTGTCCAGTCGACAAACCTTTTCTAGCTAAATGCGTAAGTATCGCCCTATTCGCGCTGTGATCAGGCGTTGTAGCGGATCGCAGGTGTCTACCTGTCACCTCCAATCCAATACCATTTTCTCGAGCTAAAAAACGCACCAAAAAAGCCAGATTGCAGGTCTCTTAAAAACATCCTTAGCCTTACGTTAATCTTAGGGACAGTCTTGACCCTGGCGGTTACGAAACTGAAATGATTACACTCACGAAGATCCTATTTTGAATGTACAGAACGGTACGATAACAGGGAAGGGGTTGGGGTACATAGCGACTGTTAACATTTTGTTGTCGCTGGGGTTGTAGAAGGAGTTGGTTATATGCTAGCAAAACAAACGACTCTGAGGGACAAATTTATGGTTTCAACGTTCTAACCTTCAATAAGACAGGATCATATCTTGCTTTTAACATTTTCGCTCCAGAAATGACTGTAAAGGAATTTTCCCTCACAGTATTCATACATTTTAAAGGGGAAAGTTGATGAGAAGAAAGGAGAATATTCACAGGGCTGAAATGTTTGGAAATGTAAAGTAGACAGGGTGGGGAATTAAAACTTAGTCCTTGGGAGTGAAAGGGTGACATTTTAACTGCTCTTAAAGCCACATGTGATGTAATTGTAAATATTTATATAGATAGCTTTAATTTTCGAATTTAGTACCTTGGCATAATATACAGTTGAGAGGCTAACTGAAATGTTTATTTACCTATGATTTAGGAATTGTTTTAACCATTAAAATCAGTCAATGTTTTTTGCCAATCAAATGGCTTTGACGACCGTCTGTTTTATTTCGCCTAAATTTTAAAGACTGATTTTGGTTTCAATTGTTGCAGACATAGCTCAAATTTATCGGTAGGCAGTGTGGCTTGGCGCGCGCGCGGGGGTGGGGAATATTGTATTGTTAAGTTGTAGAACCCTACAGCGCCTGATGTGGGTAAGTGTTGCGAAATCTTTAATATTTTAGCAGTTTAGCCAGGAGATTAATCACTGTAAATATGGATATTAGCAGTGGAACTGTATGGAAGATAGATAAAAAATATTGCGTGGACTGACTGGCCAACACCATCACTTACACAAGGTTCAATGCATTAAGGATCAAAAAGAGGAGAAGTAAGAGGATGTGACCAACGCGATGGACTAAGCTGGACCCAAGGGGCTATCAGAGTGTATCACAACAATCTTGATTTATACTTTCCATCTTGAGATCACTGGTGCTGTTCGCAATCTAATTGGCTCACAGCAGAGCGACTCCTTCACAAAACGCGTTGGCTTTTGCTCCAAGTTGTATCTTTTTCCCAGCCCATGAGAATGAAACAGTAATAAAAAAACAACCATTCAGATTTTAACTTTGCAAGGCTTGTCTGAGGTTACAGACCAATTCTAGGAAAATAAGGGGCAAAAAAAGGTCGTAAAGTGGCGAATTCTGTGGGAACACTTTGTGTTAAAAAATGGCCGAAAACTGACTTACACTTAGGTTTTCAGACTGTTCTTTTAAATTAGAAATCACACCAACGACATCTGGCCAAATAACATTCAACCCTTGCCAACTTTGCACTCGTGTTACATGACAAGGCACTCGTTTTCAGCCAATCAGAAGTGCGTAATTTTTTTCATATACATTATTACGAATATTTTTTCATGCGCGCAGAGATTGCACCTCATGAATATTTTCCACGAGAAGTGTTCTTGGCAAGCTAAGAGGACTTCTTCTTCAGTTACTGGAACAAAAACTTGTTAAGATTAGCCTATTCTGGGTAGTGCGTTTCAATGAAGTAGTGGAGAAGCGGGGCGAGCTAGAGAAAAAAAAACGAGGGGGAATGAGGAGAGGGAATAAAGGAGCGGCCCCATCGCCCTTTCTTCGTCGCTCGTGCCGGAACCCCGCCGAATGTCGCTCCCGCGATTTTCGCTCGACCCTGCTGAGCGAGGGCCTGGGGCAAACTAACTTGAATAACTGGAGTAGTATTTCACTTAGAAAACCCCGTTTACAATTACTCAGGCCTTGTAAAATCATTTACTCTGGTGAAGATCGTCCTTGAAAAATGTTATCTTCCGTTTTGTGAAAAAGACTGGCATAGGAGCCTAGACAGGACAGCTTGTCGAGAAAAATTTGCATGTCTGCCTTTTGGCTTGTTATCCCCAGGAGCCGAACAAGGCTAAATATGGAAGTATCTTTTAAAAGCCTTTCGCACCTGTCATATTGACTACGGACTCGTTATCGAGCACATCTATTTTCTATTGACCCCTTTGCGATAAACATTAGATGGTGGTCGTGACTTTCGAGTCTTGCCATGTTACGTTGGCTTAAAGTTAACTGTCGAGTTTGTGGGTTGAGTCAGAGTAATTTTATCAGCCTGTTCAAAGACCAGTACTATTATCTCTTCTCGCGCATAGTGCGCGAACAAAATAAGGGTCGCGTGGGAGTAAACAAACGCAAACGTAAAAAGGTGGCACTTTCGCGTATGCGCTCCTCGCATCTTCCTCGTTTCTGTGGACAGACTAATTTGTGACCACTTCGTGCAAATGCTTTCCACCATTCTCATTTAAAATGATCAATACTTCTTAAAAGAAAAGCAAAACTTTGTCGCCATATTTCAAGTTTTTGATACGGATGATGGGAGAGGCACCACAATTCCTTTATTCTGGAAAAAAAATTGACGCCATTAATTCATTACTGTACTGCAATATTGGAATTTGAATTTCTTGCTTTATCATTCTTATTCACCCACAAATTAAGTTCTTAATTAAAAGATGAATTCTTCTCGATCCATTTGGAGGTTTCTACTGTCAAGACGAAAACTTTGAAAAGTTTCAGTTAGGCTCCTTGTTCACTGCAATTTGCCTTTGGACTTCCCACTTTTTTGATATGATAAAAACTAACGCATTTTACAATTTGGAATAGGCTGTACGTCTCTATGCAAATCAATCATGGATGATAAATGGACATATCTACCCGTAATATTTACGTCTTTGACATCTTAGAGTCCTTTGGAAGTGCTCAATTATTAGTTTAATTTTGGAAGCTTATTTTGGGTAAGTGTGTTGAATAATTTAGCTAAAAGAACGGAAACGACGGTAAATTATTCATGAAATTTTTATTAACTTCCCGTCTTGAAACCTGGATTTTGATGACAAAGAAGCAGTCCTTCGTTTTTAACGAATAGATCCTGTGGAAACATGGAGGTCTCCTGGACGAGATCGACAATAAGGCAATTGCTCAGTAGTTTCCACGTGATAGAAGTTTAATTGCAATGAGAAAATTCGCATTGGCCCACGTTGGCGGCGTACGAAGGGAGGGAAAGAATGCGATAACGATCTCAATTTGCGCTCGCTGTAACTTCTGTTTCTTCTGCCTTGTTTACCTCACTCCACGCGCTAAATTCAACCAAACGTCATGGCAATGCTAGTTACGTGACCTCTTCATTTTGGAAACGAATTTACTTCTGACGGCGTATCACAGTTGTGATATTAACCGGTTCTGTATGGGCGTGGATAATAGAAAGGTTGAGGCTTATCTCGTACCCAGATCCTACCGCGCAACTGTAACTTAAATCGCCGATAGAAGGAATTGCTCGCTCTCACTTATTGCCTAGTTCTTCGAAGTTAGCACTACAACCCCAGCCCAGCTTCTCAACTAGCTACAATATAGAGAGAACTGGAATGATTCACATGATTGCATGTCCTCAATTCAAAAGCTAAACCAGATCGATTCTTCGTGCGAAGTTTTAAACAAGGCAAAACAAATCACGGCACTGGTCTCAATACTTTAACTAAAGCTCGCTTCAAAGTATTAATTATCACTAAACCCATCTCCATAGATGCCAACCTATGTTGCAACTACAGCAAACTCGCGCAAGTTCAAGGTTCAAATGCTGTCAAAGTCAATACATGAATATGAGTGCGAACATTACTTTAGCAGCAGTGAAATAAGGCCTGAAAAAATTCAGGCCAGTACAGCATTTGAACCCATGATCTCTGCCTATGATCTCATATGTTCACAGTCATTTACTCATCACTTCACGGGTTTATTACGAACCAAATAAATGCACAGCTATCAGTTGGCTTGTTAGCGCAGTTGGTAGAACACTGCACCGTTATTGCAGAAGTCACGGGTTCAAAAATGCGAAGATCGTTCGCGCATTCATTATTTAATCCGCAGTTCACATGCCTGATTTTCATATATTCACGGTTACTTAAAAGAATTAAGTTAAAAAACTATTGTAAAAATGCATCGAGTCATACCAAAAAAAGATAGTAACGAGAATTTTATTGTATAACATCTTTAATGAAACAGTTTGCAAAATACGAATTCCTTCCTAAGTGACCACCCCCCTCCACTACATGTCCTACAAGAATGATCGACCGATTCCCATCAGCTTGTTGCAAAGACCCTGATCCATTTCATTCGTTCCTGCCGTGGATAAAGAAAGATTGTGTTTTTTTCCGTGAGGAAAATATCTGGCTGAGGGAGGTAAACGGCTTGTAGAGCTGGTAATAACCTAATGGAAACAAACAGTCGAAACGTTATCATCACAAATAGCGTACGCAGAGTACGAACAAGTTATTTGAAATTGCGCTGTTAGGGCGATAACTCGAGGGCAAGAAGTAAAAGACTTAGTTTAGATCTAATAGGCCCGAGGAGATATGCATTACATCGTTCGCCTTCGTGCACGTCACCTACGTACCTTTAGCGTACTTTCCGAAAAGAGAGCTTGATCGTAAGCAGGAGGGAATAGAATGCCCCGACTGCTGGATTACTAAAACACAGAGAGAAAAAGTAATCGGAGCTTTGAACACTACGTTGGGTTGTTTAATACCCGATTAATAATGATTCTTCGTTAGCTTCATACAACTGAGCATTTAAAACGATACCAGAGGCAATTTTACTTCTTCTGCCATGTGCCGTGGTTCATTCACATTGGCTGACTGATCTGAACACAGATGCTAATCAACGAGTAATTTTAACTCTGCTATAATTACTCACTGAACAAGGCCAGTCGTGGCTCTATTAAATTCAAATTAAAATAGATCTATTCGAAGCTGCACAAACGTGGAAGGCAAACGGAGTAATGACAGGAAAATAACTAAACATCAAGGAACGAACGTAAACTTATAGAATAACTGAGAAAAAGAAAAGAAAAGAAAAAAAACACTGAGATGAGATCACGAAATTTATTTTCCGCATTACTGTTATTTTCCTTAAAAAATCCCTCTGTTATTAACAATGGACCTTTGTCAGACCTTGAAAAATGGCTAACGTCAGAGGCATTAGAGGCGACAATACGCAAAAAATATTCAATTGTTAATAACTAGGCAACTACATTTAGCACCGCTTACAATTCCAGACAGGTACGCCTCATATTGGTCTCCTTTTCGTCTCTCTTGTCACAATTCCAAAACAAATTAAAACAATTATCTTAAGCGGGTTGATTGCTGGCACAAGGAGAGGAAAAGAAGAGAATAGATATGGTATTATATGCATAATGACTCAAAACACCTGCTGAAACATAATAATGAATATCTGGCGTGCGCTGACAATTTTTACCAACAAGGCGCCAATGAACACTTATCCGGAGCCGTAAAAGATGTAAAAATTGTTAAAAACGATAGCTATTTTTCAAGAGAGCAAAATGACTGACGACAAAGACATCTGCCATCATGGCGCCCTGAGCCTCTAAACCAGGGCTTCTTCGATTGCCTGGTTTGACACTCGCTCAAGAACAATCTTGAAATCGACTCTCAAATTCTCTTGAAGACGCTTAATACCTCAGGGTTTTAACCAGCTAATGAAGTAAAATTAAAAATGCAAACTATCGAAGGAAGAAAAATTAAAGTTGAGGATAATTTCTTGGGCAAAAGGTACCTGAAGTAAGGGGGGCTTTTATATTCGCGCGGAACCAAACTTTCTTCTCGTTTCACCAAATATGATTGAATTTTGCGCGAGTCAGAAAGGTACGAAGAAGCGCATTTTATTTTCATTTTCATTTAAATCCACCTGAAAAGAAAGAAATACGCCGCAATGCTGATCACTCTAAAAATTCCTTTGTTGAAACCACCAGAAAGAATCACGGATCCAGTTTAAAGGAAACAAATTCTACATTCAACAAGATAACATCTGATACAGAATTCTAACAAAGGTCAAACGAATAAATTTACCGTATCAGGCTACAGTGATACCTGTATTAAGCGAATTTCACACTAAGCGGACAAAAACGAAGTTTCTACTCCTACCTTTTCATACTTACGGTAAAACAAACCAACACCCAAAAAACACCTTCAACGAGTAGACATGAACCCTAAAATTGAGACGTTCTTTGACGCAAAACCCGTTCTGAGCGGAAACTTCAAGAAGTTTCCAAACAACTCCTTTCACATAAAAGAAAAAAAAAACATAACAGAGACGATACAAACAGGAAAAAAGCTCAAAACATTTGATTTAATAGATAGACAACCACGTATACGGTTTAAGCTTGTTATTGTTGGGCAATTTTCCCAGAAAAACTCACAAGTTCACCCACAATTTCCATAAGGTCAGGATCCAGCAAACTGTAGAGAACAGCGGAAAAAAAAAACAAACCTATCAGCTGGGAGTGTTATCCTGACCAAACATTAAATTCTCTTGACTATAATAGAGCGAAACACAGACAAGCTAAAAAGGAGAATAGACAACTGAATCGTGGGAGCTAACGGTACACTAATAGGAGGCATACTGAAATTATGCCGGTGAATTGGAACTTAAAACTCCATTGCTGGAACATACAGAGGTTTTCCATACAATTATATATTTCAAGTTCCTTTTATCACTAGAAAATCAAATTCATGAGTACGGTACACGCTTGCTTTCCGTCCACAAAAAATAGGATTCTGTCATAATAATAAGATTGCGTTCCTCTGATACGAGAGATGTGAAAATGACCGCAATCAAAAGTGTTACCCACAAAACAAGAAAATAGAATTAAATACAGTTCCAGACCGCAAGAATGCACTAGAACATTTCCAATTAGTCCTTCTGTCAAACCACTCTTTGAGTTTCAAATGCCATGACTACATCGTTTCCAGAAATTTCAAAATCAAATCCAAAGTGATCTTGCTAATTGGAGTTAAATTTTCCCTAAGGGAATTTAGAGCTAAAGTTTTCAATGATTTCTTTTAGTGACTTGTTCATTTAATTTTGTTTTGATTACAGTTTGAGGTTATGTACTCTCAGGTGGGGAAAATACGAGAGACTGGCGATGGTAAAAAGAAAAACAAAGTCGTGAAATGCATTGTCATGGCTAAGCTCTAAGATGAAACCAATTCCCGTTTGTTACGGGAACCATCTCCGTGTTACAGCCAATTTCTTTCACAATCTATTTATCAAAATATCAAAATATTAAAATAAAAAAAAAACACGCCACAGAGAACTATTATAAAAGCAATTTACAGCACATTCAGAGTGAGAGGTCAAAGAAATAAATATATATTTTCCCCTATTGGCTGAAGCGCATCAAACATTTCACTTGCAGCGAAGAATATGAGTTAACAGCTCACGAAATAAATAGCGCAGCGAGTAAAAAGTTAAATAAATGCGTCCATCAAATAACAAATAATTGTTGAAATACCAATTCAAGCTGCGTAATGAAATCGAGAGGAGAATAAAGGCCATCAAAAGTATCTAGTCTAATTTAAACTTGGCAGTATGACACTCACGAAGCAACGAGAACACGATGTCATGGCAGAGAGCGTTCGCTTCATCAAAAATCAGCCTAGCGACAATCTATTTTTGTTATACTCAGCGGTTACCATGAATCTATTTCTTGCGCGTCGCGTTTTTGATAAACGCTCATTGTTTCCAGTTCGGATTGAATAATGATGCCGAGAAGACAGCGTTTGTAATTGAGTATCCGGTTCCCATTCTCGATAAGACTCACCCGAGAAGAGCGTTCGGAAGTGAAGGCGCAAGTTAACCATAAGAATTTCGCTTGTAAGTTGGTAGAATAACAGCTGTCAAGATGCGTATTCATAATTCATATCGGTTAAATTAAAGTAAGACAGGAGAGAGATGAATTAAACAGAGACATCCTAATGCAGAGTTGTCACTTCAATTATGACCGGACGTAGATCCTTGGACTCAAAAAAAAAAGAGCGCGCATCGACAGAAAAATTGCCTAATTCTCCAAACACGTAGAACTGCCTCGAGGATTCCCAAAGTAATTCGATTAAAACAACCAAGCCTTATCATGTTGTGAAAGCATAAATATTGCACGACTTGGAGAGACGCTTCACTCAGTTAAGTCGAACAAAATATATCAGTGCGGCGATGGAAATCCTCGTCGCTAAACAATCTTGTTTCTTTTTCTACGATTCTCGGCACAGTTTTGATCAGGCCAGGCTCCGCGGAAGAATTTTTGATCAGTTTTGCCGCAGTAAAATTTAGCGCTGGCGTGAAGTTCTCGCCGCATCACCTGCTTGCCGAGTATAATGAGGAGGAATTAAGAATCAAGGAACTTGTTGATGTTTTTTTTTAAGTCAATATGAGTAGCATATCTTTCTCCTATCCTACTCCAGCCTTAACTAGAATACCTTAAGTTACTAAGCACCAGCATCGAACAAAAAACACGAGCATCGGCAGGAATCACTCTGGGTTGAAATAGGAATACTGTATCACCAGGGGAAGATCTTTCAAGAGAAAAATATTCAATACGTATCATTGAAAAATTGTTGAAGAAAGGTACTTATAAATCGAACGGTAGTATTTGTTTTTCCGTATTTTGCAACAGTATCCACAAAGAGAAAAAAAAAACTTTCAAGAGCGAGGCAAGCGAATGATCTTTGAGGAGTTTTAAAAACGTTTAAAAGAATCGTTGATGTGTATATCCCTGATGATAAACAAACTCCTCTTAAACGCAATGTACTTAACACTTATAGTTTGATGCCGATGGGCTGAAAATGTGACCAGAATAAAAATATAAAAGAAAAGAAAAAGGGTACGTGTAGATTTGTTGAAATTCCACCCACTGTAACAAGCACGGGACGTCATTTTATGCGGGGTTGCCCATTCTCCTGGAAACAGTATTTATAATGCATACAAAAGATTATTTCATCAAAGGAAGTCTAACAGACCGAAACAAAAGGACTCTTTTCGTGGCTGCTGCTACGAAACATGGTACTTGGCAGAGATTTGGAAACTTGTAGCAGGTGTGTTCGAGTTGGATTTGCAATGAGAGCTTTTTTTTTTTTTCACACCCAAACCAGTACCAGTAAAGTCACGTGACCTGCCTGAGTCGGCCTCATTTGATAGGCCACTTGATTATAGACTCGGCTTCTAATTAGCATATGGTGTCAAGGCAAGAAGGAAACCCAAAAGCCCGTGTATGATTGAGTCGCTTCAAGGCGGCTAGTAATTCAATGGCTAGGAACGATTTTTCGTGTCGCGCGAGCGCATCAAAACAGTCATGAATGACGCTTGAAAACAGCCTAAATCAAGAAAAATGGCAGATAATCGAAGGCCGTCCTCAGTGCCGTCAGAGGACTTCTACAAAACGCGTATGGCCAACTCGGCGAACGCTTCGCGTAAGTCTTCGATGCAAGCTGGTACTGAAGCGACGAATATCGTATGTGCAAACCGATCACTCTTTATCTTCTCAAAGGACAATATCATTCGAAAAGTTTGCCGCACGATCGTCGAGAGCAAAGTATCCTTTGATGCGTGAAAGCGTTCTTTGTACAAAATCTTTTCTAGGCCTTGGCGTTGTCTGTTAGTTTGTTGTCGTCTATTGCACGAGAGGAGCGTGCGTGTTGGCTGTGGCCCTGTCAATGTCTAGTGTTGTGAAATTTTCTTGAAATTTTTCCTGGACAATTTTCACTGAGTTGGTGGTATAGCTCCGTGTGAATTGATTTTTTTATGTTCATTTTAGCTTTTCTGTGAGTTTATGTTCGTATCATATATTCCTTAACTGAAGACAAGCCTTTTGAATATTTCATTTTATTGACCATCTTTGTCAATTGCATCCTCCTCGCCGCTAACACTCCACTGCCGAAGGAAGACAAGTCCGATCTTGACAGAAAACTAGTAAGTACACATCTTTACCGATATCTTCTCTAAATAACAGCAGAACTCAGAACTGTTCGCCGCTGCTGCTCTTGTCGTACGAAAGTTATTCAGTCATTCTCTCACTTTATTATTTTTCCTGTTCTTCCCTAGGAACAAGCCGAAATATATTTATTGGCAATATTTTGCCTAGAAGCTCTATTAAAAGTTATAGCTCTTGGGTTTATATTACACACTGACTCGTATCTACGGAACGGATGGAATATCTTGGATTTTGTCGTCGTTGTAACAGGGTATGTCATGATGATGTATACAAGGGTAAACGTGTTTATACCTATGCTGAATAATGCTGGGATTTTTTTATTCAGCCATGTATGTAGATGCAATTTTCACTCGTGAATTTCAATATTTAAACAAGCTTTTGCTGCTGTACTGTAAATCTGTGGTGAGAAGATAGTCGTCTATTTTTTAGTAAAGAAGTTTCCAGCCCGCAATATATCAGGTTTCGCGGAAAGAGTGAGCTTGAAATATACACTGTGGGTTAACGGAAGCGAAATTCGCATCGGCATATTTCAACTTGACGACTGAACGTGGACCAGAACAATTCTAGGAACTATACACACGAAAACTAAACATGCTAAGCGGATCGTTACTTTATACACTTCATACCGATTGGTTGCGCTTCAAGTTACACTAAACTAGGCGATTGAACTCGGACAACTTGCGCGAGTTGGCGAAACGTAAAATGGTCGAATTTTAACTGAACAGAATACTCGCTCAAGCGAATCACACTAACAAAAGCAGCCCCCAGTTTGGTCACGCTAGCGGTCCTGTCTATTTCAGACGACCTCATGGCAACACTGTTGTAAAAAGTTGCTTCTATTCTTTTTAGCTTTGATTGTCTGCGTCAGACAACTTTTACAGGAGGAAATTGTGTTTCCATTAGGCGATTATCGTTTCGCCGCTCGTCCTAGCGGGTAATAGATTTCGATATTTCAATACTTCACGCGATCTTAAATCCTGCTAAAATGTATCTACGATTAAAAGCGGAATTTCTTTAATTGCCCTATTCGCTATTATCCTCGACAGATCCCTTTTTTACTGCTGGATTTCAAATGACACGGACTAACGCTGGCATTCCGCAGCGCAACAATTCCTCCACGCCAAAACTCATCGCCGTTAAATTATTTAGCGTCGCTAGAGTAAATAGTCATGTTATAAAAAGTCAAAACACAAGTGCTAGCACATCCATTACACGAAGAACCGGCTATTTGCTCAAAATCGAAATAAATTGTTAAATCACGTATTAAAACGCTCTGTACACAACTCCGACCCGGTGCAGGTATTGAGTAGACCCTCAATTAAACAGCAATATCAAATAAAGCAAGGAATAACTCTACGCGGGATTTGAAAATAAAATTCAAATCAGAAAGTATCGAAGAGCTAAGCTCACAGTTGTCATCTCGTGCGAGAAGATAGCGCGCAGTTTTCACAAAGTTTTCCGTGCACTGCAGTCAAATTATCACCAAATATCATTTCAACCCGGAATTTCTCGTTAACAGATACAATGACTTAAGCTTAACATGACATAACTCCTCGCCTACGCATTCAACATGACTCATACGAGAATAATTTTCGACAAGTGAAATTTCCCACGTAGTATCTATGGTAACAAAGGTCGTCGCAGAAAAGAAAGACAAGAAAATGAGAGGGAGATGTTGAGTACAAATAACCGGATAGTTTTGAAAACTTTTGCGGAGTAAATAAAGCGTCGGATAAAGCGCAATTGAAATTAGAAAATTAAGACTTTGGTCAGAATCTCGCTCTAAATGGAACTACTTCCTCTATATATTTTTACTAGTAGGTTAAGCTGGCAGTCAAACGTGAAATTTTAATTGAAGCTTCCTTTCAAAAGCCAAGAGACAAACTGATATTTCCGTTTCCTGCGGCCAAAGACTTCATGTTTCTCTGTTCTCTCATTCCCAAACCAATTGTTTGCAGAACGGGTAATAAATTATTCAAAGCTGCGGGGAACTTGCCAGGGACGCAGTTTCGGCACTACACCTGTCAAAATCTCCTTGGGTTACCCCGAAAAATTGCCACTTTATCGCCAAACTACGCCTTTCTCGGGTAATTCACTAAACGAGACTGAGAAGCGAATGCAAATAAAAACTATGTTTTACAAACATTATGGCAGAAGGTCGACTGTTTCTATATTTACATAACAAAACTATTTTACGCGGAGATATGTCACATCGACTTAATAAGACCCTTCACAAAGACGCGTACTTTTCTTAGTTTGCATTTGCATGCTAATAATTGAGGTTACAGAAAAGACAATAAACAAATAACTGCTAGTTTTCCGTCTTAAGGAAAATGCCAACATCTCCGAAGTTGTAATTGTTTTGGCGAATAATGAAGGCTTACGAATCAAAGTGATTTAACTTTTCCCTCGATTGAAACATTCTAAATAATCGTTTCAAGAAAGATGATTCTATCACCTAAAATATCTGTGTTACAGTGTTCAAGGTCTTGAACAAGTTTTTGTTTGTTAAACTTACTTGAAAGGTGAAAGAAACACGATAACATACTGCAATTTGCTTAAACAAGTGTTGTCTGTTATTTTCACAAGCGAAAGTAAGGTGTTTGTGGTAATGATGATCGCTCATGCAAGGAAATGAAACATTCATACATGCAAATCATGCCATCATTTTTTCTTCTTGGCTCTGCTGAAGAATGCGAGTTCACATCTCAATCCAGTTCTACACTTGATACAAGATAAGAAAACATCTCTGATGTGATGAGGGAAATATTGGACATTTCTTTTTACAAAGACAAATGCTGATATAAATTGAAAATCTGTGTTTTCTTTCCTCAAAAAAAAGTTTCCGCTCGGTGCCAAAGCTTGCTTAGACAAACAATCAGCCAAATTGTAAAATTCAACCTACCATCAAATTGAGAGCAAGAAACAAATAAGATCCATAGATTTTCTTCCTGCACTCTTGTCAAAGCAAGTGAAAACCTATATTTTTAATTTCAGGTTGTTATAGCAACTTCCAGTTAAGTTGGTAATTCACCAGCAATAGTTTTAATAGCCATAATTTTTTTTAAACATCATCAACAAATATGCAATAATTATGAAGAATGTCTCATAAAGTTGCTAAATGCAGTTTTGGTCTTTGAATATTGTGAGTGAAAGAAAATTGTTACACAAGGTTCCCCGCAACAGTCCACTTTTTTTTTAGAAGGACTATCAAGGCTGACACTTAACAACTGGTTTTAAGCTGAGCGATAAATTAGCAGTAAATTCAAAATGAGCCATCAAAAAATAGTTATTGACAGTCTCTGACAATATATCAATTTGATCACAATACATGTGTTGCAATTAAAATCCTTTTACATGCTAGATAGAGGATGGCAACAAGAAAAGGAGAGAAAAAAAAGGAAAAATCACATGGAAAGCTGCTAAATGAACTGTTCTGCAGCATTATAGTAATAATGACACATCTTGTTATCACCACACATTTTGTACTGAAGGCAAGCAAGCATTTTGTAATAGGGGCTGCAGCATTTTGTTACAACAGTTAGTCTACACAATTTGTAACAACATCTTGATGTGAACCAACATAATGACCACACTCCAGTTGGCTGGTTAGCTCAGTTTGTAGAGCACCGCACCTGTACTGCAAAGGTCATGGGTTCAAATCCCCTACAGGCCTGAATTGTTTCATTATGGTGAACATCACTTTCATTCATTTCTTAAACCACAGTTCACATGATTTTCTATTTTATGATTTTCATATATAGTGTATTATAGTGACTGATTTAGAATTTTTCTTAAAAAAAACTTAGAATATTTGCTTACTTTTTAAGCCTTTAACTCCCAAGATCTGATTGTTTATTATCTCCTCTTGTTGCTACACAATTCCTTGTAATTTAGATACGAGAATTTGGTGTAAGGTCAAGATAAAAACTTCTTCCTGATAAGTTTTAGTATTCTCATCAACTGTTGGCTAGAAATGTATGGATATCATAGGGATAAGTTACATGTTAGTCACTTCTGGGATTTTAAGGGTTAAGGTAGATAAGCAGTAGTCCAATAGTCAGTACACTGAACTCTGGGTCCAGAGATCTAGGTTCAAGACCTTGCTGGGGCAATGTGTTGGAGTAACTGTCCAGAAAGCCTGATGAAATGCTGGGGGATAACCTTGCAATGGACTAACATCCCATCCTGGGGGGAGTTGTAATACTCCTAATTGTTTCACGCTGAGGGAACTGGGATAGGCTCCGGCTGGGTAGACTACTAGGCTAGAGTACAAAATCAAATTAACAAGACAATAAATAGCTCTTCGACGACTGTTGGAGGCAATCAGTCTTTGGCTCTTTGTACTGATTTTTCCTTAAACAATTTCTTCTGTTAAGTGACCACTTTGGGGCTGTCTTAAGATTGTGCTCAGTCACTAACACCAGTTATTGTGATTGTGAAAATATGAAAATCATATATAATTGAACTGCAGTTTAAGAAATGAATATGAAAGCGATCTTCGCAGTACTGAATACTGCTTAAGCAGTAGTGTGTAAATAAGGCTTGAAAAGAAGGTCTTATTTTCACCATACGAAATCATTAACAGTCACATGTAAAATTGCTTCATTATACCTTACAAAGAGAGGGGTTTGCCAGTTACAGATTGGTGGATGTGATCTATAAAAGACACAAGTGACTGACTGCAGATACAATAAGTTCAAACTATGTACAGGCAACATGTAGAGAATGTTTGACAAAGAGATAATCTGTAATTAAATTCACTAGGAAATGTGCAGCTTCAGAGAAAGACTTGAAAATTTTCTCTAAATTCCTAGCAATTATCTTGAAACCATTAGCTCCAAAGATGTGATAGATAATTCTCTTCTCTAGCTCCTAAACATTTCCCAGTAAATCAATTACAATAATTTGGTTCTAGATCAAGATAAAAACTTCTACTTGGTAAGTGTTAGTATTCTCGTTACATGTTTCCTGGATATGGTATGGATATTATAAGGAGATATAACATGTTTATCACTTCTTGGAGGTAAAAGCTTCAAGGAAATTATAGTGCTTTGAGCCAACAACGGTTTTTTAAGTGATTCCTATGAGGAAACAAGAGTTCCTATGATTCAAAACATGTTTTTAAATAAAACTAGTCACATAGCTTTTCTACTGTGTAATTTTGAGAAAATGATCAGTCACCTAGTTAGTTAAAGCAAGTTAGAATGGCTAATGTAACATCATTCATCAGTGCCTCTAACTCAGATTGCTTTGCACTGTATATTATAACTTTATTCATTTGATTTCTATTTTCAGCCTTTTGAGCTTGCCACAACTAAGAGTCTTCGAAGCTGGAATGCTGAAGGCCCTGAGAGCTGCCAGAGTGCTGCGGCCACTGAAACTTGTATCAGGCATTCCAAGTAAGTCTAACACAGATTTGTGCCCTTATTACCAAATTTTTCTTATCTTCCTATGGTAGTAAATCAACTCTGAGCTGCATTAGTTCTGTTAATTTTACATTTACTGATGATTCTAGAAGAATCTGTTGGTCACGCAACTTATACCAATTAGCAAATTAAAATAAATTTTCAGCTGAAACATATATCTTGAAAGTTTAAGAAATTTCTAAAGCTGAAATTTTCGGTAAATTTTATTCAAAAGTTTGCAGTAAACTAACTAATGACGAGAAAATTCAGGACGGCTATTTCTGAGTTACTCTTTGTTTAACACTAATTTTCGGTTGAGATATTTCACTGGTAAACAGTAAAACGACAACTAAAAACCATTATTAAACTGTGACTCAACCATGTTTTATCCAAGCAATGGCGGGCTAGAAAATATCTCCCCCTTTCACCCGACTTTTATTTTTTTTTTCAGTAAAAATTCCCGAGAGAATAGAACTGTCCAAGCGATGAGTTAGCCAATTTGCCGGTCACGTTCATTTAAAATCGCTTCTGTATGGCCTATGTTATTATCAATACCTTCTTATTTAGTATCTCTTTCGCCTTTTGACCTTTAAGTTATTTTCATACACGAATAACTTAAAAACTGATTACTATCCCGAAAATGTTTAAAATTTCAGTTCCAATATGGCTTTCAAAGATAACAGTCTAACTGCATTAGCGCACCTTCCATGTATGCACAAGCGTGACAGGGAAATTTTGTTGAATCATATGTGCAAAAGCTATGAATTAAGGTTAAATAGATAAACATATGCCTTTTATTGATTTAAATTGAAGCAGACAAGATGGCATATTCACCAAAATTGCTTTTAACGGCTAGAAATGAACAACACATTACCCAAAACAAAAAGTACAACAGAAGTACTTACCACGGTTATTCGCAGCGGGATATTAAATCTCTTTTCGAGTTTTTACCAAGCTTTTCCAATTCCATTGAAGTAAAATTGAATTCATAGTGTCGACATTCCTTGTTCGATGCCTTGGATCGAGAAACAAATGGCGAAAATATCGACGCAAAGTCCTATAAAACCTCCCACAGTGTGATGGCATGCAAGCGATGCAAGCATCATTTTAAAGAAACGCGAAAGACCCTGGGGCTGATCAGAAACAGCACTTGTACAGCGGAGATTCACATCGCACTAACATGGCTACCAAACTTTCACTGAAAATGTAACGATTGTATACATTGCTTAAAATTTTTTGGGGTATTTTTTTAAAACGTTGCAATATGTGGGAGATGAATACACAGTTCTTTTTATCTAATGTTATGGACTTTCGGTTGTTCGACTTTACAATAGACAATTCAATAAGTTGTTGTGAGTGTATACCCTATGACAGGTTAGTACTGATTTTTCCAAAGGTGATTTTTTTTAGTTATGCTGTTTTTCTGTTTCGTTGTTTTTCTAAAATTTTGTTTTAACTTGTTCACAAGTGAACATTGACGTACAAAAGATTTACACCGGAAAAAAACATACGTTGTGTGAATATCGGAAAATACCAGACAGAATTGGAAACTGTTGCAGCCATTTATTATTTGGTAGAATTCTTCGAAGGATCTTTTTAAATCAAGCTGTTTGAGAAAAGGGAATGACTCTGTTTGTTTTGTGGCTGAGAATTTTTCAGCTTTCATAAAATTATTGAACACTGTACTGTTTCATTTTCAACAGGATGTATCAATATTTCTACCAAAAGTAAATTGTTCACAGCTTTGAGTAGAAGTGTATTAAACTAACACTTATTGTAACAGAACAAAAGGCAGGAAAAACATTCATGGATATCAAGCTTGTAAAGAAACAGTCATTCAGTCGTGAGGGAGGGTAAAAGGGGGTCCTGCTCACATCTCACACACATCAAAAAGTAAAAATGACGCCACAAAAAATCGGATAAAAAATTTTACGGTTCATGTATCACAAAAGCAAAAAAATTTATAATTCATGAGGTTTTTAATTTCATATTTTTACAGATCATGAAAATCAAAAACACTTAATTCCACATCACACAAAAATCCCTTTCATCCTCTATTTTTAAATATTTTATTTGGCTTTATATTAGAAGCACAAATGATAAGTTCCAAAATTTAGATACCCAACAGCTGACACTGATGTAATTATAGTTAAACCTCCATCCTTAACCTAAAGCCATTTCACAAGGGACTAGGAAAGTGTGCTCTTCCAATAAGAGAGGTTTACTAATGAGAGGTTAAAATGTAAACTTTCTATATAGTAAGGACTGCAGCTTCCCAGAATTTTACCCAGATTTTGTAGGAGATGGGGTGCCCTAACATTTAATATGCTAGGCTTAAGTCACAGAGGTATAAAATGCAAAACCTGGCCAGGCGATTGTGTTGTGCTTAATTAAGGGCAAGACACTGCCAGTTAACTGCCAGGTAACCTGATATAGTTCTAGCGGGTAACCTTCCATGGACTAGAATCCCCTCAAGGGGTTATGGTCACTTCTTGCCATGCAAACTAGAATAATCTCCAGCCCGATGAGCCACTGAGCTTGATTGCATACTCTGCCAGTAATGGTTTTTACTCCTAAGTGGAGAGGTACTCTCTGAGTTAAGTGTCTTACTTAAAAACTCAATGCAGTGACCTGGCCAGGTCTTCAACTCAGACCTCCTAACCTAAAATTCATTGCACTAACCATAAGGCCAGAATATCTATTTCTTATCCACCAATTTATTAAACCTTTAATAACATGAGTGACCAACACAGCATTTCTCCTTATAATGTCAATAAAATATCAAGCAGACAAGTGATGAGAATAAAGAAAAATATCCACAAGGGGAATATTAGTTGATCCAATACCAAATTCTCAAAGCTAAAATCACAAGAATTGTATGACATACAGTAAGGAGAGGTACTAATGAGATCTTGGGAGTGAGGGGGTAAATATTCATCAAAGCATCACAATACATGGTAATGATATGTTTCTTGTTCTCAACAGGCCTTCAAGTAGTTATGAAGTCCATCATGTGTGCAATGGCACCACTTCTGCAAATTTGTTTACTCGTAGGATTTGTAATCGTAATTTATGCAATCATAGGATTAGAATTTCTTGTTGGAAAATTTCACTATGTGTGCCATAAAAATGTTTCAGGTGAGCAAGGTGGTTTATCCTTCATGTTTTTTTCAAGTTGATCAAATATTGCTGTCCCACTGCTATCAAATACCTCTTTGCTGTTGCTTTCTATAGGATCAATCAGTTTTATTTCAATGTTTTGTGCTTTATTTCAGCTCTTTAAACTTTCTGGGATATTTAACATGCTCTCTCATGAGCATGCTGAAATTTTTGCATGTCTATGTTTATTAATTTTTCCTCACAAGGTCACCCCTGAATTATACATTAAGGTCATGAGGGCAAAGAAAATGATCACCAACTTATGACATTTTTGATTGTTACTAAGTAGACAAATTCTCCTAGGCAGCACCTTAGGAAATGTATAGAGAATATTATGAAGAATAAGGGTACTGATGATAGGGTGGAAACAGTTAAAGGAAAAAAATTATAACTAGGGTATAGTGTTTGACTCAATACCAAAGTCTCAAAACTAATGTTATTAGAAATGTAAGGCCAGCAGTAAGGAGAATTACCATTGAGATCTTGGGATGGAAAGGGTTACAAAAATTGTTGCAGTTTTAATGTAGTGCGCTTGGTTTTGATATTTAATGAATTCAAGATTTCAACTCTGTGATTTCTTGGCAATTACATGCAGATGCACTCACACTTGTCACCTTTTTAAAAAACACAGGTGTCTGGCAGATCGATAATGCTGATGACCCACAAATTTGTGATGTAGATGGCAAGGGAGTAATTTGTCCTGATTCTCAAAAGTGTCAAGAATACTGGGAAGGACCAAATAATGGAATCACGTCATTTGACAACATATTTGCTGGATGTCTAACAGTGTTTCAAGTAATTACCAATGAGGGTTGGACAGATGTAATGTATTGGGTATGTTAGTTTTTTTTATTGGTTCTAGTGCTTTATTTATCAGATCTCATGATATGACCTGAACATGTTAATTCAGGGCTTCGAGGTTAAGCTGTCTTAAAGTCTTAAAAGCTGGAAAAGAAGAAATAAATTACAGGGTTAAAAGCTTTAGAAACTCTTTGGGAAGGCAAATTTACATTATCAATTCAATTCAATGTAATAAAACCAAATCATCATACATGAGGCTAGCCACGTGGTTTGTCTTTGAAATGAGCACTTTGGCTGAAAGTCATTCTGGAGGGTTCGTGCAACATCTGCGGGCTTAACCTTTTACACCTTAAGAGTGATAGGCATCTAATTTCTCCCAACAGTATCATTCCCTGAATCAGCTATTAAGGGCATGAGAATAAAAGAAATGATTGCAAACTCAAGAAGCTATTGATTGTTACACAAATTCTCCTTGTAAGTACAATAGGAGATGTCTTGAGAACAGTGGGAATAACTTGCATAGTGATGTTAGGGTGTGAAGGATTAAACCTTTATCCCCTAAGAGTGACTGGCATCTAATTTCTCTTTACAATGTCACCCCTGAATCAAACATCAAAGTCATGAGAAAAGAGGAGATGATCACCAACTAAAGCAGCTCTTGATTGTGAAACAAATTCTCCTTGTCAGCTCTTTTGGAAATATATGGAGAATAGTATGGAGAATTTGTATACTGATGTTAGGGTGTGAAGGGCTTATGGTCTGATGAGCATGGGAAAAAGGCTCTTGTTTGTGCACAGTGGCAAGAAAGAGCAAGTCAAATCAAGAATAAAACAGGTTGTAGGAGGTTGGTGGGTTTAGTTGGAGATGTCAAAGGGTGTTAAATTTCATAAATATTAAGTAGAAATAATTATTGAAGATAGAGAGAAACAAATTGTGCATAATCATATTCTTACTGTTTGAATATTATTGATTCGCTCCTTTTGTTTGTTTATTTTATTCTTTTTTACAGACATTCTATGCCTATGATAGACATGGTTACGCATTTTGGATATATTATTATTCCCTTGTTATAATAGGATCTTTTTTTATGCTCAACTTGGTTCTTGGTGTTCTTAGCGGGTAAGTGTCTTTTATTCTTAAGTAATAACTTTGTTTTCGACAGTCCTTCAACAATACATCTGTATATCATGCCTTGACCCCTGTTTGAATGTTCCATACTAAAACAGCCTTTGCTAGAGAATTCCCATTATTGATAATTACTAGTTATTGATTATTACTTATTTCGGGGTATTGCAAATGTCAGGAAATGTTTCTTGAGTTATTCTAGTTTGCAATATTCTTAAGCGATAGAAGTATTATACACAGACTTTTATCACTCACAGACTAAAAAGAGTAAATTCCAGTTATAAAGATTTTGAAAGAAATGCACATCTTAGAGCTTGAAATAAAATCCTTTGTAAATGAGATTTTAAAACTCATTACAAAGACTGACAATATTTTGAGATCAGATGATAAGTTTGCTAGACACATGATTTCACCAGGTACTTGCACCATACACCTTGCTTACTTTGGTTTACTTGTTTTGCTTCTCTCCCTCCTCTCCACCTCTTATCTTTTGGGTAAGTTTCCATTCCATACACTGGCTTCTCTGTGTTGAATTGTCAGATGCCTAGAGGTGGGCTGTGGCTTGGTTGCCATGGTGACCTCCTTGTAAAGCTCTTGTCTGTAGGTTCCTTAAATTTATGGCTCTCACCCTTCTGTACAATTGATGTAACTTGTTTAAGCAACAGTTAACATGGGGTTGTACAGTTGGTGGTCTATAACTGTCAAAAGAAAACATCAAATAATCAAGATTTTATTCTGTTTTCCCTGATGCTTTTCAGTGAATTTGCTAAAGAGAGAGAAAGAGTTGAAAATCGTAGGGCTTTTCTCAAAGTGCGTAGAACACAAAAGATGGAGAGGCATCTGCATGGTTATATAGATTGGATTAGTAAAGCAGGTAAAATCTCTTTCGTATTTTTATAATTTTGTATACTTAGGAAAATATGTCAGCTGAATTAGAGTCCTTGATCGTTCACTTTCTCCTTGCAATAAACATCATCTTTTAAACATTTTTTATCAATTTAGTAATTTAGCTAACATTACAGTGATCAGATCATTCTTGCTTTAACTTCAGTTCAAGTGTTGTGTCATATTTCCATGTAAAATCTTCTCTACATCCATCTAGAAATTAAATTCATTCTACAAAAGTAATTATTGTTTTATTAAAAGTCCTTTTTTCTGTGGAAACCCTTTTTTCTCATCAGAGGATCTAATGTTAGAGGAAGAAGAGGAAGAAGATGGAAATGTAGACTTGTCAAGAAGAAGAAATCTTGATAGAGTGGAGGATGGAGATGTAGCAATGACTTCTGTTGTGCTTACAGGACAGTCAGGAAGAAGGCACAGATTGAACACAGGAAAAAAGTTAGTGCTTGTGGCAAATTCCTTGGGTACTGAAATTGGGAGATTTTTATCCACACCCATATGTGTGGGCACCTGAGTTTGTAGAGACAGTATAACTTAACCCTCTCTCTCCCAGGATCTAATCTAAATGTCAATTCTCAGTAATGTTCCCCATGTGTTGCTTATGAATCAAGTTCTGAGAATTTGATGTTAAATCAAGCAGTATCCCCTTGTTGATATTTTCTCTCTTCTTGTTACCTTTCTGCTTGAAAACATATGGATTTTATAAGGAGAAATTCCTTATTGGTCACTCCTGGGAGTGAAGGCTTGATGATTACTTTGCTAGCCTCTAGTCTGAGGGATCTGGGTTTAAGTCCTGGGCCCTGGCCTTGCCTTTGTGTTATGTGTATGGGTGACATATTGTTCTCACAAAGATTCCAACAAGAGCTGGCAGCTGGCCAAAACTTCTTGCTAGTTCACCTTTTTTTTAGCAGGCTTCTGCTCAAAGTAAAGGAATGCAATAAATTAAATAAAGGCAAAGAAAAATAGTCAACAACACATGATATTATGCGTGCTCACCCATCTAAGAAGTAACCACAGCTGACAGGGCTAAAGCTCAGCAAGAAGCACAAGTATGTGCTGCTACAACAACACTCAAGCAACTTTTTAACATGGTCTGTCACAGCCATCCCACATTAAAAAAAGTTAACTACCTTTGTCCGATGTAAACACTCCTAGATGGAACAGATCCTAATTATTTTTGTTTTTATATTACCTTGCACAGGAAAAGTTTATGGCAGAGATTTCTCAGGAAAAACAAACGGTGGAAAATCCGTGTTAGACAAGTGGTTAAACATCAGGCTTTCTACTGGACTGTACTTATATGTGTTTTCCTCAACACAGTAATCACTGCATTACAACATTACGATCAACCTAAGTGGCTTACAAAGTTTCAAGGTAATTGTAACTACTTGAAATTTGATGTCCACCTTACTAAAGAGTTGATCGCCAACTTTAAGTTGTTGTGTTTTTGTGGTTATGAGTGAAACCAATTAAATTTGAATTGTTTTTCTCACACACTACCGCTGGGGTTATTAATGGACAATTTGTACACTGATGTAGGGTGTATTGGGTTGTGTGGCCTTTAGTAAGTAGTTGCTCCTATTGGATTAAATTGGCTTTGTTACAGATCTTTTCCAACTTCCTCACCAACTGAAAAGATTTCAGTGTAAGTGCTCTATCTAGAAAAATTCTGACAATCTGAAAAGCACCTTTCAGAAATTTGTGACAGCAGTTTGAGACAATTTATTCATTTCTATTTTTCATCGACTTTAAGGAAATAATCAGTTAAGTGCTTCATGTGCATGCTGATACAGAATGACAGTTCAGTAATAAAGTTAACTTATCGTTGTGATAAACTTATTGTTGTGATATTAGCAGAGCTCTCAACATTATTTTCTGCCAAAGAGTGTGATTTTTTACTGCATAGCATTGATTCCCTGGAAAGTAGTGAAAAAAATTGAAGTAGCTAAGATGTGTGTTCCTTTATGCTGAGCATTTGTGGTGAGAGTCCACATTAGCAGTCCACAATCAGAGTGTGAGGATGTGCAATAGTCAATGCACTGACTAGTTGAAATTAAGAGATCCTCGCAGCTAAGAACCGGTATCGCAGAGATCATGGGTTTAAATCCTGTACAGGCCTGAATTTTTTTCAGGTCCTATTTACAACTACTCGTTTCAGTAGTGCAAATATATGAATTTTCATATATCTAAAATCTGCACTGACTAGTGTTAGTAATGGTGGCTCTGCAGGAGACTTTCCACTGTTAGAAAGTGTTCAAAGCAGGTGCAAAGGGAATAAGGAGTAAATTTGTATCAAGAAGATAATTGATTTAATATGCACTTAAATAAAGCAGCAGTTTGCTATCTCAAAATCAACATTTAAAATTAGAAACCGTAAATGAGTTTTTTGGCATAAGTCTCACACTCAATACACAAGACTTGAGAGCTCTGTGTTGGGTATCATTTTGAATACTGTATCAGCATCCACTGTCAGAGGCAAACCATTACTCTTTTTTCTTTTCTCTATAGTATACAATTACATACAAGTTATTGCTTTATTCAAATTTACTTCCATACTAGATGTAGCAGAGATTGTGTTCATCACTTTCTTCTTCTTTGAGATGATGCTGAAGCTTTACGGTCTTGGTCCTCAGCTGTACTTCAAATCTCAGTTCAACACATTTGATTGTGTGGTAAGAAAAGGGTTTCTTTGTTAAATGTCAGCTTATCAAGAAGTCGGGATATTTGCATGTACAAACAGTGAGCTGAATGTTAATGATACCTTATTTTCTCAAATAAGAGCCCACACTTTAATTTGACAAGCATGCACAAACAGTGAGCTGAATGTTAATGATACCTTACTTTCTCAAATAAGTGCCCACACTTTAATAAGTACCATCCCCCGAATATGTGCTGACTGCTGTGGCCATTGTATCAAACAATTGCACCTCTTGAATAAGTGCCCCCCTCCTCCCTCACTTTCTTGAATAACAAGGTTGTAAGAAAAATCTGTTTCTACTGCCATTTTATTTATAACTTTTCAAGCTTCAACTACAGCAGAATCAGTTGAGAAGAATAAGAAGCCCCCCCTCAATTAAGTGCCCTCCTTCCAGCAAACACCCTTCCTTTTAGCTGAAATTTTAAATAATAGCCTTAAACAGCCATACTTTCATTTATTTCAGGTTGTGTGCTGTGGTATTATTGAACTAATTATTTCAAAAGCAGAAGGAACAAGCTTGGGTATATCTGTACTTCGACTCTTGAGGCTTTTAAGACTTTTTAAATTTACCAGGTAAAAATTTAGGCTTGTCCTTTTGTTTTTCAAGTGATGCCGTATTTCATGTCTAAGACAGATAGCAAAGTGTTGGGATACTTTCTCTCTCACAACCAAATTGGTTTCACAAGTTTAAAGTTTGATTTTTAATGCTAGATTATCCTTCATGTTGTTTCTTTTGGCAAACAAGCTAGAACACTGATTGTTTTTACTGCACCAGGTATTGGTCCTCTTTGCGCAACTTGGTGACATCCCTGTTAAGCAGTGTCCGATCCATCCTCAGTTTGCTGTTCCTTCTCTTCCTGTTCATTGTAATTTTTGCTTTACTGGGAATGCAGATCTTTGGTGCAGGGTAAGTTTATGATAGATAATATTCCAATATTTTGATTTTCTTTTATTTGTTTTAATCTTTCCAGTTTCCTTGTTGCACTTCTCCGAATGGTCTTGAGGTTCATTAGCATTTGCACCATCAGTGATCTTAAGTAAAAGCATAAACTTAAGAATAACTGGCAACTCATATTAGCTCAAAGAACAAGCATGATTTCATACATTTTCAGTCGAGGGGTGGCAATTATGTGTGAGGCAAGGGACTCCTCTCCTCTGGCTTGTTGCGTACCTTGCACTTGCCTCTTCTTGCATGAATACGCCCAACAAAATTGTGTTCTGCAGGCTAAATTTCAAACGACTTAAGAGTTGAAATGTATAATGGTTCAATTGTGGGTTTAAAAAGGCTTTTTAAAAAAACAAACAAACAAACAAACAGCATAAAAATCGTGACAGTTATCAACTAGGGTTTTAACGTGAATTTTGACCTACAGTCTGTAGTCAAAAATGATGATCAATTTTCATTCTTGTCATCATCTAACAGCTTCAGGGATCTTCCTGGAAGAGATGCTAATCCTAGAACGAATTTTGACAATTTCTGGAATGCTGCATTAGCTGTTTTTCAGGTAAGATGTTAAATCAAGTACAGTTTTTTTTCCTAAATCATAATCTGGCAATTCTAGACACAAGTCCCCTTTTGAGGTTTAACATATTTTAAGTTCAGATTTAAAGACAATGAAATAACTCTCAAATGTAAAACATTAAAGTTATTGTAACTGATTGAAAAGGTTAATTTTCATCTCTGCCAGTGGAAAGTGACCTTCACTATGTGGAAATTTCATTTGATTGTAACAAATTACAGCTCTGATCAGGAAGAGTAATTGATAGAGTTTGTAAAAGGCCTTTTGACTTCGACCCATTGTGTCGTTCTTTTAAACTCAACGTTAAAAGTATCATCCATTCGATATTTTCTTTCTTCCCAATGCCTGTCTGCTTGATATCGTATTGCATCTAATTTCTCTCTACATGTATTATATCACTCTTGAATCAAACACTAACGTCATGAATACGGAGGAAATAATCACCAACTGAAGCAGCTCTTGATTGTTTAACAAATTCTCTCAGTCAGCACCCTAGGAAATGTATAGGGAACAGTGTGAGGAATAATCGTACTGGAGTTAGTCTGTAAAGGGTCAAAACGGGGTCTACTTTATTTAAGTTTTACTGAATATCGTTTTCTGTTCATATTTAGATCTTAACTGGGGAAGACTGGAATGCCGTAATGTATGATGGCGTCTTGTCACAAGGATACCCTGAAAAACCTCTTGCTCTGGCTTCGGCGTTGTATTTTGTTTTACTCGTTGTACTTGGAAATTGTATCCAATGATACCATAATATTTAAATTAATTTTCATATTATGAGCAATGATACGTGTAACATGACGGCAGAGCGAGTTTTGACTGAGTGTCAAAAGTAACCCGGAATTTTTTTTTTTTTTTCACCAAACGAAGCTCCGTTATTGGTCAGAAATTACACCCACTATCTTAACCGATCAAATGCAAAACTAAAACCGATTGCGTTTTCCTGCGCTTCAGAAAGTTAGTTTGTTTTTCGACTTTGAGTTCTGGTAAGCTCTGTGTGGTCTTTCATTGCTGATCTGGGTGCTCTGATTACTACGTTTCACGACACTCAGCCGTAAAGTGCTCTTATACCATGTTTCGATGGAGATTCCAATCAGTTCTGACCATCTTGTTATCAAGACCAACATTTCATGACCCCGAGTTGGACTGGTCCTCCGTCTAAGCCAAATGGATTGACGGAAAGATCAGTAGATCGTTACAACATTTGTACTACGGAGTAACAAAGCGCCAGGAAACAGTCGATGTGTGTCTTCCTACCAAGTTTTTCTTTTGAATTGGAGCCAGTAATATGGCGGTAAAACTTGGCAAAATGCAAGAGGAAGTAACGTGAGATGAACTACGAGTGCCATTGAATCTAGGAATGGGGGAGGGGGGAAGGGAAGATTGTTCTCTTAATATGCAGTCAATTCAAGATACGACATTGGTTGGCAACAGGGGTGATTTTGTTATATATAACGCCATTTAAAATAACTGTTTAGTGAGAATTTTATATGCACCTTAACAAAATGACCAGATACTCTTCTTAATGTATTCTTGGCCATCGCTGTGGACAACTTGGCAAATGCTCAGCAACTGAGTCAGGACGAGGAAGCAGAAGAAACTGCAAGAGAAGAAAGGAAAAAAGAAATAGTTGATCAGTACCGAGATTATGGCTCTCCCGGGCCGAGCCCAGGGTGAGACGCTTAATAAATTTTATGATTTAAATGTGGAGTCTTGTTACTGTTTTTCCATCTTTAAGCGCTAAGCCTAACTTTTTTTTAAACTCGTCTTTCTAACCCTAAGATCTGATTATTAATTCTCCCCTCTAATTGGTACACATTTCCTTGTAAATTAGTTGCGATAATTTGGTGCTAGATCAGGATAACAACTTCTACCTAATAAGTTTAAGTATTCTCGTTACCTGTTTGCTGGATAATGTGCAGATACTCCAGGGAGAAGTCGCATGTTAATCACTTCTGGGAATTAAAGGGTTGACTCGCAGTTCCTCAACAGAGGAAGGAATTTTGATGGAGAACAGAAAATATGACACAGAAGTTTCACGATTGATGTGTAAGTTTACAGGCTATAACAGATATGTTTGGTTGATGTAGTTCTAATATGTTTCTTCTTGTTCCCTCAGACGCAATGGAGATGCGAGAAGGGTGAGACTTCTTTGAAAGTTCTATTTTTGTTTTATTCAATATCTTGGAATTATTATTGTTACCTTCTTTTTATTTGCTCCATCTTTAATTCAGAAGCAACTAATGCAATCACGTGTATTCAATACTGATGCTCTATGTGTAGGGTTTTGATGAAGCTGGACCTACTGAAGATGAATTCGAGTCAGAAGCTGATGATGGTATGTTTAGCAACCGTTCCCCTTTTATTGTGATGATTTTGCCAAAAGTTCCCTCTTCTGTTCGGTTGTGTCGCCATTCAGAGTTCAGTGGTAATGCACCCTAAGGAGAGGGGTTAGGGTGGGGCAAACAATGATAGAGAGGTATTTAGGGTCACCTGACGGCTATCAATCAATCATGTCGCAGGGGTGGTCTTAAAAGTGGCCACTAAAGGTAAATGCTATGATTGATTCTTTTTTACGCGTTGGTGATTGGTCAATTCTAGTCATGTGTAAGTGATTATGCTCTCTCATTAACCAGTGAGTTAAGTGAGTTGCGTCTGATACTACTGTTCAGGTTTGGAGATCTTCATCACAGAATGTACATCTTGGAAAAGAGTAAATCTTCTCCATCCTGGCCTTCCACTTCATTTATTTCACTTAGGGACAAGTCATTGTTTATCGCCGGAGGGGGAAGGGGGGGGTGGGGAGGGGATGTTGTATTCTTATAAAGCCCCTTTCCCTTGTACTATATTAACTCCCTCCATTCACCCTGAAAAATCCCCCCCTACCCTCTCCACTCTTTGTCTATCCTGTAAGCAGTTATTTACTGTGAACGTTTCCTTCAAATGGACAACAATTTCCTGTTTACTTTCAGGCCGACCATCATTTCTGAGCAATCTTAGAAACCCTGGCAGAATGGTTCCCCAACAAAAGCCAGGAGATACTGTACCGATCATAAACACTTGGTCCTTATTTCTCTTCCCACCTGGAAATCCGTGAGTGAAAGCACCATAAGTAATGTTGATAGGACTGAGAGGAGTCCAATTCGGTCTGTAATCACATGAGTGATCTACAAAATAGGACGACCGCAAAGTGGGAGTCCGATTTTTAAACTACGGGTATGATTACAGATAAAATTGGACGATACGAAGTCCTATTACCAATTAATTGAAACTATGACGAAATTTGAGAAACACACCGGCCATCGGTTTTCATAAACGAAACAATAGTCAACTCAGCGAAACCAGCGTCAAAAGTGCATAGTCTCCAGTTATACAAGCAGAACGCATACGCTTCCTATGAGTGCTCAAATCGGGCCGGTGATAACCAATTACGTTCAAATATTTTGTCATAGTTTTGATTAGATTCGAAATATTTTGTAGTAGTCTTCATTTTGTGAGAAAGCCATTACAATGAAGTACGAGTGAGATACTGTTTAAGTTTAGTGACAGGTTGCCCAAGTTCATGGGCATTGAAAAAGGCATTGAAGCTGCACGATCTGCTGTCTTAAGTGTGCTACAAGGTTACCCATGCCTATGTCTGCCCATTTTTAAGTTTTGTATTTACTCTGTTTGAAATATTTCACGAACTTCTGTATGACGTTTACTGAGTTTTAAGTGCGCAAGAATGAGTGGTGTAGGGATTTTGCAACGACACCTCTTTATATTATTGGGGAGTTTTTGGTCGTGGGTCGTAGAAAAAAAGCAAAGTAATCAAAACTCACAATCAGAATAAAGAAAATTATCCTTAGGAACCAATCAGAACAAATGAAATTGTCACAAGGAACCAATCAGAACAAATGAAATTGTCACAAGGAACCAATCAGAACAAATGAAATTGTCACAAGGAACCAATCAGAACAAGTGAAATTGTCACAAGGAACCAATCAGAACAAATGAAATTGTTACAAGCAACCAATCAGAACAAATGAAATTGTCACAAGGAACTAATCAGAACAAATGAAATTGTCACAAGGAACCAATCAGGTCGTAAGTGCTAATGTCCTGTAGCGCGTGAAAACGCGGTAAGCTTTTGACACCCCATTGAAAATTGCTTCCTTACCTCTGACAATGCAGTAAATACATGTCATGATATATTGTTTGTCTTTTCTGAAGGGTACGGAAAGCATGTCACTGGCTGGTGAATTTAAGACATTTTGACAACTTCATCCTGGTCATCATCCTCATCAGTAGCGTCTTATTGGCTCTTGAAGATCCAGTTTACGAGAATTCCAAACGAAACCAGGTAAGAAGCCGCGCAGTTTTAGTTGCCGTTGTGAAGAGATTAAGATAACGGTGTAAGTATGGACCACTGTGTGGCTCCAAGGTTATTGCACTGGACTCCGGGTTGAGGGGTCTGGGTTCGAGACCTGGCCAGGTCACTGTGTTGTGTTCTCGGCCACAAAAGACTTGATTCCCACGGTGCCTCTCTACACCCAAGAGTATAAATGGGTGCCGGCGAGTTGTCAGGAAAGCCTGACTAACATGACTAGTCGCCTCATGTCAAGGAAACCGGGATAAGCTCCGGCTGGGTGATCACTTGGAACGAGTACAGACTTCTACTTTATGAACAACTGTTTGGAGAGGTTCACCTGAAGTTTTCTTCAATCACCTCTTATTCGACCCATTGTCACTTTTCCCTAGCCTCATGACATTGTTTGAACTAAATGATTACTGGTAAGTGACTAGGTGTAATAACAATGATGACTTTTGAATTTTTAGGTGCTGACGTATTTTGACTATGTATTTACCACAATATTTGCAATGGAGGTGATTGTCAAGGTAATCTATCTCATTTCCCTGTATTTGTATGTCCCAGTCAACGCAAACACCATGCAAAAAGATCGTAGAAACGTAAAGCAGCTTAATGAAATATAGCAGTTTCAGAAACGCTGGTTTAGTATCAATTAGAGAATCCGTGATTATTTTTAAGCGTGATGGTTTAAATTAGAGAATCCGTGATTATTTTTAAGCGTGATGGTTTAAATCTTTGATCTACATTGTTATCATTTATTTTAGTTGATATCTTTTACAGTCTAACAATTTTTATATATTTCAGCGTCGAATTTTATCGTTGATTGTGTGTATTTTGTGTTTTTCAACCGAACGAGATCCTTTTTCAAAACCATATTTGATTGAAAAAGTTATCTCAACAGAGAATATCATAAATTATTAAATCCTGATTCAAAAAACTCCCTTACTAAAGCTATGGACTGTGTTTTCCTCGCAGCTGATTGACTACGGAGCAATTCTTCATCCTGGCTCGTACTTCAGAGATGCCTGGAATTGTATCGATGCCCTGGTAGTATCCTGTGCCATAGCATCGCTTGTGATGAGGTCAGAAGCATTGTTTTATTGCTTTGTTTAAGCCTTTACACTCTTACATCAATATGGATATTCTCCTTGTTATCCCCCGTATATTTCCTAAGGTGCTGGCAAGGAGAATTTGTTTGACAATCAAGAGCTTTTTTAGTTGGTGATCATTTCCTTTATTCTCGGAAACTTAATGTGTAATTCAAGGGTTTTATTGTGAGGAGAACTTGATGCTTATCACCCACACAAAGGGTTACGAGAAGGGGTAGACACTTTCCTCTCAATGTGCCCTCCTCCACCAAGATGTATCACTGGATGCCAGCGCATCGTCAGGAGTACTTGACGAAATGCTGAGTTTGGGGGGTGGGGGTATTAAGGCCGAGCAGAAATAATCCTAGTCGCTTTAGTCCAAGAAAACCGAGACTAGCTCTGTCAATGTTTGTCACTTGTATCGTGTATTGACCTTAACCTTTAACCGTAAAAGACAATATGCTTCATAGCAGCAATATTTTCTTACCGATGAAAGGCCAGAAGTTGAAAGGTTTTGGCTCTTAGACAGTTTTTCTTTCATACGCTAATAGAATAACTGTTTATTTTGTTTGTTTGTTTCGTGTAGCAATCAGGATCAATCCACTATAAACCCACAGTCTAAGAAGACAGTGAAGGTTTTGCGAGTTCTCAGGGTTCTTCGGCCTCTCAAAGCGATAAACAAAGCCAAGAAATTGAAGGTGCACTTGATTATGATTCTAGACTCTACTTTTGAGAATTTTACTCGGTTCGTTCATGGAAACAAGACTTGTTAAAAAACGAGACTTAAATTGTACTTATGGAGGCAAAAACTCCATTATTACTCCGATGAATGAAAATTACGCTCATCCTATTGGCGGTATTAGAGAAAGACACAAAAGCTTATTGGATCAATGTCAGTATCTAAGCAACTGCTCACCTACCCCTCCCATAACCTAACAATAACAATATTGACTGTTTTTGGTTTGGGGGAGGAGTTGATGCGCAGTTGCTTAGATACTGACATTAATACAGCCTATTCCTTGCAATTTGAAACTACGTCAAAGCAAACAGTGCACATTAAAAGGTTTCCAGGTCATATATACATTTAAACATAAAACGGTAAAAACGAACTATAAAATCCGACGTTTCGGAGTAGTCATGACTCCATTATCAAGGTAAAATATATAAGATCATGCAAATTACAGCATTTAAACGATTTTGGCGCGAAGAATTAACATCAGAGGGTTAACTTCAAAGGGTGCGAAGATTATGAAAATACTCTCGTCCGAATACTTTCGCCCGTCAATATTTATGTAATGAAATGCTTTGCAAAGTAATTTCAAAGCCTAGGGTAAACACTATGTTCAGTCCGAGCCTTAAAGTTAGATGTTGTTTTTAAAAAGAGTAAATGTTACAAAAGTGTACAACGCTAACCTACTGGGGATACAATCTGACAATATTTTTGCGCCATTTCAGGCCGTCTTCCAGTGTATGGTGTACTCGCTGAAAAACGTTCTCAACATTTTAATCATCACTTTATTGTTTCTGTTCATCTTCTCTGTTATTGGAGTTCAGCTTTTTCAGGTAACTTACGTTACTAGTAGATGATATCTTTATTACAGGCGTGATTTCTCGAGCATTAATTTAGCCTGGTGCAGGCTCTCGGTCAGCGGAGAAGGACAAAAGAGCGGGTGAGCCAAATAGTGCGCTAGTCAAGGAGACGCCTTCCTAATTTTTTTCTTTACCTGAGCTCTTGCCCCTTTTTGAAATCCCGCCTTTTCGTTCCTTTCTCCAGACTAAGGAGCTTGGAAAACGGCAGGCCAGCATTAGGCATAACAATCCGTCAAATAATTGAATGAAAACAAAAACTAAAACAGCCTGGCATGCCCAAAAATGCCTGTTCAACCCTCGTATTGGAATCCCCCCCTCCCCCGCCCCCACCACATTGAGCCCGTTCTTGTCTTATGGCTGTCATAAACCCACAAGGAAATGAGAAACAACAACGAAAATTCAAGAAGTAAACAGCCCGTAATGTACTTTGTGTTTTTTCAGGGAAAATTTTTCACGTGTGATGATCCCTCGAAGATGACTGAAGAGGAGTGCCAGTAAGTTCTCCTTATCTCTCCACCATTTTACACAGTTTCTCGTGGTAGTTAGACCAGTTAGCCTCTTAACGCCTCTTTATCAAGGATTGGAATCGATGACATATGAGCTTGATCTTGATGTCTTAAACATTTTTTGAGTCCGTCATATTCATCTTCCAATTGAATGAGTTTGAGGGCCTGCTCAAAGAAGTCTGTGGAGCAGTTCATACCCAACAGAATAAACTTACCTATAGGTGTATGGTAATTGTCTTTTATTCTTTTCATAGAGGAAAATACTTAAGTTACCCCGATTTGACAGACATGTCCAACGTTGAGGTAAGTAGCTCTGGGTGTGTGACAAAACAAAAATTCACACATCCGGGCTTCGCGCTCCGATGTACTACCACTGTACTACTACAGTTAGGCCATAACTAGTTGGATCAATATCAATATCTGGGCAACTGCCCACCTACCTCCCCTAACCCAACATTAACCCTAACTTGTTATCAATTGACTGTTGTTGGGTTAGGGGAGGGGTAGGTGGGCAGTTGCCCAGATACTGATATTGATAGTTTCATACGTGACACGCTCTCGCATGCTGCAAAGGTCAGAAATGTTAGAAGCGTCATATGGGAGATTAGATTATCAAAGATGGTAGATTTGGTGCTTAGTAATGAAGTAGAGAAAGATATTTTAAGACGCGTTCATAAAACCATAGTGTCTACGTGATTGATTTCATCTAACACAAACCCTTTTTATGAATTTTTGTCATCCTACTAGGTCAAAGATCGAACATGGGAGTTACAAGATTACAATTTTGACAATGTAATCAATGCAATGTTAGCGCTGTTTACGTCATCTACAGGAGAGGGCTGGCCAGCGTAAGTTTCCCCCCCCCCCCCCCCAACAAGTGAATAGCTTGTTACTTTTCGTCTCAGTATCATCACATGAGCCAGCAATATGCTGATTAGATTAGACAAAGAACCCAACAGGAGGTTGTTATCTTGATGTGACAGGATTTCTCATAACTGATTTCCAAGATAACTAGGAACAGTTTGAAGAAAGAATCTAGGGATTTAGGGGTATATCAGTGGATTTCAGGTCAGTTTAAGTGAGCTTTTGCACAGTAAAGAAATTGTCTGCCCATTTTTCAGGCTCGAAACCCAAAAACCCATTCCTTGTCGATTGGCGCGTACCTTTTCAAGCTAGATAAGAGACCCCACCCCTCCCCCCGAGAATATTTTGACTCATTAACCGCTGAACGGAATTTTACGTTGCCCCCTTGCAGACTCATGCAGGCCTCTATCGATACAACAGAAGTCGATCGTGGACCGATCGTGGATAACAATGTTCAGATTTTGCTCTTCTATATTTTCTTTGTGGTGGTTTTTTCGTTTTTCTTCTTAAACATTTTCGTGGCTCTTATCATCCTCACTTTTCAAGAACAAGGCGAAAAGGATCAGGGAGAATGTGAACTGGACCGGAATCAGGTGAGTTGTTGATCCCAGCTAAAATAAAGTTTGTACTGATATGTAAAATCGATTAAACCTTTAACCCATAAGAGTGACTAGCGTTTAAGTTCTTCTTACAATATCACCCCTGAATGAAAGAGTAAGGTCATGAGAATATAGGAAATGGTCAGCAACAAGAAAAGCCCTGGATTATGAAACAAATTCTCCTCATCAGCACCTTTGGGAATGTATAAGGAACAGTATGGAGAATATGCATATTGATGTTAGAGTGGAAAGGGTTCATACGCACGGGTGTGAAGCCAGACTCGGATCAAGGGGGAAAAGAAAAAAAAAAGAAAGAAGTCAATAATTACTTGTTAGAAAGTTTTTTAAATTTATTCTTAAGGACGCTAGTATTGTAGTGTTTTCAATTTTGCAACTAAGGGTGTTGTGAAACTTAAGGCCTTGAAAGGAGACGGAGAACTGCCTTCTGTGTGTGACAAGCTTGTCTGCATAACAGCAATCAGAAGGTTATGAAAAAGAGATACCGCTTTGAATTTTTAGTTTTAAACGTAAGAGCTCTAAGCCAATTAGTGGATGAATTCAACGAACATGAATTACAATGCGGAAGTGAAAATCCATCTGACAAGTTTACTGGAAAGGGTTTCTTACAAAACGTCTTATCTTTCCTTCATTAGAGAGACTGTCTTCATTTCGCTATTGTGGCCAAACCTTCCGAGAGATTCATGCCGGAAGATCCTAACACGTGGCAGTACCGCATATGGACGATCGTGGATTCTAGACCGTTTGAGTATTTTATCATGTTACTCATTGCTCTCAATACGCTCATCCTAACTATGAAGGTGAGTATAGAACGCAGGCTTTTGTCAACACTCAAAACCCGGCTGACGCACCGGAGTTCCAACGCAGGATGGAGGGGGATTCCTTTTACAATCTAAGCGCTGTCCAGAAGTAATCATGGTAACACTCTAATAGGCCGTATATATTCCATGAACCACTCGCCAAGACCTTCTCATAAGTTCCTTGCTTCTCCTATAAGTTAGCTCTTCCCCTGCCTCTAAAAGAGTACTAAAAATTGCTTAGATATAGCTTATCCTTTGGGGTCAATTGACGTTACAATACTTGTACGAGCGTCTCAATGGGGTTAAACGTTTAGCCGTGAAACGGCCAACACATTTATCCGTCACGCGTAAAAATTGACAAATTTTAACCGTTAGTAATGAAAAAAGTTAACCGTTAAAATTTTTCTTTAAATTGCAAAGGAAAGATGTTCTAACCGTACGTGTAAACATTGACAAACTTTCTTTAAATTACAAAGGAAGGATGTTTTAATCGTAGCCGTAAAATGGCCAATATTTTAACCGTTAGCCGTAAGAACCATCACCCCATTGGGACCCGATTGTACTTGACGCCTTGCAATAGTCTTCTAGTTAGATATTGTAAGTTTTTGTTTCATTAACCAAAAAAAGTGCATTTGGCTCACTAGTGATTGTAACAGGGCGATAGTCAGAAGGAAAGAAATGATTATCATTTGATAGCATTTGAGAGCCTTGGGAGTGAATGAATAAGTCCTTTGAGTCTTCATCAACTGACCACGCTTGGTTTGATGATTAGTTTTGGATCACAATTTAGAATGCTTGGCGTGATTGATTTTAGTGTTGCATTTGATTGTTGGAAAGAGTGGTGCGAGTTTTTTGGACCAATCACAGAGCGAATTAAAGTAAAACCATCAATCTCAGATTACTTTCGACGCACAATTGAAATCTGCTCTCTAGTGATCGGCGACGGAAGAAATTTGTCTGTGCATTTAATTTAATTCAATACACTTTATGCATACCAACTGTGCTTTCCTTCTACTTACCAGTTTCATAATGAGCCTCAAGAGTATCGATACGTTCTAAACACGTTCAACACAGTCTTTACCTTCATGTTTACTGGAGAGGCTATCTTGAAATTGTTTGCCTTCCGAACGGTAAGTGGTGTCTTAGTTTTTCCTAGGACTTTATATTTAAGTTGATGTTTCACATTGACCAGGTCGTAATACTGTATGTCGATGGCATATAAATCGGATATCCACAGTCTTCCTTGACTTTCAGGAAGAAGTGCTTTAATCGAGATTAATTTTTTAAACGGCGTTTTCCGAAAACACTATCATTTCACCGACGGCACATTTCTATCTGAATAAGTTTGAAAAGGAAGTGCTGCCTTGGTATCATATGGATAACAAAGCGTGCGCTAATACTGATTGAGAGGTGACTGTTACCGAAACATGCTGGACGTCAGCTTTATGAAATCCTTGGATTCCATGATAATGACCGAAACTTGGTTTTCTGCAAATGTAAAAGAAAGGCCAAACCGGGCAGAAATAGTTATTGTATTATTTCTGTGTTCTCATAGTTCATTAAAAAGAGTAGTTTTTCGACGGTGGTTAAAAGTATTATTCAGTGCTTATTTATGATGTTTTTTTCTTTTTCATTTTACAAGAATTACTTCCGAGACAACTGGAACGTTTTTGACTTCATCATCGTCTTGGGCAGTTTGTTGGACTTTGCTCTGTCGCGAATCCAGGTAACACTAGCATAATTATATTAATCAACAACAAGACATTTTCTGATTTTGGTGATAGTGGAATACTAAAGTTCCGCGCACGCATTTATAGCTGTAACGAGAAATACTGAAAAGTTCAAGGAGAAGAGAGTTATCGGAGGATGGCCTGGGGAAGAAATTACCTAAGAATGGAAGAACAAAACATTGCATGCCTCTATTTTTTAAGTGTTGTTCAAACGATTTTTCTTACGTGAAAGAAAACAGTGAATACGGGACTATTTTGCGAGAAAAACGAACAGAAAAGAGCACGGAATTGTACTTGGATCTAGGTGAAAAGGCCCTTTCGAGTTTGAGGCGTTTTCGAAGTATCGATGGTAAAATTATAGTTTATCTATGGAGCGATTCGAAAGGAAATCACTTTCGTTTATTAATGCGCACGAACAGATGTTTTCAGTTACTGGTAGGTAATGGTACTCTGCTCAGGAGATCTGAGCGTAGTTACCAACGATTGAAGTTGAGGTCTTCTTTGTACATACTTTGCTGATTTTCATTTCCAATTCACTCCGTCATTCTACGTGCTAACTCTTTGGTCCCTGGGATTATAAGTTAATCCTAACCCAGCTCTCTGGTTACATTTTATCTCAATCACATCACTCTGTTTCCTTGCAGTCTGATGAGAACCAGATGCCTTTCGATCCCAGTCTCTTCCGTCTCTTCAGGGCGGCTAGGTTGATCAAGCTGTTAAGACAAGGTTACACAATCAGAATATTGTTGTGGACCTTTCTTCAATCATTCAAGGTGAGCCAAAGCATCTAATAGCGGGGGAATCAAACAAATTTGCTTTTAAATTTGATTATAATTCGCTAAAAGAAACGGTTTTTTTCTAGAAGAAACGTATCGTTTAGAGCACATTTCTTACAAATATTCGTCTGCACACTGTACCAAAATAACTTCGGTTTGCTCTTGGTTTCATCCGATCTGCATTGCTTGCAGTCAAATCTATGTCAGTTTACATGCAACTAGTTTCAGTCTCCCAACAGACACTTGAATTAGGCGAATACCAAAAGGATATGAACATGACTTCTTGAAGTAATGGCAAGTACTCCGCCATAATAGAACCTAACATCATCATGGTCACTAGCGAAATATTGCTTTCAAAGAGTGCCAAGTAGAGGCATAACATGGATTTTAGTAATTTCGATTTTTTTTCAACTGTGAATGTTCTTTGTTATAGGCCTTACCTTACGTTGGCATGCTTATTGGTCTTCTGTTCTTCATCTATGCGGTCATCGGCATGCAGGTATGTTGAAACGGGGTAAGTTTCTAAAGAAACTGTGGTACTGCGTCGGTGAGAGAGTATAACAGGGTAAATTGTTGGTTGGCCACCGTAAAGATTTTCAAAGCTGACGTTTCTGACATAGGGCTAACGCTTGAAGGGCTTCTCTGACGATGGATTGACGCTCAAAACGTCAGCTTTGAAACTCTTTACGGTGGCCAAGTTACTTCATCAACTCAGCTGATAATACCAAATTACCTTGTTATGTAGGTATGTTAGTTTAGGTGATGAACTCTTGTGGAAAAACATATTGCCTAGCGGATTAGCGGTTTTTTCTTTGTGTGTTTCCTGGCATAAATGTTTGCTGTTCAAGAAGAAGAAGTGGGTGGAGAATGTTTTCCATTCACATTGTTGCTGGGGGCCTGGTACCGTGGTGCGTGGTGATAGTTTTAAATGGATGTGATTTGACGCTGTGGTCTTTTGCAGATGTTTGGCCAAATCAGCATTGAGAATGACGATCGTGGTGGTATGTGGGGAGAGATTAACTCCAATAATAACTTCCAGTCATTCCCAGCAGCCCTTCAAGTACTCTTCAGGTAGAAACAATACATTTACGCTTGAGTCTTTTTTTTTCCTGAAAGCGTTGTGTGAGATTTTAAGGTTATACCGCTGATATACAACTCGTACTGTTTAGTGCGGGCTCATCTGATAAGAAATTTACTTCTGAAACTGAAATGATGGGCGACCGTATGCTTATGTACGTGCAGTAACATCATGGTTGCGTTTACATAAACAGCCTCGTTCACATTTTGAACGATCGTCTCTTGTCCTGCACTGGGAAATGATATATATTTAATTTGCGGAAAGAAGTCACTGCTCGATTTACTTAAAGAAATGAAGTTAGGGAATTATTCTCATTAGAGTGTTTTCGGTGATTGGCTTAAAACCGCATCTAAAATAACTATAACAGCCAATCATAGCAAGGAAAATATCACGGGCAAAACGCGGGAAAACGCGATTGACCAAGTTGCGATTGGTTTTAGTGTGAATCTGGTTGATTGAGAAAACGGCGCGAGTTTTGAGGACCAATCACATAACGAATTAAGGCAAAACCAAAGCAATTCTGGACAATTTTCGACATTTAATTTAAAATTGCTCAAACGAGGTAATAACGACTCACGTTTTTTAGAGAAAAAACGTCGCGAATTTGTTGACGTGCACACGATATGCAACACTACGACCTCATACCTTACTGAATGGCCCAAATCTAAATTCAATATTTTCTCTCCCACCACATTTTGCGCTTTTGTGCTCAGCTCCAAGATCTTACAATTCTTGCGTCACTTACGTGTTAATGTTGATTGGCTGGCTGAAAAGATTGTCACGCTTCTTGCGTTACTGTTTATACAGGTCCGCAACAGGTGAAAACTGGCACGTCATCATGAAGGCTTGTACAAGTGATGCAGACTGTCAACTGACCGACAAGAAATGTGGCAGCCCGTTCGCGTATTTGTACTTCATCTCCTTTATTTTCTTTTGTTCTTTTCTGGTTAGTAGTGTTTTCTGGCTGTATACTTTTTAACTTTTACCGATTTTATTTCGTGAAAGTGACCACCTTTTGCCCAACTGACTGACGATAATTAATCGGTCACGCAGGTGGTTGATAATGTGATTGGTTCATAAGGTGAAAGCGTTTGATAAAGTTATTTATGGTTGATTATTTCATTTATAAGCAAGACCTTCCTCTTTTCTAACTACAGCTTTTGAATCTCTTCGTGGCTGTCATCATGGACAATTTCGAGTACTTGACACGTGATGAATCTATTCTTGGTCCACACCACCTGGACGAGTTTGTCCGCGTGTGGTCTGAGTTCGACCCAGGAGCCACGTAAGTTTCTCCACTGAGTCTTGTGTGTTCTTTAAAATTGTAAAGAAGAGGGCGTTTTGATTGAGTTTCGTGGACAAAACTAGAGTAATCACCACGGCCGATCAGAACCTAAGAAAAATACCTTAAAGAGCCAATGAGAATTCAAAAGTAAAACAACCAAACTGTAATTGGTTTAAGTTTTGCATCTGATTGGTTGAGAGAGTGGCGCGAGTTTTTTGGACCAATCACAGAGAGAAGTAAAGCAAATGAGAACTCAAAGTAAATGAATGTCCTTTACAGGCAGATCTTACGCAAGAACGAACAAACGAATGAACAAGGTAATAGACCAGCGAAGGTACAAACGAACAAACAAACAGATAAATGATGCAAAGAAACGACAACAGAACAAGGGAAATAATGCATTGATGAAGCAATATTTTATTTATTCCTTTTTTTGTGTGTTTGCTTTTCCCCAGAGGCCGCATCAAACACACAGAAGTATGTCAGTTGTTACGACAAATGTCTCCTCCAGTCGGAATCGGGAAGAAGTGTCCTAAGATAGTTGCTTACAAAGTAAGTCAAAAGCAAATTTGAACTTAAGATATTTATACGTCAAAGGTGAAAACTCTGAGCGTCAAGTCTTGTAGTATGCTCTCTTTCTGCGTCATTCGACACAGCGATCAAGCGTCTGCGCTTGTGCAAATGTTTTAAAGCTAAAATTAACATGAAACCTTAAGTTGAATAAGCTCTGTGCACAAAAAGTCTCGACTTTTCCTTTTCCCAATTTTTGTAGCTTTTTATAAATTTCTGTGAACGTGTCAATATTTCTGCCTATATTTAGTGTAGAAGAGCAGCTGAATTTTGCGCGGGAAATTGGCTCGAGGCGACTAGCTAAAAATTGATCTTCTTTTCGTATGCCCTTCGTTTGACCGCTGTGTTGCGCCACACTAGCATGGTGTTAGTATCTTAGATTTTTCAAATGTGGTTACACGTATCACTAACCTTTATCGGTTTCTTTTTCAGCGCCTGATCAAAATGAACATGCCGCTGCATTCTGACAACACGGTCACCTTTACTGCTACCCTGTTTTCCCTAGTGCGAACGTCCCTCAAAATTATGACAGAGAAAAGTAAGAAATGACATCGTTATGTTTGCAAGTTGAGAACAAATGATTTTTTCGTTTGACTTTCTTAAATTACCAAAGGCGGGTTTTGTAAGGGATACTTCGACCCAATGTTAGGAGGCCTATGGGACCACGCCGGTATTGAAAAGGTCTGTGTTTGTACCCTGGTTAAGGTTATCTCGTTCTTTACTCACGTGCGTAGACTGGATCGAGGACGAGGAGAACAGGAAAACTTCAGGCGAAATAATATGAAACAATATTCTGGTCTTGTCGTGCGGCACAACTGAAAAACGTTTGCATTAAAAGAAATAAAAGCCAAACAGAACAGGTCGAAACAAATGAAAATTGCGTTTGCTTTTATAAAATATTTTTCGCCCAAGCACTCGACTCGGTTTTTTTTTTTTAGCTTTCCTCCAAATATTTCGCTAGTGGGCTTTTATCAATTTTACTTCGCTAAACCTTTACACCCTAACATTAGTATGCATCTTCTCCATATTGTTCACTATACATTTCTCAAGGAGAGTTTATTTAACAATCAAGAGCTTCTTCAGTTGGTGATCATTTCTTATATTCTCGTGACCTTAATGAGTGATTCGAGGGTAATATTGTAAGGAGAAATTAGATGCTAGTCACTCTTAGGGGTCAAAGGGTTAATGGGAATACGGTCGTCTGCATTCCACTTGTCTCCTACAGCTATCTTCATCCGAGAAACTTAAAAATTGCTGACAATTGTTTCCTTTTCCAGATAATCTAAAGGAGAACGATAAGGAATTGCGAGCCATGTTGAAACGTGTTTGGCCCAAACTTACTAAGAAGACACTGGACAGAGTGGTGCCCAAACCTCCAAGTCTCATCAACAATGGTATGCATACTCCGTGCAGTGTCTAGGTCTTGTAGTGGTGATTATTTTTCACATTTATTTTTGCCATCGATTGTGGAGTTCCATGGGGATGATAATAGTTTACAGATTTCTTCGCGGTTCTTTTCCTCAGCGAATCAAGTGAACCAGCAGCCACAGATGACAGTGGGTAAGATCTACTGCGCCAAACTCATATACGAAAACTATAAGTTCATGAGACGGAAAGGACAAGCTCAATCAAGGGTGAGTGAGTGAGGCAGGGAGCTGAACAGCATTAGTAGATAGACAAACATTTTTTAACTACAGTAGTTTTTTTCAAAAGATACCAGTAGCTTTTATAGGTGGCCATTTTGTAAGGATGTTTTAGTGGCGGAATTGCCCTGCTCGTTTCTGCAGCCTTATCATTTCCATCGAGCACCCGAGAAAGGCTAAGGACCAGAAGAGGTGTTAATTTCAATGCTTTCTGGATATGTCACGTGACAAGTTTGCTTGGACCATGTGAACAGTTACTACATATTTTCGTCGAATCACGCTCTGGGGAAAGTTCTCGAAAACATTTTGCATTGGAACGGTTTGCTCAAAATATGTAACTTTTCTGTTCCAATTTATTACAAGACGAGTTTTTTTGTTACACTTTTCATTCCTAACTGAAAATTCTAGTCACAAGAGCAGGTTTTTTGTCCCTGTGAAATTGAGCTGAATACCTGTTGCTCCTAACTCTGGACAGTCTCTTGTGTAACCTCTGGCTTCTCTCTTTTGCACTTTCATCGCTCACGGATTCTTCGTCGTCAAACACTGTGCATTGTTCGCGTATACTTTGTTCTTACCTTGTTTGTTATTTTCTCACCAGCGAAGCTCAAGTTCTGTTTTAATGCTGTTTACACATTGCATACAATTCTCATACTAACTTAAAGAGTATTTAAACCATACTGAAATTCTACATAGCATCTCGCAATAACACTTTTAAAGAAGCGACAAATAAGCCTAAACTTGTTTAAGGAAATTGTGGATAATACTTATGCTCTCCTGGCGAGTTTTTTTCTTAACCGAGAACGATTAATATTGCTTAAATGACGTGTTCATAAACTTTAAAAGATATTTTAACCTAAAATCTTTTCAACCATAAACTTTATTTGTCAAAAATAACTTTAAAGGAACAAAGCTATTTCCAGGCTCTTTCCTCGACCCGTCCTTATGAAAGAGGGAGTCTGGCGACGAGACAGAAAGTCACTACTTTTATTTAAAGTTTTTAGAAAGAAGCATCAACGGAATTAGCAACAACTTATAAAGACGATTATCTTAAAACCTTTCACTGATTATGATAATATTAATAATAATAATAATAACAATGAAAACAATAACAATAGTAGTGATAATAGTAGTGATGACGATGAAAGTAATCTTATCAATGATAACAATTTTAGTTGAAGAATTGCTACTCATCTTCATCTCTCTTTCTCCCTCTACTCTTTCATGGAGCAGGATTCTGACCAGGTGGGTTTCACTTCATATTCTTAACTTTGTCTCTATCTCTCTTCTTTGTTTATTTCTCTTTATTTTTATTTGTCAAAACGTTCATCAAAAAACACCAAGTGGAAGAAATGTTTTGCATATGATCGACTGACTGACTGACTGATTGATTAATTGACGGCTCCATAGATTCCTTCGTTCATTCATTAGCTGCTCATGGATTCCTATAACAGTTTTAGTTTGTTTGTTTGTTTGTTTGTTTTTTGGAAGCAATCAGACAAGCTGTTTCTTTTGCCAGTTTTGTTTTTTCTTCCTCTATTTTTCCTTTTTCCTTATCTCTGTTTTTCCTCACCATCGACTGGTGTTGATTTCCCAGGGAACTGTTCTCAGTCGATTTGTCGGAGGACCAATGTTCCAGAAATTCCGACGAGATAACGACCCCGAGCTAGGAGAGGTACAGATACGTTGATATCTCACACATGCGCTTCATCGTTTGTCTCCTCCACTTACTGTTAATCAATGGCTGTAAGGGTTGATCCACGTGATTAAGAAGCTGTATATCACGTGCTTATGTTGTGTGTTACTTGCCCTTACATACATACAAACGATTGCGACGCATTTTCTTATCTTTTTTTTCTTCGCTCATTACATGTAAACTTAACATCAGCCGAATATTCTGTCATAATGCAAACTATGAACGAGGGATTTTTAAACTTAACTTTGTAACCATATTCCATAATTTTTATAACATAAAATTACTGTCCCCTGAAGACGTTTTTCGTAAAAAGTCTTGTTTGTATGAGCAGCATGTTTACGTCTTGAGTCCGGCACTACTTGTGCGACCAATATAGCTCTTGTCACGAAACGTGAATCAAGCTGTTTAGACGAAGATTATTCTTTTTGCTGTGAAAGCGTTTGCATGGGACGGTACTAACATGTATTTGCTAAACTTAACACTAAAAGAGTCAGTTCAACTGACGTAAAAAAAAATTATTACTCGTCGCAAATCCCTTCCATGTCTCCATTTTAAAATTTCCTATCACGTGTTCTTGTTTGCACCGCTATACTTGGCCCTGTCTTGTCTTCGTTTGGGCCACTGCTGTTCATATATCACTCATTAGTTCTTCTCCTTTTATTTTTGACCTTTTTTTTATCTCTTTACGTGCCTTCCACTCCCTCTAAATAGTACACCGAAAACACAGAGTGGTCTGCCAAATGTTCCATGTTTTAGTTATTCTTTATGTTAAATAACTTGCTGGAAGAATCAGCTCTTTCACTAGTGAAAGGTACGTGGAGATGCAAATATGATTGAATTTTTGAAGTGAAAACTTGATATGTTTAAAATTTGTGTGTAACAGGGAGTTCCGATGAACGACATAGCTATTAGCTTAGCTGATGGACCATATCACTCGGGTTCGGCACAAGCTTTGTACCATCCCAATCATCAGGTAACACAGCTTTGTAACCCAGCTTATGTTGCCTATTGGACGACTGTCTGAAGTTTCGTTCCTTATAAGAACTTTATAGCTTGTGTCCAACTAGGTCCATTATAAATGTTTTGTCTTCATGGCAATGTGCATTTAATTATGTGGTAAAGTGTACTTGAGTCTGTTCCAGACTCATCTTACCTCCCAATTTTAAGGGAAGTGCTTGCCTTATGGCGACCGCGCGCTGGACCTCGGAGGGAAGGGTCTGGGTTCGAGCGCTGGCCAGGTCATCGTGTTGAGTTGTTGGGTAAGATACTTTACTCTCTCACCATGCCTCTCTCAAGGAAACCTGACGAAATGCTGGGGAATTACCATCCTTGGATTAGCATCCATAAGCAGGAGAATTAGCAACACTGCTAGTGGCTTTATCCTAGCGTAACCGTAATCTGGCTCAAGTGCAGACTTCACCTTTTTTTTTTTCCTTATTAATTTTCAGCCTAATGATAGCCCTTCCCGCCGTTACCGTCAAAACACTCCAATTGCTCACCGATCTACGACTTCGTTGAACGAAGGACGCGGTCCGGGTGTAACGACGGCTTTAGTCGGCCCCCACCGTCGACAATTGCCTCAGACTCCCGGCTCTCGAAATGGCTCGCAGCTCTCCTTGACTGGCAAGGCACCAGCGTTGCCAGAAAACCGGGGCGACAGTGTACTGGAAAATGGCTATCATCCCAATATGAACCAGCACATTGCCATGGCGATACGAAGTGGGCAAAGTCCTTATGCAATTTACGGTTTAGAAGAAATAGGTGACGAAGACGACTGGTGCTAGCAGTTAAAATCACGTGTGAACCACGTGCTAATAATTTGAAGGACATAAACTACCTCCATTAATTTCTGTGGCTTGGAACATTCACATGCTGGTGTTTTGTGCTGGTCGCATGATTTTCACGTGATCATTTTGGTACTTCGAGCTTACTTTTGAAGTTTAAAACATTCAACGTGGCTAGAAATTTATTCAGAGTAAAAAACAGAAGGAGAAGACACCTCCTTTCCGTCAGCCTTACTTCAGAGGGAAGGAAAAATTATTGGTGCCTTTTTAATAACCAAGTTTTGTAAGCCTCACTGTGCCGAGATGTATCAGACTTCAGCCAAGAAGTGGAGGAAAATATACACTCTTTGTTGAAGCCAATTTAAAATATAACAGGGAGATATGGAACTCCAGACAGAATAATTAAGTGTAGGTACTCCACTACACAAAAACCACGCAAATTTGTTTGCTTTTGATAACAAATTTTGCAGCTTTTCTTGAATTTTTTGTTGTTGTTTACCTATTTATTCGATAATGGTGACAGTTCAGATGCATTAAGGCGTAATGAACAGGCCAAAGTATATCTTGATTTGCAGAAAAAGCGATAGATTACTGAATGTTAGCATAACAAGTGAAGCCCGCTAAAAAAGAAGGCGTTTCCCTCGATATTTTCCGATACAGTTAACACTCCCTTGAGTGTTATCTAATATTTTCAGGTAGACAAGGGCTTTTAACCTGTTTAAACTTATTCTCAACCGCTGATGAGTTTGTTTTGAAACAGTTGCAATTTGAGCCTCGGTCGTGTTATTCTTGCGCACTTTGAAAGACGCCGTTGAACGCATAAGGTGGTTTGTAAACGTGGCTACGCTGAGACCAAACTGATTGACAACAGAAACAGTAAAAGGCTCCAAAGAAAAACAACGCAAGCTTTATGGAGCACGGATACACTCACAAAGTAACGCGACTCGCTGATTGGTCAAAAGGAAGAAACTTGTTTACTCTGATTGGTGGTCAGTCGGTGCCCATCAGAGGGCTCAGAATTCGAGACTTAGAAAACAGAGTCAGGTGACACGGTCAGCCAAAAATTGGCTCAATTTTGAATTAGGAATGTGTCTGTGAAGTTTGTAAGTGGTAGCGATGTACAAAGAGAAACGAGAATCGTTTTAGCGGCTGTTTTCCCGCACTTTATTGGTACATATAAATCGAATGGAATTTTCAACACTTGTTGAAAACAGAATTGGAGGATACAGGTCTTTTCGCGCTTTGAAGCACAATTTTAGTTCAGGAATATCGCTACAGAATCTTCCCACTAATAGCGAAAGTTGTCATTTACCTTTCTGATGTAGCTATAAAGTTAAAAAATAACAATAATAAATCAAAAATGAATTGAAAGTAACGAATCATCGCTTTTGGCAAAGTTTTCAGTACGCTAGCGATTTGTTTCTTGCATTGCTGTTGGCATTTTTTGAGTTAGAGTTCTTTTTATAATGAGTTATTCCACTTTTAGAGAAATAAATCACACAGAGCCGTGACGAATATTAATTTTTTAACTGTTATTGTCATTATTATAATTACCTTTGATAGAAGAAATTACTCGTCATAATATATTAAAAATCAGTCATAGAAGATTCTTATTCTGTACTCAGTGCAGTTTATTTATAATAATATTATTGTAAAAATGACTTATTTATGGCTACATTGCTTTTGAAGCACACACTTCATAGTTTCAAATAATGTTCTTATTGTACATAAAGCAAATATGTAATGATTCTTTCAGACACGAGTAAATTCAGATTTGTTTTGGAGAAAGAATAAATTGCTACATTGTGACACTACTGGGTTTTGTGATTTTGTTTTCGCATGGACGGGAGAGTCTGTGGAGTTCTTGGAATGGACAGCTGGAGCGAATATCTCTATACGATTTCGTGGTGTAATCTAGACAGACTACCTCCCTCCCCTCCCCTCCCCTCCCCTCCCCTCCCATCCCCTGCCACGTTCCATGGATATTCGCAGGAGAATAAAAAATAACTCGTAATTCGTTCACGATTGGAAACCAGCCATTAGTGTTTGCCTGTAGTTGGGGTCGGAGAATTTGGGGGATCAAATGGTTTTCAGGTAAACAGGGGAAAAACTTCTTCAGGAAACGTAGGGGGGAATTGGTCGTCGCCAAAAGAGTACAAAGGCGGTACTATAAAAAATTGACTGCCAATCAAGGGGGATCGTTAGAAAACTACAGAGCCTAAGGGGAGATCAGGTGAATGTTATTGTAACAAAACCAAAATTCCCTCCCCCCCGGCGATATATAATTATCGGTCTCAAATTCATTTTCGTTTAAAAGCGAAATGAACTAATGAAAACGGAGACTTTCGAAATCTGTTTCAAAATTGGAGTTTTAAATGCTCTGTTTCTCAAGTGGACTAGTGAGAGGCAGTAAAAATGCGTTCCATACAGTCTCTTCCAAAGGCATTTTCGGTTGTTTTACAAAAACGCAACACAAATTTATGCATTTTAAAATCAAAATAGTAAAGCGGACATTTGAGAGCAAAATGAAAGCGCGGCCTGGGTAAATATATTATATTGCGCTTTGTTTTGTTTGGGACGAAGACGGACTCTTTGAGAAACGCCGTGGTGTAGTGACCTTGGGAGATGACACCGACTGATGGCACAGTTCGAAAGAATAGCGTCAGAAGGTAGACTTAGACACAAAAAGTCGGATATATTTTAAGATATTTAGAGCGTTTTGGGATATAAAGAAAATTTTATAATATTGTGATACGAATATTTAGGATTTTTTCCCTTAAGTCATGATTCGGTAGTCTTGTGATGGTTTCAATCCCAATTTCCTTGTCAATAATCCAGTTCATCAGTTACTTCAATCAATAATATATCCCTTCACCCTGTAACCCCTGAGAGTGATTAGTATCTAATTTCTCCTTGCGGTATCACCACTGAATCACACATTAATGTCATGAGATTAAAGGAAATGATCATCAACTAAAGAAACTCTTCATTGTCAGACAAATTCTCCTTGTCGGCACTTTGGTAAATGTACAGAGACTAGTATAGAGAATATCTTAGGCTTAAGTGAAAAGTTTATGAGCGTTATCCAGCCAGAGACTGCCAGACCACAATCTTGTTTTGATTTGCCTGTTTGCTGATGTACAACATTTAACTTTGCACAACGTTAGATCATTTTGGGACATTTCAAAAATTTATTTTCAAATAATTTCTTAGATATTTAGAACAGTTTCAAGACATGAAGAAGAAAAATTTGATATATTAAGAAAATAATCAAGAATTTCCTGAATCATCATTTTACGTAATATTTGTGTCTAGGTCCATCTAAGGGGCGGCCAAAACATAACTTCCCTAGGGAAAGAATGTGCACGATAACGGGAGAACCTAGGGCAAAGTTATCAGGATAACTCATGTGACTTTTTTGGCACGTGTGATTGGTTTTCGGCAAGTTTAAATCGACGCGCCGTTCCGCGCCTAATTTTGAATGAACTTGTGTCTGGCTACACGTGAAAATCAACCACATGAAGTGCGTGAGTAAAAGGTGAGCTGACAGAACAAAAGCTTTCATCTTGGCTACCGTTTACAACGAAAATTGTCTCCTTTTAAACGACAGCTGGGAAGGACAGAATTAGGAATTTGCCGTCGAATTTTCCGCTATGAGCGTCGTGAGAAGAAAACTATTTGAGGAAGGATCGAATTCTTGGACCTCGGATCAAACAATCGCTGAAAGGCCAAATAACGAAGCAGTTGAAAATGAGCGCACAGAAATTGTTGAATACACTGTTGTAAACGAAGGAGATGTAGCTCTGAAGGAGCCAAGTGTAGAGACTCCAAATGGATTAAAAACGCCCCAAGAAAATATGTTTCGACCGACAACTCCTTCGTGCTTTGAGAAGGTAAACATTTGATTAAAATTTGTTACAACTTATTTCTCTTTATTCGAGTCACTTTTTTCACGTTCGTTCAACTCAATGTCTAATTTTCAAAGAAATTTTGAACAAATTGTGATTCGTAAACTATTCTTACAAGAAAAAATTACGTGAAGCTTTAAACAATCTATTCCATGGAATATTCGAGCGGGACTCAAAAACCTATTCTAAGATTTAAAAACTTCACCGTAATTCGATAAACTTCTTCGAGTTAAAATCTTCCAGTAGTTATTTTGGGCTTGCTTATATATTTTCCTGTTTGTAGAGACATTCCAAAAAATAGTTTTGACGAGAATCATTGAGTTTTTTCCTAGGATCGTGAAAAGAAACTTCTGATTATTGACGAGGCAGAAGATGAAACTGTTCGCAAAGGATGGGCAGAAAAACAGACACTTAAAGGGATACAAGTTGTAACATGTCATTGTACAAACCTGATCTCGGTCTGTACAAAAGAAACATTTTTACTTATTTTCCTCGATATATCCTCAGTGGCGGGAAACGCTAAAAAGATAGTTTCTACGATAAGGTAAGTACTCTCAAAATGTCGGGAAAGCAGTTTTAATCTATTTAGAGTACACCTTGTATTACACGCAGCGTGCCGCCAAACAATGACAGAAAAGTGTGATCTAATTAACGAATACGATTTTGTGATACCAGGAACTTCTTCTTTGAGGATAAGAATATATCAAAACTTGCAGAGAAAGCTGTTAAGCAATAATAGGAAAAGTTGTGTTCTACGATTCAAGCAACTTAATTTAATTAAAATAGCAATAGAGAATTTTAATAGCTACATTGGATCCCTTCCGTGGACTCGCTACTGCCTACAATTTTCTTTGCCTTTGACGTATTTATCCTTTTCTTCTCATGTTAATTCTTTATAACTTTGCAACATCTTATCATAATCATACAATTCAATCAACAATACTAATCATGATACATATGCATTCCAGCATGTTCTTTGCCCGAAAACAAGTCGAACAATCGTATGCTATGCAAAATTAAAATTTAGTGTAGGAAGCTGAGATTTAATTGAATGTTTTTCATCATCAAGTAAATCAAATAATTTCAAAAGCAAGTGAAACTGAATGAGCACAAATAGATGCTTTTCACAACTAAAAACTTCATCTCCCTGCATAGCAGTATGTAATTTAAATTTAACAGAAGATCACTTGATTACCTTTACAAATCACTCTAGGTACAATCCCAATTCTCTGAACCGTTCAACAGCAATAATTGGATTAACACAGGAAGGAGATAAAGGTATGTTCCAGAATCAAATACATCATCAAGAGGCTGCCCTTTTGTTTACTTTTTTTTTCAAACTCAATCCACAACTTTCTTTTTTTATATCTCAAAGAGGACTTCAGTTACCATGAAATAAATGATGTCATTCAGCTTCCAGTGACAGATGAAAGGGTGAATCAGGTTTTGTTGAAGTGGGCTGGGCACAAGTCATGTGAAGGTCAGTACTAAAACCACCAACATGGACAATGTGGTGTCCACCCTCAAAGGAAGAAGTTCTTTACCTCTTCTTTACCTCTTCAAAGGAACAATTGTCAATTGTTCCATTGGATGAGATATGAACTAGATAGGCTTGCTAATACTCGAAAGTTTTCCATGTTTTGATTTATGAAACCTATTTCCTAAATAGTGTACAAAAAGGCACTTCTGAGCACCTGAAAATGACAATTTTCAGGAGAGAGGCATGCTTCTTTGACCCCCTTGCTGGTTTTTGGTGCACACTCCATAGAGGAAAACTCTTAATGCTTCCGAGGGCTTGTATGAATTTATAGTTTCACATTATTTCAGGCATGCCATTGACACCAGAGAGTCCAGAAGGAAACATTCATTCAGCTGGACCAAAGTCTTTAGGAACAACCAAAGAAAACACAGAGGAGAATTTGTCATCAATCATAAAATATTCGACATCACAACCAATTCAGTAAGTGGGTTACCTTAATTATGTATGTAGCATGGGTAGGCATGGTCATTATATATAAGTTGGTATATTGACTGATAGTCTACCAGTGGATAATAATCTGGGCCAGTTACTGACCTTTGCTTAACCAGGATGTTAAAATCACTGCTGATTGTTTAAACATTAGCAAACAGTGCCTTGTTATAGTAAACATAATCGAGCATGTCTAAAATTAATCACTGATTTAAAACTGTTATCATTCTCTTTGCAGACAGAATTGTAGTAGTAGAGTGTCTCAGGCAGACAACTCTAATGGAACATTGGAATCCTTTTGCAAAGTCTCCACACTCCATAACAACCAGTCAGGGCCAACCTATCAACAGCTATGTCACAATGGCCAATATATTCCTGTCAGTAGAAGTGGCTTTGCTGATCCATCACAGAACAATCAAGTCACAGATGACAACAGGTTACATCTTCAAAACAGCAATGTTGCTGCTCCACAGAACTTTCTCCTTGGGGGAAACCAGATCCAAAGTCAACCTCACTCATCACTGATTCTCCAACGATCAGCAGCAGATCACATGCTCACCCAGGAAGATCATGTTTCTGTTCATATTCCCCCAAATGCAGTCAACACAGTGTATCCTGAGCATTACAATCACATTTATTACAACATACCACCTACAAATCAAAACAGACCAAATACCATTCCACCACATTTTGTTGCTATCAATTCTTCCACATGTGTCCAAAACCCTGCAGGCTTGACATCACAGGCAGCTCCCAAGGCAGATCACTCTGTAGTGACCACCCAATCATCACCTGACAGAGAAGGTGGAAAGATAGTTGGCAGTCCTGCATATATGATCAGTGGACAACTGGGAAGCAAAGATATGAAAATCACATTACTTCATGATGACCTGTCCAAACACAGCTCCAAAGAGAGGATTAGAAGGTAACAATGACAAAGTTTTACTTCTTAACTGCTAATTTCAACACAGAAGGGATAATCTGTTTGTTTAATTTGCATAAACAGTATTTGGTGTCTGATCCCTGGAGAGAGAAAGAGAGGTTGTCACAATTTAACTAACTCATTTGACTTTTTCTTTGGCTAATAAGTTCAATGATAATGCAACTGGGAGTATCACAGCTTCACTGGATTGAAAGTAATCAGGGATTGTAAGGAAAACACCATTATGGAGTCAAATATTAAGTAAAGTCATTTCTCCAAAGAAACCAGGTGACGATATCCTTCTACAGAGCAAGCAATGCAAAAAGCATACTTCTTTTGTTGATGGGTATTCCTTGTATAGCCAGAGTAAATAAAAAAGGACCTTTCCAGGTCTGTGTTTAATTAACCAATTACCTTATGTATAAAACATCCAGCCTGTTGAAGTACTGTGCATTTTTAGTCATCAGTAGCAGGTTAGATTTGCATTATTTGTCTACACTATAGGGAAACGTGATGCAGAAAAAATGAGAAAAGTACCAGTAGTAGCCCCACACATCATTTTAAATTACCTCAGTCTGTTCTTCTAATGAAATCCTCACATTAATTCATTTTCTTCTAGAGAACGAATTAAGGAAAGCTGCGATCAACTCCGCTTTTTGCTACCTAGTGTTGCTGGGAAAAAATCTGACATGGCTTCCGTAAGTAACTTGAAGCAAATTTGATTCATTTTTGTAAAATATATTTGTGGTAAAACAAAGTGTATCCCTATGTTAATGTTTATACCTCAAATGAGAAGATGATGGTTGATTAATAATCATACTTTGATACAATTGCGACAATAAATAAATTTTCATTACTGATCAGATTCTTGAAATGACTGTAAAATATGTGAGAATGATCAAGGAAAGGCTTCCACCAGCTGTTCTTCAAGAGGTAATAATTGTTCATTAGATAGGACTTGGCTGTCTTCCAGGAGGGAGGAACAGGCTATTTGAAAAGTTTAAGGAAATCAAGAAAATAACCAACAAAAATCCACCAGATGGAGAAAATATGCAAAAGAAAAATTGCACTCCTCCACCAATGCAGCACCACAGTTTCTTTAGAAACTTACCCTCAATACCCTTAAGACTCTTCCATTAAAATTTGTCTTACACTGGAAAGGCTTGACATTTTTTATTCAAATTCCCATGCCCTTAGATACAGATGACAGTGTAAATAATTGGCATGCAGGTCTGAAATTTATTTAATAATGGCTCAGTTGACTTGACCCTGTTCACTTGAGTAATTCTCAATTACCATTTGTTGGAACTATCAGCTCATGCAGCTATATGTAATTTAAGCAAGACATTTTTTGCAGCTGATTTAAGAGTTGTTCAAAGTACAGCCTCTGATTATATGTAAACTTCATACTTATTCTTTCAGATCTCTCAGAATATTGCTGACACAACTGCTACACTTCCTAGGAAAAGAACCAGGGACTTATCAGCAAACATTAAACAAACACGTCCAAGGTAGTGAATGGAAACATTCATAATCTATCAACAACTTCAAACAAGGATATTCAATCTACTTTTCAAATACACTTTTAGTTCAGATGAAAACTTTAAGGTATTTGTAGGATGCTTTTTGGCAAAGGTAAACCTTGTACCTGGTACATGACAATATTTAATAGAGTAGGTGTAAGTTTTCATGCAATTCATCTTATCCACCTGACTCTGATAACCACCTTTTATTTCATACATACTGAGATTTACACTGTGAAGTACTATCATTCATGTTCTATAGGGAGAGCAGTGTATTTTCAGTCTGTAGTTCTCTCCCAATCTTTGAATTTAAAGGTGAAAAAATCTTTGTATGTTTGAAATAAAAACATCATACCATGGAAAGTGATTGGAAGATTTTTTTTCACTTGCTACAATGCATCAAAAAAACTCACTCGTTCACTGTGCTCACAAGTTCATTTTTCTGGTGCATCACAACTCATGAATAAAAATTGTTTGTGTTATTGTCACCATGGAAATAATACTCTTTCTAATTACTTAGTTTTGGGGTAATTTTCCTGTAGAGGATTAGAGGGTAGGCTTAATTAAGACTGGTTCTGGTCAGTTTTCTTCTCTATTCAAGACAAAAAATTACTGTAGATTGAGGTATATTGATTTTATGACACTACTGTAAACAGTACCAGCATATTTGAAACATTTTGAAAAGGTATGACAGATTGTAGGGGTGAACCATGCACCACCAGTATACAAACCTTATGCAAGACCTTGTGTATAGGAAGATGGTAACAGGTGTAATTTCATACCTTGCTTAATATTTAGACCCTAAAAACTATACACTACTAGGAGGTATAGCCTGTCAAGGCACAGTAAAAACGTGTCCCCTCCCCCTTGCAATTTAACATTCTGTATTGGTAACAACTGTAAATTTAAAAAATGAACTTAATGTAGTTAATTTTCATTGCAGACTTACACCACCTGCTAATATTCGTGAGGGACCACCAAGATTACCACACCCTTTACCACCATTCTATATGACGCCTGCACCATTTCAAGGCAAGGCTCCTACAATAGTAACCACAACAGGTCCTATGTATGTGCCCCACCTACATATCAGGCCTGGTCATGAACACACCCAGATTCCTTTACAACAACATCAAATTCATCAAGCAGACCCAGCCAGCTTCAGACTGGCAACATCACCTCCTTCTGCATTCAACAGCTGCCACAATGAGAATTCAACCAGAGGTACAAATACATTTCAGCATCAACCAGGGCATGAACATGTCATGATTAATCCACACCAAGATTACAATGCAACCCACTCATCATTCCACTCTAAACACATTTTTCATGGAAACCACCCTCCCATTCCTCCTGTGCCTGGCCACAGTTATGACATGCCACAGCAATGGAGCTTTTTAAAGTTACCCCCTATTGGAAACATTTTTCATTCTTTAAGTTCAAGTAATTTAAGCCAAGAAAGTGGTAAACATGATCCTTGTGAGTCTGGGAGATCTACACCAACAGATTCTTCATCAATGACACCCCCACTTTGGGAGAGCAGTGGAAATCTCATAAGTGCAGGAAGACAAGATCATACTCATATTGACAGTCCTGTAATGTTCAAAGGTACATCAATGTAACTCCTGAAAAGGAAAGCTCCACTTGAAGCCAAGTGCAAACTTCTTTCTGCATGAAGGTCTAGGAGAACATAGGTTAACTGAGAAAGACAGCCAAACATATAATTATAAAATTATACACAGATCAATTTAAGATTTTTGGGAACCTCTCCTCATACAAAGGGATAAAAATAGGAGCATATAAAGCCTTTGATAAATGTATGGCAGATGCAATTGTGATCTGGGAAAACCTCCTAGTGTTCAGTTGATTTAGAGAAGGGTTGGGTTCTCTAGAAATTAAGGTCACAATAGAGACAAAAAAGGTGCTATCATCAGTGTGTAGAAGGCTAAAGAACTCTGCATTTGATATGTTGACCTACACAGGGTTTTCTCTGTAAGCAAAAGGAAACCTCAACAGATATAAACCATTACCTGAATAGAAAGCACAATTTTCACTTTTTCATTGTTGTTAATAATTTTGTACATCAGATCAAAGTCAAAATAAGAGATAGTTCTAGCGTGAACATGGATGCTACAAGCTCCTATGAAGAGTCACACATTTGCAATGCTTAAAATAATGATCTATGCCATGAATTATCACTATAAATATTTATTACAGTTCATAATTTACTGGCAAGTTCTACAAGCTACTTTTAAACTAGAAAAAGGGAAATAGATCACTTTGACAATGTAATATGTTTATCATTTGTCAATCAAAGAGAGAAAATCATTTTTAATTTAGGGTTAAATTATGCAGCACTTGCTCACAAAAGACCACTAAATTTATTTGAGTGAAGTGGCTAGTTTTGGGACCATAGTTTCCTGATCTTGAGTCTTCAACAGACTTCTATAGAAACCTTACAGATGGACAAGATTTACTACACCTGAGCATAATAACTTGATGTAAAGACTGAGATGTTTTTTTTCCCTGATGAAAAAGTTGATGATATTTCATACCATTGTCAAAGAGGTACATTTCCTGAAGCAAAAGTTTTAAAATAGAGATTAGGTCATAAAAAAAAATTACATTGGATCCATTTTCTTAAGTTTCAATAATAGCAATTTATCAGGTGGTAAGACTTCATCACTCACATTTTAAAATATTCTAAGCCATAAGTTGTGTTTACAGATTGCCTCGAGTTATTCCTTTACCATAAGTTACTTCTTTAATGTGTATCTGAATATAAAGGCATATTTTGATGTACAAAGTGCATTAAAAAAAGTTTCTTTGCTATGTTTTAGCCAAACCAAAAATGCAAAAACAAATTGGAAATTTGATGTTATTAGTGGACGTTTGACACATTTTCATGGTTAATATTATTACAACTTACAGACTTGATGAATAAATTGTCATGAAATCAACCAGCTTAATTAATGTCTCAAAATTGGTCACTATTATGTTAAAAATATCTCTTATTAGCATATACCACACAAATGAATAGCGCTTTTCATGCACTTACTAGCTAATTTGGAGGCAAATAGCAAGTACTATTCACCTCTGAACAGCCCATGAGATGAGTGTCAAGAGTATAATTTCTGAACATTTTTCGGAATATTGAGAGAAATAAACTTATTTTTTAGAATCTGTGTGGTTTATACTAAACCAATTATTCACTTCAGGGGTGGATAATTACCTCAATTTTAGTGAATTGATTTTGTTGTCCAACTGCACGAGAATAACTCGTGAACAGAGTACAGGTATCAATATTTAACAGTTACCTTACACTGAAAAAAGCCCATTTAACTGGCTGACTGTGCATGCTCTTCTTCTCTATCTGCTTTGTTTTCCCTGCCTCATGAAAATTGAGCAGACACACTTGGCAGAAAAAAAAAGTAGTATCACTTAGTACTTTAAAAATACTCATAAATACTACTCAAAAATACTCATACTATACACCAAAATGTATAAAAATATATATATGTATAATATATATACTGTTAAGAAATACTCTATTATAATAAGCGATTGTTGACAGCTTCATCAGGGAAGGTGGGGAAAGGGTGCACTCCTTGCAGGCAGTGCTGCATGAGTTTGAGTTTATTAGCCATGTTTTGTGCAGGGCATGACACTAAATTGGCTCTGCACAAACAATATTTCATCAGCTAATGATAATAAGGTAGTACACATGTACAATTAAATTGTCTACCAGATATTTTCTCTTACCCAGAATTGCTTTAAACTCTTCACATGCACTAATATCTCCCAATTAAACCTGAGGAATCTTTGGTGGTAATCTATTCAAGATTTTTGCTTTAACCTATCAACCCTCATATCCTGTGCAATGAAAAAATGACTTTGAAGTTGTTACATATGAAAAAAGATACTTAAGTTCACAGATTTTCTACGAAAAGTTGAGTCTGTTTTCAAAGGTTAGCAGATTGTATGTGGTTTTTTTTTTGTGCACTGTGAAGAATATTTAAAGGATAAGGATGACAAAAGTATATTTTTCTAGAAAATAAGCTTGTTATTTGCCTGTGGATATTATCTGTTCCACAAAGCTCATGGTTTTCCCTGAGTTTGTTCTCTAACAAACGTGTCTGGACCTTGAGCCATTTATAGCAGGTTGCACCATAAGTATTTCTTTATACCATAGGTACAATACAAGGCTTTCTTTGCAATATGCAAGATTTAAAAAACGTTTTCTCAGTGGTTACTGTTGTTGGGAGAGGTACCTGTCACAAAGAAGACCAGTGGTACAAATCTTTAAGGAGGTTTAAACTGAAACTGCTGAATCAGGGTAGGGTTTGGAAATATGTACACTACTATTACAATATGTAACAAATAGAGAAGCCTTGACTGTGCTCTGTTCTGTTGTAAAGCATGCCGGGAGCTGCTAGAACACAAAAGAAGTGTAAGGAGTAACACAAGACATAGTTCGAGTTTGCCTGGTTCTTTTTTTACCAATTTGCTAACTCACTTGTTCCAAAATTTCACTTTGAATCAACAAAAAAAAGCCCAAGAAAAGTATGGGAAAAGATGGGACAGTACAATTTGGCAGATGATGTGACAGCTTTAACTCAGCTTTATGCCTCGTACTCTGATAGAGCATGCTATTTTAACTGATGACAGCGCGCATTATATCTGAACTTTATTATAAAAGTTAATAAATATTATCACTATTAATAATATCCTTGTCAAAATTCAGTCGCTTGTAGTAACAATGTCCTCATACCATTAACTCCTGAATCTTGACAGAGATCCAAAAGTTTCTTCGAATATTTTTTCAATAGCAACTTTTCCATTCTCTGGTAAAGCCCTTGTTCCGATGCCTGTAAAATTTAAAGTCAGCCTTGGAGCTTCACAATACACAAATTTCCTCTTGCGATCCTCGAACTGTTGCCACAAACTATTCACGATGTCGAACACATACACGGGTTTTTTGGAATCGACTGCCATTTGCACAGCCCATCCTGTGCCACCCTCGACTCTGCTTCGACTCGCACTAAGTTTGCCAATGGCAAACACACCGTTTGAATCTTTCACTTGGTACCAATTACGACGAAGTAAATTATTTACAAAGTTGTTGCTTGTCGGGAAATGCCTCTTTAAAGTTTTGTTCGCTTTAAGTAAGAATTCATCAGCCTGTTTCAATTGTTCGTTGCTAAGAACAACTCTAGCAGTATTTTTTCCTCCATGTGCCTCAAAGGAAAACGCTTTTATGCGAACACCGTACTTTGCTCCCAAATTTTGCCAGAACATATCACTGCCACTAGCAGCACCGGTGAATAGAGTGTAATGTCTAGGATTTCCCATGAAGTCGTCTTCTATCCTTTGTAAAGTTTCTACAAGGAAACTTTTTCCCAACTCGTCCTCATCGAAATCATCAAATTCAAAGAATACATCCTCAGATTTGTGCGCGCCAACGATTAACGCCATTTCAACAAGTTCAGGGATCAGGCCTGGTTAACTATGCAGTCACGTGGTTTGAATTTCATTTTATAAAATAATTCAAATAGTGCGCGCGCTCTGATTGGCCATAAAACCATTTTACATGACCGTATGTAAACACGGTTTTCGTTCCTCGAAACACGGTTTTCGTTTCGATAAGCTGGAAACCACTCCGCTTCGCATGGTGGTTTCCTACGCTTATCTCGTGTTCTCCCAACCTCCCGCGTGTTTACATCAGGGTATGTAAACACGGAAACCATTTTACATTTCTTCAATAGCGGCTCATATGTGTGCTGCAGACGACATCTCATGACCCTCATGGGTGAAATCGCTTCTTCTCTTGCCGAAGTTTTCACATTCACAGATATATCAGCACTCAAAAGACTGCGGTAATGTAAAAATCGACGACAATCGAAGAGAAGTTTGTATTTGAGATTACAAACATTTTCGAGCTGGAAAACAAACTTGCGGGCACACGATCTTTAAGATCCCAAAAGGTACATGAAATGGGCACAAAAGCGAAGCAAAAGAATCGCATAGAGAATTTTTTGGTGATTTCGTGAATTAAGGTTAGAATGAAGCCATGTTTTGTCGAAAACTGTTATTTTGTTACGTTCCTCGTTAATTGTACACTCTAGTAATTTGACTGGCGGCCGGTCAAGGTTTTCAAACAACTAATAAATGACCGACAGTCGAATATTTTTCTGAAAAACTTGACAAATCGAGAGATCCTCTACAATAGAAGCTAGGACATGTCGATGAGGGACTGCTAAGCGATCTCTAGGGAATTTAAAAATCTCATGTGTAACCTTGAGAAATTGCGTGAGGTCGACTTCCGGTTTCTTTAATGACTGAGTGACCGACAGTCGCACATTTTTCTAGAAATGTTCAGAAATAGAGAGGACTTGTACAACTCAAAATATTATACGTCGATGAGGAACTTCTAAGCGATCTCGAGGAGATTTATAACTCTCACTAACGCTCGGTTAACGCTACCTCAGAATACCTAGAAATTGCGTGGGGTTGATCGCCGGTTGCGGTCACGGTTCTCAATGAACCTAAATCACTGGCAGTCGTTTATTTTTCAAAAAGTTTAAGAAACCGAGAGAACCTATACAATCCAAAGTATCACATGTCGATGAGGAACTAATGAGCGATCCCGAGGAGATTTATAAATCTCATTTCTGAAGCTCGGTTTACGCTGGGCTCCTTTACATGTTAGAGAGATACACGGAAATTATCATGCTGGACACGAATCATTATTTCTTTTCGAAAAAGCCTCTTGTTGACCTTAAAACTAGAAGACAGGACCCACCTTTTAATCTCCTAGTTTGGCTGTCTATAAACTTATAATCCTCGTCTTCGAAATGTTCAGAACACACTTTGGTACTGGATGTTACTTTTAAGTTTTAATTGATCTTTCTTTCATTCTTAAATCCCATATCACATTTAGAAATAGAGATGAGACGAAATTATTTTTCTGACCATTTACTCATGCAGATTAAAACACAAATTTGTGAGACTGGAATTTGAAGAAACATAACATTGATATTTTACTTTTGGTGCTTAAGATCCTTAGCATATACAAGAAAATGCAAATCCGAATTTAAGGAAATATTATGGCAGTTACAGACGCAGAGATGGTCAACCATTCCTCACAGTTAATTTGTTGTGCCCTCGACTGTTGTTCACTCATTTCGGACCACGTGATCACTCTATGTATGAACCCCAAAAAAAGTCTATTAAAGTAAAGAAAGCGCCAGAATATTTGGAACGTCATGTGACCACTTAATCTATTAAAATCCCGTCTTCTTATTGGTTTAATGTTTTCCTGTTTCGTTTTCCATTATAAGGCCCGCAGATTCTTGGTAGGGGAATATAAAGTCTTCCGTGTCTCTATTATCTCGACGGCCGTAACTTGATGAAATACTTCTAAAAATATCAGGAAGTTGATTCTAGAAACAACAAATCATGGCAGCGGGCGGAAACATAAGTGGGAAACATTCGGTAATCTTTAGTAGAATGTGTGTTATTTTGGAAGATGAAGGGAAACGAGCAGAGCTCAACAATGAGATTGAAAATCTGATGAAAAGGCCTGAATTTGATTTGTACTTTACGTCACATGAAACGATTCCGCAAGAACAATTAGACGCACTTCCAACAGGGTAAGTGAGGCCTTCTGTTCGTTCTTGTTGTCATAATCATGCTACTCGAGAAATCTTGACACGATTACGGATCAATGCTCGTCGTATCGTTATAAGCCACATCACTCCCGCTTGTACCAGAAAAATGTCGTTTTTTCACCACTGGTAGACTCATCATTTTGCCAGGGAGTATTTACTCTCTCCGAGTCTTTCTTGATCCTTTTATTTCACGAAGAGTCTGATAATTAGAGAAATCGTTTTTTTTACTTTCCCTTCCCGATTTGATATTTGGAATATCTACAGTTTGACACTGCTGTTTAAAGATTTCAATTCTAGTTCCGTCAACCCACTAGGTTATCTTAAAATATCGAAATGCAGTAACAGGTATTGCTACCTTAATTTGTAATAACTACGTGCGGTCGAACATGAACCGTTTATTACTCCCACGTGTTTCGCGTGCCCAAGTACTCCGCTTCAAATTTAATGCACAGTGGTGGGGTATGCGGAATAATTTGGACGCAAAATGTAAATACATTACGGGAAAGATCTGTAGGGAGAGGTTAAAGGGAAATGATGGCGCCTGTCCCTTTAGACCAGTGAATTCTCTTTAGTCATGGATGCATGTTTCTATTTAGAACAGATTAACTGCCTTATCGGACAGAATGCGTGGACATCATTAATTATTCATAACCGCTATATGGCGTGCATCGACCAGCAAGCTGTTAGTAATTAGGAGCTCTTTTCAGAGCTCACTGAATCCCCGATCGCTTTGCAATCTGTACGCGATCGGGAGATAATGATCAGTTCCAGTCCAGGGATAGCACTTGCATAAAATGCTTGATAGAAACTGTGATCCTAAAGTAGTGAATTTGTTCGTAAGCTCTACTTCGTTCGCTTTTTCCTTTTCGATTCCAAAAAACTTACGTTAGAGCGATTCAGAGACTTAATTTTGTCCTTCATTTACGATAAAAGAAATGTTTTGATGAGACAATCGAATCCTAAGCGGGAAGTGAGGTATCAAAAAGCGGTTTTCTTTTGCAAAAAGGAAAATTCAGCTTTATCGGAGCACACATGCCTAATTAACCATACAGTTGAGTGGGATAATTCTAAAACTAGACCCTGTGAGCAGGGTAACTGGGATACCTGGATGGTACTGGATCCTTGGAATCAAGTGTAGTGATACTATGGGTGTCGGACTAGTATACTGAAATAGTGAGCTCAAGTCTGGCTAAGGGCATACACCTATTTCAAAACACAGGTATGCTCTGCATGCAAGAGTTATTTTTTGTAAGGGTGGGTGGATTACTTGAAACATTGTAAGTGGTCTACATTCTTACAAAAAGAAAGAAGAGTATTAACGCGGAAAAGAATGAAAATGTCGAATTACCTCACACACACTCAGGCAGGTATTTTGTGGTAAATTATGTGTTGTGCGAATAAATGTCACCAAAACGCAATCGCTTTTCCGCGATCAGCCTTCACGATTATTTGCACTATTGTGGAAAATTCCTGGCCCATTTCTTGATGAAAATCGATTGTAATATAATTTCAAGCCTTCAATATAGTCTTCTTACTTTGCGCGCGAGTTGGTTGGTGTGATGTCTGTACAGATTTTACCAACGTAATAAAAGTAGATGGCGTGAATAACAGTGACGGTAAAGCAAGCTTAAGACGGTAGAAATCGCCAGAAACTACAACGGATTCACAGGGTATGAGTAGGTTTTATTGATTTTACGAGAAAAATGTTCATATTTCGAAATATTTATTGTTGTAAATCGACCATATTTCGTTCCCTATACTATTGTTCAAATTTTCAACGGTTCCTCTCGTAACTTAATACCGAGTCACACAACGCGTGACGCGTTCATGAAGTAATCGTTGGCTTTTTCTCGAGGCGTGAGCTTGGGCCGCCTGTGACAAGACAATTGCGTAAACAATACTTGACATAATGGCATTATACACAAAAAACACAGGATTTTGGATCGTGTATTTATTAAAAAAGAATATCCATACAACTACAACGAAAAAAAACATAAGATTCACCTTTCTGATCATGAAATTAATACCATTCGCACTGTTATCGTAGCTACGTTCCCTGGCATCAAGTGAATCCAACATGCCGTCTTTCTTCACTATCAGTTTGCATCCATTAGAGTTTTGTTCTTTAGTCTCACGGTAAGAGTGTTGTTCAACAGATTGCATAGAGTATATGCAGTTTGGTTTCAGATTTCAGATTTTGCTTTTTAAAACAAGTGTACGTTTTTCAACTAAGACATTGGCATACAAGGCATTCAAGGCTTTCAAGCGTTGGCGACTCAATCCGTTCCAAAATTACCGCTCAATAACATCTTTTAGCGTGGATTGGCCGCGAACAATCAATCATCATCGCGAACAGTCAATCATCATCAAGATAGCACGCGTGATCAGCATGTGAACACCTCATTGGATCACAGTTAGTTGTTATGGTGTTGAGGGCCCAATGACCTCTGGGTACTATTGCGCAATTTTTCCATTTTGTGGCGGAGGAAAAAAAAAAAAAACTAGACCCTGTGAGCAGGGTAACTGGGATACCTGGATGGTACTGGATCCTTGGAATTGTTGGCCCGTCACTTGTACCTAGGCCCTCCCTGAGGGAAACTACATCCGGGCTCCCCAATTATTGTTGTTGTTGTAACACGAAGTGCTCGTGGTCAAGCTCGGGAATAAAGACTGTGTTCATTGAGCCCTCGATATTGTTTGAGTCGTCTGTACTGCCTGACATGGTGTCAGAAGTGGGATAGATCCGATAAATCGACAAGAGAAGCATTTACGGAGAGCAAACGTACATTTAGCGAATTCAACGACCGCAGCCGACTCGTCAAACAGTCAATAAAGGAATTCTCAGACCAGTGTATCAAATGCCAACACTGTCTGAACAGCTCCATAAACTCTGCCATGCCAAATGTTTCTCACTTGTTGATGTCAGAGAAGGCTTTCTACACGTACCACTTGATGAAGAATCGTCACTGATGACGACAATGCACACGTCTTATGGGAGATACCGATGGCTCCGCCTCCCATTTGGCATATCAAGCGCTCCTGAGGAATTTCAAAAGCGCCTCATGTCAGCTCTAGAGGGTCTTGATGGAGTATTATGCATCGCCGATGATATACTTGTGTTCGGAGAAGGAACAACCTACCAAGAAGCTGAGAAAGACCACGACCGCCGTCTTGTCGCACTTATGGAGCGCTGCTCCAAAAAGAACATAAAATTAAACCAGAGCAAACTGCAGTTCAAGCTACAACAAGTCAAATTCATGGGCAACGTCATAACTGATCGAGGAATGCAAGCAGACCCAGACAAGATAGCAGCAATCTCAGCAATGGCCCCACCCCGAAACAAAGCAGGTGTTCAGCGATTCGTGGGAATGGCCAACTATCTCTCACCCTATTGTCCAAACCTCAGCACCATCATCCGGCCTCTCACCCAACTCACCAAGTCAGATATCCTCTTTATGTGGGCACAAGCACAAGATGACGCATTTAACAAAGCCAAACACCTCATCTCCACTGCACCAGTGCTCCAATACTATGACCTCAGTAAACCGGTCACACTTCAAGTCGACGCTAGTGAAGAAGGCGTGGGCGGTGCCCTCCTTCAGCCCAATAGTGAAGGACGCCTCCAACCCGTAGCATACACATCAAACAGCCTCAACGCAACAGAACAACGATACTCCCAAATCGAAAAAGAGTGCTTGGCCATTTGTAACGCATTTGGAAAATTTGACCACTGGCTCTATGGCAAATCAGATATCGAAGTTCACACCGACCACCAGCCACTTGAGACCATCTGCAAAAAACCTCTGCACAAAGCCCCAGCACGGCTACAGAAAATGCTAATGAGACTGCAGAGATACCGCTTCACCATCCAATACAAGAAAGGAACCTCACTCTACCTGGCAGACACTCTCTCAAGAGCAGCACTACCTACCCCAGTACATGCCAGGGTCACAGGCTTTGAAGTATTCAGGACTGAACTCACAGAGGAATCCGATACCCACAACCCCCGCCTCACAGAAACCACCGAATCTCGCCTACGCGACGAGACCAAAAAGGATGAACACCTCTCCAAGTTAATGGCCACAATCGCCCAAGGCTGGCCGGATGACAGAAAGCAGCTACCACAACCACTACGAGCATACTGGACCTACAGAGACGAGCTAACCACTGACAATGGCCTCATCTACAAAGGCGCCCAAGTTATGATACCGCAGTCCATGCAAGCTGAGATGCTGCTGAAAATCCATGCAAACCACTTTGGTCCTGACTCAAATGTACGCATGGCACGAGACGTACTATTCTGGCCCGGGATGAGACAAGCAGTGTTTGATATGTGCAACAACTGCAGTACCTGCGCACAGTATGGATCAAAGTCAACAAAGGAACCTATGCGATCACTTCCGATTCCAACACTACCATGGCAGATCATCAGCCAAGACATCTTCCAGTACAGACAGAAAGCCTACCTTGTAACAGTGTGCCATTTTTCTGACTGGATCGAAGTGGATGAACTTGACGACACTTTGGCAACATCAGTCATTAACAAAACCAAAGCTCATTTCGCCAGGTTTGGCGTTCCACGTATCTGCCACACAGACAACGGACCACAATTCACCAGTAAGGATTACATGGACTTTGCCTCTCAGTACGGGTTCAAACATACCACCTCAAGTCCCTATCACTCCCAGGGCAACGGCCGAGCCGAGGCAGCAGTGAAAGTATCGAAGTCTATGCTAAAGAAATCAGATGACTTCCAAATCGCCTTGCTCAATTACAGAAACACACCACCAAAAGACCACACCTACTCTCCTGCCCAACGCATGGTGAGCCGCCGGACACGAACGACGCTCCCAACAGCTGACCACCTTCTCGAGCCCATGTCAATCAACCGTGACACTGTATCAGCAGAACTCAAGGCCAAACGCAACACCAGTAAAGCTCACTATGACAAGACTGCGGGCCCAGAGCAGAATAGCATCAACATTGGTGAATTTGTGTATGCACGACCACCGACAAGCAAACCAGGCAACCCTTGGGCATATGGCCGTGTCACCGGACAACGCCACTCAAGATCTTACACCATACAAACGCCCCACAGTACCATTCGACGAAATCGGATACACATCAGGCATGCAGTACCTCCTCCTCCCCAAACACCACCGTGCACCCCACCCACGCTCACGCCTAGACCAGGCCACAGCCTTGCAAATCACTACAATCGTCTAGGATCAGAGCTGAATATGCCCACTAATCAGCCTACACAGCAACCACCTCCCTCATTGGACAAAAGTAACAGCGGCCCAGTTCTCGACACCCCTTCCCCTCCACAACCACAAGAACCAAGCACACCAGCCACGGGCCCAAGTGAGCTGCCTATCGACACACCCCTTGCTACAATTCAAGAACAGCCAAGGGATCACCAACCCGAAATGAGAACACGCACAAGACTCATCAAACCACCAACTCGGTTCAAAGACTTTGAACTCAAGTAATGCCTGCCATAAACGTTCGCGCTGCATAACAGCACGGTTGCAGAACTTTCCATGATAACAGTCCGAACAGAACCTTATATAAGGCTACACCTGCCTACTTTACTCTGTTCTATTTACTATTAATTTTTTTTTTCTTTTTTTTTTCAAAGAAGGGGGGATGTTGGCCCGTCACTTGTACCTAGGCCCTCCCTGAGGGAAACTACATCCGGGCTCCCCAATTATTGTTGTTGTTGTAACACGAAGTGCTCGTGGTCAAGCTCGGGAATAAAGACTGTGTTCATTGAGCCCTCGATATTGTTTGAGTCGTCTGTACTGCCTGACAGAATCAATACGGGTGTCGGATTAGTATACTGAAATAGTGAGCTCAAGTCTGGCTAAGGGCATACACCTATTTCAAAACATAGGCATGCTATGCATGCAAGAGTTATTTTTTGTAGGGTGGGTGGATTACTGGTGGTCAACATTCTTACAAAAGGAAAGAAGAGTATTAACGTGGAAAAGAACGAAAATGTCGAATTACCTCACACACAGGTATTTTGTGGTAGATTATGTGTGTTGTGCGAATAAATGTAACCAAAAATAAACTGTATTAGTGCCACAGATACCTGTTAGTACAAAATGCAGTCAGCAGACCGGATACAAAATATAGACTGGAGACTGCAGAGTGGGTACAAAATGCAGACTGAGAATCTGAAGAGTTTTTACGTCTGGTAAATAATAACATGTCATCTTACAGCTTGCCGAGCGTCACGCAATCGCTTTTCCTCGATCAGCCTTGATGAAAATCGATCGTAATATAATTTCAAGCCTTCAATATACTCTTCTTACTTTGTGCGCGAGTTGGTTTGTGTGATGTCTGTACAGATTTTACCAACGTAACAAAAGTAGATGATGTGAATAACAGTGATGGTAAAGCAAGCTTAAACGGCAGAAATCACCAGAAACTACAACGGATACACAGTTCGCGACTCAATCCGGTCCAAAATTACCGCTCAATAACATCTTTTAGTGTGGATTGGCGGCGAACAATACGACTTGTGTATGCGTCTGTAAGTATTTCGAGCGTTTGCGCTATAATGCCCCAGGTGATCGTAATCAGATCACGTTGAAATACAAAACGACCGACAGAAGAGTTTTCTAAGCAAAAATCTCGTGTTCGTCATGTGACCCGGACCTGTCCGTGCATGACAACGTCAATCATCATCAAGATAACACGTGATCAGCATGTGAACACCTTCACCCTCATTGGATCACATGCACAGTTAGTTGTCATGGTGTTGAGGGTGCAATGACCACTGGGTACTATTGCGCAATTTTTCCATTTTGTGGCGGAGGGAAAAAAAAAAAAAACTAGACCCTGTGAGCAGGGTAACTGGGATACCTGGATGGTACTGGATCCGTGGAATCAAGTGTAGTGATACTACGCGTGTCGGACTAGTATACTGAAATAGTGAGCTCAAGTCTGGCCAAGGGCATACACCTGTCTCAAAACATAGCCATGCTATGCATGCAAGAGTTATTTTTTGTAGGGTGGGTGGATTACTTGAAACATTGTAAGTGGTCTACATTCTTACAAAAGAAAAGAAGATTATTAACGCGGGAAAGAATGAAAATGTCGAATTACCTCACACACAGGTATTTTGTGGTAGATTATGTGTGTTGTGCGAATAAATGTAACCAAAAATAAACTGTATTTGTGCCACGGATACCTGTTAGTACAAAATGTAGACAGAAGACTGCAGACCGGATACAAAATATAGACTGCAGAGTGAGTACAAAGTGCAGACTGAGAATCTGAAGAGTTTTTACGTCTGGTATATAATAACATGTCATCTTACAGCTTACCGAGCGTCACGCAATCGCTTTTCCGCGATCAGCCTTCACGATTATTTGCACTATTGTGGAAAATTCCTGGCTCATTTCTTGATGAAAATCGATCGTAATATAATTTCAAGCCTTCAACATAGTCTTCTTACTTTGCGCGCGAGTTGGTTGGTGTGATGTCTGTACAGATTTTACCAATGTAATAAAAGTAGATGACGTGAATAATAGTGATGGTAAAGCAAGCTTAAAACGGCAACAATCGCCAGAAACTACAACGGATACACAGGGTATGAGTAAGTTTTATTGATTTTTCGAGAAAAATCTTCATATTTCGAAATATTTATCGTTATAAATCGACCATATTTCGTTCCCTATACTTTTCCTTATAACGTGTTCAAATTTTCAACGGTTCCTAGAATAACTTACTCTGAGTCACACAACGCGTGACGCGTTCGTGAATTAATCGTTGGCTCTTTCTCGAAACGTGACCTTGGGTCGCCTGTGACAAGACAATTGCGTAAACAATACTTGACATAATAACATTATTCACAAAAAACACGGGATTTTGGATCATGTATTTATTAAAAAAGAATATCCATACAACTACAATGAAAACAAACATAAGATTCACCTTTCTGATCGTGAAATTAATACCATTCGCACTGTTATCGTAGCTACGTTCCCTGGCATCAAGTGAATCTAACATGACATGTTTCTTCACTAGCAGTTTGCATCCATTTGAATTTTGTTCTTCAGTCTCACGGTAGTAGTGTTGTTCAATAGATTGCATAGAGTATATGCAGTTTGGTTTCAGATTTCAGATTTTGCTTTTTACAACGAGTTTACGTTTTCAACTAAGACATTGGCATACTTGGCATACAAGACATACAAGGCATTCAATGCTTTCATGGCTTTCAAGCGTTCGCGATTCTGTCCGATCCAAAATTACCGCTCAATAACATCTTTTTGTGTGGATTGGCCGCGAACAATACGAATTGTGTATGCGTCTACAAGTATTTTGAGCGTTTGCCCCATAATGCTCCAGATGATCGTAATCCAATTACGTTGAAATACAAAACGACTGTCAAAATAGTTTTATGGGCAAAAATCTCGTGTTCGTCATGTGACCCGGCCATGTCCGGGCATGACAACGTCAATCATCATCAAGATAGCACGCGTGATCAGTATGTGAACACCTCATTGGATCACAGTTAGTTGTCATGGTGTTGAGGGCCCAATGACCTCTGGGTACTATTGCGCAATTTTTCCATTTTGTGGCGGAGGAAAAAAACAAAAAAAAAAAAAAAACTAGACTCTGCGAGCAGGGTAACTGGGATACCTGGATGGTACTGGATCCTTGGAATCAAGTGTAGTGATACTACGGGTGTCGGACTAGTATACTGAAATAGTGCGCTCAAGTCTGGCCAAGGGCATACACCTATTTCAAAACATAGGCATGCTATGCATGCAAGAGTTACTTTTTTGTAGGGTGGGTGGATTACTTGAAACATTGTGAGCGATGTCTACATTCTTACAAAAGGAGAGAAGAATATTAATGAGGGAAAGAACGAAAATGTCGAATTACCTCACTCACAGGTATTTTGTGGTAGATTATGTGTGTTTTGCGAATAAATGTAACCAAAAATAAACTGTATTGGTGCCACGGATACCTGTTAGTACAAAATGCAGACAGCAGACTGTAGACGCGATACAAAATATAGACTGCAGATTGTAGAGTGGGTACAAAATGCAGACTAAGAATCTGAAGAGTTTTTACGTCTGGTATATAATAACATGTCATCTTACAGCTTACCGAGCGTCACGCAATCGCTTTTCTGCGATCCGCCTTCACGATTATTTGCACTATTGTGGAATATTCCTTGCCCATTTCTTGATGAAAATCGATCGCAATATTATTTCAAGCCTTCAATGTAGTCTTCTTACTTTGCGCGCGAGTTGGTTGGTGTGATGTCTGTACAGATTTTACCAATGTAATAAAAGTAGATGACGTGAATAACAGTGATGGTAAAGCAAGCTTAAAACGGCAGAAATCGCCAGAAAATACAACGGATACACAGGGTATGAGTAAGTTTTATTGATTTTTCGAGAAAAATCTTCATATTTCGAAATATTTGTCGTTGTAAATCGACCATATTTCGTTCCCTATACTTTTCCTTATAACGTGTTCAAATTTTCAACGGTTCCTAGAATAACTTACTCTGAGTCACACAACGCGTGACGCGTTCGTGAATTAATCGTTGGCTCTTTCTCGAAACGTGACCTTGGGTCGCCTGTGACAAGACAATTGCGTAAACAATACTTGACATAATAACATTATACACAAAAAACACGGGATTTTGGATCATGTATTTATTAAAAAAGAATATCCATACAACTACAATGAAAACAAACATAAGATTCACCTTTCTGATCGTGAAATTAATACCATTCGCACTGTTATCGTAGCTACGTTCCCTGGCATCAAGTGAATCTAAAATGACATGTTTCTTCACTAGCAGTTTGCATCCATTTGAATTTTGTTCTTCAGTCTCACGGTAGTAGTGTTGTTCAATAGATTGCATAGAGTATATGCAGTTTGGTTTCAGATTTCAGATTTTGCTTTTTACAACGAGTTTACGTTTTCAACTAAGACATTGGCATACTTGGCATACAAGACATACAAGGCATTCAATGCTTTCATGGCTTTCAAGCGTTCGCGATTCTGTCCGATCCAAAATTACCGCTCAATAACATCTTTTTGTGTGGATTGGCCGCGAACAATACGAATTGTGTATGCGTCTACAAGTATTTTGAGCGTTTGCCCCATAATGCTCCAGATGATCGTAATCCAATTACGTTGAAATACAAAACGACTGACAAAATAGTTTTATGGGCAAAAATCTCGTGTTCGTCATGTGACCCGGCCCTGTCCGTGCATGACAACGTCAATCATCATCAAGATAGCACGCGTGATCAGCATGTGAACACCTCATTGGATCACAGTTAGTTGTCATGGTGTTGAGGGCCCAATGACCTCTGGGTACTATTGCGCAATTTTTCCATTTTGTGGCGGAGGAAAAAAAAAAAAAAAAAAACTAGACCCTGTGTGCAGGGTAACTGGGATACCTGGATGGTACTGGATCCGTGGAATCAAGTGTAGTGATACTACGCGTGTCGGACTAGTATACTGAAATAGTGAGCTCAAGTCTGGCCAAGGGCATACACCTGTCTCAAAACATAGGCATGCTATGCATGCAAGAGTTATTTTTTGTAGGGTGGGTGGATTACTTGAAACATTGTAAGTGGTCTACATTCTTACAAAAGGAGAGAAGATTATTAACGCGGGAAAGAATGAAAATGTCGAATTACCTCACACACAGGTATTTTGTGGTAGATTATGTGTTGTGCGAATAAATGTAACCAAAAATAAACTGTATTTGTGCCACGGATACCTTTTAATACAAAATGTAGACAGCAGACTGCAGATCGGATACAAAATATAGACTGCAGAGTGGGTAAAAAATGCAGACTGAGAATCTGAAGAGTTTTTACGTCTGGAATATAGTAACATGTCATCTTACAGCTTACCGAGCGTCACGCAATCGCTTTTCCGCTATCAGCCTTCACGATTATTTGCACTATTGTGGAAAATTCCTGGCCCATTTCTTGATGAAAATCGATCGTAATATAATTTCAAGCCTTCAACATAGTCTTCTTACTTTGCGCGCGAGTTGGTTGGTGTGATGTCTGTACAGATTTTACCAATGTAATAAAAGTAGATGACGTGAATAATAGTGAGGTAAAGCAAGCTTAGAACGGCAACAATCGCCAGAAACTACAACGGATACACAGGGTATGTGTAAGTTTTATTGATTTTTCGAGAAAAATCTTCATATTTCGAAATATTTATCGTTGTAAATTGACCATATTTCGTTCCCTATACTATTCCTTATAACGTGTTCAAATTTTCAACGGTTCCTAGAATAACTTACTCTGAGTCACACAACGCGTGACGCGTTCGTGAATTAATCGTTGGCTCTTTCTCGAAACGTGACCTTGGGTCGCCTGTGACAAGACAATTGCGTAAACAATACTTGACATAATAACATACACAAAAAACACGGGATTTTGGATCATGTATTTGTTAAAAAAGAATATCCATACAACTACAATGAAAACAAACATAAGATTCACCTTTCTGATCGTGAAATTAATACCATTCGCACTGTTATCGTAGCTACGTTCCCTGGCATCAAGTGAATCCAACATGGCCTCTTTCTTCACTAGCAGTTTGCATCCATTTGAATTTTGTTCTTCAGTCTCACGGTAGTAGTATTGTTCAATAGATTGCATAGAGTATATGCATTTGGTTTCAGATTTCAGATTTCAGATTTTGCTTTTTACAACGAGTTTACGTTTTCAACTAAGACATTGGCATACTTGGCATACAAGACATACAAGGCATTCAATGCTTTCATGGCTTTCAAGCGTTCGCGATTCTGTCCGATCCAAAATTACCGCTCAATAACATCTTTTTGTGTGGATTGGCCGCGAACAATACGACTTGTGTATGCGTCTATAAGTATTTTGAGCGTTTGCCCCATAATGCTCCAGATGATTGTAATCCAATTACGTTGAAATACAAAACGACTGACAAAATAGTTTTATGGGCAAAAATCTCGTGTTCGTCATGTGACCCGGCCCTGTCCGTGCATGACAACGTCAATCATCATCAAGATAGGACGCGTGATCAGCATGTGAACACCTCATTGGATCACAGTTAGTTGTCATGGTGTTGAGGGCCCAATGACCACTGGGTACTATTGCGCAATTTTTCCATTTTGTGGCGGAGGAAAAAAAAAAAAAAAAGACGACAAAAAAACAAAGGCATTTTATGACTGGGCTACCACAGGTATCCCAGTAAAAAAAAAAAAGACGACAAAAAAACAAAGGCATTTTATGACTGGGCTACCACAGGTATCCCAGTAAAAAAGACGACAAAAAAACAAAGGCATTTTATGACTGGGCTACCACAGGTATCCCAGTAAAAAGACGACAAAAAAACAAAGGCATTTTATGACTGGGCTACCACAGGTATCCCAGTAATGAAGCGATTATAAAGTGAACTGAAAGCAAGAAATAATCGATATACGTATCAAAAAAAGGAAATATCTTAAATGAGAAATAAAGAAAAACTTACTTTGGTCTAGCTCCTAACTAGACCCTGTGAGCAGGGTAACTGGGATACCTGGATGGTACTGGATCCGTGGAATCAAGTGTAGTGATACTACGCGTGTCGGACTAGTATACTGAAATAGTGAGCTCAAGTCTGACCAAGGGCATACACCTGTCTCAAAACATAGGCATGCTATGCATGCAAGAGTTATTTTTTGTAGGGTGGGTGGATTACTTGAAACATTGTTAGTGGTCTACATTCTTACCAAAGGAAAGAAGATTATTAACGCGGGAAAGAATGAAAATGTCGAATTACCTCACACACAGGTATTTTGTGGTAGATTATGTGTGTTGTGCGAATAAATGTAACCAAAAATAAACTGTATTGGTGCCACGGATACCTGTTAGTACAAAATGTAGACAGCAGACTGCAGACCAGATAAAAAATATAGACTGCAGAGTGGGTACAAAATGCAGACTGAGAATCTGAAGAGTTTTTACGTCTGGTATATAATAACATGTCATCTTACAGCTTACCGAGCGTTACGCAATCGCTTTTCCGCGATCAGCCTTCACGATTATTTGTACTATTGTGGAAAATTCCTGGCCCATTTCTTGATGAAAATCGATCGTAATATAATTTCAAGCCTTCAACATAGTTGGTTGGTGTGATGTCTGTACAGATTTTATATAATGTACGTTGTCATGCACGGACAGGGCCGGGTCACATGACGAACACGAGATTTTTTGTTCACAAAACTATTTTGTCAGTCGTTTTGTATTTCAACGTAATTGGATTACGATCATCTGGAGCATCATGGGGCAAACGCTCAAAATACTTATAGACGCATGCACAAGTCGTATTGTTCGCGGCCAATCCACACAAAAAGATGTTATTGAGCGGTAATTTTGGATCGGACAGAATCGCGAACGCTTGAAAGTCATGAAAGCATTGAATGCCTTGTATGTCTTGTATGCCTTTCCTTTGGTAAGAATGTAGACCACTTACAATGTTTCAAGTAATCCACCCACCCTACAAAAAATAACTCTTGCATGCATAGCATGCCTATGTTTTGAGACAGGTGTATGCCCTTGGCCAGACTTGAGCTCACTATTTCAGTATACTAGTCCGACACGCGTAGTATCACTACACTTGATTCCAAGGATCCAGTACCATCCAGGTATCCCGGTTACCCTGCTCACAGGGTCTAGTTGTTAATTAGGCTAGTGTTACATTTCTCAGGGATATTTTCTTAGTTTAGTTTCTACTGCATTTTCTTTTAGTTCGAACCACACAAATTCAGCTACAACGTTACCATCAATCATAACTGCGCTATCTTCAATCCTACTTCGCCCTCTTCATCTGTGATTTCACACCGATCTCCTTACTTCATTTGTAATTTTGATTACGTACTTCATTTGATTAAACCGTGATTTATATTGTGCGCTCGGATTGTCTTCTCCGCTATACTAGTAACCTTTGAAGGTTACATCAAATACTATTGGTGTCTTCAACTGTCTTGAGAAACAAAGGAATGTCTGGTAATTTTCCTTTCATTTTTCTCCAAAATATTTGCTATATATTTGGAGAGAAGAATGAGATAGTTGAGCATGAAACAGGAAGGATTTTCAAAATTCTTGCCATAAGTTGTTGAAAATTATCTTAGAACATGATTATTTTATTCTTCAGAATGAATGGCACATTGGCAAATCAATTCAATTTTGGTTATTTTTCAGATTGACGTTTCTACGGCGGGGCGAGGAGCTTCGAGACTTCATCAAGAATACTTCAAGTAAAAATGAAGTTGTAATAATTTGTGGTGCTGTGAATGAAGATATGTATGTGGCATCAAGCACAAAGTCCTTCCTTATTGCTGCAGGCTGGGTGGAAACAGAACCTGGGGTTGTGAAATATGGTATACCAGCACCTACACCATCAAAGATGACTGCACTTATTCAAATCATAGCAAATCAGACCAGCTGGTACTATTCATGTACCTTCAATGATCCTGTACCAACCAAAGTGGTTTCCCTTTGCCGGGCAAACACATATTCAACCAGTAATGATGATGAGAAAGCCATGGCAGAGGCCTTTCAGGCCATCTTGAAAGACGGTAACAACAACCCAGTGATTAAGCAAGCTCTGATCTGCCACCTTATGGCAGGTGAGGATAGTGTTTTTTCAGTGTTATCATCTTTTATTGTGGAACTTGTCTCTAGAAATCTTAAAGACATAAGCAGCACATGAGTGATGGTGATGTGGGTGTGAAATAAGAGCTTTCTCCCAAGCAGTCACAGCTCACACTTCAATTCAACTAATTTAAAACATGAAGATTAAAATTAACTAGACACCTGCAGATGCGTAAGCAAGTTTACAGTGTTCTCACCAGAATTTTTCCATGGGGAGTCCCAGGGCTGCCTCTGCTGAGAAATAGGGGCCCTGTAAGAACATCAGGGGGGGCATAGTTACTCACGGTCCACAACTGATGTGGAAAAATTCTTTGTGAGCACTTTCGACAAAAAGTGACAAAATTCTCTGTGAGGTACCATGACCTGATCAAATGTGGTGGACAAGGTGGTTAAGATTTGCAAACATTCACCAATCTTTGCCACATATATGGGACCAACAGAAAGGCAATAAAATTAAAAATTAAATCTTTTAATATCATGTTTTTTATTCATTTTATTTGAACAAGCTAAATACCGTACTGTAGGTTTACGATTAAGACTGCTTAACATTCTAAAGTCAGTTTGACTCTTAGCTTGCCCCTGCACTGCACCTTAAAGGGTGCATCTTCTTAGCTTTAATACACCATCTAAGTTTTTCTTGCATGAATGCTGCAAGGCCACAGCCTGGTGAGAACACTGAGTTTATCAACAATAAATGGATATGCCCTACAAACTGCAAAATGACCAATCTCTTTTAATTTTTGGTGCATTTTTTGTTGGCTTTTAACTCTACTAATGAGTGTCCTGTAATTGTCAGGTCAGAATTTAAAGCCAAAAAATTCACCATACCAATCCAAGGAGAGCTTCAACTGTATAAATTGATCTTGGGTGGGGTATGATAACAATAAAGTTTTGCTTAGAATACTTTGACTCTTCTAATTGCAATTGCCTCTATTGAGTTATTAAGTAAATCCTGTTTCAAACATTTTCTAGGTATACCATAATTGTGTATATTTTCACTTACTCTAACAGCTATTGCTCACGATCCTGAGTTCAAAGATGTTCAAGATTGGGCAGTGGCCCCATCCTCTTCAACAAACCCACCACAGATTATGGAGGAATTGAAAGAGCATGTAAGATGCATGATGAATGGGCGAAAGCCCGAAGCAATATTTTTGAGACATAAAACAACAAACAAATCACGGTTTGAAGGTAAGGACTTCAGACAAAGTGATGACTACTGCCAAAAGCACTTTAAATCTATCCTAGTAAGTGAAAATTATAACAAAAAACTGAAGAATAGGGTAGTCTGTGTGTTTGATGACTACCTCACACATGGTAATACTTTTGAGACATTGCGAAATCTCCTAGTTGAATGCAAAGTGAGAAAGATAATCTTAGTTTCAATAGGAAAGTTCATGTGTAACAATGAAAACATGTACAGGCAAAAGTCTTTTTCAATAAGTGGTGATGTGAGCACAGAGCATTACACAGCAAAATTTGAATCTGCTACACAACGCAATTTTTATATTGATGGTCATGCTCGGCGAAGCTTGCAGCATCTCAGTGAGCTAGCCAACTATTTAAAGTAAATATGTACAGAACTCTTTCAACTGACTTCCAAAACCACCTTGCGTAGATTTATTTAGAAGGTCTCTTAAACTCCTTTATGTGAAAGAATGACCAAAAAAATTTTAAACAACAGAGAAAAAATTCCCCTTTTCCTTAATTACTAAATAAGAGTTAAACAATATGTTAAATCTAGAGGAGGTCCACCTATATTAATTCATGAAAGAGTAGAATTTCACATCTAAGAATCTTAACTGTCCTTGTGCTGGACAACTTTGACACCCATAATTGTTATGTAGAAAAGCTAGTAATGGGGAATTCAGACTTCCATTAAAGAGGAACTTTTTATTTCAATTCAAACTTGGTTTGCCCCAAGTATTTAACAAAAAACCATTTACCAAATGGAATGGTATAGATGCTTTAATGCTTTCATGGTGATTACAGATGATAAATTCCGTTTTCTTGTTTATGTGAATAATTTTTCTATTTGTAAGTGACTGGTGATTGAAAAGCTGAAATAAAGATGATTGTGAACGTTTTTGTTTTGCTTGATGAATTTCTAGCTATTTCACATTGTACACATTGTTCTTGAATGGCTGCAGTCAGGTAATACCAGAACGTGAACTTCATATGCATTGATAAAAGTCATGAAACAGACCACTAATGGTTCTTGAACTGAATAGGATACCATTTTAAACAGGTTAGAAAAAGTGAAAATATCAATTTGAGAAATTGTTTTTCTATTTTTATGCAAATTTTATGTGAACATGAAAAAATTTTTGATATAATTATGCTTGATGCATGAAAAAGGTAAATATTTTAACATGACTAGGTGCAGTTCATAGGAAATTATAAAGCCTCCACTTGCTTTAAGACAAGACTTGGCTATTATCTCAGGCATCTTATGAGTTAAAAACGTTTATTAGTAATATTGTACAATAAATTGTGTTATTTTAATGTATCTTTATGCAGCTTTTCTATTAAATCCCTCATATCATTTTAATTTTAGTTTGTAGAAATAAAATTTTTTAACAGTGTTTTTTAGGTGTTTTATGACGTAAAGAGGTTTATCACTGTTTCTAATATTGTCAAGTGTTACCTTCTATTAGGAAAGTCTACTATTACATTTATTATAAATGAACAATAGCCCCCATTACATGCAAAGATATCCACCGATATTTTTCTGCCGATATTAAACATTCCAGGATGTGAACAATTTTCTGAGAGCAAAGCTTGAGGAAAACTGTGAGTTCCAAGGAACAGATAATGTCCAAGGAAAAACATATGAGCATCCTTTGGCACCGGTTGAAGGCTATCTTGTTTTTTATCCTTCAAATATTTTAACGAAGTTTGGGGAAATTGTAAACATTCAGCGTGCTGTTTCCTGGGTAGGATGTTTACTTTTCAGAGTTCTCTGGTACCACTTAATGAAAAAAAAATTTCCCTTCTTCTGTAGACATAAGGTTTGAAGATTGGGGAATATCACCAGGGGTATATCCTGGGAGATTCCCTTGTTTTAGCTGGGGCATATATTCAATCATGTGATGTGTTTAGACCAATTGTACGCAAACAAAAATATTTGATGGATTATAAATTGAACTATAAGTCTAACATTCATGAAACTGTTGGAAAAATTAAGGAGATAAAATAACCTTTCAATAGGTAACTGATGTTTGCATTTTTGTAAAAGAAAAAGTGCATTTACTTTCAAAAGATTCCAATTAACATATTATTCAATGGGTAGCAAAAAGAGACATTTCCACTTTATCTGAAATAAAATCAGGCAAACTTATTTTTATGGTCTATTACCACTGCTGTCTGAATAATTGTTAGCAAAAATAAAATGCATTGTGCCAAGCTTCCTGAATTCTCCTTCACAGCCCTTGTTAGGTCTCATCACACAATGCACTCTTTCCCTCGTTTGTAGTCTCTGAAAAATTTACTTGGGCTTACAACACTAAACTGCACATGAAATCATGTTGCTACCTTTACTAATTTCAAGACATTCGATATGAGGGACGACACTCTGACACTCTTATTGGTGCAAGCATATCCCAATTCTGTGATCTGACTGGTGCAAGGTACCCTAATGCCGTGAACTAATTAGTGCAAGATACATAACCTTATGCAGCGATCTGACTGGTACTAGCAACATACCACTCCATACACTAAGATTGTTATTTTGCTTTTGAAAAAAATTTTTCCAAATAACTCAGCAATAAAGTATTTTTTTAAGTATTTTTTTAAACTCACGCCCAGACGATCAGACTATATGATCAGACTATATGATCAAACGAGACTGTAACTGTATGACTTTATATGAAATTTTATGAACAGCACAATATTTATTTTTTTTCTTAAGAGGCTGGTTATGGTGGGTGGAATAGGCAGCTACGACCAAGAAAGTAGCCATACAAAACCTTGCAAACGAAAATCTTGACACGCAGTAGTAAGGGCTTCTCTAAGCAGCAATGTTGTAGATAGCACCCAAATTTTGTCAGTACGTGTCACTCCCATATTTTGCGTTAATAGAGAATAGTGTGTAATGTCTCAGATCTCCCAGATAGCTTTTTGAGCCTTTGTGAGTTTACCTCTGACAAAGCCACAGCTTTCTCGTCAAGCTGCAGATCGACGTGGCCTACATCATCACTTCCCTTCTAAACAAAAATCATAATAAAATTAACTAATCATAGTAACCAGTTCTTTTGGCCGAGCATTGGAAAACTCGTCCCAGGGAACACCATGGCCCAAAACTGCTGCGTTCAACTATGATACAGAAATGGCCGCTACGTTTGGTTCAATCCAAATTTGCGTTAATGTGTTGCATAACTGAGCCATTTATGCGATCAATGGCTGAAGGAAGCAGTGTGCATTCAGATGGAATCAAAGAAGTCCATCAGGTACCGATGAATGTCATCAATCGACCAATACCTTCTGTGCTTGAAGAAGAAAAAGTGCAGTCTCTAATGAAAACAATCCAGGTAAGAGTGTTTTAATTTATAGCCTGGAAAGTTCAGATTTTCTCTCGATACCTTTCCTATGCTTCTATTAAAAGCATTTTCTTAATCTAAAGTAGTGCTGGAGATGTTTTGCCCCTCAAACATACAGTACAAAAATTGTTTGAAATCATTAAAGAATATAACAAAAAAATTGAAGTAGACAAAAAAATTTTGACAAGCCTAACACCAGTTTAGGTTGGTATCTTAGGAGTCTTCAGACGGAATATCAACTAGTTTATGTAACTACCCGATTGATTTGTTCAAAGAAGGCACATTATCACTAAAACGTTGTAGGTTTTCTTTTTGCTTCCAAAGTTTTCTCAACAATTCACATTTCAAGTTATGTCTACACTTTGAAAAATCCCAAATGCTGACACCAATAGAATCACAGAAGTTTCCTGAAGAGTCTCAGGAGACTCTCAGGAAAAACATATTTTGTGGGTAACTATCTAACAGTTATCTGTGACAGACCTGTTTTCTCCCAACCTTTATGTGTGATTGAGAGATTCAAGGGATTTGAAATGTCGATCAACATCGGTTTGTGAAAGGAAAACTTCTAAGTAAAGGCAAATTTTCTGGCAGATGTAAGATAAGATGTCCTATCTGATGGTTGTTTATAAAATTCAAGTTGCTGTTTTATTCCTCCAGAGGGTTTTCTCACAGCACTAAATGATAAATGTAAACGAGACCCCCATCGTTCAATTGGTGGATAACACTGTCCACTGGACAAATCTCTATCTGGTGGATAGTACAGTGTGTTTTGAATGGTGTCTGACATGTAAAATACAGTAATTCTGAAATTATATTAAAACTGACCACAAGGTTGATGGGAAATTTTTGCTCTGACCCCTTCATTCCATAACATTGGCAATAAATTGTCTCTTCAACTTTAGGATGAGAATGCAAGATATTCTGTGCCTCCAATTGATGTATTATGGATCAAAGGAAGATTAGGTGGTGACTATTTCTACTCATTTGGGGGATGCCATAGGTTTGAAGCTTACAAAAGACTTAACAAGAACACAATTCCCTGCAAGCTAGTTAAATCAACAGTTGAAGGCCTTAAGGTTTATTTAGGATCTTCTTTGCCAGACCTGAAATAAGAATCAGTCTGTAGTGTGTTTTTGTGAACATGTGTGACTCCACAATTCTCAGTCATCTACAATAATAGGGCTGGCAAATAGTGAAATGTGATATCCTAGTTTGAATATTGTTACCCTAAAATCTTAATCACACTTCAGTAGAAAATAAAACTATGTACATGAAAGGCATATAGTCATGAACTGTATAGAAATGGTATTTTCAAAATTGTACATATTATTAAGAATTGTCTTATAATTGAATGACAATATTTCATTATTCTCAGTTATCACTCTATTCTTTAATTTTCTCTAAAACACTCCATACTCTTACTCCTGACCAGACATAATACACAGGCCCAGTTGGTTTGGTTGAGCACAGACTCTTTTTCTCCTTCCTTTAATCCCTTTGACTCCCAGAGGTGATTATCATATAACTACTCCCTATAATATCCATACATTATACAGCAAACAGGTAGTGAGAATACGCAAACTCATCAGGTACAATTTATAACCTTGATTGAACACCAAGTTCTCGTAATCAATTTACTAGGAAATGTGTTGTAGCTAGAGGGGAGGATTGACAATCAGATCTTGGGAGTTAAAGGGCCAATCCCTTTAAATAACCTGTCCTACCACCTCTGAATTCATTGTAATGCAAGGGATATTAATTTGAGAAATTAAATGGGTTGGGTATGCTTACAGGTATTTGTTTTCACAATCATTGAGTGTGTCTATAGGGAAAGGGACTGATTAATTACAGTGTTTGCACATGTAGAACTTGTGTATGTTTTTCTGTCCACTCTCTCGTGACTCCACCACTCAAGAATATTCTGATGTCTTGTGTACACTGGCCAGTTTCTCTTATATTTCTTTGCTCTTTGGCTGGAATTTGCTCCTGTGACAAATACAAGCCACAGGTTGGGTTCAACTATATGTTGCTACATATTTTTGAGTCTCTTGCCTGCAGATCAAATTGACTTATTTTGGACATATCATTCCTGTCTCAAGTCTGGAGAATAACTTGGTCATTCATTCAGGAAAAAATTTTGGCATTCTTATTACTTATGTTAGCATTTTCTTATTTCTTTGTAAATAAATGTGCATTTTCTGCAATCCTCTCTAGTTTATTGTGCTTGAAGTTGTCAGATTGTCCTTGAAAAATCTGTGGAAAAAGTCTTTCCATGAGCCACATATCATGGGGAAAGAGATCCCATACATTACTCTTACAAATAGGGTTGGAATAGTTTATTTCTATTTGTGGGTTGGTAAACTGTCCAAATTAACGAAGCCTTACATATGAGCTCCAAGAAGAACCTCCAGGTCCCAGGTGATGAACTTCCTTGTTACAAAAGTGTTCTGAGAGGTAGGATGTGGTATTTAGGTGGAAACTTTACTTTGATGTGAATTGTAGAGTGGCAACATAACCAATTGGACAGTTTTAACCCGTTAATACCCAAGATCTCATTAGTGATTCTCCTTACTATCTGCCACATAGTTCTTGTTAATTTAGAGAATTTGGTGTTGGATCAACTAATAATCCCCTAATTAATATTTTTCTGTATTCTCATCACTCGTCTGCTTGATATTGTAAAGAGAAATTCTGTCTTGGTCACTCATGAGAGTTAAAGGATTAAACTGCAAAATGTATATATTCAAGTGACAAATAATTTTTACAATGAAATTATGGGTTGAAGTCTGTCCAAATGTAGTTGTTAAATGTGGTGATAATCATAATGTACCAAAGAAAATCTTGCTCATGAAGCAGGCAGGTAAAACTACTGGTATGTTTGGTGTCAACAGTTTACAATATTACTGATAATTGCACAAAGTATTAGCCACTGGCTATTGGATTTCTCTGGTCACAATTCAAGGAATTTTTTTTCTGTGGCTGGGATATGTGTTTGAAGTAAATCAATATCAATCCAAAGTTTTGTAAAGTTAAGGTAGCTACTTTGAAAACTTTAATTTTTTTTTTCTTAAAGGATACAATGAAATTTTGGGGAGTGTAGGAATTTTCAACAGGCACAAAAGTGAGATTTTTAACACATAGAGACCCTTACAAAGTTCACAATAAGAGTACTAGTACACAAAAATTCCAATTTTTTTAAAACAACACTACTAAAATCTTTAATCACAAACCTCTTTATTTTTCCTTTTTTATACAAAATGCTTAAACAGTTCACTTGATATAATAAACTCTGTTCACCCTGTGTTCTTGCTCTGGCTGCTTATGTCAGCTCCACACAAGCCTCTTCTGCAAGATGTACCATGAAAGCAAAATTATGTTTACTTTATAAAAGGTAAGGAAATCAAATACTACATAGAGTTTATTGGACAACAGCTTCTTCTATGTGCATCTGCCATTTGTCAGATGTTTCTTGTTTTATACAATAATTTAATCTTTTTCTTGTCTAACTGTTAAGTAGATTTCATTTTCTAGACAGCTTCTTCAACTCTCTTTCTTTGGGGTGGGTTTCTTGCTCTTAATCATCACCACAGCGACAAATACTCCTAAAAAAATAAAAATTATCATAAGTAGGTAAAACTTATAAATATACATCATCATGATATTCTGTCACATAATTTTCTAATCTCACATAGAACAAGGTTCAAGTCAACAAAAGAATTAGTGAACCTTGTTTGCCAATTCAAATGCAGCTGGAGATGTTACAAGCAATATAATTCTGAAAATCTGAACAAAACAACATTGAAAAAAAGGCAGTCCCAGATTTGCTTCAGGTTGCTCATCTAACCATGGAATTTCTATCTTAAAATTTAGTAACAGTAAAAAAACCCTGATCCACTACTGTATGGATACACTACTGTATGCCGCTTCTCTCATTCAGAGGTCCTCTTACTCTGTTCCAAAAAAATTGATGTCTTTGTGGAAGGGGTATAAAAAAAGAGCAGTTACCTATTACTCCTAACAATAGCACACCGGCAATGACTGGAATTATAACAGCATATATTCTGGGTAGAAATAATCTCTGAATTGGATGACCTTTCTCCACAAATGGCTAAAAAGAAAATGCATGAGTACATGAAGTCTGCAGAATACTCTGTTATTGCATGTAAAAGGGGTTTGTAATTTAAAATCTCAAAACTATTAACCAAAATACAACTTTTCTACGACACAAGCACGCATTTTAAATGCAATTTGCGATTCAGTGCATTAAAAAAATTACCTTTACTTCTCTCTTAACAATCAACCCCCAGACTGCAACTCTAGCAGACAGAGACAACCATGACAACGACAGTCACGTAAAAAAAATGTGAAAAGATTCACAAAGACATCCTTCGTGGCTATTTCAGGTTAAAACTGATCAGAATCCGGTAGAATTAAATATTTTTAGTATTAGTAGAAGATTTCATGTGAGTAAATAAAACCAGAGGGCAATCCTAATGACTGTTCCGATCATTGGGGTACAAGAGAACATACACCGCCATGGTACTTACCAGTAAGACAACCCATATCGTGTAATACACAAAAATTACAGCACTGACTAACATCATCCCATACCCAGCCGCACGATCCGTTCCTGTAGCCTAGAATTCAAATAGTAAAGTCAGGCGAGCTTTCATATCTATGTGGCACGAGACCAGAGGTGTACCTATTCTCGTGCACTGAAACAATCGAAGCCTTCAGAGCTCGAGAAAAACGAGTAGTTGAGGTAAAATTTCAGCGGAAGACGCACCAAGACCATATTGAACCCTCAAACACAAAACTTACCATTTTATAAAAGAAAAATAACGCTAAACTATCGAGTTGAACTAAAAGCAGACAGAAAACGCTGTGAGAAGTTGAATCTTCAAAACAGTTGGTCAGCGGAGTAATACCGGAAGTTGAGTTGCAGACAAGGAAACAAAGTTCACTTAGCTAACTTTTGTGAAAATGTCAAAGTTAACAAAGGGATTGTAAAAATTGTCAACAAAATTATAATAAATGCGAACAAGAATATTCCCGTCGCATGAGAAAGGTAGTCGTGTCCTTTACCAGGGAAGAAACCATGCTTTTATCACTTACAACTCACAATCTCGTGTTAGCCGCGGTAACAGTAACGGATCCTTATCGAAGAAATTTAAAGTTGTTCCTAGATTACGGAACCGATTGTTTTCAAAATGAAGCTGTTGATTCTTTGCCTTTTGGTGTTCACCTCTGCGGGCTTCGTTTTCGGTGACGAAGAAGAAACCAAGCCGAATTTTATCGATTTGGATGAGAACGATGATCAAGCCTACGAGGATTCACCAGAAGACTTCGTCGAGGACGAAGGAGACGACGTAAGTTAATATCAGGACGCGGCTAAATCTGACGTTAAATGAGATCTGTTATATTTTATTAAATTTTTTATCTCAACTTTTAAATCTATTGTCGAGGATATCATCGAATTTTAATTGTATCATGGGTTTCGCGTCAAGTTATTGAGAAGAACAGACCAAAATACACTATGATTCCGTCAAATATTCCACTTTCGCGCAATGATCATTATTTCATTTGATAACTCTGAAAATTTGAGTTCATCGCGATCTAAATGCCATAGTTACCTGAAATATTTATTTCCCAGGAGTTGATTCTTTTGTGGAGAGATTTTTCATTCGTACAAACGAAAATTAAGTGCCTCCTACTCTCGCTCATTAAAAAATGCCGTATGGCTTGTCTATTTACAAATGGTTGAATTCTAATTTAAGAGAAAGAGCCAAAAATAATTCCGGTAACTTACGTGTGAATGGATCAATTGCGAGATTCAGGGCAAATTTTCTACCAACTTTCGCGGCTTCAATGGAGAAACCGTCTAGAATGAGCTCTTGAACCAAAATATTTGAAAAAGACGAGGGTAAATGGTTACAGATTTCATTATCTTGAAAATAATTTCGTGCCTTTTTTACTTCTTTTCAAGCAGTATATGTTGGATGAGGAAGACCTTGATGAGGTAAGTAAAAACTACAGATCTCATCAACATCACACAAGTCCCTCAGACTCATGAATTTCTTTCAATAAAAGAGAACGTCACTTCAAAAAGCTTCACCTTAACTCATCCCGCAACCGTCTCAGTGCTAATAAAGTACTCTCCCATTCCGTGAAATGGTAAAAATCACCAAAAGAAATAACGAACATCCTAAATGGTATCCGAAATCTCTGTTGCTGATTATGCTATTGGTAAAAAATTCATATTTCTCGAGTCGGCGCCAGTGGTTTGCAAGCCATTCTAGATTCAGTGAAAAAACTAATTTTTCAACAGGAAGATGACAGTGAACCCAAAGATCCTGCTGGCTTTAAGGCAATTATCATCTTTTTTGTTCTTCTTCCAGTTGGATACCAAAGCTTTTCACGTCTGATTCCGCAAACTGTTTTGTCTGTTTTAAATGTAGGACGATGAAAACGACCCAAATTCAACAAAACCTAGGGGAGGAAAACCCGTCCAAGTAAGTACAATTGCAGTTCCGATATATTTTAGAATGTTTCGTCTAATCCTTAAAATCATTTTAAGTTTGTTACGATTTCCACGATAATTCTGATTGTATGAATTTCAAAAAACTCTGGGAGGAACGAGAAAAGAAGATGAACTATCTACAACAGCTGTCCCCGTCCCCCCCCCCCCCCCCCCCCCCCCATCAATGGACATAACGAGTTTTAACTTGCTTGGGACATCTGTTACGTCATCGACGGTAAAATGTCCACGTTCATCTACTGGATTGATTAACGGGGATATCACGTGATAACAACCTTGAATTCTTCTATCACGAATAGGGACATCCATGAATATAACTCTGAAAAATATTTGTTTTTTTAAAAAATCTTGATCGACGATTTACCCCCATACCTTACAGTTCATGCTCAACAATCTTCTGTTTACGTAAAAATATAGGTAATAACGAATGTGAAAAAAATTGGCTTTATAGATCGGTGAAATAAAAATACCAGGAATTGAGGAAGCAAGCAGCGGCATGCCGGAGCAGACAGGCAAAAAGGAAAACCAGAATACGAAAAGAAAGGAAGTAAGTGCGGAATGAATTTTTCTCTTCAATCGTGTCGCTCTTACCAAAAAATCCTTTAGTGTGTCAAAGTTTCCAATATGAAAAAAATACGGAAGAAATTATATGAACGTACACTTCATTTTAATAAGACGGGGACCGACATATGAATTGTCTTACAAAACCGCCAAGATGAATATACAGAATGAAAATTAACCCTTAATTCAACCCTCAGACGTGGTTGGCATCTCATCTCTCTACAATATAAAAAATTGATCAGTTGGAGTCGGTTTTTCTTCTTATAATAACATCACAGTATCTAATTTACAGATCAATTTGAAGCCGCGACAAGTTAAAATTTAAAATCAAATCTTGAGAGTTAAAAATTCCAGCCACAGGCACTAACTAACTTGCCAGTGCTATACTAAAAACAATTTAGCATGAAATTTCCATGTATCCAAGGTTTTACAATTCCTGCCAACAATTTTCTTTAACAGGACGGGAATCTGCAAGACGCTTTGGTGGATAAGCTAGGATTGAATTTCGCAGGAGAGTCGGACGATCCAGACTTCGTCACCAAGAAATAAACTCCAAATAATCTAAACTACCAGTGATGATACCACTGGCGAGAGGCGTAACTTAAGCTTTTATGGTGCACATTTATACGTTTTATTTTGGGCAAACTTAAAGGGGAACATTTTTGATGAAATAACTGAGTTTTTTTGTGGTTTAATTTTAATACAGTTTGGCTTTTATCAGACAAACATTTATATTCATATTTTTTGTTTCATTTACTACAAAAATTAACTTGTCAATCGATTTTCAAATTTCAAACTTTATTAAAGAGTAATGCGCCTCTACGCAAAGTGTGTGTTCTAAGTTTTGCTTGATATCTTTAATCTTCCAAAAAAGTTTAAAGGAAGAGATAGCCATTGGCACTCTCACTTTTGCAACCAAGGAAGGAAACTCAAATTGGTGCAAACATCTTGAAACAGTGTCAGGCAACTTTTGTAACATGAAGAATTTCTACTGCAGCCCGATAGTTAAGAGCCAGCAAAAAGTCTACGACAATTTCCCCAGTAAAAATGTTTTACTTTTCTCTCCTGGATATTGTCTCGCCGTGAAAAACGCGCTTGTTTTCTTCCTTTTTCTTTTTCTTTTTTTTCTTTTCGTAACAAAAGTGCAAGTGAGCAGCCATGTAACTCGAATCTCATTTTTTTCGTACTCAAACTTCGTTCTCCGATCATCGCTTTCGTCAGTTCACCACAAAGATCAAGTGGTCTTGAGCAAAATTAAATTTGAAGGCTAATTCCATCTTCCGGGCGCGTTTTTCAAAACGGGCTTCCTTTGATATTCGTGAGTTTTACTCACACCCACCCCGTACAATGTTGAGTAACTGATTTCATGTCACAAAAGTCTGCAATCCTGTGTCGTCCTGCGCTTAAAGGGAAAAATGAAGGTCCTATGAGTATAAACCAGACATTTTCATGAATTTTTGACGCAATTCGTCTGAGATAGTCGTTAAAAGTTTAAAATAGTATTTCTTGGCCTTAAAACTTCGTGAACTGGAAAAAGTTTTGACTATGAAACATAGAAAATGATCACTTATCGTTTTCGTTCTTTGTCGCCTTAGCTACTGAGAAAGTAATGTGTGAAAAATTGTGTGCGAGAGAATGGAAAAGAAACAACAGGAAATGATGAAATCTTATTCAAAATTGGTACTCCACAGAAGGGGTAGGCTCGATTACTAGCCGCTCTAAGGGAATATGAGCCCATGCTCCCCTCTCCCCCCGAACTCTTCTCGAGGAGGAGTGAAGACCGGACACGAGAGAGCTGCGGAAATCGAGCCTGCCAAAGGGGTAACCGTCACTGTTTAAGTCAATTTAGCTGCTATGGTCACTAATAGAACAATTGTTAGGCAAAGCTTGAAGCATATGATGCAAAATCTGAGAGACTTGTAATGGACTTTGAAAATTAGAGGGATATCATGCGTGATCAGCAGTTTTGATAGGGTGCAGTAAGACCACCACAGACCACCCTCAGTATTCCGCTGGGATTGGTCTCCTGGCTTGAATTATCTTTATCTATTATCAATGATGTGCCCCATTACAAAACATAAGTTTGGCCGGAACACGAAAAAAACAAAAAAAAGGCGACAATTAATCACCTAGGAACAATGATAGCTTTGGATAGAAAAGATTGACAGGATTAAATAGAAATGACAAACTTAAAAAATTCCAGTTACGTTTTTCAAAATGCAACGAGAGTGCTTTAGATGTACTGTCCCTTTATTCCTATTACTGACCAAAATGGCATTTATTTCTCCTCATCGATATTCACATATTTTCAATCAGAAAAGTGACAGGAGGATAGAAAAATATCGGGGGAATATTGTTCGATCTAACACCAAATTCTCAGAGCTATCATAATACGAAATGTATGAGAGACAGTGCGGAGAATTGAAAGTTTGATCTCGGGAGTGAAAGTGTTAAATTACAGTGACACTCCTCGGTTGTACACTCCTCGGTCGCACACTGAACTCTATCTGACTTTCAAATGATGAGTTCTTTGTGGTAGGTGGAATCTCAAACGAAAAGTCTTCCTCAGCAAACGTCACGGTCCTTCTCCAGTCTTCGAAAGAGTCGGAAGAATCATCATCTGAGATCTGAAGCTTTTCTGAGGTCAAAAGTTTCTCGATTTTGACTTTTTCTTGGACACTGTTGAACTTGGAGCCAATGATTGGCAACAGAGGGGTAATGATGATCACTCCAAATACCACACACAAGGCACTATTTATTTTGCCAGCTGAAATAAAAGTTTCAAAAAATAATTCAGGGTAAATTTGGTTAGAAATTCGTCTGTCTGAAGGAGAGGAATGAAAGAAAATGAAGATGATGATTTTAATTCTATTTTAGATCGATAGAGATTATCTCCCTTTGAGTAATAGATAAGGTGCTGACAAGGAGAATCAAGAGTTTTTCTGAGCTGGTGCCGGACCATATTCTTTATTCTCATGACCTTAATGTGTGATTCAGGGGTGATATTGTGAGGAGAAATTCGATACTAGTCATCCTTAGCGGTGAAAGCGTTACGGCTGTTAGCGATGTTCTCCTGCTGTTATCTATTTTGTATCAGGGGCTCGTCGTTGGTGAAGATAAAGGAGACAGATAGAGTACATACATAAGGAGCATCCATGTATTAATAGAGAGAGATACAAGCTAGAGTATCATAAACCTCAAATTTGTACAACGTAGCAAAGACGTACCTAGCTACTTAACTTATTTAAACCTACCAAGAGTTACCGGGACCATATCTCCATATCCCACACTGGTCAGTGTTATTATGGCCCACCAAAACGCCGCGGGAATGCTCACAAAATCAGTCCCTTCATGTTCTTGCTCGAAATAGTAACAGGTGCTGGCAAACACAGTCGTAGTCATCAGAATAAGAAAGTAGAGCAACAGGAAATCCTTGACGCATTCTCTAATTGTTTTAACAAAGATCTGCACGGAGGAACTGTAGCGATATATTTTCGCGAGTCTCAAGAGACGCACGAGACGCAAAACCCTCAGAGTATACGCGGATTGTGTTGCGCTAACAGAATGCCAAGACATTACGAGAGAGAGGTAGAAAGGTAAAACTGAGAGGAGGTCGAAAAGGTTGAGAAGATTCCAGAAGAAACGCCGTTTTTCAGCGGAGGCTAGAAAGCGGATTATCAGCTCTAATGAAAAACAGGCAACGCAAAATGTCTCGATGACAAACAAAGTCCGAAGTTTATTTGATAAACTTTGATTTTCATGTATCACCGTAGGAATGTCTCCTGTAATTTTGGTCGGTTTTTTTCCATTTGTTTGTTTCCGAATGTGTGCTGAAACACCGCCATTTGCTTCATCAAGGTCAGGGAGAGTTTCAATGCACAACATGATGATAGACAAAATAATCACCAGAAGCATAAACACGTTGATAAGTCGGGCAGTAATGCTAGAGCTTGGATTTTCAAAGAATTCCCACACCATTCTTTGATACTTGTTGGCTGGAAGAATTACCTTAGAGGGGCCTACAGACAGTGAAACATTTCCCGGCAGCGAAAGATATTGTAATAGACCAAAAAACTGCAATTCCTTCATAAGTAGGTCGTCCGGAATATGTTCAGGACGGAAAAACTCTCCAGCAGTTTGGTAAAAATGATAGACGCTTTCAAACGCCATTCGATTCCTATCGAAGAAATACTCGTCCCTTTCGGCGTCGTAAAATTCTTCTCTTCGAGCAGAGCGGGCGAGCAGACTCTTAGGGAACCTAAACAACCGACTGTAAGTCAATTCATACTTCTTTCCACTCACGTTTATCTTGATTCTTTCAACGCACTTTCCTGGGATCGCGACAGAACTTATGCGCGGTCGTCGGTAGCGCGTGACGTCTCTAAGTCTGTGTCCCAAACGAGGAGTTTTAATTCTTGAGTCCGACCAAGACTTTCTGCTGGCACCTACCGGCGGCAGAATCATGAAGTCAGCTGTTTATGAACCTACTGCAAAATCCGATAGAATTCGGCATGTCAAAGGCACGTGACAATAACAGAACTACAAACTGCATTTGCGAATCACTACTTTCCTTTATCAATTCTGGCTCGCCAAACAAGTCCTGCTCCGATCTGAGAGTATAATCAGCGAGTATGCCGACTAATGAATTACAACTTTTCCTAATCTTTAGACATGAGGTGAAGGCCGAACCAGATAGTTCAGATAATTTATCATTATCTTCAGTCAGCAAATTTATTCAGAGCGACAACTATAGATTTGCTTTTTAATGGCATCGCGTTTTGATAAACTCCCGCAGTCATGTATCAGTAGATTACACTTAAGGCTGACGCTGTTAACACAGTAAGACTCTTGATTTTGACAACATAAAACCAAAATTATTGATGTTAAGTTTACTTTTATTGAGGTGCGGGAGCATGATGTTAACGAGGTCGTTTATGATTGCATAACTCAGATCCAATGTCCAGACATCTGCCCCACGATTTTGTTTTTGATAAAGTGAACTTTAAGCATATGAGATAAGACTAAAGATAGTGCCGCGCAAGGGAAACATCTTTTGAGTGTCAATTTAATCAGTAATTCAGGATCAGCGAGGCGTTTCATTCGAGGCCTGCAGAACAGGTGTTCAGTCAAACGGAGGCAAGCGCGAGGTGACCGCGAAGTAAGAGTTACGCACAAGGGGAGGAGTGCAAAAAAATATTGATTATTTATTTATTATTTATTTATTTTTTCGAACTCCTCACCTTGCGCCTGACTCGCGCTTCGTGCTCGCCTGGCGCTTGTCTCCGTTCGCTTGAATGTCGCATGTTCGTATGTAGGCTTGACTTCTGCTGTTCGTGGAGCGCGGGCTCATTTTCTGAACATTGGCTCACCTCTCACCGCTACGGCTTGGATTCTATTACCGAACCTTGCTGACGTGCAGTGCTTTTTTTTCTACGCTTCTTTCAGTAGAGCATTCTGCTGTCGTGATTTTCAAGGTTGAGTCGACGGACATGACGGATCATATCGAAGAACATGCATCAACAGCACTATATACTTGACTGTCTGACCACAAGTAACTACCGCTTTCATGATCTACAGTTTTGTGAGATTTCACGAGAGTTTCTTGGGAATTAAGTTATTTGAGAGAAGCTTCAATATCGGTTCCAGTATCCAAAAAAACACGCGGTGATAATAACTCGTTAAAGAAGCTGGAGAGCTCATGGGTTCAAATCCCGTACAGGCCTTGTTTTTAGTACTGCTTAAGTAGTGTTCATCTCCGCGAAGATCGCTTTCATATTCAATTCTTTCTTCTTATGCTGGCTCTGTAGTGGCAAACTGCTAAAAAAGAAACATAATTGCAGACACGGCTTGAGACAAAGTCGGTGCGTTTCGCTTCTTGTAGTTTGTGTTTAACACACTTTATAATACTTATAACACACACTCGTGTATATCCTGCAGTGGACTAGTTCCTGAAACCAGACCCTGCTATGTACCAGTCCCCTCGTGTGTGCCGACCTTTATGCTGTGTAATGTTAATTACAGTTACCTGCCTGAAGTGGACATGGTATTAAAACTGTACAGTTTCCCTATGTAATCTTAACTCTATGATAAAAACCTCTTGGAATGCCCCATTTCTACTGGCTTTGGGTCTCAAAGGGCTCTGTTTTAGTAATAAATGTGGATGTTGAAAGAGGGGGCCGTAAACGGAAATGTACACAGCGTACGTGGCATTTGTAAAAGATCTCAAGAGAAATAAAAGCGATGTTGTTAAAACTACGGGCCTTTTTTTTATCTCATGTCTGGATTATCAATATTACATTGGCTGGCCAATACAATATGACAAAATCGGAAATTTAGCTGGTGTTCGCTTATACGGGGTCCTTTCACAGGCCAGCTACAACAGTAGAAGGCCTGAATGTATGAAAGTCCTTAATGCAACCCAATGCAATCGTTTGTCTCTGCCAATGCATTGTTATAGTCGACATCCACATTGAGATGCTAAAGTGACAGTTGTCACACTAAAGAATCCTTTGGCCAAAATCCTTTTAATTTACTTATACTGTCGATTGGTCAGTTGGCACTTTTATATGTCAGTGCGGATTAAGAGTAAATGTTATTACATTTAGGACTTTAGTACATTTAGGACAGTTATTACACAAAGGCCTCACACACAGGCCTAACTTTACCATGAGACGCTTCAGCCAATCTGGAAGTGACACAGTGATTTACAGAGTGAAGACTGGTACCAATATCATGTTAGTATTAATATATCTGCGCATCATCGGTTGATGTAGCAACTGAGCTGTAGGTGTTCTCTTGTCTTGGTCTTTTGATAAAAGTTTTTTGAGAAACGATTTAAACCTTAATATGAGTCATAATCACATGCATGGTAATAATATGCATTCTGGAATGAACATGTCTACAACGCCGCCGATGACTCATGGAGATCATGGCGGGCACGGAGGCACTGTCCACCATATGATGCAGGTTTGCATTGGTTGTTTAGTTAGTTTTCTTTGCTATTTCATTTTGAAAACGGCATCATTTCAGTCAGAAATTTGCCATTGCTCTCATTTTTAAAGGGCGATCTTGAGGAAAGACTCGTCTTCCTCCGTCAAGTAAAATGACCAAAGAGGAGTAGTGAGGCATATCGTTTATCATCCCGTGACTCTGGTTCAATTTACTTCGATTTCCTTTAATTCCGTCGAAATCTCAAGGAGTAAGGTTATGTCTACAAACATGAGCTATTCGTCCACGATCGTTCAACAAAGTTTATTTCCCATTACTTATACGATTACCATTCACTTGATGTACTTTTTCCTCGTAATGAAATCCCACTTGACGAGCTTTTGATTCGATCTCGCCACAGATATTATACCAAGGACCAAACATTTTGATTGCCGCAATTGCACATGCTAAACTGATTTTATTGAAAGCTCAGAACATGTTTTGGTTTGAGAGTTTGAATGGTCATCGTTTGTATCTTTTTTTGGCTTTTGAGATCGGAAGAAATTGTTTGAACTTACTTAAACGAGGCAGACTTGACGTAGTACTTTTTCGGGTAATATTATTATTTTACTTCGGTTTAAACGTAATATTTAGTGGCTTGTAAATCTAAGTTATGACATGTTTCATTTACCCATGAGCTAATCTTTTATTAAGGAGTATAGAAAAAATGGTTTTGAGAAAGAAATCGGGGTTCTGGTATTCATCATTTCAATAACATGCCTATGTTTATCATGACGACAAATTTACATCTGTTAACTAATGACGTATTGATCCATACGCCCTCTTCTTTGTTCTTAGAATTGTTTTTTTTTGCCACATTTTTCTAAAGGTTTCCTGTGAGACTATGTTAGCTTTACACATCTGTTTAAACACCTTTTTTTATGTCTTGGGAACTTAGCCTGATGTAAAATCCACACAACGTGCCGGTTTACAAATATAACAGACTTGTAACAAATTTCAGAATCTGATATTTGTTGTCTTTGTTTGGTAAGCTTGACACCAAGGAGACAACAGCCTTCATGGATATTTACATTTCACAATATTGGACCTGTTTCAAGCACTAGGGTTCTCACACCAAGATATTACAACTCTTGTAGTCAACCTTAATTACTTTTTATCTATTCCACACAACATTTGTGTTTCTTTTTAAAACTACTTGGTGAGGATGTGTTTGGTAACTCCCCTAATTATTAAGAAAGTTTTGCCTTTTGTGTATTGGTAGCAAATGTTAATTTAGTTGTGATGTTTTTTACCTGAGGGAAGAAATTTTTGCTTCAGCTCTGACAAGTTGTTGGTAATGATTTGTTATCATGGTGTTCCCTTTTATTAAAATTCTACTTGGATCAAATGGCATCCATCCAACTTTTTATCACAATTGGGCAAATTGTAAGAAATTGCATGTCAAAATTGTTATAGATATGTAGAAAGTATCTGAGCAAGTTATATAATTTCAACTCTGTTTTGGTTGCCCTAAAATGTAGCTTCTGATCCAATGATTTTGCCAGTGCAAAATTGAATTCCAGTGGCAATCTTACTTGTGAGTAGTTTCATATGTGTTTTTCTTCTGCTGCATAATGATGGAAAAGATGAATCCTTAACATGGAATAATTTCTTTGTCCTTCAATTTTACACATCCTCCATTAGGAGATGTAATTTGAATATATTTGGGCAACATGCCAAATTTTATTCATAATTTGGCATCATAAAACCAAATTCAGGGAAAAGAGACTAAAAAAATAAACCATATGTTTCACCATTACTTAGACTGAAAAAAAATATAAATGGTTGGAACTTGTTCTCCCACTTTGGGCATATCATAATTTGAATTTGCTTGCAAGCATTTGTAACGGAAGGTCTGATGTGCAGAGATTTTGTCATAAAACAGGTAAAAATTTGCTTGTGTCCTCTAATTCTTGTGGTATGTTCCATAAATAAGCATTAACAAATGAAATTAGGGTTGCAAGGATCAGAAAAAAACTAAATGGAAAATTGAAACAACTAATTCTTTCTCAAGGTTCTCTCAAAAAATGCTTGTCACTCCAACCAAAAATGTGTAATTGTGCTTTGGTCCAATACTTGTCAAAAGGCAGATTTATTTAATGTGTTATGATAACTGTGTAGGTTGCAAGTGTCAGTTTTGCTTTAATATTAATTGTGCAAGATAAAAATAATATGATAATTCTTGTAACTTGAGAATGGAAGTTTCTTATCCAAAAAACATTTCATTATAAAACTAAATAAATCACACCAATTCATCCAAAGCAAGTATGGTGTGAAAAAATGGAAAGAGAAATTTTGCTCATGAAATTTTATATTAGGGAAATTAAGAAATGCAGTAAGGACAATTTGTTTCTTTTGCTACATTAAATATTTGATATGTGGTGGTAATTACTGACAGCAGGTAATATAATGTAACACTTGGCTGCTGATGACTGCATTTTTACCATCTTGGCCAATACGCTGAGCTGTATGTTACACTGTGAGGTGTCTACAGGTTTTAGTTTTTCCTTTAAACTTGATTGCTGAAAGGTATTCCAGGATGGGAAAGGTGATCAAAAGTTTTCTTCACTATTTTGCAAATCAGTTGACCATATCCATTTCATGATATTTACTTTGAGAAAATCCTGGCATCAGATTTCCAGGCTCAGAGGATGCTAAGTGTGGACCTTCACAAATTTCCTTAGCAGGACTGCAGTTATTGTATAAACTGTAATGGGTGACTCGTCTTAAAAAATAATCCAAATCTTATTATATTGTCTTTCATTTTTGTGTCTAGCCATTTTTAACTTTCCTCTTGTAGAGAACATTCCAGCATGCAGTTTATGGCTTTAAATTGCATCAATATACAAATGATTTGTTTCAAGAAGATGCTCTCAAAGCTATAGTGACATAATTTTTTCCCAAAGTCATATTTACGAGTGCATGATAGTAACCTTGATAAATGATCTGACTTGAAAATGTATGATCATTTTAAAATCTTGATATGTTACAGAAAATTTATGTATAATTCACAGTAATTGTTTCTTTGGATTAAAATTCTTACACAAATTTGAACACAGGACTCTCTAGAGAATCTTCTTTACCATATTTAATTGTCACAGAGAAGTACATGCTGCATTATTCTTTTCATCTATGTTAGACTGTCAAACCTGCACAGCTTAAAACTTAGCCTTGTTTTTAGGCTTATATATAATCTGGAGATATGATGAAATTTTTAATTATTACATTTACTGAAACTGAATGTATCTTAATCTAATGCAGCCTTAATTGGTAAAAACTTAAATTCATATTGCATAAATGCATAATTTCACCTTCATTCAAATATTTGCGCAACTTTGCCATACTTTTCTGACAATTTTTGCTTGTATCATTTTCAATTGGAAATAAGTACTTTTTTCTCTCTTTTTTCTTTACTCTTTTATAGATGTATTTTGTTGTAAGCAAGAGTGCAACTATATTGTTTGAAGACTGGAAAGTAGATACAGCAACAGGTACAGTGTACATGTTAACAACTAGAACTTAATTGGCTGCTATTGTCTGTTTGACATTGCATTTATATTGTAAGGAATAATTCTGTTATGGTCACTCAGGGGAGTGGAGTTGTTAAGGGCTGTCAGGTTTTCTTGTTAAGAAATGGTAGAGATTTTGACTATTAACTTGTATAACTCTATTTTTGTTGCATTAATCATTTGATGCATTGATTTATTGGTTGATAGAAATGGTTTTCTCCTGCCTCGGTATATTTGTTCTTGCTGCACTCTATGAAGGATTAAAAGTTCTTCGTGAAGTGTTAAAGAGGAAATATAGCTATGTGGTTAGTGTGGATTTGGCAGAGACCAAGGTGTATGGTACAGGACCTACTCAAACAACTGTTGTGACTGAATCAAAGGGAAAGATTCCAAGGTGAGATTTGTTTCCACTACTAGTGTGGAGCTAATATTAAAATGTAATTTATTGTTTTACGGGGCAAATTTTCTTTATTCTACTCTTTGTTCAAGGAAGCAGACACCTGTCACAGCATCATTTTTAACAACCCTTTCTTTCTTATGACTAAGCAATGTGTGATTTCTCCCAACCACATCAATACATCGTTAAGCAGAGAGGGATTGGGAAGAAAGAAAATATTAATTGGGAGATTTTGTTTGCCTTGTCTACACCAAACTTTCAGAGCTGAAATTTTCATAAATGTTTGACAGGCAGTGTCAGGATCTTGGTAGTTGAAGGGTTGAAAAGTTGTATGTTGCTATGTTGACATTTCTTTCATGTTGGTTTCATTAGCACTTGATGTGTGAGGAATGGTAGCAGGGTCAAATCAATCATGCAAACTAGAATATGTAGTCATATCATGCAGTTTTAGAGTTCCAATAAGCTCAGCTATTATGGAAGTTGGCTTTTTTACAGTTGTGTCCTTTGTTGGGAAGCCTTTGATTTGGAGTAAGGCTGAAGTTGACCATGTGGTGATAGAGACCATTATCTGGTTAGCATGATAACAAAGAAATTTACATTTGAAAAGCAGCATGGTTTGTTACATCATAACAAGGTCACCCTTAGCTAGCCTCACTCCTGATCAAAGGCTTGGCAACTGTAAAATGGACTAGGTATTAATGATTTACACTGTGTCTCATCTGCTTTTTTCTGTTGATTTTTGTTTTGTTTTCAAATAAGTCAGGTTGTATTGCCTTTTTGTTGACAGGTCCAGAATCTGTAATTGGCATCATATACTTCAAACATTCCTTCATGTTGTCCAAGTCACCTTGAGCTATTTCCTCATGTTGATCTTCATGACATACAATGTCTGGCTGTGTCTGGCTGTTGCTCTGGGAGCTGGCTTTGGTTATTTTGCATTTGGATGGAAGCTGAACAAAGTGGTCGATATCTATGAACACTGTCACTGATCAGTAACATTCTCTTACCATAAATTTTTTTGTTTGGAGGAGAGCACCAATATTGATAGTTGGTATCTTTTTTTAATTTCAGTTTTGTCAAGTGGGTTAGTTAGCATACATATTTTTTATTTAATTGAACTGTAAGTTAATTCCACTATGCACACAGTCTGCTTTACATTTTTAATTCAGACTGAACAGGCACATTAGCATTCAAGAAGTGCTCAGAAGAAAATTCATACACAGTTCCTTTAGAACATCTCCTAAACTTTTTCTACACAACCACAGGGATTTGTTTGGATATGATAATGACTGATATGAAGAACATGTCCACTGAAAAATACTGAAAAATAGATAGGAAAAAAAAGAGGGTTACAGAAAATATCCTGAGGTATCTCATGTTTTTTTGCAAAATCCAGTTGATCATATCAATGGATTCATTAATTAATATGTCTCAGGAAGATTGATAGCACCATTCACATAAAAAGTATAGCAAACTTTTAGATGCGAACCAAAATTTAAGTAGTTTGTGATACAGGCAACATTGTTCCCATTCTATTTTCTAACTGATTAGCTTTTTATTTTCTTTTTGTTTTCGTTTTTGGTGGGTGGGGGGGGTGTGGAATATTTGTAAGGACCAGTTTTAACAGTGTGGTTGTAGAAAGGTGTTGCAACTTTCCATTTATGAAGATCTTGGAATGAGTAGTTTGAAGTAACTTTTATCAAAGCAAATTACTTGCAAAGAATCACTGATCAAAGTTTATTAGATTTTCCAAACTGGTGAATGTATGGTTAAAAATATTTTTATGGGTAAACAGACAATAAGGATATTTTTGTTTTCATTATGATATTTCTAGGATTATATATTCTCTGCTATAAATTAGATAGACAACTTTTATGGGCATTTGATATCTTTTAAGTTAATTTTGATTATAGTTGTGGGTACTAAGTGCAGTGCAGTGCAGTGCAGTGCATGTGTCTAAGTAGCTTTGAAGACCTGTGCAATGTGCAGTAACAAAAGAGAAAGGTGATATGAGAAGATGTGGAATAAAAGAGGGAATGGGATCTAGATGAAAGATCATGGAAAGTGCCCATGTCCTTCTTCCTCATTTTTCACTTTGTCACACTGATTGCCCACCTTGTCTCCATGTTTCTGTTCTCTATGCATGGTGTAGACTAAGACTTGTGCAACTCAGCATGATTTGATGGAAGTTTTTTTTGTTCTGTATTTTGCTAGCATGAGGTGAGATTTGTTATTTATATGTTTGCATCAGTCTGTTGGTTTTTTGTTGTTTTTGGATGCTGTAATAGGCTATTATATACTTTTTGCTACAAACTTTTAGATTGATGTGGTCATTATGTGACTAATCAGTTCACAGGAAATTTATGTCACACAATCATAGCAAAAAGGGTATATAGAGGTGATGATAATTTTGCAAAAATATATTTAATTTTGCACAGTCTTTTTTTATTGCATCAGGTGATGTTGTATTCTAAGGGGATAGGGAATGAGGGAAAAGGTTGTTTACAATTCTTTTTTTTTTTTTTTAACATAGTCGTCAACTTCCTCATATGAAAGCCAGTGGGTTACAGTTTCAAGAGCCAGAGATAAAAAAAAAAAGAAAAATAGCAAGGTTAACGAAGGCTAAACAAAATGGCTACTGTGATGGGCTGGCTTGCATTTTGTAGACACTGACCTATTCCATAGTATACTATCTCTGACGGGAAAATAATTTGTGATGAGAATTCAAGCCATTATTCATGTGAATATGTTTTGCTTTTTCCATAACTGGGTCAGTAATATTAAGATAACCTTTGTTTCCTGTGCAGGAAAAGTATGCTTAGTGATAACTGCTTTTAAGCTTAATTTTATAAAGCCTATTTTGCTATATTTATTGCATAGGAAGGAAATGTATTTTTCAATCAAGTAGGATCATTGATATTAAATCAAATTGAACAATTCATTTTGTTGTTTTCCTTTTTTGTTGGAGTCTTTCAGTGAGGAGGCTGAGTGTTAGTAAAGTGAATGTCAAACGAGTAAGGCGCATTTCCTTTATTACTGTGACAAAAGATTTCTTTGACATGAAAGCTCATTTAGATCTAAAGCTTTTTCATGGTCTTCAATCTTTCGGAGCCTCAAGTCATCGGGGAAAATAGCTGAGAAAGCCATATACCCAACTCCTGCCCCAGCAACCACTGCAACCCCAAGCCAAACATTATACGTCATAACTATTAACATCAGCACATATCCCACTAGCACTTGTAGCGTGTGAAGACACGCCTGCAATGTGTGAATTTTAATTCTCCATCTTTGGCTGCAAAGAAAAGAAAAGGGGAAGAAGGTCACTGACGTGAATCAAACGCTCGTAATCGTTAGGACTCAATGATGTTCTCTCATGAGGAGGGAGGAGGGGTGAGGAGGCGCTGCCAGGGGCATGTTTCCGTAACTATATTTAAGCAAGAGGAAGCGTTAACAACGGCGCATTCGTTCTGTTTCTGGTTTTTATTTTCTCAATCGGCCAGGTTCGCTAATCACGTTGTCTGTTCCTGTTTTATGTGTATGTATTTATTTTCAATGAAGGACAGATAAAACTTTCGATGACAAGTGATCAAGAAAGAAAGTCATGCTCACCTCCTGTTCGGGAATCTAACAAATAGTTGTTGTAGGGTTTCTTTATTGCTACATGCGTCCTCAGGATCTGTAACATCTAAACTTGTTGACGTTGAATGACAGATGTCTTTGAATAAGAGACGGAGAGGTCTGCAAACCAGCCATTGCCTGAATATTTTGAGGCCCTCGTATAGAGTAGCAACTAGAACTGTGATGAAAAAAGCTCCTATAAGAACTGAAACAGAAAGGTGAAAACTCATTAACACCGAAAAAACTGTTAGAAACAATATTTCCTGAGACTTTGACTGCGCAGAAGTAATCAACAAGAACGAACAAGGTTTTACTCTCTAACTCGAACTGGGCTCAAGTCTGAGTCTTTTTTCGGCGCATGGCACCCAGTAAGCGTTTGTTTGTTTGTCTGTTAGAGAACTGATGATTTTATGTGATCATTGGTATTTTTTGCAATTGGCCACCTCTGGTCTTTCAAGTAATGTGGTGTTAAAAACTGATTTGAAAACGTGAATTACTCACCGTAAAGGGTAAAAAAGCTGACGTTTCGAGCGTTAGCCCTTCGCAATCGCTCTGACAAAGGGATAACGCTCGAAACGTCAGCTTTTTTACCCTTTACGGTGGCTAATTTACGTTTTCAACTCAGTTGTTAACACTACATTACCTGCTATACTCTCCCACCGACGCAGCACCACAATTTCTTTAGAAATTTACCCCTTTATTCATCTGGTCTTTCAAGGGTCAGTTTGTCACGTGTCATCAAACGCCACGTAATTTAGACATCAAGCGAAAGAATCATATTCAGATCTTTACGGTTTGAGAAGTTAACCACTCAAACATTGTGAAAGAAGACTGCGTAAAAGGCTATCATACCTTCGATTGAATTAAGCTTCCAGTCTTGAAGTAAGAGTGTTCCTTCGGTCCTCAAATGAAACACATTATCCTAAAGGAAGCGATTGGAGAAAAAATTAAATTTTTGATGACTGAATAAGTCAACGCCTTTATCTTGTTTGCCTAAAACTCATTGAAATCTCATCACGCTTTCTTGGAAGATTGCAGGACAATTCCCGTTTCAACAGGAAGCACGATTAGTCAGTAAACAATTTCGTTCCCGAAGGGCTTTCCCTTCAAATCATTCGTGAGGAAAAACATCATGGGAACATCGGTGTAGATTTTTTTAATGGCGTAATAACTGTAAACGCAACATAAGTTCGTAAGAGGCGCTGTGAAACCTGATAGGCCATGAAAACGTGCTTGTTGCGGGGGGAAGGGAGATAGAGGATGGGGGAGAGAGGGAGCCATGGAGAAAGACAGGGCGATGATTAGCCTATGAAAAATTGCAAGTTTTTACCAGAGGACAGCGATAGTGGCAGTTAAATAAAAAAATGTCTTTTCTATGCTATGCAACAATCTCCTAGTTTATCTTTAACTGTAATGTTTGTACTTTGACACTTGCTTATTTAAGGCGAAAAAGAGCTGATAGGTATTATGGTCTTCATGACAACAATCTTGAATAGGGCAACTATGCAAATAAACTGCGATTTAAAGAGATGAAACCATTGTTCCCATAATTTCTTTTAGAATTTTGCATACTAAAAAGTTATTTGTGCCAATAGCTCCCTTTAAATGATTTTCTTTACAATACTGTTGATTAACATACCACTAAAAACTTTTTCTCGAAGACCCTGAGACATTTCTTAACCGCTCCATGGCAGATAAGGCATTATTTATTCCATAATCAGTTCCTCAATACTGTTACAGTTTCTCTCAGTCTCAATATCAAATGTAAATCTGATGTTCCGCAGTTGTCTTTTGCGAACGTTTTGATGGGCGAATTTGTGGGAGTGATACAATTATATTGTTGCCTGACAATAATATTTCGCCCGAACGAATCGCTATTTTAGAAGACTGTTTTCTTAATTTCTCCCTCTGCTTCCTGTAGAATGCGAGAACAGCGGTCTAGTATATCCTCTATCAAGTGCCTGAGCAAATCAAGCAAAACCCGACTAAATCGAAAGGGGTAAAAGTCGTCGTTTCATCGAAGCCTTCGAAAAAGAAAATTAACCAAACTTCGTCTTATAGATTGATTCTTGATATTTTTGTTCGAGATCAGATTTATTACTGCCAAATTTACATTGAGCCAGGTAATTAATATGAATAAACCTGCTATTATTTCCTGAAAAAAGAAATAAAAAATATTATAACTTTAATTCAATGTTGATCAAAACAAAACTTTTTATTCTCAATGCCTTCAATCCAGAGTGGCTCAGAACCTCTGCAAATGATTTCGGCACCAAACGAATTTTGATCCTTGAAAGTACGCGTAATTTAAGAAGTAATTTCAGCGCGATTGTTTTCCTTATCAGAGATTTTACTTTAGTTACCGAGAAGAACCGACCAAAGTCCTTAAATTATCTTCTATACAACTGGGCCATGATTGGAAGGAAGGAAAGAACGAAATCTCTCACTGATTTTTTTTAATAGCTTTCGGAGGAAAGAGTGAGTAAGGCGAAATCACGTTTAAAGGGTCCCTCACTATACGACAGAAGAAAATATACGCCGACGAAAATCGAAAGCTGCCAGCAGAGGTGGACTTTGTTTAATTTAAAACCAGTACAGTTTGATCACCAGTTTCTGTACTTACCTGCATTCTACGCTAAAACTTTAGCGATCCTGTCAGTGATCCTTTAGGCTTTAGTAGGAAATAATAAAATTTAGCCGCGACGTGCAGATGCGGCTCAGCTAACGAAGTCTAAACAGAGTGAGTAGCAAAAGCGGAATATTTCACACCGGTAACAGGTGTAGCAACAAAACACGGAAAACCATTGACAGCTGACACAAAAAATAATTTCCATGTCGTGAAACTTAATTGTCAATCAAAGGCAAAGGCGTCAGTCAGAGCAAAGACCCGGCTTTGCTCAGTCTCTGACCAGAAAAAGACTTTCACATGTTTACTGTATGAACCGATAAAAGACCAGCGCGATTAGTGAGCCAAAATTATGGAAAATTTGAACGGTTTTGATATATTCTTGAAAATTTGCCTCTAATCCTTAACATTCTTTCAAAAAAGATCCCACGGGTGGCGTAGGGGGAAAGCGTTGCGTGATATCCTTTGGGTAGACTCTCATATACCGGGTTCTGAAATAACTAATAATTAACTGATAGATATAGCAGAAGGGTAAAGTGAGTGGGTACAGAGGATCAGTGAACAATGGGCACAGCAGACCAGTGAGTAGAGAGGACCAGAGAAACAGTGGGAACAGAGCAATAGTCTATATCAAAGGATCAAAGGGTAAAGTGAGTGGGTACAGAGGATCAGTGAACAGTGGGCACAGCGGACCAGTGAGTACAGAGGACCAGAGGAACAGTGGGAACAGAGGAATAGTAGGCACAGAGGACCAGAGGAACAGTGAGAACAGAGGACCAGTGGGTACAAAGGACCAGAGGAACAGTAGGCCCAGAGGATCAGTGGGTACAGAGGATCAGTGGGTACAGAGGACCAGAGGAACAGTGGGTACAGAGGACCAGAGGAACAGTGGGAACAGAGGACCAGTGGGCAAAGAGGACCAGTGGGTACAGAGGACCAGGGGAACAGTGGGAACAGAGCAATAGTCTTTATCGAAGGGTAAAGTGAGTGGGTACAGAGGATCAGTGAACAGTGGGCACAGCGGACCTGTGAGTACAGAGGACCAGAGGAACCAGAGGAATAGTGGGAACAGAGGACCAGTGGAACAGTGGGCACAGAGGACCTGAAGAACAGTGAGAACAGAGGACCAGTGGGTACAAAGGACCAGTGGGTACAGAGGGCCAAAGGACCAGTGGGTACAGAGGACCAAAGGACCAGTGGGTACAGAGGACCAAAGGACCAGTGGGTACAGAGGGCCAAAGGACCAGTGGGTACAGAGGACCAAAGGACCAGTGGGTACAGAGGACCAGAGGAACAGTGGGAACAGAGGACCAGAGGACCAGAGGACCAGTGGGTACAGAGGACCAGAGGACCAGTGGGTACAGAGGACCAGAGGAACAGTGGGAACAGGGGACCAGATGACCAGTGGGCAAAGAGGACCAGTGGGTACGGAGGACCAGAGGATCAGTGGGATCAGAGGACCAGTGGGTACAGAGGAACAGAGAAAAAGTGGGAACAGAGGATATGAAGGCACCAGATGGGACAGTGCTAGAAGACACCCAAAATTGTTGAAATCCTATGGCTGCATTTAGAGTTATTCATATAAGGTAGCAAATCATTTTCCAACTCTGAACCTTGTGTTTCTGTACTGTAAGAATATTATTTAATGTTTTTTTCCTTTCAGTCACAAGTCTAAAAGGCTGAGTTTAGGAGTAGGGCAAAATTTTTTTCCTATGCAAAATGTGAAAAATATAAGGCTTTTCTAATTACTGCATCATATTCTCCTAGAGTTTAAGCATTGAAGTTTTTTCAGACTTGTTGTAAAATATGTTTTATTTTATAATCAATAAGGATGCTACAAACTGCCACCTTTGTTCCAGTCAAAGCAACTTAGCTATACCTTTTCCACTAAACAAGCAATTTATTTGATTACAAACAAAGCTATTCCTCATTAATAACCAAATTATATAATAATCTGTTAATTATTAGTTATTTCAGAACCCAGTATATGAGAGACTACCTGATAGGTGTAACAGGAGGGTAAAGTAAGTGGGTACAGAGGATCAGTGAACAGAGGGCACAGCGAATTAGTAGTACAGTGGAAATATAGGAACAGAGGATCAGTAAACAGTGAGCATAAAGGACCAGAGGAACAGTGGGCACTGTGAACTGGTGGCACAATGGGTGCAGAGGACCAGTGGAACAGTGGGTACAGAGGACCAGTGGAACAGTGGGCATAGAGGACCAGAGGAACAGTGGGTACAGAGGACCAGGGGAGCAGTGAGTACAGAGGAATAGAGGAACAATGGGTACAGAGGACCAGAGGAACAATGGGTACAGAGGACCAGTGGAACAGTGGGAACAGAGGACCAGAGGAACAGAGGACCAGAGGAACAGTGGGCACAGAGGACCAGTGGAACAGTTGGTACAGAGAACCAGTGGAACAGTGGGTACAGAGGACCAGTGGGTACAAGGGACTAGTGGGTACAAAGGACCAGAGGAACAGTGGGTACAGAGGACCAGTGGGTACAGAGAACCAGAGGAACAGTGAGACCAGAGGAACAGTGGGCACAGAGGACCAGTGGGAACAGAGGAGCAGAGGAACAGTGGGAACAGAGGAACAGTGGGCACAGAGGACCAGAAGAACAGTGGGTACAGAGGAACCTTTTTAATAAATTCCTAGACAAGCACCCACAGAAGGCTCGACTCTGCCAGGAACACCATATTGATCCAGAGGATGATTATATTGATTTGGCTTAGGTGACAGAACACAAAGCTTTTTTCTATTGTAAAACTGCTTTGCCATTCTTTACATGTAGTTTAGGATCTGAGAATTTGGTGGCCAATCAAACTCAATTCCTTAGTTGATAATTTGTGTGAATTTTGAATGCTTTGGTGTTGTGAGCATTCATATTACTCCCACGAGGAGTGAAAGGGTCAAATCATAAGGTTATGGAATACCTACTAGGAAGATTTTTCTGTGAGAGGGAACATTTACTACCCTCTGCTACCTTAGACAAAAATTTTCACTGAGAACTTATAAGCTTCTGTCGTAACTTTGAATTCTCTCAGGGAAATCCTGGCTACAGATTGCAATGGCACAATTCAATGGTCCTTTATGCTCACTGTTTACTGATCCTCTGTTCCTATATTTCCACTGTACTACTAATTCGCTGTGCCCTCTGTTCACTGATCCTCTGTACCCACTTTACCCTCCTGTTACACCTATCAGGTAGTCTCTCATATACTGGGTTCTGAAATAACTAATAATTAACAGATTATTATATAATTTGGTTATTAATGAGGAATAGCTTTGTTTGTAATCAAATAAATTGCTTGTTTAGTGGAAAAGGTATAGCTAAGTTGCTTTGACTGGAACAAAGGTGGCAGTTTGTAGCATCCTTATTGATTATAAAATAAAACATATTTTACAACAAGTCTGAAAAAACTTCAACACTTAAACTTTAGGAGAATATGATGCAGTAATTAGAAAAAGCCTTATATTTTTCACATTTTGCATAGTAAAAAAAAATTTTGCCCTACTCCTAAACTCAGCCTTTTAGACTTGTGACAGAAAGGAAAAAAACATTAAATAATATTCTTACAGTACAGAAACACAAGGTTCAGAGTTGGAAAATGATTTGCTACCTTATATGAATAACTCTAAATGCAGCCATAGGATTTCAACAATTTTGGGTGTCTTCTAGCACTGTCCCATCTGGTGCCTTCATATCCTCTGTTCCCACTTTTTCTCTGTTCCTCTGTACCCACTGGTCCTCTGATCCCACTGATCCTCTGGTCCTCCGTACCCACTGGTCCTCTGTGCCCACTGGTCATCTGGTCCTCTGTTCCCACTGTTCCTCTGGTCCTCTGTACCCACTGGTCCTTTGGCCCTCTGTACCCACTGGTCCTTTGTACCCACTGGTCCTCTGTTCTCACTGTTTCTCTGGTCCTCTGTGCCCACTGGTCCTTTGGCCCTCTGTACCCACTGGTCCTTTGGCCCTCTGTACCCACTGGTCCTTTGTACCCACTGGTCCTCTGTTCTCACTGTTTCTCTGGTCCTCTGTGCCCACTGTTCCACTGGTCCTCTGTTCCCACTATTCCTCTGTTCCCACTGTTCCTCTGGTCCTCTGTACTCACTGGTCCGCTGTGCCCACTGTTCACTGATCCTCTGTACCCACTCACTTTACTCTTCGATAAAGATTTTTCCTCTATTCCCACTGTTCCTCTGGTCCTCTGTACTCACTGGTCCGCTGTGCCCACTGTTCACTGATCCCCTGTACCCACTCACTTTACCCTTCGATAAAGACTATTGCTCTGTTCCCACTGTTCCACTGGTCCTCTGTACTCACTGGTCCGCCGTGCCCACTGTTCACTGATCCTCTGTACGCACTCACTTTACCCTTCTGCTATATCTATCAGTTAATTATTAGTTATTTCAGAACCCGGTATATGAGAGTTGAACGGCTACGAAAACCTTGGTAGTAACCGCAAGGTATTCTGGTTAGTATAGTTGTGCAATGATGCACGCAACCTAGAAAAAAAATATGTCTCGTTTTGTTAGGCAACTTTTTAGGACACCCCTTATCATACGATGTGGGCTATTAAGCCCGATGTCAACGGCAGTTGAAGCTGCGAATATCACAGCTTCCAGATTTCTTGTCCAGAAACTCGAGAAGAAAGCAGAAGGTGGTATGCTACACGTAACATGGAATAACAACTCCATGAATCGCTATCCTTTTGCGTACCTCCGCGATAACTGCCAATGCTCGGAGTGCTTCCACGAATCCGCCTACCAGCGATCATTTGACACTGTGGGCAAGTTAGATCCGAAAATTTTACCGGAGAACTACGACGTGAGGTTAGATGGGAAAGAGATAGTCATTGCGTGGCCCGACGGACACGTTAGTGTATTTGACTCAGACTGGCTGCACTCTCGTCGACTGGTCGACGCGAAGGATGATCCAAGCAGCGTTATGCTCCCTAATCTTAATAAGGAAGGGGTAAAGTTTTGGAATGCTGAAACAATGCAGGGAAAAGTTCCTAAGCTCGATTTTAAGGACCTCATGGAGGACGATCGTGCACTTTTCGATTGGCTCAAAATCCTACACAGTGTGGGAATTGCTTTGGTGATTAACACCCCTCTGGAGGTGGAACAAGCAGAAAAACTCTGTGATAGGGTTGGATATTTTAAGACAACTCACTATGGGTATGTAATTATTATTATTTTTCATTATTTTCCTACAGTAGGTTACATGTAACTACCGTATTTACCCGTGTATAATACGCGCCCATGTA